AACAAGTCAATACTATAACCACAACTGTTGCAAAACCAACCAGCAACCCGCCTAAGCCGAGTCTGTTTTCCTCCCGCTTGAAAACATTCGCACTCTCTACTTTCAACTCTCAGCTCACATAGACACGCGAATGCAGGTCTCTATTTCATCTACTTTGCATCTTTTTTGCTCAAATACAAGTTCCCAACAAACAACCACAACATCAACAATTCGCTCTTACTTTTTCCTTCAGTCCCCTACATGTCTGTCCAATGCTCTGAGACTGCAGCATCCCTCCCCCTTGCTCTCGCAACTGGCTCTCTTTACCTTGCCTTGCCTACAGGTTAGCGTTGGATTTTGCGATGTCGATGTTTTTGTTTTTGTTTGGTGCTTGTTTGTTTATCTGTTGAGAGACATCTCTTGGGAAGCGAAGGAGAAGGATGAACAAAAAAACTCTAAAAATGGCTTTTTTTTTCTCCTATTGGATGGGGAATCATGTGTTTGAGTGAAAACAAAAAAAGGAAGTGAGCAAACCAATTCAGGGTGAAGAATGGAGCTAGGGGGGAAGGGGAAGGTGTGAACCAAGGTGTGTTTTTACTATTTTCTCGGAGAAAGACTGACCTTTGTGACCTGCCATCTTTCTAGAGAACCTGATGAAGGAGCTAAAGAGACACAGAGAGTTGCCCTTCATCTGTGTGCTGTTGATGTATGTGTGTATATTGATGTGTGTGTATGTGTGTGTGTGTTTCGATGATTAATAATTGCAAAAACTTCGGATGTCCCTTCCGTCCGGCGTGATTTTGTTCTTTCTTCTTCTCTTTTCTGTTTTTGTGCACACATACAAACACAACAAAGGATGAGCAAGTAGCCAAGTTGGTTAAAAACGGCTTACAGTATCTCTGTACCAGTAGTTATCCCCATCAATGAACAATAGAAGTAACTCGATCGATGAGGGTAGAAAAAACTATGCTTTTGCTATTCAATTGAACACAACAGACGAATGAGTAAAGTATCCCAAAAGTACAAAGCAAGAAGGGGCAAAGATGAGTGGAAGAGGTGATATTTCCCATGACAAGAAAAAGCCTGGACCATCTTCGGCATCTCTTCCGGAGGCTGAAGAAGGTCTTTCAAAATGGTACCCTTTTTTGTCTCCTTCACCCCTCTCTGTCCTCTCAAGGAGAGCTCTCAATTTGTTTTTCTTTTACTTGTTGAACAGTTTTTGCTGTATTCTTTCTTGGTTTGTACTGTGTCATGAGGTCTCATTGTTTGTCGTTTGTTTGTGTACACTCACTTCATGCTGGCTTGGTTGGCTTGGATGGTCAATCCCAACTTTTTTTTTTTTTTTTTAATATCATGTTTTTCGGGAACAAGTTTAAGGAGAGGTTACTCATCAATTCAGAAATGACGAGCTGGCTTCGACAAGTGGTCAGGCCGGGACATTAGCAAAAAAAAAATGCATTCATCCATCGATTGGACTGTGAGGCGTGAACAAAACAAGAGCCTTCATTTTTTTTCTCAGTCCCTCTTGGTTTCGCTCTCCTCTCGACTCAAAAAAAAATAATTGAGCAGCGACGAACAACAACAAAACATCAACAAGAGAAATGAATGGAGTGAATGGAGTAAAGGTGAGCACCTTTTCCCATCTCGATAGAATACCAACCAGAGGAGATGAAAATAGTGGGATGAGGAGGAAGGAACAGATGCAAACGTGGTTCATCCGTTGCACCTTGTTCTTCTCGATTGCCACACACACACTCACACAGAGACATACACAAACACACAGAGACATTCAAAAAACACCAATGCAGTCTGGACCAATCGGGGAATAGTTCTGGGCTTTGGGAAAATGGTGCGCATCGCACTAATAAAAAGTAGATGGGGGAGAGAGAAAGAGAGAGAGAGCGCGCCCAGAGGAAAAGGAAAATAAAACAACCAATCATAAACCACGCAATTTAGCGAAAGGTATTGAGGTGGGATCTCTGGGTCGGATCATGATTAGAAAAGACAGACGCATGGCGCATGCCGTCTGTTGTAATGTTGTTGTGCGCCATCTTAATTCCTCGTTCCGTTCTCAAACATGGACGCCGACTCTATCGATTTTACTATTCTAGTCTTCTCGTAAGGCAATCATTGTGGCACTTGCAATTAAATTAGACCACATTCACACAACAAGCGCCTTGCTCGACCCATTTAGCATTAATTCTCCTTTGATGCCATTCAAACGTCATCTGAGTTGAGCGTTCTACTTTTTCAATGTTCAAAGGAGGACAAAGGAATAGACAATCAAAGCAACAACAGTAATGACCTAGGCTCGTTTTCTATCATTTGTCACCCATTTTTTTCAGGTACAACCTCCATTTATTTTGACATGGAAAAGATGGTGGCGTTTTTGTTTCAGACCATCACGATCGAGAAAATATGCGCGTGTTCTAGAAACCTCCATCAATGTTTTTTTAACAGACAACAAAGAATAGGTCAGCAGAACAGCAGAAGGATGTAAGATTTGTTATGAACAGGATCATGGGTAAACTCTGTATAGTTCAAGTTCATGAGCATCAAACCCACATCGCGATCAAAAGTATATTGTCTTTTTTTTCATTCTTTCTGTTTCTCTTTTCAAATACCATACCACCCGTCTATCCCGTCCGTTTGTATGTTGTGGCCAGTCTCATATCCTCGCAGGTTTGACACTCCTTCTTACACACAAACCATCCCATCCAATATATAGCATACAGTTCGGCCCACTGGCCCTTTTCCTCGCTTCCCAACCCACAAGGGTACACAAACAACACATGCAACGTTATTTTCATTACCCAACTGGGCATAGACCCAGCTGTCTTGGCAAAACAAATTCTCACAAAGAAGCGGAGAAAAAAATAAAGAAAAAAAAACGGCGTAACGATTCGTGAGAGTTCAAGTCTTGTTCTGTTGGCCCAAAATCCAATTTTTCGTCTCAGCTCACATTGTAGGCAGGAAGGGGGGGAAAAAAAAAATGGAAAAAGTGATCGGGAACCAAAAGGGCGATAATAATGTAATTGGGAGCATGTCAGCCAATCGATGGACCTTGCGTATCCCACATCTACCCTGCGGGAAATTCTCATCGACTCTTTCCATGGAATGGGGAGTGAGAGAGAGATGCATTCCAGCACCGACATATGACGCTACAACATATCATTTCTTTCCCCTTCACCCCCTTCTCTTTTCTCCAATGTATGTACTGTACTTCTTCTTTAGACCGGTATACTTTCTGTGTCGTAAGAAAACAATTGATTGTTGGAGAAAAGGAATGAGATTTATTGATGGATAGCACGCGCCGCTCTGTGTTTACTTACTTACTAAACATAATGTACAAAGTACAATCATACATTTTCCTCTATAGGAGGACAAGGATACAGAAGTAGAGAACATAGATAGGAATGACATACACAAACGGACGAGAAAGCAATTAAAGAGAGTTAGGTTATGGGCATTTGTTTGTTTATGTTTTTCCTTGCTGCTCGACTGCCGTGTGTGTATCGGTTGAATGTATGATTGTGCCAAAGGATAGTGAAAGGTTCATAAACTCTTTTTCTCAATGCCATCTAGGTCCATCACGTCCAGCACCTCCTTCACGCGCGCGCTCTCTCTCTCTCTCTTTCTGGGTGGGTTATTTTTGTTCATCTCGCTTCCTAAGGAACGGAATTGTATTCCGCGTCTTATGTCCTTAATACTTTTTCAAAAAGAGTTTTCTCAAAGTTTTGTAAACTTTGATGCTCCAAGGATAACAAAAAATAAATAGAGGCGAGCGTTCGGTATCTCAATCCGATCTCAAAAACACAAAAGAAGACAAGCGATCAAGAATAGCCGCTCATCAATGGCAAATCCTTCGTGCCACACAACACCTTTAGATTATTTTTTTCTCTTCATGTACCACCTGGAGGGTGTACCAAAGTCCACGAGAAAGAGTAGAATATTCCCACCAAGTCAAATCATACTAAATGTACATATCCAAGCCTTCCTTCCTTCCTTCCTCCCTTCCCTTCGATCGTTCAGAGACAACCCCCCTCCTCTCGATAGCCGGATGTGAACATCGGCGTTGGGCGTAATAGAGCGATCAAAGGAACAAAAGAAAAAACAAAAAAGGTCTCCTAAAATGGTTCCCAAACCTCCAGAATTAACCCTAAAAACTCTTCGTCTCCTTTTTCGCCTCTCAGCCGCCTGCCTCCACAAAAACAAAGGAGGAGGGAAGGAATGTGATGTCTCGATAGAGTAAAGTTGTCTAGTAGGGCTGTATATACTTTTACCCAGTTTTATGCAGTCTGTTCCACCTTCACGTTTTCTAGACAAGAGGATCCCCCCCCCTTCCCCCTCCTCCTCAGTCCCTTCTTAAGACCTTTTTTCCGCATAGTTAATAAAATCCTGTCACTCTGCTTTTCCCTGCTCTTTCAAAACTTCGCATGGGCGTTCCGAAGAACTTTCAGAGCATGATACCGAAGCTCCCTCCTCCCCCCCCCAAAAAAAAAATGACGTGTCAACTTCCTTTCCCAGCGACAATTCAATTGTATCCCAACCACGCGCCGCTCTGTTTACTCCTCTCAAGAACACCCCCCCCCCCCCCACCTTTCTTCTCGCTAATACTGAAACTAGCAAAAAAAGAAGGGGTTTTTAGCCCTTTGCAAAGCAGTCGAATGACGTGGCATAGCGCGCCCAGTGTGCAAACTAAAACAATTGGAACAGCGGGGAAAGCGTGCTAATGGAAGGGCAGGCAGAAAGTAGGCCATGTGCTAAAGATGTTAGAGATGTGAGGATACGAAGTAAGAGGAGCTGTCAAGCGAGGTGCGGGTTTTATTTGCCATGCGCCAATTATTTGCAAAAAGAAAAAAACGTATGAGTGAGGTTTGAAGATGGAGCTGCTGATTGGTAATAATACAGAAAAGAAAGGGTAGAAAGTACACGCGAAAAAAAAGCAAAAACAAGGGGAATAGTGGGCAATATCCTATCAATTGAAGGTATTAACAAATGAACACCTTGAGCTGCTCCGCTTAGGAATCCGAAGAGGCAGGGGGAGCAGAAACATCACCACCGTCACTAACAACAGTAACGGTACCGCTAGCTCCGAGAAGAGCACGACCGGCAGCGACCCAAGGGTGGTCCCGAAGCTGACGAGCAGTAGGACGATCAGACCCCAGGGCTTGCAAGAGCCACCGCGCCAGATCCTTGGATTCTTCCGAAACGGCACTCACTCCGCGCATCTTAGGAACAATCATCGACGTTGTTTCCGTTGCCGCAGCAGCAGCAGCAGCGGCGGCCGCCGCCGCCGCCTTTGCTGCAGCGGTTGCGGCCGAGGCTGCCAAAGTTGAATCCGAGGTCGAGGGGGTATCAGGTGTCGCGACCACTGCCGCACTCGTCGATCCAGCTCCGGCTCCAGCAGCAGATCCCGTTCCAGTACTGACAGGTGGTTGAGAAGGAGGATGCGCAGATGTCGTGCTGGTATTACTAGCGGTCGACGACGACCGCTTATGATAGTGGTGGAGATTCAACAAATTCGCCTTGGTCATCAAGACCTTCTCTCCTGGGAACCCAAACTCTGCACGAGCAATCATACTCAGGAAACTCTTGCGACTCATCCCGGGTCTCATATTGAACGGCAAGAATCCAACTAACAACGCGTACAGGACAACGCCCAACGACCAGATATCGGCCTCCCGTCCGTCATAGGGTTGGCCCAGAATGATCTCTGGCGCCGCATAGTCCTCTGATCCACAGCGCGTCGTGAGTAAAGGCGAGTCCATGTCGATGACCTTGGCCAACCCAAAATCCGTCAGCTTCACTTTTGGGCGTAAGGGCGCTCCTGTCTGAGGTTCCAAGAGCACATCTAAAGAGGGTGGTGGTGTGGGAAAAAAATAGTTGAAGAGAGTAAGGTTAATTGTCGCCGTACCTCATGATACTATTATTTTTTTCCCCTTTGGTCACACAAGGGTCTTTTCCAGAAATAACTTTTTCGTTTTCCTTGCCCAGACTGCTCCGTGGACATTTTTGTTCAGTCGAGTCAGGCCACGTCAACTCTCTCACATCATGCAATGCGTTCTTAATTCGCCCTGCTTTCTTCCAGCCTCTGTTGGTCCTCCTGATGTTTGCAAGTCCTTATGTGTCCGTCAGTGTTCACCGAAAAAGAAATACTGCCTGACCAAAAACCTTTTTGGGATGGGTTTTTGTCCTTAAACAAAAAAAGTGCTGGGTGTATGTCGGGTGGTTATTTTGTTTTCGCTCACTTTTTGAGTTCTGGTGGTGTCGATGAAAGTACTCCAGCAATGGTACTCTTCTCTCCATCAATCCTGGTGAACGAATGTCTATTCTTGATACCCTGAATATCAGGAATCTCGGTTTCTGTTCCTGTCTCCGTGGCTGTTTGTCTCATGTAAGCTAAGAATATCAATAGCTTTTGTAGTGTGGCGTTTGATTGTTGGTCCATTGGTAATGAACGTTCATCAGGTATGCTCCACGTTGACGTTTGGCAACGCCCTCTCCGGTTTGTTTACCCCTGAAATGTAATGTTGGTCCGTTGTTCCAGTCCTTGTTCCAATGAGTGTGGAGCGAAAAGCAGGTGGACGACGGAAGGTCAAGGCAAACTTACTCTCCAGTTTGAGGTCTCTGTGAACGATATTAAGTTGGTGCAGGTAATCAACCGCTAGAGAAAAGAAAGGACGAGAAAAAGGTGAGATGGGGAAAAAGAAAAAGGACGGTACCAATCAGAAAATCCAGTTCTCTTATGCAATGGATGTGTTGATGACTCAAACACGAGGAGTATGTGAGCGAGAAAAAAAAAAAAAAAAAAAAGAGTGGGGAGCCGCTGCGTACCATCGACAATCTGGGCGAAGATGCATTGGATGTCCTGTTCAGAGGCAATGGCTCTCTTGTCTGCGACATACTCAAAAAGCTCTCCTCCTGCCGCATAGTCCAGAACAATGCACAACTGCAGTGAGGTCTCGACAACTTCACGGAAGCCCACGATATTGGGGTGTTGAATGGACTAAAGTGAAAAGGAAAAAAAAGGAGCACAACGTGATGTGAATGTTAAGTAACTGGATGACAAAAGAATCCAGGAGACGAACAAAGCAAACAAAAAGACAAAAGGCAGCAAAAGGAGACATCAGGAGTTGTGTTGTTCGGACGAGTGGGAAAGTGAGATGAAGGTGTGGACCCTCCTTCTCCTTTTGTCGTCACCCCAAACACCAACTCTCCACCCCCTTCTCTTTCTTCTTCTTTCCCCACACATAATCACAGAAGAAGGGACTCTTGGAATCAAAAACTGTGTTCCATCTTTCTCCCTTCTGTGTTGTCACCCTTGCTTTTTTGTTAACTTTGTCTGTCTGTCTTGTGGTGTATTGTGCATCGTATTACCTTGAGTAGATCGGATTCTCTCCTGACACTGATACCCAGACGATCGCTCGACTGAACCATAGCACGGCTCATGACCTTAATCGCAACGTGGTCGCCTGTCCTGGTGTCGACTGCCAGCTTGACCTCGGAGAAACTGCCCCGGCCAATGTTGTGAAGCAATCGGTAGGGTCCCACTGTGTTCTTGAGACCGGGGTAGATCTTGCGTTGCTGGCCACTACTGCTTGTAGGCGGTACCGAAGAGGAGTTTGTATTTAAGCTGGATATGGGCGCAGCTGCAGTGCCGGCCATCTCCTGTTGATGGTGTTGTGGTTGGTCCTGGGAAAGGAGAACACTCATCTCTGAGATGTCGTCACCAGCGGACGCATGTGCCGTTTGCGTCGACACCCAACTTGAGGAGAACGACGGCTGTTGCTGGTATGAACCAGAAGAAGCAGGAAGATCTTTAAAGATGTTGGCGTTTGAGGAGTGGCTTGTCCTTGTCATGGGCGAAGGCAGGTTGGAGAAGAGGTTCGATTGAGAACTCGAAGGGGTCAACAAGGGATTGCTCTGCTGTGAAGATGGAAGATGGTACAATGAAGCGTGTCCTTGAGGATGGCGAAGATGCGGGCTATCGAGACGGAAGGGTGACCGTGCTGCAGCTGAGGATGCATGGGAAAGGATCGAGGTTGAGGAGTGCGAAAAGCTCTTGGAAGTTCCATCCATGAGATGGTCTGGATTGAACGCTCCTCCGCCGGAGACAGAGTGATTGTGATGGTGATGTTTAGTCGAGGCCATGGTCGAGAACGAGCCCAGACTGGGCGACCCACTAGCTGCAATGACTCCACCGGTGTTATTGCTGCCATTGCTGTTGCCAGAGATAAGATCGGACGAAGAGTGGGTGAAGATGTTGTTGCCATGGTGGGAATGGGCTTGACTGTGAGAGAGCGATCGATTGTGCGCGTGGTAAGCAGAAGCATATCTGGATTTGGATTTCGGGGCCAACATCTCGACTTGGTCGCCCTCAGGTATCGCGCCACCAGCAGAAAGCGTGGACTGTTGCTTCTCCTGGTGGGTGCGGATGGCCAAGGGGGGTGGCGGCGGGGATCTGGGCATGGGAGCCAGGCGTGGCGGGGGTTTTGGGGTGGGTGTGCTGCTGTAAAAGGCTTCGTCCCAGTATGATTTTGGCAGTTCGTGGTCGATTGGTTTTGTTGATGCGGGTGGAGCTGTTGTTGCTGTCGGAGTTGAGGGACTCGTGGCTGCTATGGTTGCAGGGGAGGTTGTGGGGAAGAAGGACGGGACGAGGGCATCGCCGTCTCGACTGTGGCCGCCCTCGGTCGCCGGAAGCAGCTGCGACAGGCTGGGGGGACTGGACGCAGCCTGGTCGTGGAAGTTGTCTTCGTGGTGGTCATGATGCATCCCTCCCGTCTTGATATCGGCCATAGCCTTGGCCTCCAATTCAGCAGAAGAGCTTTGAAACGAGGCCATTCGCTGCTTGTGAGAGTTTTTTTTGGTTGTTCGTTTTGTTATTGTGAAGAGGGGAAAGTTGATTCGGAAGGTTGCTGGGGGTGAGAAAGAATGAACGGGTAAAGAAGCAAAGGAAGGTGTGTTGAATCGAGGTCGATTGTGTGGGTCGGAAGGGGGAGTGAATGAATGAATGACAGAGGGAAGGATCAGAGGAGAAGGTGGAGACGAATGAACAAAAGAAGAGAGGTGTGAAGAAGGAATGAAAAGAAATAAAATAGAAGAAAAGAGCGGGGCAAGGGAAGGAAGGCAATTAGTGAGTGGGTGAGAACATGCTGACTCTTCTTTCTTTTCTTCTTTTTATGACTGACTGTGTTGGTGGGGAAAAGGACGCACAAATGCCATGCAGGAAAAAGAGAAGCGAGCAAAGAAATCAGAAGGGGCAGTGTGAGTGTGTGAGACGTATTTGTGATTCTTGTGAAAATCTTCTTCAAATGGCATGCATACCTGCACACACATGTGCGCTAATAAATAATGAAAAAAGGAACATCAGGAAGGGAAGACAAGACAACACGGATGCTTGGCTTTGCTTGTTCGTCAACTTCTTGTCACTCAGCATTTGAAAGAAGAAACACACAAACGCCAACAACTAAAAAGAGCACGAATGGATAAAAATACATCTTCTCTTCTTCGTCTTCTTTTTCCTGTTCACTTTGCGTTTCTACTTTTCTGTCCTACATGTCCGAGTCGGAGGATCATAACGGGGAATCTCTCGCTTCGTCCGTATTGGTAATGGTTATCCACACGTTGCACTAGTAACAATTGGCAGTAAACACGGCAACGAGAACCCGCAATCATAAAAACTGGTTAATCATGCAACTAAGAAAAGCAGATGAACACAACGGGTCATCCGTGACCATCGTCCTTGTCTTTGTCTGTTTTCTACTCAGAAAATCTCTTTTGTTGCTTTTCGATGGAGACAATGAACCAGCCACCGCACATTCCAAACGCACACATGAGAACCTTACTTACCCTTGTTTTTTCACCTTGAGTTTACCCAGGATTGAGTGGAAGTGTATGGGTGAAAGAAAGAATGAGGGAGAGCGAGGTGACTGTTCCTGGACGCGTGTCAGTTAGCAGGTACATTCGTTCGAGGTACAGCACACCCGTGTCAATTTTGTGCCCCCGCTTTGAGTTGCTTTTCCACATGTAGTCTTCTCCATTCAGGCGCGAGAAAAAAAAAGAGCAAAAAACGGATGGAGGCTCAATAGGGATGGATGAGATATGTGGAGTAACAAGCAGGCAAGCAAAGCAAGGAAAGAAAGGAAAAGAAACAAAGGAAAAGAAAGAAAGAAGGGGAAGAGAGGGATAGGATAATACGGAAACAAGAGAGCACTTGCAAGGAGGAGCGAGGATCGCTTGGAAAGAGACGCCGCGAAAAATAAAACAATGGCGACGATCTTTACTAATCTTGAGGAATATTGATAAGAGATCAGCGATCGAGACAATGAGGCACTTGTATGCGGAATAATATCTTTTATGAATTGATCAGTTAAGACGCGCGCGTGCGAGGGCGAAGTTCGTTTTTGTTTGTTGAACATCATCAGCATTAGCCATGGTGGTGAAAAGAAGAGAAGGCCATGCGATTGGAGAGGAAGACGTGGAACCGACAGCAAGGCATGACACGATGACACGTTGTTGGTTTTTTTATCTCCACTCAGACATCGTACCACGGGTGACATGACGAACGGCGATTCTCCTGGTCTCTCGCACTCATCTACTCTACATTACAGGATTGCAGAGAACACAACTAGAAAACAAACAAACCAACCCTACTCTCCATCTAAATGGTGCATGTTTGTTGTGCTGTTTTAGCGTTCTTTTCTCTTCTCCACCACCACCCATCGAGGAGTTGCTCTCAACAAGAGATTTCCTTTTCTTCCTACCCTTTCTTCCTTGCCCTTTGTTCGTTTTCCCTCGTGTCCCGGTCATCTTCCTACCCTTTTTTATTTATTTTTTCTTTCCCGTGCACCTGTTCTGTTTCCCTTCTTTTTCCAACTCAACCCTTTTTTTATCTTTTTTCTTTTTCTTACCGTCCCTGTTTTACTTCTTCTCTTTCTTCCAACCCTCCCTCTCCACCATCACCAACCAACCAACAACAACACATACATACAAGCCATGGCCCAGAACGACGCATACGACTTCCTCTTCAAGATCGTCCTCATCGGTGACTCTGGTGTCGGAAAGTCCAACTTGCTCAGCCGTTTCACTCGCGGCGACTTCAACCTTGAGTCAAAGTCCACCATCGGCGTCGACTTCGGTGCAAGAACTGTCCAGGTCGAGGACGGCAAGATGATCAAGGTAATCATCCATCTTGTTACAACGAAAGCGATAGCAGGTGCTCCTCATCGACTTTCTTGTTGCTCGTTGGTCTTTGTCATCATCCACCACGCTCTTTTATGTACACTCCAACAACGCGCAAGCTGAGAGCCAAGAGTGTTTGTATGTGTGAGAAAGGGGAAGGAGAGTGTGCGTGCTCAACCTGCCTTCCCCTGGGCTCATCGTCGATGGAGTTCACTTTTTTCTTTTTTTTTCTCCTTGGGATGAACAGGACGTGTGTCGACACTTGCATCAATGACAACGGCGACAATGGCAACATAGCTAGATGAACGAGATGAAGAGATGATGGAAAGACAGACAATAACGCGCACCTCAGGATATTGTTCTTCGGTGGAAAACAACGCTCTCGCTGCCAAGCGGACCCACGGGATACGGCCGCAAGGACAAAAAAGCAGGCCAGGTTTCTTCGGCAACCATCCTTCGCATCAACTAAACACGCCATACAGCAGTGGGGAAAAGGCTCCAAGTGGGGTGTGTCCAGGCTAAGCATTCGCCCAGCACTCCAGGAAAGAAAGAAAGAGAGTGAGAGAGAGATGATAGGGACATTCATGGCAAAAATAGGCCAGGAGGTTATCCCATCCCTGTCCTTTATTTTTGGCTCTCTTCTCCCCTTCTTTCTGTTCTCTCACGCGCAACATATTACAGCCCATTACCATCACCTATCTCTTTCTTTTTCGTCCTCGACCTCACTCGACAGGAGGAGTCTGCAAGGGGAGAGGACATCACATCAAAAGGCGGGAATGTTCAGTCTGCTGTTGTGCTTTTTTATTTTTATTTTTATGTCTTCGGCTGACTGTCTGCAGTATAAAAATACCACGGCCCTCGACTCTTCTCCACCAGCACCGCCTTGCATTCAGAGCGAGATAGCGACAAAAGTGATCCAACTTGAAACTAACATCGCCATTTTTCTTTGTTTTATTCTTTCTTTCACCTCTATGTTTTTCTGTCGACCTTCAATTCTTCCTCGCGGTTGATCATCTGTCAATGAACTATTCTTACCTGACCTCCGATAGGCCCAGATTTGGGATACTGGTACGTGTTCCTCTTTGGTTCACCTTGTCGTTTCATTATCACTTTCTCTAGAGGTCAGTAAAAGAAGGACAGTGAACTAACTCTCATTTCCATACTACAACAAACAACAAAATAGCTGGACAGGAGCGTTACAGGGCTATTACTTCGGCCTACTACCGTGGAGCTGTCGGCGCCTTGTTGTTGTACGATATCACTCAGCACGGCACCTATGAGTCAGTCTCGAGATGGTTGTCCGAGGTCCGCGAGCACGCTGACCCCAACATCATTGTCATGATGGTCGGTAACAAGTCGGATTTGAGACACTTGCGCTCTATTCACACCGAGGAGGCCAAGGGATTCGCAGAGGAGAACGGACTCATGTTCATCGAAACCTCGGCCCTGGATGCCACCAACGTCGATGTTGCCTTCACCAACCTTTTGACCGAGGTATGTTTCATGTTTGTTGTTTGCTTGGATAACGTCTGTTGAAAGGGACCATGAGGGAGCTGGAGATGTTTAATTGGAACAGAACAGCAGGAAACGAAGTACAACAAACAAGCAGACAACGGTAAACTGACCCATAGTTTTATTCCATGTGTACCACGGTACTTTCTCCCATTGAACCTATATGCATATAGATCTACAAGGTTGTGACGAATGCTGTTCCCAGGGACGGTGGCAAGGACGAGTTGAAGGCTGGAGGCGCCTCGATCAGCATAACGCCTACTCCCCAGGATAAGCCCGCCGGCAACGGATGCTGCTAGGTACATCGGATGGTTCCTCTATTTCACCAAACACCACCAATCACCCAGATTACCAACAATTTTAGTAACAACAGCAGCAACAAACAACAGCGGCAATGTATATCTAGACCAAGACGAAGACCAAAAAAATACAATGCAGGAATTTCTCAAATCATGCAATGCACATCGTTTTTGTTGGATCGGAAGAGAGAGAAGGAGAAGGAGAAGGAGAAGGGGCAAGATGGGGGGCCTTTTAAATGGGATAGAGTTGAGAAGGGGGAGGACAAGAGCGAGTAAGTGAGCATACCGAGGATGAAGGGAGTATATACATCCGAAATTCGAGCATGGGAATGGCAGCTACAGAAGTGCTCCCGAAATAGCCCCTGTCGAACGCGATCGCGTTATGATTTATGGCATATGTGCGTCTGTGGATATGATGACTGATGTGATCCCGAGATATGATGTCAGTGCCCAATGTAAAGTTGGACCCACCCACACAAAAAGCATCCAAAAGAAGACCAACCGCGTCTCCTCATCAGCCAGGTGACAAAAGTCATCACGTGGACTAATGATGGACTGAAACTTGAGGCGATCATTTTTTTTTCTTTATCTTTGTGCCTCTCTCACGCTTTTCTTCTCTCTTCACATATATCCACCTCACAAACACACACATACACACACCATAACTACTCTCTTCAAAAACAAAAACAAAAATCCACTATGTCCGCACAAAGAAGGCGCTCGGTGATCGACGAGCTCGACAGGACCCGCCAAGAACACCCACACCCACCAACATCCGACAACGCACCCCTCTCCAGAGTCGCCTCCAAGGATGTCACCGACGAAATCCTCGAACAGTCCGAAGCCGTCCACATTCCCAACAATAACAACAACAACAACAACAACAACAACAACAACAACAACAACAACAACAACAACAACAACAACAACAACAACAACAACAGCAACAACAGCAATAACAGCGTTACCGGTACTGACAAGAGCCAGAAGGACAGAATGGTCGGACTCAGTACAACGGCAACTCAACCAAGCTCCACCTGGCAACCCCTCGCCAGCAAGTCTTCAAACCAACTCCCTTCTTCAGCTGTTCTCCCTGGTCATGGTGGTCAAGGGTACGGAGCACAGGATCTGCATGATAAGCCGTCGGTGTTGCCGGATATCTTGCCCGGGTTTAAGGATCGGATGGCGGATATTCATCATGCTACTCTTAAAAGTGTCTCTGATGTCACCTCTTCCTCTTCGGCTCATGGATCGTCAGCAGGTGCTGGAGGAGAGGAAGGAGGAAAGTGGATGGGAGGTACGATGTTCCCGACTATGACGCCATCCTCTGGTGGCGGTGGCGGTGGGTTCAAGAGCCCAGTCAGTTCTGGATCAGTTTCACAGCAGAGACATGGATCGGCAGAAGAGGAAGAGAACCGCAAGATTGCACGGAGCTCGATCCTTTATGAGTCTGCGGATCTGGAAGAATCCACTCCCAGTCTCACCGACGACGATCATAACAATCACTCATCTGCCGCTGCTACCACATACGACCCGATCGGAGGAACATCAACATCGAGTACATTGGTCCAGGGAGGTCAAGGCGGCCGCAGATGGTCGCACGAGCTGTCGCCCGAAAAGGCCGGTCTTGTAGGGTCAGTTCTTTCTGTTGCTGGGTTGGTTAAAGATGTTGTTCTCGACAAGATCCAGCAGCGGCCTCCTACTTCCTCTTCTTCGACGGCAGCGAGAACTCAGTATCATCCCTTAACGGCGGATGAGAAGAAGCAAGTTGGGGCCGGTGCTGCGTTTGGCGGGTCGGAAGAGTCGGGCGATCAGTCTATCCTCCTTGACGGATTGTTGAATCATCACCAGCAGCATGAAGCAGAACGCGCCGCTGCCGCTGCTGCCGCCGCCGCCGCCGCCTCGACCACTACTGGAGATGCAGACGCAGGAGAAGGTGCGGAGGAGTTGTTGAAGGCCGCGCCGAGTGCTGGTAAGGAGCACCAGAAATCAATCTTCCATCTGGCGGCGAATCCCGAGACCATGAAGAGTCTGTTGTTGGACCATCCCGAGTCTTTGGGCTACCATGCTGCTACTGGTGCCGGTGCGAAGGATCATCAGTCGATTGGGGACTCGTCTTTGGCGGCTTTGGGCGCTCAGCATCAGCGGTCTGCTGGTGGACAGGATCTTTCCAAGACCAGTCGTTAAGATTTCAGTGGACGGTCGATGGAGGAAGGAGTTTTTTTTCTTTTTCTTTTTCTTTAGGCATTGTACGTAGCATCTATTCAACAGAGTAAATTTCAAAAAAAGATGTTTTATTTTATTTTATTTTATTTCAACAAGGCTTTTGGCGAAAAGGAGAGGAAGATATATGCGAGTGGAGAGAAGGGGTGCGTTAAAGCGAAAAAAATCAAATGAAAGAAAGATAGGGAAAAAAAAGGCGGTTTAGACCTTGTCCTGGTCCTTGATCTCAGTGCGGAGCTGAGCAACCTCACGATCCAAGACCCTAGCCTGAGCATCCGCCCGCTTCGTCAACACGTCGACCAAGGCCTTATTCTCAGGCAAAAGCGCCCTCTCATCAATCTTGGCACCAACCTCCTGCATGGTCCTCAAGACCGTCGCCAACTGGTTAGGCAACCAGGTCACAATGGGGGATCCACCGGTGGCCACAGGGTGCTTGGTGTACTTGATGATATACTCCTTGGTGAAGGACCAATGTCTGTTTCTGAAATTCCGGATCTGATCAACGGCGGCGAGGAAGATGGCGGCAGAGTTGGGGTCCTGCTCTGCAAAGTTACGGACCTGGTTCTGGCGGGCCTTTTCTTCAACAAACTCGAGGAACTCGGCATGGTTGTGGGGGCGGTAGGTTCGGAAGTCCTTCAGCACAGCCGTGAGCGGGTTCGAGGGCATGGACTCTGTCAACTGGAGCAAGTTGTCGCCCATAGGGACCATGGAATCGTTCGCACCAGACTCTCCACGATGGAACATAGGCTCCTCCGAAACCCCCTCATATATCACACCCTTAGGGAACATGGGCTGGTTCTTGGTGCCCATAATAAAGGTTCGGAACTTGAGGTAGTCTGCGGGGAGGGAGCGTTGCCACATGGTGTCCATTTCCTGGTTGATCTTTTCGTAGGTCGAGACGACTTTGGCGAGGCCCTCGTTAAAGGCTTCACGGTTGTGTTTGCCTGCGGCATCGAGGGTCTTCATGGTGTTCTTGACGAGCTCGCCGGAATTGGAGACCATAGTGACGTGGGAGATGATGAAGCCGAGCTCGGATGGGTCACCGGAGAAAGGGCGGATCAATTCGAGGTTTCCCCAGACCAGACCCTTTGACTTGTCGATCCTGCGGTAGTTGTACAGCCTGTTATGATGTTCCGAAGAAATGGAATAGAAGGAGATGTCAGTGTTTCGTTTTCAGGAATTATAGAAAACTAAAAATAAGAAGCGAACGACGTGGGAATTGAAAGAGAAGGAGAGAGAGAGAGAGAGAGAAAGGGGACAACTTACGCATAGGAAAGGGCGTACTCCATGAAGGGCTTGGCGCCAATCTTCTCGGCGACCTGGACGAGGGGGACGGCGATGTTCTTGGGGAGGACGGAGCGGCCGAGGCCATAGTCGCCGGTCTTGCGGTAGAGGATGTCGCAGGGCTCGAGCAGGTAGGCCGATGCCACGAATGTGTAGTCTCTGTACAAGGCTGGTTTGGTGGGGGAAGGTAACGGGGGAAAGAAGTAAAGTCAGCAAGGGGTGTTGGACGTGATTGACAGTGGTTGTTGTTGAGGTACACTAAGTATGAAGAGGGAGCTAGATTTGTTTGTTTGTTCTGTTTTGTGGAGAAACAAGGAAGAGGACGAATGGGCGTGGGAGAATAACCAAAAAAAGAAAATAAATGAAAGGAGAGGGAGTGGGCTTGGGCGGCACACAAACAACCCATCACTCTCTTTCTTATGGTCACTTGGTCACTTGATGCCTTGTTGTTGTTGTTGTTGATGTTGAACAGTGGTGTCTCTTTCTTGTGTATACCTTGTTCACCCCCCTCTCTTTTTAGTGCCTTATTCTTTTGTGTCCCATTCCTTTTTATTCAATGGCTACCGATCAGCCGAGGATGGCCATTTGAATACAGCATCCGACGTCAGTGTGAACATGATCTCTTTCTCTCTCTCTCTCTCTCTCTTTCTCTCTTTCTCTCTCTCTCTCTCTCTCTCTCTCTTTTGCTTTCCCTTCTCTTTCCTGCTAGTGTTCCTTCCTTGTCTTGAGCACCCCAAAACACATTACCAGGAATGTTTGTTATACAATATATTACAGTTAAAACACCTCAAGCAGCAATAAAGCAAACAATCAACCAAAAGAGGTACAAGAACTCACCAGAGAGCAACTCAGAGTCCTCAACATTCGAAAGATCATACTGAGGCAAACTCTTGCAAGCCTCGCCAAACTGTCCGAGCGCCAAAAGTCCCTTGGATCCATCCTTCAAGGTCAAGGGCATCTTTTGCAAAAGTTCCTCCAGAGCCTCATACTCCTTAGGCAAGACATCCAAGGGATCCTGACGGGGAAGGAAACCGTTCTGAGTGCCGACCATGAAACTAGGGATCGAGTGGTTCTGGACAAGGGGGTCGTCGAGGATGGGAAATCCGGGCACCTCACGCGCTTGGTTCTGAATGTCTGAAGTGTGGAACTGGCGGTACTTGGGTTGGGTGTTGCTGCTGCCAGTTGGAGTGGACGTAGGCGAGGCCGAGGGAGCCGAGGGGGTCGAGTACTCGCGGATGGCTTGGGCTTGGAGGCGGAGGGAGTGGGAGATGGCAGCCAAGGCGACAGTCGAGGTCTTGGTGGGGGCATGCTTGAGAGCGGTCTTGAGCGAGGTTGCGGCCTGCAGGCGGAGAGTCTGGCGCATCATTTTCTTGGAAGTGGTTGAGGAGTAAATTGGAGAAGAGGGAGTTTGAAAAATGTAAATGTCAGGGTCCGAAAAAGTATTTCAAGGAATGGACGTCGAGAAGAAAGAGGAATGGGATGGTAGAAGAATGAAAAAGGCGGAGTTGCGGCGATTGTATGGTCAGTGGTTATTTGTTTTTGTTTTTGAAGCTTGAACTCGGAAAAGTTGAAGGTAGAGAAGAAGAGGAGTTGGTGATGGCGGTAAAGAATAAGTATAGAGTGAAATGAAAAGAAAAAGAGGAAAACGGACGCCTTTTATAAGAGAGAGAAAGAGAGCGATAGGAGTAAAAAAAAGCAACTAAGCAACTTTAGGTGTGAGGTGGCAATAGGTTGACAGTTGGTTGGGGAAGAGGATGGTTGAATTGATTGAAGCGGGTTCTCCTACAGGGTTGGGTAAAGTGGACTGGTAATAGGTGAGTAACAACAGACTGCAACAGGGGTCATTCAATTGTCAGTCGTATGCGTGTCCATCGTTACAACCAAATGCACTCAATCAGTCGAGCCAGCAATGGACTCTTTTAATGAACGATCTTAATTTTCACTTCTTGCTCGTCTGCCAGCCTTGCCCTGCCTTGCCTTTGCCTTTGCCTTTTCCTTTGCCTTTGAATGCTGATGAACTCACAGATCACCCCCAAAGAAATACACAATACCTCTGTCTCGTTCTCGCCTTTGTTCTCACCTGCGCAGGTTAGTTGGCTGGCCAATGACCAGACCGACCAAGTCATGAAGGTACCTTTGATGGTGACACAAAAGAAAGGAGTTCGCGTCTACTTGGCGACTCAATAGCGACTCAATAGGCGTTCAAGTAATAGTAAAAAATTTCGCCCATCCCTGGCCCAATGAAAAAAAAAAGGCGAGCCCATGGTCACACAACAGAGAAACGAGTCAAAAAAAAAAAAAAAAAGGGCGTATAGTTTTATTGTTTGCCCTTTGCGGATGCGTTTGCTTTTGTTCGGCTTTTTTTTTCCACGGCCTTCGGTGGAGAACAAGAGGTCATTGACACTTCAATCAACCTTTGGGATGATACCACTTTTCCTCTTTTAGATCGGGTCAATGTAAGGGCCTCATTTCTCTCCCTCTCCTTTTACCCTCCACTCCCAACATCTTTCAATGACCAACTTGGTTGAGTTCATGGCAGAAATGTCATCGTTTTGCTTGAACAACCTCGTCCGCTCTCTTTTTGACTCACGATCCTGTACATTGAAAGAGAAATGAACGAGTGAGAACAATGAGGGTATCAAGCGTTGAAAGCGGCAGGAAGGCACCCTTTTAAAGCTGAAAAGGAAGGAGCATCTCGCCGGCATTATTAAAGCAACGAGAGACCAAAGGCTTTTTTCCACCCCTTGTTCCCTCTTTTTTTCTTTCCTTCTGCCTTCGTCGGAAAACTGCACACATGTGTTCAACTAGAATCAAGTTACCTTCAGAAGGCAAAGATAAAAGGTATGCAGGATACAGTCATCCATGATCTAACACCATGAACCGACCCCCCGCGTGTTTGCACGCACAACCGTATCTAAGAAGGTAGAAGAACGCAGGCAAGCAGTCAATTCGGACTTTTGAATGAAAAATCCGGACACCTCGGAAAACTGAGAGTGATATGAGGTTTCCGAATTGCTCAAAATACAAAATAAAATAGCCGTTAAATGAGTGGGTAGTAACTGCCGAGTGTATTTTTTTTCTTTGGTTTCTGCGTCCCATGGTCTTTTGTAATGTATCAATGGCGACATACCTCTATCTTTTTCTAGATGGACATAGGAAGTATGTAGGTAAGTAAGTGTGAAAAAGAAGGTGAGGCGTGCAGGTAAGGCAGTGTTCTGACACTGTTGTGTGAGAAAATGAGAGAGGAATACCCTGACCCGTTTCCAACGGCAAATCTGGGCAACGTTGAGAGGGAGCGTGCTGGGTTACCCAGCCCTGCTCAGTATTGCTCTGCTGTCTGTCAGTCTGTCGTATTTACGTTTACGTTTTTGCTTGTTTTCTGCTCACATCACCCGTACACATGTAGGTAAATTGGCTGTTATGCAACGAGAATGAGGACACAAACGACTCGTTTCTTTTGTCCTACACAGACCAGCGGCGAGCAGGGCAGGGCAGGGCAAGGTTGACTTGACTCGGCTTGAGTAGAGTTTACTGGTCTTTGGCGTTAGGGGGGGGATTTCTGCCGTTTTGATATCGATGGTTTGGTGAATGCGAACGAGTGAGTGAAGTGAGTGAAAGTCCACCCTTGGAAAACGAATCAAATTGCTCATACACCACGCCCTCTTCTCCCCAACCTTCATTACTTTACACCTAGGCAACCGCAACCGTGTGCGGCTCTAGATCCCTTCTTCGACCCCTCTCCTTTTACGTTGTTCTGTCTCTCTCGCTCGCTCGCGTCATTTGGCAATCGCCCTTTCCCGCCTCTTCCTCGTTCTTGATCTCACACACATGCACTACATCCACACCACTCTCCATCCCTCCCACCCTTATTTTTTTTTCCTTTCCTCTCCTTCCAATCTCACGCGCGAAGAATGGATAGATGTGGGTCAAATTTCGCACTCCTTCTTTGTCCTATTCATCGGGGGTGATTAACAAAGTATGAACATACTGATGAATGATCCTACTTACACCATAAAATTGTCCCATGCATGGTGTTGTTGTGGTGGTAGATGAGTGGCGTCCAGTGTTTCTTGTGGGCCTCTGTTTGATATTCTTGTTCTTTCTTCTGTTCTTCCTCTCACGCCGGTGCACAAAATCTAAAATCTTGGGCAGATGTGCAATTCTTGTTGTGCGCACGCTTGTTCATAATCATCGACTTACTAACAAATTCCTCTTTGCCAACAAACAACTTTTTCTTCTCTGTCTTTTTTATCTTCCACTGCCCAGCCGTCCTTCCAATCCTTTAACCATCTCTTTCCTGCTTGAAGAACATCAATAATGAGCATGATTCACGCACAACAAAAAAAATGAACAAGGTCGAGAAAAGAAGATCTGTATTTTGGTGTAGGCTTTCCTTTTGTTTTCTTTCGCTTCGCTTTACTTAGGGTTTGGTGTCTAAAAAATAAGAGATACAGAGTTGTCTTCCTGAATGTCACAAAGCGATGGGTGAAAAAAAAGTGTAGTGTATTGGGGTTATTGAAGTAGGAGGAGGGAGATGAGGGAGATCAGGAGGTGTTTTTGGTGTGTTTTCGTTAAAGGGTTTTAGTGGTACTTGGGGATGACGTTGTCGACGGGGACAACGGAGCCGACCTCAACAGATCTGCCGGAAGCGTTGCTCAGCAAGCTAAGTAGGATAATGGTAGCAGGAGGGAACGAAGATTAGTGCATGGTTCGCGGAAGGTTGATCGTATACTGTTGGGCGCTCTAATGTTCAGTAGCGGGTCGGGAAACCTACTCAGGGTAACGGAGCTGGATTTTGGGAGGGAGGACAGCGCCGGAGTAGAATTGGCTATGAATGACAATGCGAATGTGTACAGGGTGTTAGCAGTCAAGAACTTTTCCGTTTGCTGGTGACTGATCTCCAAGCACTTTTCCAGCAGAATCCATGTGGAATGTCCGAATAAATAAAAAATATTACCTCTCATCAGCGGCCTGTTGGGCAAGAACAATGTGCTTCTCGTTGATGCGGTTGGACTCCTTCTCCGAGCGCATGTAGTACTCAATGTAGCGGGTGAAGGGGTGTTTCTCCTATTGTTGTTGTTAAGATGATGTAAGGGCGTAGATCGCGTCAGAAAAGACATTTTTGGCGCGTATATCGTTTGATAGGCGATCATTGTTGCATCCCTAGGAGCGAGACGGAGTGTGGATGTCCATTGGCGCAAAATAGGCGTAATTTCAGTGATCTTTGAATCTTTATCTCAGTCTCTTGTGAAGATGCCGGATCTGTGTCAAGTCCACCGTGAAGATATCTGGCGTGGCATGGTGACACCCGGATCGCAGTGTTGAAAGGCATATTCTCCTGGATGTGTTGCCTCATTTCCTGATGAATTGTCTGTCCTCCTACGCCAATGCTCCTCCTGTCGTATCCCGCTTTCTTGCTTGTTCTTGCTTGCTTATTCTTGCTTGCTTATTTTACCTCGCCCTGGCTGGTGAGGTGCTCGTCAATGCGGGACCAGGCGATCAAGCCAACGATGGAGATCAAGGTGATCTTGAATCCGCCCGAGGTGAAACCTATATTCAATTCAACAGGAAGGAGTATGGGTTTCTTCTTGGTCAGTCATCCGATGAATATAGTGTGTGAGGTGTTGTAGTTCTCCGATGCCGCGTTGGTCGACCCTTCGGACAGAGTGTGCTGTTGTTTCGGCGAGTTGTTGCTGGTGCTGCTGATTATTCCCGAAGTGATGCCGTACCTTCCTGGGTAGGAGGGGCCTCAGGGCCGGCGTGAGCGGCATGGGAGCCGAAGCGCTTCTGGACGACGGCGCGTGTGGAGCGAGTGGCGGTGGAGATGCCTGCCCTGCAAAGAAAAGACATTGTGAGTGAGTGGAGGGGAGAGTGAAGTTATGGGGATGATGGCGACTGAATGGTCTTTTTCTCTTTAGCCCTTGGACCTGCAAGATCAGAGTTCCGAACTTCGGCCGAAATGAAAAAATGTAGACGTAGTTGTATTCTCGGAGATCGTACGCGTTATTCTGACATATTTTCTCACCCTGTCTTTTCTCTGCAATTGTCCTCCACATTCACGCTTCCTCTCATCTCTCTTTCTGCTCATGAACCGTCATCATCATCGCTCATGTTGGACGAGATCGACCTTCCGCCAGAGACCCTCCACCTCATATTCTCTTTGACCTCCTTCAATGCACTCGCGTTTTCCGCAACTGAAACGGCGTAGCTGAAGCCCGGCTCTACGGCAATATAACCCTCACCTCGGGACCCACAAACACCTCCTCCGTCGTTTCGATGTGCCTTGCGAACAGTTTAAAATCCCTGAATCGGACCTCCTCGATATCTATCTCGACTACCACCCAGAAGACGATAAAAAACGCAATCTTTCTCTCGGAGTCCCCTGCCGCTGCCAGTGCCCAGACGCGAATTCTTTTTGGGATGACACCAAAATACCAGCCCTGCCAAAGATCTTCTCGGACACAACCGCCCTACCTTGATACATTTTTTCATTGACGGTTATTTTTGAGTCGAGTCGACTTCTGGATTCGATCATTTCCAATCTGGCGACCTCAACCTTGACGTCTATAAAGATCCAATTCTATCTCGATCCCATCAAAAAGATATATACGATGGATCTGGAGAGGATCCTGGAGAAGATTCCTCACCTCAAGGACGTTTGGATCGCTGGATATAAGAATCAGTACAAACCCACAGGAGAGATCGAGGATAGTGACACTTCAACCCCCAAGGCAGCGACTACAATATCAACAGCAGCACCAACAACACCAATCACCACCACCACCACCACAGCAGCAACAACAACAACGACAACAACAACGCGAGGCACTGACAGTGTCGAGGTTGTTCATCGAAACACCTGGACATAATCACCCATCCTTGACCTATCGTTTCTATACCGGGAGTATTGACCTATCATCGCGTTTTCTTGGTGCAGTTCTGCTCAGGCTCACAGCCTTGGTGTGATTGGACATGCATTTTGGCAAAGAGACGGGGTCAGGGACCCTTGGACGTGGAGAGAATATTGGATAACCTTCATCACTTGAAGCATCTTGGCATCTCAGGATGAATTTCCTTATATAAACCGAAATCGCCGACCTTGCTCGGATGTGATGGCGAATGTCATGTCTTTGCATATTTGGAAGACATAAACTTGGGACCAGGAGATCTATGTCGTCTCGAGTCGTTTATCTGCAGCCCGAACCTTACGAATCAAACGGTCGAATGGGCGCGTCCGCGTTCTTCGGGAGATTGGGCAACCCGAACAAGATCGTCTTCAAGTCGGATTTGCCGCCCAGTGGAATGGGTCGACCTTAGGCCTTTGGTCGGGATATGAGGAAGTTTTGTCCAAAGCTGGAGTCCATTGAGACCGAGGGTGCAGTTGCGCTCTGGTTGTTTGACCTGCCGCTTCTGCCTTGTGACATGGTGCTTGGTCTGATGTCTTTGGTCGACGGATATTCGCCGCTGGATGATGCATTGGGGTTGTCGGCTGAGCAGGTCCAGGAGATGATACAGAACGGGCAGAGACAAATATTACCGGAATAGGAAGTCGGGGAGCTGTTGGTGGGTAAAGGTGCAGAGCCATTCTTTCCGCAGCTGAAGAAGTTGAATTTCGGGTCTGACCATGCACTTTCGACACAGGATCTCATCTCGTTAGGAGTTCAGGCCCGCTTTCTGACAGAACTGGATATCGACATATTGTCCGACCGCTACGAACTCTAGGAGATATACGGCGGTAATAAAGTATATGTCACGAACTGGATCAATACACCAACCATGACGCTATTCCTGCTATTCCTACACCTCTATTCCAGTCTTGTTCATTTTTCGACGCCGAACTACAGAACTTATTTGAGGACCTCTTGGACGGCAACGAAGACGACGACAACAAGAGGAAGAGGGGTGGGCGAGATATTGACGAAGATCCAGTCCTTGCCATCATGGTGGGAAGTCGAAGACCGACGCGGGATGGTACTGTGACTTGCAAAATCGTTCCTGAACCTGATTATCTTTGGATTGATCCATTATCAGGTGGAGATTGAGGGTTGGAGGGTGGGAATTTTATTGGGTTTTTGGAGGATGAGGATGTTAACGAGTCTAAGTAAACTTGAATTAGCGTTTCCTCGTGTTTGTGTCTAAATAAGTTGATAATTATCTTTGCTTGTTGTTGGCGTCAGATCGCACCACAAACTAAGTTTGGTTCCGCTGCGCACTGTAACCCAAGTCTACATAAGGTGTTTCGTCAATTTCACTTCCTGCGCCACCCAAGTTGCGAAGCAGAGAACGATACAATCATGTATCCCGTTGAGGTGCAGGGCAGAAAATGAAGCACAACATAACTACCGAAATAACCCCCCAACCGCGCGCATTGGTACGTAAGGAACTGGAGAAAGAGCGTGTACTGAAGTGACATCAAAGGAGACAAGTCTACAAAAGGATATTTCAAGAGGTGCACACTCTTTCTTCACCCACCTGTGCATTCCCCTTACCCGTATAAAAGAGAAGGAAGGAAGTTACGCTCCATTTTAAAGAACAACTTCTTTGCCTCCTAACTCTTCCTTACAACACAAACACCTTCATTCTCATATACCAAAATGAAATCAACATCCATGGCCCACATCGACGCTAGCCACTATTCTCGCGACGCCTCTGTTGAGCTCTCGGAGGCCCTTGCAAAACCTGCTTCGTACAGGCTATTGTACTTTCCTGTGCTCTCCAATGGCGCCACTGGACGTGATCTCCTGGCCTGTGGAGGTGTCAATTGGTCGCATGCCGCCCCCGCAGTAAGTCGTTTATTCTTTCTTTACATGCTTCAAAAGTGATGTCGAAAGGAACGCGATGTAGGACCCCTTCACTGGCTCTTTTTTTGCTCTCGTTACTGTTGTTAATGAACATCTTCACCCATGTTTTTTGTCGGTTTTTAGGATTGGGAGACGGAGAAGAACAAGTCCCCATTCCAAATGGTACCTCTCCTTTATGTCACTGGCGAGAACGGCAAGGTAATTCTATTGACCAACGCCCCTTCCTTTCCATTTGCCATGTTTAATTTAAGCAAGTCTTAACATGCAATCGCCAAAAAAATTATATATATCGTTTCCTTTTTTTAACAGACGGCGACGCTCGCAGAGACAATGGTCATTGAACACTACCTCGCCAAGAAGTTTAGTCTTCTGGGCTCGAACGAGTACGAAGAGAGCATCATCAAGAGTCTCCACTCCTCCAGCGCAGCCGTCCAGAATGCGTTTGCAGTCACCGTCACTTGGAACACCCCTGAGGGCAAGGCAGGTGCGTTGGGCTTCTTCACCTCTGCCACCCTTCCTATCTGGATTGCAGCCCATGAGAGACATTTAATCGATAACGGCAACAACGGCCATTACGTCGGCGACAAGGTACGCGTGAGGATGAGGAACGAGCGGATTGCTGTTCTATTTGCTTGATCGTGTTCCTGATTTCTTGTTTTGACATGTTCTCACGCTATCCCCGCCCCCTTTTTACCGAACAGCTGTCATTGGCCGATATTCGCACCGCAAACACCATTGAACACCTTGCCGCCCAACCAGAATCTGCGACCCTCATGGCGATCGTCAACAAGTCTGCACCCTTGACCAAGCTCCGCGACATGGTTGCCAAGCACCCCAAGTTAGTTCAATGGAGATCTGGGGCTGACTATAAGGGCTACTTTGAGGGCAACCGTGCGTTCTATGCGAACCCTGCTGCCTTTATGTAGATGCTAGAATTATACTTCCCCCTTCCCATCTCCCTTCTCTTCTTTTCTCCCACCCTTTTTTGATCGTTCGCTTTCCTTCCTTCCCTCACCTCTCCTTCAACTACCAAAAAAAACAAGTTACCAGTTGCTTGTTTTTTTTGTCAATTAAAAGATATCGCCTTGATTTGCGCAATTTCCTGGGTGGCATGGTAACACATGCGCCTTTTTTGTTGGGAGAATGAGAGACAATCAGAAAAGGGAGTAAAAAAAAACGCAAGATTTCTATAGTGCGCAGCCAGACACTGCCTCGAAAGAGGCAGTGCATTTGATGGTCAATGCATTAGCATCCAGGCAGACCAGACCTCTGTGAACCCAAGAAAAAACGATACAAAAATCCTAATATTTTCGCCTTTTACGGTTGAGCGGCATGTCGTGTTCAGGCACAACCAAACACCCGACTCAGCTTCTTTTATGCGTCTTTGAAAAGGACAAGGATGGCATGGGGACGATGGAATGTAAAAAAGGATGCATGCGGTATTGTGTATTTAATATACTAAGGTACTATTATGGTGGTGGGGTATAAAATAATAATATTGGACTGTCTTCTAGGAGCAGGCATCCTTCACTTCGCCAGCTTGCTCAGCAAGTTTATAGAAGTGCGACTCAGGTCTCTGGAGCAACACTTGAGGCGCCTCAAACTCCTCCACCTGTCCCTTCTCCAAAACCAGGATCTTGTCGGAATCCATCACCGTCTTGATACGATGAGCGATGGTGAGAATCGTACGGTCCTTGAACTCCTTGCGGATCGTCTTTTGGATCAATTCGTCGGTCTCGACATCCACAGCGGCCGTGGCTTCGTCAAGAATGAGAACCTTGGTCTTGCGGAGGAGAGCGCGGGCGAGACAAATTAGGGATCGTTGGCCAACCGAGAAGTTGTCACCGTTCTGTGAGACCTTGAAGGATAACCCGCCGTGGAGGGCCGAGATCTGGTCCTTTAGGTGGGCGCGTTCGAGAGCTTCCCAAAGATCGGCATCTTCGAGTTCGTTAAAGGGGTCAAGGTTCTCGCGGACGGTGCCTGCGAAGAGGGTGGGGTCCTGGGGGATGATGGCGAGGTTCTTGCGGAGACGGCTTAATCCGACGGTCGAGATGTCGACGCCATCGATCCAGATCGATCCACCGACTTGTTCGACGTCGATGCGCTCCAACTCGGCAATGTTCCTTTCGTCCGCGGTGAATTGATCCTGCGCCGTCTTGGTCTTTTCAGTCGTCGCAGTTAACTTTTCATCAGCTCCAGGTGCAGAGGAAGTATCCTCCTCGCCGTTATTACTAGCCTGCGCCCAATGACTGTTTGCTGCCTCAATAATGCGAAACAACGCTAACGTCAACGATGACTTGCCAGCACCGGTCCGACCGACAATGCCGACCTTCTCCGCAGGCTGGACGTCGAATGAGATATCTTTGACGACCAGCTCTAGCCCTTGACGGTAACGTGTAGAATAGTTCCTGAACTCGATGTGGCCGGTTTGGGGCCAGTTATCAGGCAGGCTAGCGTCGGCGGGGAGGGAGGATGGGGCTTCTGGGTTCTTATGGACGTATTCGTCAATGCGTTCTACTGACACCAATTGGTCTATTGTCATGAAAGGGAAACCAAACGAGTAAATATTAGTTGCTGCGCTGTCAGTGCCATTGATAATTAATTTCAAGTAACAAAAAAGAAGAGGAGACTTACTCGCGAGGTCAGAGTAACTGCGAATGGCCCAAGTGAGCTCCTCCGTAATGCTCAGCGCATAAGTAATCGAAAGACCAACAGTACTAGTATTCAACGAGTTGCGACTCAACACCGCAAATAATCCCGCACCCAACACAATCGTAGCCCCTAAGGCCTCCAACCGGATTTGAAGCCACCGATTGGACATGATGAACGTGAACCAGGCGTTGGCCGAGACGTTTGTCTTTTCTGCATTGTCGCGAATGAACCGAGGAGCGACGTTCATGGCACGGATGGTCGAGACGCCGGTGAGGGTCTCGCTGAAGTGTTGGTAGATTGGTGAGCGGGAGACGGAGTCGATACGTTTTAGGGACCGGGAGGAGGCGATGTAGTAGACTTGGACCATTGAGAAGATTGCTGCCAAGGGTGGGACGAGGGATAAGAAAATTGGGGTTCCGGAACCAATGACGATCAAACTGCCGAGGACGCTGAGTAAACCCATTAGGACCGCCATAAACGCAAATGGCAACGTGTCATCTGTAGAATAAATATCTGTCGAGAAGCGGTTGACAATACGACCGAGCGGCGTGGTATCAAAGAAGGCCATAGGGAGACGGAGGATGCTATTGAGGAGTTCTTCGTGCAAGAACCTGGATGCGCGAATGCCTGCCATGACCATGACGACGAAGGTGACGACCATGTGGAGCATCATGAAAGTGAAGACAAGGGCTGCGTAGACGCCCAGAAATTTTGCGGGCGAGTTCTCCTGACTGTCCGATCCAATGGTTGTCCAATGTTTGAGCCAGATGTTTGTTCCGATTTGACAGCCTTGCGCGGCTACGAGTAGGAAAAATGCGAATGCCGCATTGCGGTACGAGCTACATGAACGAGAAGGCATATGAAGGACGGAATGGTTAAGCGGAGACCAGTAAGACTGCAATTATGACATTGAAAAGATAACGACAAGTATGACTTACGCAGCGCGGAGATAGCACTTATAGACGTTCCAGGAAACATTGCCCTCCATCATCTTCTCCTTGGCTACCAACTTTTCCTCTGCCTTAGTCGTGATAGCTTTTGCAATAATCTCTTTTTCGTTCTCTTCCTCTTGCTCTTCTTCTTGTCCAGCCTGTGTTGTTGCTGACTCGCCATCCACCGACTGAGTGCCATCCGTCTTCTCCACCTCAGTAATCGCATCTGATGACTCAGCCTTGCCCGCCTTATGATTCTTCTTTTCACGACGAGAGTTGATTGAGTACTCGTTGATCAATTGGAAGAAGGCACCCTTGGTCTCCATGAGCTCCTCGTACCGTCCGTTCTCGCTGATACGTTTGTCCTTGACGACCACAATCTGGTCGACATTCTCGAGGTGGTGGATTCCATGAGTGACCAGGACACGGGTTTTGTCCTTCAACAATCCATTGGGTCCGATCAAGTTTTCCCAGAGATGTTGGTCGACATGGGCATCGACAGCGGAGAGGGGGTCGTCGAAGAGGTAAACATCTGCATCCTGGTAAGCGGCACGGGCAAGAGAGACACGCTGCTTCTGGCCTCCCGACAGGTTGATTCCACGTTCACCAATCTCGGTCTGATCGCCGGCAGGGAGCATCGCGATATCAGGCAATAATCCAGAGACATAGATGACATGGTCGTACTTTTTCTGATCAAACTCCTGTCCGAACGTAATGTTGTCCTTGAGAGTCGCGTTTAGGATCCAAGCTTGCTGAGCAGCATAAGTAACCTGCCCACGGATACGGACCGATCCCTGGCGCTTGTACATGTCTCCAATCATCGCGCTCAATAAGCTCGTCTTGCCCTGCCCAACACGTCCAACAACCGCAGTCAGGGACCCTTTGGTGACCTGGAGGTTGATATCCGACAAAGTAGGCGAGCGATCGATATCCTCAGGGCTCTGTGGTCTTGGGGGAGCGGGCTTTCCTGCCTTAAGAGCCTGCTTCTCGGCCTGGACCTGTTTCTTCTCCTCTGCCTTTACGCGCTTCTTTTTCTGCTTGTCCGTCTCGACGTTGGGCTGCTCCTTGCACCATGCAAACACGCCGTCCTTGATCTCAATCACCACTGGCGACTTCTCATCCTGTCCAGCATCATCCAGATCCTCGCGCTCGACAGTCGACTCATCAATCTCCTCGACCAACAAGAACTTCTGGATACGAGTCGTAGCGACCCAGACACTGATCGTCATATTCATGACCTGGGACAGCATACTGATAGGCGCTGACAGGAGCGCGAACAGAGATGTTGAGACAAAGACGATCTGAGGGGTAATCTCACCGGGTGTGAAACCGGGTCCTCCGACGGTGGCATAGCAGGCGAAGGAGACGAGGGCGACAATGAGGGGTGTGGAACTGAACAGGATGGCCATCACGGAGAAGACGTATCCGATCTGGCGCAGGACCTTCAGTTCCTTGTCACGAGCCACCGTCAGCTTCTCCTTGAACGACTCCTCCCCTACGTGCAGGAAAACGTGAATAACAGTTATAATTAGGTCCGCACAGACAATGCTCTAATATTTCATGACTGAACCAAAGGAAGAGAAAACTTACAGTTGTAGAGTTTGACGATCTTGATACCGGCAAGGACTTCGTTGACGAGACGCAGACGCTCGTCCATGGCAGCGAGCTTAGCCGCCTTGGCGGTTCCAAAGTACTTGCCCATGATGATGTGGATGGGGAGCATTGCACCGATTGAGCCCAATCCGACAAACACTGACCAGCCGAGTTTTTGGTACAACATCCAGATTGCAATGCCGATTTGGAACTAGGTTCGTATGAAGGCAAAATGTAGAAAATAAAATGTCAGTAATTAAGTCATACAAGCATGAGAACATTTCGACCATACATAACACCAAAAAAAGGCTTACGGGGACAGAGATGAGCATGGGGATGAACATAGTAGCCTGAGGCCAGCGCTCGGCGTCGACAGACATATGGTTGGAGATCTCGCCTGCGGTCGAGTCCTGCTTGGCAGAGGTTGAGAGCTTCAACGACTTGCGATAAATCATGGCAATCAGTGCAGTCCGGATCTCCAGGCCCAAGATACTGGTCGCCGCAAAGTACTGAGCCGTCATGAACGATACCGCCAAAGTACTAAAGAACAACCCAAACGCCAAAATAATCCCCAACGACACCGGCTTGGGGTCCCGGAAGAGCGTCCCGTCCGCCAAGGTGACAGTCTGGTAGGACTCGATGAACCCCAGGAGAGAATTGAGTAGCTGTGGAGCGACATAGGTCATACAAGCAGACGCGATCGACAGAACCATGGCCCTAGCCCACCGTGCACCATGCGACAGAAACACGACCCTGATCAACGAAGGTCTCTGGCCTCTGGCAAGACGTTTCTTGACATGCGCCTCCCAACGTGCTGACAGCGCCGCGTGAGTAAACTCAGTCCGGATGGTCTTGGGCATCAACCCATCGACATCCTCAAAGTTGAGCGGCCGCTTGTATCCGAGTGAGACAACGTGTTGCAAGAAATGGAAGGTCAACAAGGAGAAGAGATTGGCCTTTTCGAATCGACTTGCCTGACTCTTTTGTTGGACCGTCGTCCCACCCCTTGGCCAAGCCTCGGTGGCGAAATGAGCAATGTTGAAAGCGAGGAAAGCAATAAAGCACTTGAACTGATCCTCTTGATTCTGGTCGAGCAAATCCAGCGTCCTGGTAGTAAGAGCACCAGCAACCATAGAAACAGCACTGTATGCGAAAATATAATGCGACGCCCGGACCTCATACTGGATCTCCAAAAAGTTGAGCACTGGGACCAAGAACCAGGCGACGATCAAAAGACTAGTGCCCAGCATCGATGAGGGGGCATAGCCCTCAGACTGTTGAGAGAGAACAATGGCTCGGACGATGAGGGCGATAAATGCTGCGAGGGAGAAGAACTGTGAGGGGCCGTATATGATCCATGTCTTTCCGAGTCCGTGGGGTGTCTGGTGGGTGAGAAGGGTGCGTGCTCGGTAGAGGAAGGCGACGATTGCGATTGCTGCTGGAAGCCCGATGAGAATACTAATAAATAGACGAAGGGATAGGCAAAAGTGTGAGAATCGGCATTGTGCTGCATGGTGTGGGCATGTGCTCTCATCTTATCTAGTAGCGCATGACGCAGTTGAAGGTCGGACAAAAACACTGGTTTGTGTTTTCTTTTGTTATATTTGTTTATGTCTTTAATTAGGGTTAGAGGAGCAGCAAGTGCATGCGATCCTTGTATGGAGGGGATGCTTGTGTTTGGTGTCGTTTTGACGACAAAGAAGAAACAAAAAGGAGAGGGGCACTTACGTTGATTCAAAGCAAAGAGTGAGATCTGCTCGCGAGGAGGCCGTTGGGCCCTATTAGAAAATTAACAATGCAAACATGGTTAGAAAACAAAACGTGAAAAATATGTTTTATGTGGACAATTGAGCAACATGATGAAGGAAAAGACAAGAAAAGAGAGAGAGAGTTGCTTACCCATCCTTCTGGGTCTCGACAGTAGGAGTCACTCATCCGTGAAGTAGACGAGTCGAGAAAGAAGACAGTGACGTTGGACTTGTAAGGGGACAAACTGGGTTGTTGCACAAGGAGAGAAAGAAAGAAGGGGATGAGACTGAAATCTTCCGCGCTGTTACTTCTTCCATCAGATCAGGAACAGACACATACATCATACTGTCCTAAGGATGGTCATTTATTACCTTTGTTGAAGAAGGAAGAAGTGGAGATCCTGTTGGTGTTCTGTGTAGAGGAAGGGGTGCAGAGGAACACAGAAGAATAAGAGAGAATGAAAAAGAGGAAAGAGAACTCGACTTGTCTCAACTGAACAAGTACAGAAACAAGCAAAAGAAAAAAAAAAAAAAAGAAAGAGGAAAAAGGATGAAGATAACGGTTGGAGGTGCCACTTCCTCTTTATACAAAAAACACAGTTATGAAAACCTTATCCTAGTCTTGGCAACCATGTTCTACATCCCTGGGAAAAAATAGGTACACAAGTATCATTTCTTGGATAGCTTTTTTTCCCTCTCAGACGAAGGGGATTGCATATACTCCTTCCCAAAAAAGGAGACCATTAGAACTGATTTCTGCACCCTCTGACCCCTGTGTACAAAAGGTTCGAACAACGCCATGGCAACCGAACAACAGCCTTATATTCACACACACATGCTCTTTACTTTACTCGCAATAATAAATATACATTGGAGTCTGATGTCTTCAATAATCCACCCATACACATGCATGCTTTGAGGCTCTCGACCCTACCCGCAGTTAGTGAAGCGATATTAGCCTTATGGGAATCGATGAGATGTGTATATGGGGTCAAGATGTCGCAATTTCTTTTGTGTAACAGCACGCCTTTGATTTATTGGTTGGACTCCTAAAACGGCAGCGTGTCGTTTTTGCAGGTGGAGTTTAAAAAACAGAACATAAAACAGGTACGATCTGATAAAGGGTTGGAGGCGAAGGAGAGTAAATAAGGAGAGAAACAAAGGAACGGGTGGATTGGCAGCTTGCCTTTTTCGTGTCAGACGTGATTTACACTTTTTGTTTATCTTTTTGTTTCATTCCACTTGGCCTATTGTCGTTGTTTGGTGGGCTGTTGGATCTCTTTTCTTATAACCTCAACCTCCATACCTTCCATGCACACACTTCAACAACAACAACAACAAAACAAAATACGTACTCTTCTCTGCAGCAAACTTACCCATCTCTTCGCCTTTTTATACAAAACAACAACAAAATCTACCGACAGCCAGCACCACGCCTTTCGCTAGCAACACCTCCATTCCAAAATTTATACAGTTCGAATAGCTCAAAAGTTTCATCTCAGTTTACACAACAACCTGCGCCTGCGATTCCTCTTGCGTCTTTCATCGATACATCGAACGATGGCCGTGACATGGAACTGCATTGTCTCCAGATGACAAGGCCCGTCAGGAAGATATGGCATCGAGGTTGGACATTGACTTTCTTCTGAGAGAGACAAGAGAGGAAGGCGGGGACAAAGAAACAGTGAAGGATGATAATAGGGACGAAGCGGCAATGACTACCTGAACTACCTCGATCGTCAAGCGCGCATGATGCAAATGGCCATAGAATCGTTTGAGCGTGACCAACAAGCGGAGGAGAACCGATCAAGCGGATCTTCCGTCGAGCATCAACAAATAGATGTTGTCGTTTTTTTCGTTTTATCCTAATATATTACGCTCTTTTTTCATTTTTTGAATGTTACGTGTCTGATAGAAGGAAGCGACGCGTTCGATTGCGACATGAGGGACTACTTTGATCCTTTTCATACAAATATTCAAGACAAACGCGATTATGACGGCAAGGCATGGTCACCAGGAGGGTGCGGTATAAATAGCTCCCTCTCCCCTTCCCCACCACTTTCTTCTTTTTTCTTTTAGCCGCGTTCATTCCTTTTCTTTCTTTCTTTCTTCCCTCCTTTCCCACCCTCCTTTCTCCTTCCTTTCTTTCTTTTCTCCACCTCAAGCGGCCGGCGATTACATCTCACTTTCCACTCCACCAACCACTACTGCTGTAGGCATACTTCTCGAACCTCCTTTCTAACTACATCTCATGTCTTTCTTGGTTGTCGCTAGTCTCTTCATTAAAGGCAATTGATCGTTCTTGTGCATCATGCGAAACAAAGGTATTACATTTTTTGTATATGAATGGTAGATATTGCGTATGTAAATGTATGATAAAGTAGCAGCTCGCAACGACACCGATCGTTATTCCGCACCCCACCGTCCCTACAACCCACTTTCCTCCTCCTCCTTGATCTCACCAGCCTGCCGAGCCAGTTTGAAAAACAACGACTCCTTATTCTTCACCAACTGCTCAGGTGCCTCAAACTCCTCCACTTGTCCCTTCTCCAAAACCAGGATCTTGTCGGAATCCATGACGGTCTTGATACGATGAGCGATGGTGAGAATCGTACGGTCCTTGAACTCCTTGCGGATCGTCTTTTGGATCAATTCGTCGGTCTCGACATCCACAGCGGCTGTGGCTTCGTCAAGAATGAGAACCTTGGTCTTGCGGAGGAGAGCGCGGGCGAGACAGATGAGGGATCGTTGGCCAACCGAGAAGTTGTCACCGTTCTGCGAGACCTTGAACGACAGTCCGCCAGCAAGCGTTGAGATATGCTCCTTCAAATGTGCACGCTCCAGAGCCTCCCATAATTCGGCATCCTCGAGCTCTTCAAAGGGATCCAAATTTTCGCGGACGGTGCCTGCGAAGAGGGTGGGGTCCTGGGGGATGATGGCGAGGTTCTTGCGGAGACGACTTAATCCGACGGTCGAGATGTCGACGCCATCAATCCAGATCGATCCACCATTCTCGTCAACCGCCACCTTCTCCAGGTCTGCATCCTCAACAACTTTGGTAGGCATCGTATCCATATCTGCGCCGTTGTGACTCGACTGCGCCCATTGACTATTCGCAGCCTCGATAATGCGGAACAACGCCAACGTCAACGATGATTTGCCAGCACCAGTCCGGCCCACAATCCCAACCTTCTCAGCAGGCTGCACCTCGAACGAGATATCTTTAACCACCAGATCCAAACCCTGACGGTATCGTGTAGAATAGTTCCGGAACTCGATATGACCCGCCTGAGGCCAGTTCTCAGGCAAGTTTGAATCCGCGGATAAATGGGCGGGAGGCTCGGAGTTCTTGGTAAGGTACTCGTCAATCCGCTCAACAGAGACTAGCTGGTTCTGCAACTCACAATAGGATCTGATGACCATGGTAATATCGGAGGTCACAGTCAGGGCATACGACAGCGCCAGTCCGACCATCCCAGGATCCAACGACCGACGGTCCAACACCGCAAACAGTCCAGCGCCCAAGACAATACAAGCACCCAGGGTCTCGAGACGAATCTGTAACCAGCGCGCGACCATCTGGTAAGTAAAATACGCGTTCGCAGAAATAGTCGCCTTATCCTCATTCTGCAGAATAAACCGATCCTCGACCCCCATCGCACGGATGGTTGAAACACCAACCAAGGTCTCTGTGAAATGTTGATAGACGGGCGACCGACTTGTAGAATCAATCCGCTTCAGGGAGCGCGAAGGGCGGATGTAGTATATCTGGACGAGGACGAACCCAGCTGCTAGTGGAGGGACGATGGCGAGGAAGATCGGGGTTGTGGCGGCGATGACGATGATGGTCCCCAGGACGCTGATGCCGAACATGAGGACGGACATGAAACTCCAGGGGAGGGTGTTGTCGGTTGCAAAGATATCTGTCGAGAATCTGTTCACAATGCGGCCCAATGGGGTCGTATCGAAGAAGCTAATAGGTGTTTGGTCGCACAAAACAATAAATATAACGATGTTGGTTGTCTGAACGATACGAGAAAAAAGTGCGCAACATGAAAGAGGGGGAAAAAGTGTGCAGTAAATGTGGTTACCTCATGGGGAGATGCATGATAGAACCCAAGAGCCCGTCATGGAGACGCACAGTGGCGCGTACCCCCGCCCAAACCATGATGACGTAGGTAAAACAGAACATTAAAACCATGTAGACCAATGTGATGGCTGCATAAACGCCCAAGAACATGCCAGGCGAACGAGATTCGCCGGGACGGGCGGCTGTCCAGTGCTGGAGCCACAGGTTGGTGCCTATTTGACAGGATTGCACCAGTAGATACATGAACACACAGAACAGTGAAGTGCGGTATGAGCTATCGAATAAAAAATGGAAATGCACGGTGTTAGAAGCGTTGTTGTTGGGCGATATGAACAAAATGTGTTGCAGAGAAGAGGAGGATGAACTTACGCGGCGCGGAGGTAAATACGGTAGACATCCCAGGAGACACGACCCATGACCATCTTCTCAGCAGCAATCAATTCAGCAGCCTTCTCATCCTTCTTGGCAGCCAATTCGACCTTCTTCGCAATCTTCTCATCTCCCTTCTGAGTATCCGCGTCACTTTTATCCTCTTCTTCCCCGCCGCTATGATCTTCGTTTTCCTCCTCGGCCTCAATTTCGCCCTCGCCTTTGACGACCTTTTTCTCCTTGCGGTCCTTGCGAGCATTAATCGAGTACTCGTCAATCAGCTGGTAAAAGGCACTCTTAGAGTCCATCAGGTCGTCATAGTGTCCGTTTTCGGTGATCTGTCCGTCCTTGATGACCACGATTTGGTCGACGTGCTCGAGGTGGTGGATGCCATGGGTGACCAGCAGACGAGTCTTGTCTTTCAGCAACCCATTAGGTCCGATCAGGTTCTCCCATAGATGTTGGTCGACGTGGGCATCGACGGCGCTGAGAGGATCATCCAAAAGGTAGACATCTGCATCTTGGTAGGCGGCACGGGCGAGGGAGACACGTTGTTTCTGACCACCAGATAGGTTGATTCCACGTTCTCCGATCTCGGTCTGGTCGCCGGCGGGTAGCATCTTGATATCTGGCAACAGACCCGAGGCAGCAACGATGCGATCGTATCTCTCTTGATCAAAGTCGAGTCCAAAGGTAATGTTGTCCCTCAGTGTCATGTTGACGATCCACGCTTGCTGAGCTGCATAGGCAACACGTCCACGGATCCGGACCGTTCCCTGGCGCTTGTACATTTCACCAATCAAAGCTGACAACAAAGATGTCTTGCCCTGTCCGACGCGTCCGACAATAGCTGTAAGTGAGCCTTTGGCGACCGAGAGGTTGATGTTGGTCAAGGTTGGGGAGTAATCAATCTCTTCGGCGGCTTTCTTCTCAGGCACAGGCTTGTTCTCCTTGCGAGCCTTGGCTTCGGCGGCTTCCTGTTTCTTGGCCTCGTCCTTCTCACGCACTTTCTTCTGCTTCTCGGTTTCGACGGGGGCATGCTCGGGGCACCACGCGAAGACAGCTGATCCTTTGATCTCAATCACGGGTCTGCCATCATCATGGACACCATCCAAATCCCGTTCAATCATAGTCTCATCGAGTTCCTCGGCAAGGAGGAACTTCTGGATCCGGATCGTGGCAACAGTGATACTAGTAAGCTGACTAAGGGTGCTGGACATGACGCTGATGGGTCTGGACAAGAGACCAAAGAGAGTGATACTGACAAAAATGGTCTGAGGATTCATATCACCAGGGGTAGCGCCAGGTCCGCCATGGGTTGCGTAGACGGCCAGAGAGACGAGAGTAATGACAAGGGGTGTGGAGGTGAAGACGAGACCGACAAAGGAAAACATGATCCCGAACCGTGTGAGGAGCTCTACCTCGTTGCGACGGACTACTGCGATCCTCTCCTTGAACGGCTCCTCCCCTTCAATCCCACGTTCGCAAGAAAAAAAAGAGGTGAGAAAGATAAGAACAGTTAGATACACATTGTTCAAGAGTGGCCACCGAACGATATATCATATAAAGAAGAACAGGTTGCGAAATGGAACATACAGTTGTACAATTTGACGATCTTCATGCCACCGAGGACTTCGTTGACGAGACGGAGACGGCTATCCATGGCCTTCATCTTGGCGGCACGGAAGGACTGGAAGTAACCTGCAAGTTTTGCATGGATAGGCAGCATCAGGATGACGGCAGCGATGCCGACAAAGATGGACCATCCAATGAGCTCGTACAGCATCCATGACGCGATACCGATTTCCAGTCTGTAATGGGTGAGTGTGACGAATGAAAGAGGATGAGAAGAATGAAAAAAAAAATTGTGTTAAGAGCCGAAAGGATGAAAAGAAGAAACAAAAAGATAGCGAGCAAGGATGCAAAAGACGTACGGGACAGAGATGGCAGTGATAACAGTCGGCAAACTCATGGGCCAGCGCTCAGCATCAACGCTCATATGATTCGTAATCTCGCCCGCAGTCGACTTTTGCCGCGCGCTATTCGATAACCTTAACGCCTTGCGATAAATCATCGACATCAATGCCGTCCGGACCTCGAGCCCCAGATTCGTACATGTCGCCTGTAACTGGCCGTTCAGAAAGGTCACCAACAAGGATGAGAAGAACATGCCAAATGCCAGGATAATCCCGAGGGCAACGGGTTTATGGTCCGCCTCGTTGGGGGATGCGTAGGATTGGATGAACCCCAGGAGAGAGTTTAGGAGTTGAGGGGAGACGTAGGTCATGACGGAGGTGAGGATGCGGATGAGGATCACGGGCACCCACTGAGTCTTGAACGAGAACAGGATGGTCTTCATCAGGGATGGGGTTGTGTTGTTGCCAAGATTAGCACACTTGATTTTCTTGGCGTTCCAACGCGTCGATAGGCGGAGGTGAGACTGTTCTGCCTGCATCTCCTTGGGCATCAAGGAATCAATATCCTCCTGGACCAAGGGGCGCTTGTAACCGAGGGAAACGATGGGCTGCATGAAATGGAAAGTGATCCGGGAAAAGAAATTCGCCTTTTCGTATTCCCCTACAGAGGCGTTCTTCTGAACCGCAAACTGACCTCGTGGCCAGGACTCGATCACAAAATGAGCACAGTTGAAGGCCAGAAAGGCGACCAACGCTTTGAAGGGATCCTGATCTGCATGTTGTGTGTCCTTGAGGGTTCGGACCACGATCGCCGCAGCGACTAGGGAGACAAGACTGTAGCAAAAGATAAACGGGGACGCACGGATCTTGTAAAGGGACTCGAATTGGTTCAGAACAAGGCCAAAAGTCCAGGCGATGGCCACCAGGATGGTGCTCATCATCGAGGCGGGGGAGTAATCACCGTTCGGTTGTTGGTTTGACAGAAGCACTGCGCGCGCAATGAGGGACCCGATGGCCGCGAGAGTTAGGAGTTGGGAGAGGCTGTAAATGATCCAGGGTCTGCCAAGCCCGTGGCGTGTGCCCTTGGTGATAAAGTTGAAGATTCTTGTGGTGAATGCGACGATTGCAAGAATAGCGGGCAGACTCAATAGGATGCTATGTTTTGTTTGAAAGAAAAGAGGAATGCGGATGGTCAGAATCGGAGTTTTTGTGCACTCAATGGGTCGATCGTGAATAACAAATCAGTTTGCCCCGACAGACGGACAGAGGGGGCGGAGTAGCAGCTACGTCCGTCACACACACCACGCCTCCACTCCAAGGAAGAGGGTGGCCCATGCCACCCTCTCCATTCCCTTCCAGAACGAACAGCGGCTAATCTCTCCCCACCCTTCATCACCTCCTCATCGCGTACCCAGATATGAGACGCAACGATGGAGAGCAACTCAGGGGGATCAAAACAGCCACAACCGCTCGTCTGGCCACACACACACATTCTATCATTTTGTCATGTCATGGCCGTGTTATTAACGACGGCGACACTCTTGTTTCTTTGTTGAAGCGATCAAGGTTTTTTTTCCTGCACGCTCGGGGAGCCCACAATGGACACAAATTTAAATTGCAAAAAAAAAAAGAACAAGCAGATCAAGTTTTTCCGGGCAGCACAACTCGTTCTCAATTGCCCTCTTTTCCATCCCATCCCTCTGGCGTCCTCTCCCTTTTCTGATTTTTATTGAAGAAAAGGGAAAAGAGGACCATAGTGACACAAGCAAAAAGGGGGAGGAGCAGGACGACAGCGACTCTCTTTGCCGTCAACTTAAACGATCTTTAACCGAACCCATAGAAGTGAGAAATTGAGCTTCTCGGAGACTGGATCTCGGTATATCGATCGGGCGATTTTTCTTTGACTTGACGACTGTAAGGGGCGACTTACGTAGACTCAAAGCAGTGAGTGAGGTCTGGACGGAGAAGACTTGTCGGACCCTACAGAACGATGCAAAAAAGAAAGCAGGCGAAAAAAGGATCGAGGGGTCAGCAAGTGGTACATAGGAGTCCTGAAAAGTCAACAAGGGTACAAAATATGCGAGGGGTAGACAACTTACCCATCCTTCGGGGTCGCGACAGTACGACGAGCTCATGGCAGGTGAGGAAGGGAGGTGGTTGGAATAAAAAGACCCGACAGAGACCAGCTGTGAAGGATGAAAATAAAGGAAAGGGGAGAAGGGTGGCGAGCGGTTGCCAGGAACTGTCAAGTATGAAATTCGGGGGCGGTGGTGGTGGTGGAAGGAAAATGGCGAGGGAAGGATGAAGAGGAAAGAAAAAGAAAAAGAGAGACAAATACACAAAAAAGGTCGGTGTGATTAAAAAAACCAGGGATGGGGCGAGACGTTTAAGCGGAGTCCTCAATTCACGTAAAGAGCTGGGCCTCCCAGGAAAGAACAGCTTGTCCGGACAAACCAAAAGTCCATGCAAACGCCGTGTCTTCTCGTTGTGTCAATTGATCGGGACAGGTCTTATCTGCGCAATTAAACAAGAGTCGTACGTTGCCCATCTCACCCCTGTCAACAAAAATAAGAAAGAAAAAACAAGGTTGTCCGAAAGCAAACCTGATTCGATTGATTGGTCGAACTTTGCTCAATCACAGTTCACTCATCCATAAATGGTGTACATTGTTGCCTGGACTCCCGTTCTTTGTCGCTTTGTCCACATGCCACGTAAAAAAAAAGAATCATAAAATGAACACGCATCACGAAAAACACGAAAAGAACAAAGTGTGAATAGTGTGAGAACTCATGCTTTCTACATGTCTTTATTAGTGATGGATGATATATATGCGGTGCGAAATAAGTTGAAGGAAAACCAGATTAAGTTATTATGCTAAAAGGAAATTGTGGTAGGTTGGTAGTAGTAGATTTACATAGAAGGGAATCAAACAAATGAAGGGAATAAAAAAGATTACTCGTCAGAGTCCTTGATCTCACCGGCCTGCTGGGCAAGGCTGTAGAAGAGTGAGTCAGGGCGTTGGAGCAAGGTCTGGGGGGACTCGTACTCCTCGACGCGACCCTTCTCCAGGACCAGGATCTTGTCAGAGTCCATGACGGTCTTGATACGATGAGCGATGGTGAGAATCGTACGGTCCTTGAACTCCTTGCGGATCGTCTTTTGGATCAATTCGTCGGTCTCGACATCCACAGCGGCTGTGGCTTCGTCAAGAATGAGAACCTTGGTCTTGCGGAGGAGAGCGCGGGCGAGACAGATGAGGGATCGTTGGCCAACCGAGAAGTTGTCACCGTTCTGCGAGACCTTGAACGACAGTCCGCCAGCAAGCGTTGAGATATGCTCCTTCAAATGTGCACGCTCCAGAGCCTCCCATAATTCGGCATCCTCGAGCTCTTCAAAGGGATCCAAATTTTCGCGGACAGTGCCGACGAACAGCGTAGGGTCCTGAGGGATGATCGCCAAGTGTTGACGAAGGTACTTCAATCCAACCGTCGAGATATCGACACCATCAATCCAGATTGATCCACCATCCTCCTCGACATTAATCTTCTCGAGGTCAACAATGTCATCCTCCTTGGTAGGGTCCGTATCCAGATCTTTTTCGTTATGGCTCGATTTGGCCCAGTGGCTGTTGGCGGCTTCAATGATACGGAACAAGGCCAATGTCAACGATGACTTTCCAGCACCCGTACGACCGACGATTCCGACCTTCTCAGCAGGTTGGACTTCGAAGGAAATGTTCTTGATGACCAGGTCGAGTCCCTCGCGGTAACGGGTCGAGTAGTTGCGGAACTCGACGTGACCGGCCTGGGGCCAGTTCTCGGGCAGAGCAACGTCCGTCTCGGTGGGTGCCTCAGGGTTCTTCTTGGCATACTCTTCAATACGCTCCACAGCGACCAATTGGCTATAGAAATAGAGAAATAAATGTAGAATGTAAATAAAAGTTGTTCAAGGAAAGCAAAACGTGGCAGTATTAATAACCTTTACAAAATAGGAGAAAACTTACTTTTGGAGATCGCAGGTGGAGCGGACCATCCAAGTGATACTCTGGGTGACAGAGAGAGCATAAGACAAAGCAAGACCGACGTTTCCAGAGGTCAAAGAGTCACGGCTAAGAACAACAAAGAGAGCAGCAGCCAAGACAATAATGGCTCCCAAACTCTCAAGGCGGATCTGCAACCAACGGTTGGAGACAACCCAGGAATAGTAAGCATTGGCAGCAACATCGGCTTTGGCCGCATTGTCGGCAATGAAGCGTTGGTTGGCACCGAGGGCACGGATGGTCGTCACTCCAGAGAGGGTCTCGCTGAAGTGCTGGTAGATGGGGGACTTGGATACAGAGTCGATACGCTTCAAGGCGCGGGAGGAGCGGATGTAGTAGGCCTGGATGATCAAGTACAGTACAACCAGAGGAGGGACCATGACCAAGAAGATCGGGGTGGTGGTGGCAATGACGACGACTGTTCCAAGTACCGTGGTTCCGGTCATGAAAACCTGGATAAAACTCCAGGGCAAGAGCTCGTCAATGCTGAAAACATCGCTCGAGAATCGGTTGACAATGCGGCCAAGAGGGGTGGTGTCGAAGAAAGCCATAGGCAGACGAAGCATCTTGGCCAAGAGGCTGTCGTGAAGGCGGGTCGAGGCACGGACGGCGGCAAGGACCATGGCGACATAGACCGAGACGACGTTCATGATCATGCTGCAGAAGATGATGGCACCATAGATTCCAAGGTAATATCCGATGGGGTGGGTCTCTGTACCTGTCGCTAAGGCCTCAGTGGACTCGGACGACCAGTGGTTCAACCAGATGTTGGTTCCGATCTGGGAAGCTTGACCGAACACGAAAACAACAGCGACAATCGCAGACCAGCGGTACGAGGCGGCCTTGGCATAGATGTTGTAGACGCCCCAGGAAACACTGCCCTGGACCATCTTTTCCTCAGAAACCAACTTGTCATCCTTGTTACCGGCTGTGCCAGCAACCTTGGGATCCTTCTCGTCACCGTCCTGAGTCGAGTCATCCCCATCATCCTCTTGGCTCGTGCCAGAAGCATCCTCACCTGACTTCTTCTCCTTGCGCTTCTTGCCCTGGTTGACCGAGTAATCCGTAATCAGCTGGTAGAAAGAATCCTGAGCAACCATAAGAGCATCGTACTGACCCGTCTCGCTGATCTTGCCGTCCTTGAGAAGAACGATCTGGTCGACCTGCTCCAAATGGTGAATGGCATGGGTAACCAAGACACGGGTCTTATCCTTGAGCAATCCATTAGGCCCAATCAAGTGTTGCCAGAGGTGCTGGTCGACGTGGGCATCGACGGCAGAGAGGGGGTCGTCAAACAAGTAGACATCGGCGTTCTCGTAGGCTGCACGGGCAAGGGAGACACGCTGCTTCTGACCTCCCGACAGGTTGATTCCACGTTCTCCGATCTCAGTCTGGTCTCCAGCAGGGAGCATTGCAATATCGGGCAAGAGTCCAGAAGCCATCAAAATGTGGTCGTAGCGCTCCTGGTTGAATTCGTTACCAAACACAATGTTATCCTTGACTATTGATAGGAAGATAAAAAGGATAGTCACCGTTGTTAGTAAGCAGATGAAATATACTTCGTTTGCCAAACCACAATCACGCAACCAACATTCAAAGCAAAGACGCACCAGTGGCGTTAACGATCCACGCTTGCTGAGCAACATAAGCCATGCGGCCGTAGATCTTGACGGATCCCTGGCGTCTGTACATATCTCCAATGATGGCGTTCAACAGCGAAGTCTTGCCCTGTCCAACGCGTCCAACAACAGCAGTTAAGTTCCCACGAGGAATAGTCAGGTTGATATCAGTCAGGGTGGGTCCATAGTTCTTCTCGACGGGAACCTCCTTCTCAGGAGCGGGCTTGCCAGCCTTCTTGGCCTCTTTTTCCAACTGCTTGTACTTTTTCGCTTCAGCTTTCTCACGAGCATTCTTCTCCTTCTCCGTCTCGACCTCGGGTCCTTCAGTCTCCCATGCAAAAATGCCGTCCTTGATCTCGACCAAGGGGACGGAGGGGTCCTCGGGCAAGGTCTTGACAGATTCAGTGGTCTCCTCCGAAATCTCGGGGGCCAACAAGAAGGCCTGCATACGTCTGGTGGCGACAGTGACACCGATGACCTCGGCAATGATGTGACTCAGCATGCCGATAGGGCTGCTCAACAAGTTGAAGAGCGAGATTGAAACAAAGACGCGCTGGGGGTTGATATCACCGGGACCGTAGTTGGGTCCTCCGTGGGTAGCAAAGACAGCAAACGAGACCAAGGCGACCAACATGGGAACTGACTGGAACATGATTGAGAGGAACGAGAAGACGATACCGATCTTGCGGAGAGTCTTGACCTCGCGATTACGGTAAACGCGGATGCGCTCCATGAACGAGTCCTCCCAACCATACAGCTTGACGATCTTGACTCCTGAAATGACTTCGTTCATGAGACGAATACGCTGATCCATGGCCTCAAGTTTTGCAGACTTGGCCTATTTGGTCGTTTGAAGCAAAAATGGTAGCCAGATTAGCATCCAACATGAATAATATCTTCAACAATAAAATGCAATTAAACACTTTGATATCATGACATACCTTCATGAAGAACTTGGCAATGATACCCTGGACAGGGAGGAGGACAACAATTGTTCCCAGACCAACAAAGACAGACCAGGAGATCTGACGGTACAACATCCAGATAGCAATGGCAATCTCATAGGGGATGGAAATGAGCATAGGCATGAAGGTAATGGCATCGGGCCAACGCTCAGCATCGACAGACATGTGGTTGTTGATTTCTCCGGCAGTCGACTTTTGCTTAGCAGCACTGGTGAGCTTGAGCGACTTGCGGTAGATCATGGCGATGAGGGCTGTACGGGCCTCGATACCGACGTTCATGGAGTTCTGGAAGTACTGGGCCATGAAGAACGAGTTGAGGAGCGAAGCAAAGAACATGCCGAACGCCAAGATGATTCCAAGCGCGACGGGTTCAGGGTTGGGTGTCTGGTACGATCGGATGAACCCCAAAAGCTCATTCAAGAGCTGGGGCTGGACGTAGGTAAGAGTCGAGGCGCCGATACGGAACACCATGATGGGTGCCCAAGACCAACCATAAGTGCCAATAACCGTCGTGAACAGACTGGGCTTCTCGCCCTTGGCCTTAGCCTTGGCGACCTTGGCCTGCCAGTTGTTGTTGAGCAAGTCGTGACTGTACTGGGTCTTAATGCGATCGGGGACCATGCCCTCAATGTCCTTTGCAGCAAGAGGGTTCTTGAATCCTGCAGTGATGATGGGTTGGAGGTAGTGGAAGGTCAAGCGAGAGAAGAGGTTGGCCTTGGCGTAACGACCGACAGAGCTGTTCTTCTGGACTTGAGTGCGGCCACGAGGCCACGCTTCAAAGATGAGTCCGAGGATGTTGATGGCAAAGAAGGCGATGAAGGCCTTGAACTGGTCCTGGTTGGTCTGGTCGAGAAGTGTCATGGTGCGGATGTTGATAGCGGAGGCGATAAGGGTGAAGAAGTAGAGGGCGGCGATCTGGTTGTTGGATCGGATGTCCTGCTGGTGCTGAAAGTGGTTCAATCCGATAGCGGACAACTGTGATACAAGAACAAAAGGGAGGGAACTGCGGTCAGCCCAGGTGTTTCCTTTTGATTGATACGACGGACTAATTGAAGTATGTTGTTCATGTTATCGGCCATCACTTACCCAGGCGAGCATCATGGTGATGGTGCTGAACATGGTGGAAGGGGCATAGCTGTTGCCATCACTCTTGAGGACAGCGGCTCTTGCAGCCAGAGCAGCCGCACTTCCAAGCATGAGGATCTGAGTGGGCCAGTAAATAATGTTTGTGCGTCCAAGATTATGAGGTTTGCCCTTCTTCCACATCACCATGGTGGTGTGTGTCATACTGAGGATGGCGATCAGGGCAGGTAGGCCCTGAAGGATTGTGTTTTCGACACATGGGGTGAGATCCGGCCTTGTATGGCTCGTTGGACCCTGTACAGTTGAAAGCGAAAAGAGGCAGTGTGTGTTAGATTTTGTCGGGGGCTTACAGCATATTAATAAATCAATCGAGTTGTCCTTACCCAACCCTCGCTGTCGTTGCAGTACTCTGCGATTCCCATAAGAGTCAACGAAAGTGAATGTACAAAAGAAGGGGGAATGAGTTTTTGGTTTGTTCTGTTCGAGATGAGAAGAGAGGGAATGAGGAAAAGAAAGAGCAGAGGAGAGTATTTGTATGGGCGAGTTGAACCGCACTGTGAAAAGGCTGATCGATTATGCCCTAGTCTTTTTGTCCTGTTCTTGTACTTTCTCGGAAGAAGAATAGTGGCGATCGAGGTCAATTCGGGGTTGCATTTTATACATGCTGCAGAGAAAGGAGTGTACGGGGGTGGTGCGTGGCGTTGTGTCTCTCCAGCGAATGGCCGCGTATCTGTACGTCAGGAAGGGGGTCGAATGGGACAAGAACAGGTTCATTCGGAAATGTGAAAACTGTGAGCCCAAAAGAAAGTTGTTTTTTTATTACTATGCGATGGGTGGAAGAGTGTTCTTGCCCTGCCATAATGGGGACAGAATGGGTCGAACCATGAATGAATTCCTTTTTAGGATCTGTCTCTTCTTGGCTTCATTGCTGCGGACGGCTTGTTTTTGTTCTTCAAGGGAAATGAAAAAAGAAGAAAAGAGAACAGCAAACATCTGTACCTCATGGCATTGAAAGCGATGAGGAAGAGTGAATTTTCAATTTCCACACCATTTCTGTTCCCGATTGCCTGTTCATTCCTACCATGCGTTCAGGGCTCAACCACTCTCTTCCTCCAAGAACTTATTCTCCGCCCGCCTTGGCGCGCCTGGCCCAACAAATTGATGAAAAACAAGAATCACGTCCTTCTTTAGACGAGATCATCACCCTTGAAGAAGAGGCGGAAGAAAAGGTCCGGACCTGAGAATTCTCTTTCGCATCAACCCTCCTTCACATCATCCCATCCATACTTGGTGCCAGTTTTCACTCACCAGCATTCTTCTTCTTGTCCTGCCAGCTATCTTTCCTTTTCAGAGGAAAGAGTCCAACCGTTGAGAGTCATCCAAGGTACGCAATTCGTTTGTCTTGGCAATAAATCGAACGTTCCCTTCTTGGGCCTCATGCATCGGATCTATGGTCCAAACATGTACCTCTCCCTCAGTCTCCGATTTGTTTGTTGTTTTGTTGTTGCTTGCGGATTGAATGTGACATGTCTTAGCATCCAATGATCTGTAGCTGATACATGAGCATGCACACTCACTCGTCCCAAGCGTCCAAATGCCAAGGTACGATAATGAACAAAAGCAAGTCCTCTGTTACTTTGCTATTTCCACATCATCAACATCATCAACTTTGCTTCTAGCCCTCTCTTACTTCTCAGTAACCGTGCAAACAAAAATAAACAACAAAAAGATGAGCTCAATTGACGAGATAGATTACTTTACTTGTAGCCCTCTCTACAGTACAAACACAAGAAGATGAGCTCAACTGACGAGATAAACAAACAAACCAACTTTCCCCACACATCTCCAATCCCTTGATTTGTATCTTCCCTCATCCCTTTTTTTCGTATCCAGCTCGCAAAAAAGCAGAAAAGGCGACGTAACGATCGTCTCGATCATTTCGTAAATAACCTTCCACCTCACCAATCAGAGGTTCACTGTGGAGAGAGACAACAGATCGCTAAAAAAAGTTGCGTGGCCCTTCGTCACCCTACATAGCGTTCTTTTGTCTTCCTTTATGTCCTGCTGTCGTACATCCATCGATGCTAGCATGCAAGTGCAGACCTGTTTGAATTGCATGGAAAGCCACCATAACTAATAAAAAGGAGTAGCTTCTGGCCGTAGCTAGGGTACGTGTGCAAGACCTGCGAGGCATTAAATATATTAGTCTGATCGACTACGATGATCAATCGGTAGGCGCAGGCACAAGTTTCGTGTTTCGCCACCAACGCTGCATAAATCGAACTGATATATCGGTAAAAAGAAAGTATTGATGATCAACGGGAGGCGATGACGCGACCTGGCTTTGCCCTCTTGATCATCCTCCGTCAACCCCACAGTGGTGTTAAATTGATAGCCGACATGCCTGATGTAGATTCACAAGTACTCTATTATCGCTTTACTTTACTGAACCTCTCTAACCTAAGAAACCAGTGTCGGCATGTTGGTACATGCAGTATCCTGCAAACCCGTAACCGTGTGCGCCTCGGCAATCGAGGTGTTGCTGTCGAATACTTTGAGTCAAGCTGGTGTCCGCTGGAGTATCAATCCAGGTCCTTGTGCCACAGGTCCTTTTGTAACATGTTATCCTCAAATATATGGCTCTCGTATCATGATTGCTTTTGTCCTGCTGCCATTGTTGCTAGTGGAAAAAGGAAAAGCATTGCCTGCTGAGACCAGACGACTCAACCCACAAGCGGCTCCCAATCTCTTTCCCCAAGACAACGGATCCAATGTGTTACGACCGAGTTTAACAATGCGTGCTGTGTACTCTCACTTTCAGTGTCCACATTGTGCCTTGTCGCAACTTCGGTTTCTAGTAAGTGTCCTGGTATTGATGGCTCGTTTGTCCTTGAATCGTTGTTGGGTGATCAAAGTGAAGAGATGTGATTAAGAAGGCAGTTTTTTTTTATTTTATGTAATATATGAGATGGTCACATGATTTCCTGACCATGCGCGAAAAAAGAGGAAAAAAACGTGTAAGTCGCACCAAGGTGGCCAAAGCAAAGAGTCAACGTGCATTCTCATCTCGCGCTTTACTTGCACTTGAACCTGTGTCTTTGCCCTTTCACACCACCAGAAATGCGAACAAGACGTGATCTAATCCCACACGGCAACGCCCTCGTCCCTATCCTAATCCCACGCTTTTCTTTACACAAGATCGGAGAGTTATCCCTCTTCCTGCTCCGCTCTCCATCTCGGCTCTCCAACTCTTCGTAAAAACATAAAAGGTGCACTGTTTGGCTGGGTGTACGTGTGCATTGATTACCGCTCTGCTTTCACTTCCCCTCTTCCCCTCCTCCCTGCCATTCAAAACAAATAGGGAGGAGGGGAGGGATGGTGGTGTACTTTTTTTTCAGGGCTTGATAGGATGGGTAGCAGTAGTAACATAACCAAGCGAGTCGAAGTGCACACGAAGAGGCAGGATTGTCCAAGCTTGGGAAGAAAAAGATGACTTTGCCAGGGGGAGAGGGAGAGGCTCCTTATGATTCCAAGACAAACGCGGTAATTCAGAGAGAGAGAGGGGAGGAAAAGGGAAGGGGAAACGCAAACCACCCCTTGTAACCCCCTTTCGCCTTCCTTGCATGGGCTGGTCCTCTTTATTTATTTTTTTCACCACCAGTCGAGCCCAGCTACCTCGCCTCACATCTGCAAGAGTGACCATGCATACGAGCTGTTAGACGTGGGCGTACATACCCCATCCTGGTCTGGAAAGAGGAGGGACGAAAGAGTGCAGATACGTGGTGGGAGAGGGTAATACCGTAACCGCTTGTTTGTGTCTGACAATCTGAGTGCCATTGGCTAGTACCATGGTTGGTGACAGTTCTGTGAGTATGCACGATATCCGGGTATTTTTGGACAGGGGTGTGACAGAATTAGGGTGGGAAGACACTTGTGCTCTGAATTCATTGTTTGCATTGCTCGGATAGGGGACATCACCACCTCACCCTAGTTTGCCTGTTTGTCGATAATGCAAAAACCATATTTTCGTACCAAATGTCTGTGCTCTGCTGATGCGTCTTTGCTCTAATTGAAGAATCATCCGCCCACATTCTTTGGTCTTGACGACGAATCATAGTCCTAGCATTTGAAAGAGTCCCCAGGTTGGACTAGGCGAGATTGGGTAGCCAGCTGAGTAAGACGCGCAAAAGAGAGAACAAAGGGAAACTTGGCCCGTTTTTTGTCATGTCCAGATAGGCTCCTTATCCACCCACCCTTATTCCTCTCTCTCTATGACCTCCTTGCGTCCCAGGGTCGGGTCAAAAACGCAGGATCCCATCCAAAAGAGAGAGAAGTATGGTGGTGTTGTGTTGCTGAGGCCCAATGGTTCCAGCACCTGCCAGGGCAAACTGATGAGGGGGTACAAAAAAAGAAAAGAGAGAGGTAGAAAGGGGGAGTAATGAGTGCATGTGCGTGTGCGTGTACCTTGTTCTCCCTACGCCAGAGAGGGAGAGGGGTAAGGGGAGGGGAGAGAGATAGGCCATGGTTCATTCCAGGCAGGGATAAGCAAACGAGAGCACCCACTGAACAAGAGAGAGAGGAGAGAAAAAGAGAGAAAGGGGAGGAAGATGTTCGCATGCCTGCCCATCACTCCATTCTTTTCATGCTTGCACCTTTCTTTCCTTCTCTCCCCTTACTCCCTCTCTCTCTCTATCTCACTCTCTTGTTACTTGCGCTCCTTCCCGACCTGTATTCGACCGTATAGATGTGGTCTGCCTTCCCTCGTCTTTTATTCCTCTGCGTTCGCTCTCTCTTTCTCACTTTATCTTTCTAATCTTCTTTCCTTCTACCTTCCTTTCCTTCTTTCCGTGTTCCCTCCTTTGACGCGCTAAACCACCCATTTCATCATAATCAGAAGTGCCTGGCTCACATCTCTTTCCTTCCTCTTTTCGTTGATTGTCCTTCGTCCTTTCTTTCGTTCCTAGTTCTTTAGTTTCTCGGATCCTTCTCTTCTTTCATTTCTCATTTCTTCCTTTCCTTCCTTCCGGGATCCTTCTGCTCTTTTTTTTTTGAAGATCGCCTCCCTGTTTTTTCTTTCTTCTCTCCGCAATCTACATACACATATCCACAATATGTCGCGACCCCAAGATAAAAATAATTGTCGATACCCTCCAAAGGACTGCTCTGGTCCAGATCCTTTAAGAAGTCTCCAGAGACTCCGCAAACGCGCTCCCCCTCCACCACCACCACCACCTGCTCCTCTCCCTGTCCCTACTCCTTCACAACTCGCGCCCGCCTCCGCCCCCACTGACCCACTAATGGCACCAGCACCTTTTCCAGATACCCCTACACTTTCCTCACCTCCAACCTCCACCACAACAACTGCGACGACGACAGCCATGGCGACAAAAAACATGACGTTGATATTGACATCTGCGATCCTGGGCTCACTTTTGCTACTCGTCGCGTTGCTCCTTTTCTATGTCTGTATGAAGCGCAGACGACAAGGGTCTTCTTGTCATACTCGGCGTGGTCGTGTCGGTCAGATGCAGGATGGAATGCCGACATCTTCATTCCTGGATGCTGATAACGAGAAGGGAGGCGGAGGAAGGAAGAAATTGTCGGAAAAGTATTACTATAACCATCAACACCAGTACCACCAGTACCCAGTACAGCATCAGATCGACACCACGTCGTCGGCGTCGACTTTGGTAGCTCATCCCCTGAATGCACATCATCGCACGCGGTCTGCGCCTATCGCGTTCGCGTTCGCCAAGGGCGGGTCGCGTCGCCATAGCGATACCTCTGCAAAGAACAACAACAACAACAACAACAACAACGCAACAACTACGACGGTTTCGCCAACAACGGTGGTAAGAGGGTATGGGCAGATGGGTCGGATCGGAAGGGATGCATTCGGAGGCCAGTTCCAACAGATCTCACTGGTTGCGGAAGAGGCCGAGGAGGACGATAATGTCTCTATCAGACGGTCCCTCTCGACAGGCGACGGTCAAGGCGGATATGGTTATGGTTTTGGTGGATACGGTGTCTCGAGTAGCAGCAACAGCAGTAGGAACCGGTCCAAGACTGTAGCGGTACCTACACCCGTTGTGAGCACCCTGCATCGGAGTGTCAGTTTAAGCACACATGGTCACCCTCTTCACGGTCCAGATACAGGCTCAGGCTCTTATAACCACCACACCCACTACTATAACAGCCGCAGCGGTGCGCCTCATATCGATGTTGGGGATGGTGATGAGGATGACGATGTAGAGGGGAGAGGGGAGCAGCTTCCGCACGATGCCGATCGTGCTGCTCTTCCGACGACGGCCTCTCGTCATCACCAGCTCCGCTTTGCAGAGGGTGAGAATCCTCATGTCTCACACTCATCATCGACTTTTCCTCAGCAGCAACAGCAGGCATACCCATACCCGCAACACCATCTCCAACACTCGAATCGCTACTCGGCTGGGCTAGGATACCCTCACTCCCACCGTGGGTCGATCTCCTCAGCCATGGAATTCGATCCATCCCGGTTCTCGACCATGTCTGTCATGTTTGACGCCAAGCGCCTCTTCACCTCCTCCCGACCTGTATCCTCCTCCTCCATCGCAGCCGCTGCACCTGCAGTACCATCATTCAGCCATCCGCGACCACCATCAGGACCCGATTCCGACGATTCCGACGACGACACAGTCTCGACCTCATCCTCTGACGGCGGGTTCGATGACCTCCCACCCCACCAGCTCTCACAGCACTTCGAGTCCCATAACCCCTATGCCGCCAGTACCACGACGACTGCGAATGGGGATAAGCAGGATCGTCTCCATGGTGATGATGACGAGAGTGACGATGATGGCGATGGAGAGGCGGTGGTGCAGGGATTGGGGGTAGGGGTCGAGGTCAGGAGACAGCATGGGTACCCCGTGTACGGACAAACTATTAGTCCACTCGCCCCTCCTCCTATGCCCCCTCATATCAGCCCAGAGTAGTCCCCTCAAGACAAGTAGGTACTACTCAGCTCGCCACCAGCATCACTCTCAGTAGCGCAACAAAGGGCAAATGAGCTCAGCTCAGTCAAAAGCAGGCAGTGACACTGACTGAGACCGAAGTGACAAGGCGTAGTAGTAGCAGCGTAGCAAGCCAACCAACCACTATCTCCATTCATTTTTCTTTATTACTACTATATCAAAGCAAACATAATAACAATATCTATAGCACTTCCTCTGCTTTCCCACGAAGATGCCTTTCAACTCACTCAATGACTGGGTTGACGAGCCGACCGTTTTTTCTCTGTGATGCGCGTTTGTATTCCGCCACACGTAATGCATTCTGTGCTCCCCTCCCCCTTCTTCCTTCCTCTCTCTCTCCGCCCATACTCTGCGCCTAACTCTTGCCTTTTGCAAGTCGAAGGTGAGCGAATGAAATATCGAGTGCCCGCCCTCCCCAAAGTACTGAGCACTTCATAGTCATAGTACAGCCTACTGGATCGGGCGTTGGTTGTTGGTTAGGCGTGTCATGGTGAGGGTAGGTAGGACAGGAGGGATGCGTCATGGGCAGGTTAGGAGTGTGCCAGCCACAGAAGCAAAAAATGTGGGCGTGGAAAGTAGGAGTGTCTGGAAGAGATGAATGAAAAGAAGGCAAGGAAGGAAAGCACGGAAAGGTAGACAAGGCGATGAATTATGACATTACCTCGAGCGGTATGTTGCCATGTGTTTACTTTCCGGCCTCTGTGTTTACCATATATGCAAAGGGAGAAGAAAAGAGGCGCGGTTGAATGGGGGTTGTTCTTGCATCGATCTTCGAAAAAATTGATCAGGATTCTAAGCAAAGTATTCATCCAAAGAAAAGAAGAAACCACTACGAGCTCGATTCAAGATCGATGGTTCCTGATCTTCCATGAGCTTTTTTGTTTGGTTGCTTACTTGTTTGTTTTGTTTCGTTTGGAGAGTGAGGAAGCGGGAGGTGCCTCGTGTAATTTGCTTTGTCATTCATCTTCCTTCCCTCGGGTTCGACAATGCAGATGAAAAGAGTCCGAATCTGACGAGAACCGAGAGTGGGTGGCCGAAAAAGTGAGAGTGACGCAGGAGAGGTGGGAAGTACAGATCGCGATGAGGACGGAACAACATATGGCCGACTACAAAAGCACCACCGTACGACCCACGTTTTTTTTGCTGTTGCTTGGTGCTGGTTCAGGTGCTGGTGTTGTCATTGTTCGTGTTTAGCGCCTGTCTTACTGTAGGGGTACAGGAGGAAGACGAAGGATGGCGCATAACAAGCTGCATGCATTTGGAATGCATGTCCCCAGACTCTGTCTTCTTGCCTCTTTTTGGACATACCCAATTACACAAACACAGAACGCGAAAACCATTTTGGAGAGGACGGCTTACGATCCGTACCCGTAATAACTCAGCATGTTCCATACCCATGCGCAATAACAGTTGGGCGCCAACAAAGGTGAACAAAACACAAAAATGGTCCCTTGGATCAGTCACCTTTTGGAGGTGCGAACACAAACCCAGAGGTTGCCTCGCCATTTGCCTTTCCGTTCTGCTCCATTTACTTAAGGTTTTTTAGTTCGCGCATGGGCAGCAACCAAAGTAAAGGGGGAAGAAGGAAGGCTTCCAAGACTTCTTTTCTGGAAGTGGGACATGGTTGCACAAGACATATCAGACGGAAAAAGAGTAGGGAATGGCGTTGGATTGTTATCAGATCCTTTTTTCTTTTTTGCGGTCTATGTTTTTCCTATTCGCTGAGTGGTCCGTTTGTTATGGTTTATATCCCGCCCGTCTTTTTTTCTTTCTTTGTCTCATGTTTTATCAGATCCTCTATTCTGGAGGATCTGACAAGGAAAATATCATGGAGACGAGAGAGAGAGAGAGAGAAAGAGAAAAACAGAGAAGGGAGGAGTAGGAGCGGGGGTGAGCTATGATGATGATGTGAGAGTGGAGTGAAGAATGAACAGAGGAGCCAGAGAGGAGAGAAAGGAAGGTCGGGGCGCGGTTTTAACTGGCGGCTCCTGCTTATTTGGTCAGCCGGGGTGTAATGTGGGTGGGGAGGGAGGGGGGTTACAACGCCTGGCTGCATTTCTCTCCTTCTCTCTCTCTCTGTGTGGGTGCTTGTGGGGCGTTTGTTTTTTCTGTTTCTTTTCCTTTGCATGCGGAGCGCGGGCGCTGGCTCAATTCTGACTGATGGAAATAGAGAGGCAGCACAAAGAGACAGACAAACAAAGAGACAACAAATCTACAATTGATGGGCCTTGGGTTCTCCTCTTCTCCCGCTCTGTCCCTCTCTCTCCCTTTCTTTCTTTTCCTGATCTAATCCCACATGTGCCAGTTTTTGCTTTCTTTGTTTTGTTTTTATGTTGTATTTCTCCTTGGTTCTCCATGGATTTGTGGTTGGGCATGACTGAGGTGTGCGTGAGCAGATGACTCCATCTGTGTTGTTTTCCTTAGTCTGTCCTGTTTCTCCTGTGTTTCTATCGACTGAGTGAAGACAGACAGACGCCATGAAAAAAAAGAAGACCAACACAAGTGTCGGAACTTTAATTTGTGTATGTGTTGTTATCAGATTTTTTTCACACATCCTCATTCTTCGTTCCTCGGTAAACCCCCGTCTCCAGAGAAATTATTTTTTTTGCGTGCGAGACGCATGTACATGTGTTATCAGATCGATTTCAAAGTTATAGAGGGGAGGGGGATGAGGTGAGACTCGACTGTCTGTACTCCAAAACAGAGTTTAGTACGCGCTGTTATTGGCTCTCAATTCACACTTTCATTCCCATTCGCACTCGTCATCATCACTTCTCGCTTGGTAAACACCTCTCTTCAGTTTGCTCTCCTGATCCGGGACTTACTCCTGCATTTTCTTGCTGTCTTTGGTTGCTCGTCTTGATCCTTTGTTATTCGGCAAAAAGATCCGTTCGTCGGTGAGGGCTAGATTGAGGGAAAAAAAGGTGCGCAACGCTTCAAAGATGTAGCGTGAGAGTGATTCGTTAGCCTGAGGATTGGATCAACTGTACCATTCTTTTTGACAAAACAGATGAATGGATGACAAGTCTGCCTGCCTTGGAAAATAAAAACAAAAACAAACAAACAGAGCAAGGCAAGAAAAAAAACCAGTTTGCTGACCAAACAGCATGGAAAACATCGGGTTGGCCTAAAAACGAACACAACCGATAGGGAGAAGAAGAGAGAGGGACGGAGGTTTTTTTCATAGATTCGATCTAGGACTCTCAAAGACCATACAAAGCAAACCCATCTCTACAATACAGACATGCTGTCATCATCGCCACTCCTTTTACAATGCTTTCTCTTTTTCTCCCGTAATTACTGGGTAAGAGGAGTGCATGTATGAACTCTGTTTTAATCCTCGTTAGCTGTTGGAAGGTTGAAGGATGAAGGATGAAGGTTGATGAAGAGGAGTGCAGTTTTTTTTTCTCCGCCAAGGAACACAGGTGCATGTTCTTTTCGAAGTGGCGCTCTTCTCTCTCTCCTTTTTCAATCTCCTACAGGAACCAACCGGGGTTGGCAAGGTTGTGTTCAGTACACTTACAATGGACGCCTTTTATTTCTTCAATTCAGCTCATTTTCGTGATTTTTCTTGGATTCATTGCATTACATTACATTACTTTATTTACTTTACATACTCATTCTTCGCTCTGAATCCGACATGAACTCACACGCTCATACCAAAAAGAAAACAACGGCTCCTTCATCCATCGGTGGAAGGTAAGCCCACACGTTTTGTTATAAAAGGACGACCACATCCTCAACTTTTTTCTGGCTCTTCACTCACTCACCAGTCAACTCCTCTTTTAACCTCATCCCCCAACAGCTCCTTAGCTCCCCTCGCACTTTTCTTGCACAACTCCTTCACCACAAACACTATATCACAATGGCCGCCTCTAACATCACCGATACCACCCCCTGGAAGCAGTACTTCTGTAACAAGGACACTGTCTGCTCTGAGCCCAACTTCGAGTGCCATTACAACATGTACTGTATCCCCCAGTTGAAGGAAGGCGAGACCTGCTTGGATGCCCAGGACACCGTTGCTCCCTTCGTTGCCCGTGTCGACAACGTCTACCACTTGTACTGCGACATGCCCACTGAGGACTTCAAGCCCCAGAACGTCACCTGCCCCCTCGGATGCGAGAGTAAGTTCCTCCCCTTTCTCTTTTCCCCTCCCCCTTCTTCCCTTATCTTTCACATCACCACCCATTACCACACGCGTGTACAGCACTCATGCCTACATCAAGATAGATCGCGAAAGAAATAATCTTTTGATCAATATACCTAATCATTTCATCTTTCCTTTTACCCTTCCAACCAACAATCAGAGTGGGAGAACTGCCACGGCAACGTCTGCATGCTCAAGAAGTGCACCAAGGACCAGTCGCTCTGCAAGCAGGGCCAGCTCGACATGTGCATGGGTCTCCGCCGCGAGGAGGTCTTCTGTTACGAGGCCAACCCCCACGGTAGCACTCACCCCACCACCACCGCCGCCCCCATGCCCAACAACGTCAACGCCGGTTCCTCCGAGGACAAGTCCAACGTTGGTGCCATTGCCGGTGGTGTCTCCGCTGCCGTCGTTGTCGTCCTCGCCATCGGTGCCTTCTTCTTGGTCCGTCGCCGTCGCACCGCCAAGGCTGCCAAGGCTGCCGCCGCTGCCCAGTCCCTCCCTACCTACTCTTCCCAGAACGAGAAGAACGCCATGAGCCAGGTCGCTTAAATACATAGTCACTCAACCCCACCTCGTTCTTGTATATTTCTGAAAAGGATGGTTATTTAGATAGCTATTTATTTAGTTTGAAGAAGCTGCCCTTTCCACTTTAGCATCCATATTTTGTTCATAATACATATTACCCTACCTCCCACAACTTCTCAGTGCGAGACTTTTTATTCCCATACAAGAATGAGTGAGTGAGAGGGAGAGTATGTGGTGCTTGATTGCGAGTGAAAAAAAAACTAGCATTATGGGCTGGAAGTAGGAGTAAGAGGTTGGGGGGTGGTTTTTTTTTTTTTTTGTACACAATTTTATTTCTCTAACAAACAGCATAGAGAAGTTATTTGGAAGTTTTTAGGGGACTACAGACTAAACTCTTCAGTGCACTATCCTCCAGTCGCAGTCCGGTCCAGAGCCTGGCTCTGCGCAACAATTATCGCTGCTCTTCACAGCTTAAACGGAAGAAAATAAAACTAGATACGAATGAAGTGGATGCTTCCCATCCTCTCCATCAGTGACAACCTCCTCCTTTATAGCAAACTCTCTAACAGCAGCGCGTGGGTCCTTGGTCGCTCCAGGGCACCTTCCTTCATCATGTGTGGCTAGCGAAACGCCACACGGGCAGAAACCATCGTGTATGATGTTACCATACCCTTGAATCCAGTCACCTCGGGGGCCTGTGTACTTGGATGTCTTGTTCTTGGCAGAGATACCCTGGGTCTGCTCCCACGCGATTGTCGCGGAGCACCGAGGTTTCCAGTTCAGCTCCGAGGCCTGCGCCTCCAGGTAGCCAACAAACTTGTGAAGGACTGTCTTGGCGATGGACATTGGGGTCCGGAAGACCGCGGACCATTTAGTCAACATGCTCATGGGTGTGATGCCACGGAGGAGATCCGACACGTTCCACATCGGGTTCTCGTCTCGATCGGGAGCAGGACTACCGCTGTGCACGGCTCGAGCTCCACCGATGGAGGAAAATCCTCGTACATGATCCGCATCCGAAGGGGCCACCAGTGTACGGGTACTGGCCTCTGTACCTGACGACCCCTGTCCACCGCGCGTTTGTATTCCCGCTTCCTGGCTGCGTTGTAGCTGTTTGTCGCCTGCTCACCCCGCTCACCAGTAAGAGGTTGGGCACTTTGGCCTTCCACACCAATTTTGTGAATTGTGGTTGGGATGCGGTCTTTAAAAGGCTGAGAGGATAGCTTTCAAATAAAGAGGGTAACTAAGGCACACATGGGACATGGGGTAAAAACATACATGGTTGCTCTCTCTCACCGATGCTGCCACCTGGAGGTGCACACGTACTCTTCCGCTCCCTCTCTTTCACTTCCTCTTTCCTCCTTCCGTCCCTCATTCACTCATTCACTCATTTAGTCACATCAACGCTCTTCATACAAATGCACAACGACATACAAGCAGTGGTCATCAATTCCCTATGGCCACAAAAGAGCTCAAAGACAATGACACGCATACAGACACCAGCACACATGCCACGTGCATGAACTTAGACTAGGAGGAAAGTGATGATATTATTGAGAAGGATGAACTTCCCTATTCCCTTGTAAGTTCATTTTTTGCCTCCATGTCTTGTTGGTGTCCGTGTGTTTCATCGCCTTTGAGCTGTTTTGTGGCCTTAAGCAATTGATGAAGAGCGTTGATGTGACTGAATGAGTGAATGAGGGATGGAAGGAGGAAAGAAGAAGTGAAAGAGAGGGAGCGGGAGAGTACGTGTGCACCTCCAGGTGGCAGCATCGGTGAGAGAGAGCAACCATGTATGTTTTTACCCCATGTCCCATGTGTGCCTTAGTTACCCTCTTTATTTGAAAGTTATCCTCTCAGCCTTTTGAAAAAGACCGCTTCGAGAAGCGGTCCTGCACTTTGCTCTCCGTCTGACACTTTGTCAGCCTATCGTTTGAACCACATCTCCAGCTAACGCACAGTAAATGCTACAAATATCACACACTTTGGCAGTAAATGCTACAAATCAAATCTTAGGCACGCTGCACACACAGTAAATGCTGCACTATAATCTTCTATGTGGAGAATGTACGTACTACGATGTGTCGTTTTTCTTGCGCTGTCGAGCCCTCCCTCGAAGCCCCTTGGACATTGGTCTTCTGTGAAAGCCAACGTCCAACACAACACAGGATAAGCAAGGCAAGAACCCGCAGGACCCTGTTTCTTTTCCTCGATTGCATGACTCTCAGGTATATGTGGGTCAAAACAAGACAGTGACGCCCAAGAAATGAAGCAAGGAAGACAGTGGCTCCCAAGATATGATGCAAGGAATACACCAGGCCGATGAAGGAAGGGAGGAAGCAAGAATATTGAAGTAAAAAGAATTGGGAGGTTGTGCGTTGACTAGAGAATGGGTGCGGTTGGCTGTGTTGATGATAATAAGCATAAAAGAGCGATGCGCACCGCACTTGGAGACAAGGACATAATCGCGAGATTGAGTGACTCGGCGGAGTGCCTAGGGATATGCTCAATGTGATGTCTCGAGTGGGTAGGTGGTGCCTAGAAAACCAACTCGATCTGTTGGGCTGGGCTGTGAAGCGATTACACGATCATGACTTCACAATATTTAGTACGGAATCCTCCCCGAAAAACAGAAATAAAAGCAAACAATCAAAACGGCCGCGACCAAGATCGATCTGTCTGGAATGTCAGAAACAACACGCATATCTTCGGTACGTAGCAGACTACGTAGAGCATACAGGCTTTTCTTCGAGTTTGAGTATTCGGTAGAAACCAGTAAAGAACTCATACGATGCGCACTATTGTACAGTACTGTATTGTAACAGGCGGAGGGAAAAAAACGTGAGCTTGGAACCAAGGTTTCCCACTGCCTGGAACCAGAGAGGAGAAGTTAAAAAAAAAGTGGCATACATATGAGTAATGGACGACTTGGCTGGGACTGGAATAGACTGGAATATGGGGTATTCATTCATATGCTACCGTAGAACGTTATCGTTGGATCATGCTACTGCGTCTCCCACTTTTTTTTTGTTGCCCGCCCGCAGGTTGAAAGATAGAAGAGTGGATGGGCTCCTTTTTCTCGATTGATGTTTGGTAGCCTTGGCAGTGGGAGGAGTAGGATCGATTCGTTCAGGGGAAATGTACTTTCTATGATGTAGACCAGCCAACAGAACCGTTATTTTAGATGTCTCTCTTTTTGCCCGCCAAAAAAAAGAGGATGAGGGAGGGGGAAAAAGCGCTTAGGAACGAGTGGTGGCGGAACCACTTATTGATGGCTTCCCCTGGTCTCCGTCCCTACCACCACCACACAAAAAGTCCAACATTCCAACCAGCCAACCAAGTCAACCAACCTATTATTTGGATCGTTCAAACCAAAAAAAAATGCCCACAGTGAAGTGTTCAAGTCTAGGCCTAACACTAGAGACACTCATTGTTTATGCAATTATGCATTTTGAGCCTAGAAGGAGGAAAGGAGGTGGAAGCGATCCGGTTAGTTTCCTTCACTTTGGACGGTCGATCCCCCTTGCCCGCTGTTTTCCACTTTGATGTTCATTAAGTCTAGACCGCTTTATTTCTTTGTGCTAGGCACTAATGACGCATACCAAGTTGTATGAAGAGCATCATCACTTCTAAAATACCCCTGTACAAAAAACAACAACAAGGCAGGGTTGCCAACGCAAACAAAAAGGAGCAACGATCGTCTATCAGGAGGAAGGTGGTAAAAATGAGCTATGGTGGCAGCGAGAAATGTTTGTTTTTTGTTTGTTTATCCGTGGTGGTGAGCGAAGAAGAAAAACAAAGTGGTTCATTTTTTGTCGATCCAACATGTGTTTATGTGGTGCAGAAGGGGGTTGAGGTGATCAAAACAAAGACGATCGGGTTTGGTTTGTTTACAAACAAACGTGGGAAGAATTACCGTTACCCAAAAGGGACTCACAACCTACCCTCTTCTCGTATGCGTATACACAATCGTTGCCGATATTTTTCTCTATCCTTGTATATGAAAGTACAGTAGTGTGTCTGCTAGTAGTTTTCTACGTTCTTTCTTGTTCAGATATGAACGTCCAAGGAGGAGAGAAGTGTCCACGGGGATAAGAGAACAAACGCCAATTGACGCCAATACGAATTGAATCTCCACTGCGTTCTTATTTTCCTGCTACATCGTTCTTGGTTTTCTTCTGCATCAAAGAAAAAACCTTGCAAGCGTGGGTTCTAGCCAACCAGAGGCCCCACTTGCGAGTAGTTTCTAAGTGCACATGCTCGTTGAAGGATGGAGTTCGAATCTGTTGAAGAAGTCCAGGGTCGCACACACAAGAATGAGAATAAGTAAAAGTGAAAAAGTTTAGAAAGCAATAAGGAAAGTGACAAAACGGCCCTTTCGGATGAGCAGATGGCAATCCGACCATTCAGAGTGCAGGAAAGTCGGTTAGGCGGGCGCATGATTGAGTTGTTTCGTTTCTCTTGGGCGCACCCACGGGGAGGCTTTGAGCTTGGAGAAGAGTGAAGATGAGGATTAGTTCGGTTGAGGAGGAAGGGAGGGACCCTTGAAAAACAAAAGTCCGCCTACAGTAAGTGGAGCAAGAACAAGGAAAGGGCCAAAAGGGCCAATCCAAGAAGATGATTGGGGAGACCGTTTCAAGAGTAGCATGACCATTGATAGGACTTTGAACTCTTCCTGATCTTGCACCGTGGAATTCTTTTATCTTCACAGGAAGGGACAAATGCAGTTCTTCGGGTTCATAAGTGATGAATGAAAGAGGAAAGAGTGAGACAAGGACTTTCTGTGAGTGGATACCGATTTGGAGTGATCGGATTGGTTGAAGGAGTCGATCGGTGTTTGGCTGTTTGGCCCTTTTTTTTTCTTTTTTTTTTTCTATTCTTGAACAGGCAAGGAACATAGGGCAGAAAGAGGAATAAGGGGTAAAGAAAAGGGAACAAGGGAAGAGGGAGATCGATTAGTGACAAAAGGGCCGGATCTTTCTTTTATTCGCTCACACGTATAATGATGGCATTGGATTATGGACTATGGATCATGGATTATGATGATGATGCTCACCACGAATGTTTGATGGAAGTGGGGGAGTCTGCATACAGGAACACGATCCGGAAGGAACGGGAAGGGAACGCAGGAACACAAAGGAGCACAAGGACGGAAACACAAAGGGGAAACCGCCCGTAGTCAGAGACAAGAAAAGACTAAGCAATCAAACAAAAAAGACAAACAAACAAAGGCGCACAATAAAGGGGCGATCAGTAGCTATCTCATGCAACGGTCCGCCCTATTGCAGTCCAACCGACCATTTCGCCTCCCCTTGGGGCAAATGGCTCTTTATTTTTCTCACACATACAAACAAACAAACAAACAAACGCACGGAAATTACATAGGCAATTTGTCTCTTTATTATCATTTTCTGGATGAAGGATGGAAGGAGAGGTATCCATAGTATGTCTCCATTTGGGCGCCATTATTTTCAAGCAGGAAAGATATCGTGGATGGATTTGTAGTGGATCGAGAAAAAAACCGCAGATGCATCTGCCGTTCTGCCACTCCACAGCAGGGCACATATACAGGCTGTCAAAGGAGGCACACGAGGAGGTAAGAGGGGTTGTGGTCCTTTCTCACACCCAACATAGTCTTTACTAGGTGACAGAGTACCCCATCGAAAAAAAGTCCGTCTATCTTACACACGATATCCCTCTCTCTCTGCTTACATCGATCTATCGCACTCAGCCTGCCAAGCGGGTGTTCTAATTTCGTTCACCGTTCGACCACTCGACCACTCTTGTTCTGCAAAAGAAGCAAAAAAAGTCATATTACTCATGTTACTCCTAGCAGTCAAGCGTAACTCAGCTAACATAACGGCTGTTTCTTTATCATAACGTTCTTCATGTCCAATGCTTTTCCCTAGGACGAGAAAAAGAAAAAGGGGTTGTGTGTGCTGCTGGTGTTGTGTGGCAGAGGCCAAGGGAAAGTATGGTCATATTTGCTCTGTGCCTGATCGATCAGGTACATCTAACAATGTGATTACAGCACGAACCCCCTCTTTGTTTACTCTTTTCTTTTCCCTCTTTTTTTTCTCCTTCGATTCGAGCTTGTGGTGGTTGCTTAGTGGTGTGTTTGCGATTCGTTCGTTTAGTTTAGTTTTTGAGCGACAAAAATGATGAAGCTGCCCTTCTTTGTCTGACAGGAACAAGGACAATCCCCACATTCTCAGCTTTCTCACACCCACTTACACCACTAGGGGAAGGAGGGAGGATGAGGATGATGAAGAGAAGGAGGGACCAAATACCTATTAGAGGTCTCTCTCTTCGGAGAAAAAGACAAAGAAAAAAAAAAGGGCTTTTGCCGGTATCAAGACCAGGATGCTGATTGGCGAAGGTGTTTCAAGTAGCCCTTTTTCTTCTTTCGAGAAAAATGATGACACAACGTATGAGGGATTGAATACTAAAAATATATCTTTACATTAATTACCAGCGGCTGGCTATGTCTTGGCCATAAGAAGAGGCCAAACGGGATATTGTTATTTGAATTGGGTCTATTGTATTGAGTGTCAGTTTACTTATGACGGTCCATCCAACCCGATAGGCCTTTTCTTCCACAAGGACATTCAACAAAGAGAACCAATAACTATTACGATCCCACCCTGGATCTCACACCTCAGCCTATCTCTTTTTTCATTATAAAAGGATCTCCCTCCGCTCACTTTTCCGAGTTTTTTTTTTATTCTCCATCAAGCGCCTCTTCTCCTTCCCTCCCTCCCACTCCTCCTCTGCCTCCTCCGCCTCTCTTCCTCCTTCCTTCCTCTACTCCTTTTCGTTCTCTACTTTATTGTCATTTGAAGCGTCGATCCCTTTCGGTTCTATTCGCAACCCTCTCTCACATACCTTCTTCACCCACACACACACATTCCAACAATGGAGAAGCACGAAGTTACCTACGCCTCCTCGGTCACCTCTGACAAGGAGTCGATCATCGATCTCATGGCCGAGAGACCCGAGCAGGGCTCCAGCTTTCTCGCATATGCCAACGTCGTCTGCGTCGTCGCAGGTACGTTTCCAAAAAAGCAAATCGCAAACCGGGCCAGAACGTTTAGCCATTTATTCGGAGAAATATTGTTACTTATCTAGTCTCCTCCATTCCTTTCTCTTTCTCTTACCTTACAGGTACTGGTACTCTTGGTCTCCCCTACGCCTTGAACATGGGTGGCTGGATCGGAGTTGGTATCTTGATTCTCTCGCTCTTGATGTCGGTCTACACCGCTATCCTCTTGATGAGGTGCCTTTACTACAACGGCAAGTACCGTCTTTCCTCCTATCAGGAGATCGGCCGTCACGCCTACGGTCTCCCCGGTCTCATTGCCGTCTGGTTCTTCCACACCTCGATCGTCCTCGGAGCCCCCATCATGTACATGATCTTGGCTGGTACCGAGATGAACTCTCTTGTCAAAACTTCTGCCATCAACGAGAAGGCTTGGATCTGGATCTGCGCCGCCATTATCGCTATCCCCTTTGTTGCCATGAAGACCCTCAAGGAGGTCGCTGTCATGTCTGTCTTTGGTGCCCTCGCCACCGTTGTCCTCGTCATTGTCGCCGTCCGCGGTTCGATTATTGACATGAACAACGACAACCCCGAATACGCCGGCATCACCCACAACAACGTCGTCCTCGCGAACCTCCCTACCACCATTGCCTCTATCTCGATCTGCTTCGGCGGTAACGTTGTCTACATGCACGTCGAGGAGGCCATGAGATACCCCAAGTCCTGGAACCGCGTCGTCGCTGCTGCCCTTGCCACCTGCTCCGTCCTTTACATCGCCACCGCCATCCCCGGCTACCTCGCCTACGGTTCCAAGGCCGTTTCGCCCATCCTCACCAACCTCCCCAATGATGCCTTCACCAAGACTGGAACCGTCTTCATTGTCATCCACGTCATCCTCGCCGCCCCCATTCTCTTGACCTCCTTTGCCCTCGAGTTTGAGCGTCTCGTCGATGTCACTGTTGCCCGCCGCGGTAAAGTCATGGAGCGTGTCTACCGTTCAATCATCCGCCTTGCCGTCGTCGGTGTCTGCGGTGCTATTGCCTGCACTGTCCCCTTCTTTGGCAACTTCTTGTCCCTCCTCGGTGCTCTCGGCAACTGCTCTTTGATCTTTGTCTTGCCCATTCTCTTTTACTTCAAGTTGATCGGATGGAGACAGATGAAGTTCTATGAGCTCGGCTGGTGCGCCATTATCGTTATCATTGGTGTCATCTCTGCCGTCATTGGATCCATCGATGCTATCAAGGCCCTTCGTGAGTCCTTCCTCAACCAAAACTAGATATGTTTACTTTCCTAGACACTTTTTAGACCAAAAGCAATACCTTTCCTCTTCCTCTTTGTATATTATATCCAACAAACCCTCTTGTACAACTACAAATTAAAAAAGTGCTACCCTCTCCTTCTGTTACAACAAACAAAAAACAATTCTCTTGTCTCGTCTCTTGTCTGTTTCTCGAGGTGTGCTCTCTTTTTGCTGTCTATGAATGCGATGGCGTCAACTCTCGCCACCACAGCCCCCATCCCCATATGCACGAACCAACTTTTGAATGTTTCTGATCACCTTATTCCGAACAGCTGCTTGCAGTCATTTAAATTTTGATCGATGAACCTATGTGACGGGGCGCTTGTTCCTCGTTCGTTCGCTATGAGCCCAAGGCAAAGAAAAACATACGTATGGGAGGGCATGCATGCACTAGTAGTCCGTTCGCTTCCTTCTCAAGCCTGCTTTTTTCTTTGATATATGGGTATTGCCTTTTACATGTAAGATCTTCACTCTGGCTGTTTTTTTTTCAGGATACGTTATCCTCTTCCTAGCGCCATCCCTTCATGCCTTGCAAGCTGGCGTTCTTCCTATCTTTTCTCAGATCTGCTCCAAGTAGTTACTGCACAGCCTCTTCCCCCCCCTTCCTCCCATTGTTCCTCTCTTCCATGGTGTTACTGCGGCACAAACGTAGTACAAGCAAAAGCGCGCATCGACATCACATAGAACAAACTTTCATGTGTTCGTGTCGAGATCTCAATTGCTGTTTCCTCCGTGTGGAAACATATAGGGCGAATGCTAGCATGCAAAGGGGTCGAATGTCTAGGGGAGAATGAGGGATGTATCCTAAATATATTCAGCATGCAGGTTGGGCGCTGTGCTTGCAGCATTGCCTTTTTTTTTTTTTTTTTTTTCTGAATCTAGAAGGGAAAGGTTTTTAGGTGCGTGCATAGGCAGACAAGGGATGTGGGGGGTTGGGGAGAGGGGGATGGAAGCAAATGGCAAAAGAAGAAAAAGACGGCACAGGGACAAACGTCTTTTGTCTGCAAGTATGCAGAGTTGTAGAACCTTGCTTGTCCACACCCCACCACTCCTTTGCTGAATCTTCGTAAAAGAACAGATCTGGACTTTCTCTTCCCTCTCAAGATTTTGACGGACAGTGCAAGCTTGTTCATTCACCATGTTATGCCAAGAAGGGAGAGAAATGGACAGCAATTTGAGGTGGAAGCAGGGCAGTGAAGTAGGATACTATTTTACTTATCCATGAGTATGGCAACAGTAGCATTTTCAATACACGGGGAACTGTACCTGGGGAGGGGGGATCTCTATGCTTATAGACTTTGGTGCTTTCACCGGGAAAAAGGCATCCTACTCTTCGTGTCATCTTCGAAAGCATTGTGAAAGAAGGCAAAAATGTATAAAAGCAAGGAATCACCTTCAAACTAGCACTCAATTATTGGTTTTTTTTCGGGACAGTTTGTTAAGCAAACTGTCCCTAAACGAAATTGAATTGAGTTGTTATTCTATCGAGCATATTATACAATCACGTGATGTATCCTTCCCCATCAGATAAAAGGTGTGAAAAAAGAAAACTGATTATTAAGTTGTTGCATACTACATATTATCGTCACTATCATCGTCGCTATTGTTGTCGCCGTGGTTGTCGCTGCCGCTATACACACTGTAATCGCCAGTATGGCCCTCATCATCTTTTCCATCATGTCCAATATCAGCCTCTTCACCAAGACCAACACCAACCTCTCCTTCAAGTCCATCAAAAAGCCCTCCACCAAAATCAACACAGCTTCGGATAGGTGCAAGTCCATGTACAGCTGATACTATAGTGGTACGACGACGAATAAGGGGCTCCTCGCTGCTGTCGCTGTCGTCGCTGTTTATGACGATAGTGTTATGGTTGTGGTTGTTGCTCGCTGCTGAGTGCGATGGGTTGTCCGAAAATGCTGGCTCCACCATTGATTGCACCTTGGCCGTAGCCCGCACAAGGGCTTTTATCAATTTGCTGACCTCCTGACCTTTCGGCGATCCACTGCTCTCTGCAACTCTCATCGCCTTGAGACCGTCAGCACTAAGAGGGTCGTATCCTCCTACTAGGCTTCGCAGGTATCCGACGCTTGCTTCAAAGTCTGCTTCTGGCACAGCGGAGCTCACCCCATCATCCGTATCAGACCTCCACAGATCGAGCTTGAAGAGGGGTTGCTCAGTCTGAGAACGGGCGCGCCATCTTTTTGTTCCTCTGCAGTTTGGTTGTTCCTGTCACAATTCAATAGATCGTCATATCTACGGCAAAACGCGTCTCATGGAACTGGTCAAGTTCGATTTTGGTGTATCTTACGCCGGGATCGTCGTTGAGTGGGAGCTGAAAAGGTGTGAAAGGTCCGCTGTTTTTTTGCTTCTTTGGTTGCTTTGGTTGCTTTGTTGGTTCGGGTTTTCTTGACAGCCAGCTGGATGGCGCCTGACAACGATCATCATGGTGTAATGAGAGTTAATTCACACGGCAAGGATGACCTTTTTTTTTGATGGGGAAGGATACACCACGTAATTGTATAATATGCTCGACAGAATAACAACTCAATTCATTCTGTTCAATTTCGTTTAGGGACAGTTTGCTTAACAAACTGTCCCGTAAAAAAAAAATTTGGGTGTACAAAACTCCACTTCTTAACACTCTCCCCACTCAAACCAACCCACAACCTCCACCCTTTCAACTCAAATCAAAAGCAGCCAACATACGTTTTCTCAGCTTCGACTGTCGTTATCACCATCCTCCCTCACTACCCTCTCCTTGACCTCGGCCCAAGCCACCAGGACCAGAGCCTACCCTTTCCAAAGCCTACAACGACTGAATCGCTTGCTCCGCCGCGGCTCAAGCCCCAATCTGCACCAATATCACTTCAATCCCGATCACCAAGGACGGCGTCCTCCTCATCGACAATCTCTGTTCTGGGGAAAGGATGCCCTGTGGAGATGTGGCCTTGGGCGCGAATTATCAAAAGATGGCCCGTTGCGGGGTGCAAATGATGCGGTAGGAAGGGGCTGTGGCTGTTGGAGGGTTAAGCGCCGTTGTTGCTGTTGCTGTTGTTGTTGTGGCCTCTGCTCTTGTTGTAGAGGAGGGTCCGTTTGGAGGAAGGAAGGGGGTGTGTAGTTGCAGAAGACAACGGCCTTTACGTTGTTCATAAGAGTTATCAACATGTCATTAAGTATGACAACGCTTAGGATAGGGAATAATTAAGTGACACTTTTTATTATTTGCTCGTGAAGGAGGGGGTATACAAAGAAGATGGGAGTAGCCAGGTGGGATCAAACGACACCAAGGGCAAGGTTGCGAAAGACTTCAAACCCTGCAGTGGTCAGCGTAACACCAGGAGCCGTCCACATCACACGAGGGCCTAACCCACGCCATATCCTTCTCATCAACCCTCCATTTCCGCTATTAGACTGTTTCCGCCTCTGAAGTTGATGTCCAGTTCCTGGGGTTGTGAGTGGTCGCCGGAGTGAGTGTGCAGGTGTAGTAGTAGTCGTAGTCGCCATGTTGGCGTGTTGGGCGACAGGAGGAGTATATGCGTGTGCGTAAGAATGGTGGTGTTGTTGCTGTGGAAAGGTTGAGGTCGCCAGTAACTTGGGGCTCATTGTCGATCCCGAGTTACTGAACACTGATGATGACGGCAATATTGGTGAAGGTGTTGTTAACTTTGCTGCTGACTGTACGGCGGAGACAGAGGTGGCAGAGAAGGCAGAGGTCCAGCGGTCTTGGATATGGACGCGGAGGGCTCCTGCGGTATGACAGACAGTCGCCGAGATGGCGACTGCTCCTGTGACACAGACCATATAAGTCCCCAGGTTCAGTGGTCGGTGATCCGTCCTGTAGTCGATTTCTCTTCCTGTTCCTGTTCCTGTTATTGCTGTGCGGGAGGATGTCTTGTTCTGTAGTTGTTGCTTCTCGCGAGAGATGATACGCAACCGCGCAAACTGCTTCAACTTCTCATACGTCGCGAAATACAACATCGTATATGGCAACAGACTCTTCAACGTCGTCTTATACCCCGACCACAGACTCCAAACTCCATTTCCTTCGCTGGCAACCACCTTCTTGACGAGTTGAAGAGCCTCTTGGAGAGACAACTGTCCATGATGACTCCCCTGCATCCCTGAAAGTTTCGCCTGCGGAGCCCACAGAATCGTCCCTGCGACTTTTGCCATCAGTCCACTGATCAGGTGCGTCTCAAAGTGATGCAGTTGGAAATGGGTGAGGTTGAGGTGGGAGGAGGAAGAGAGGTAGGCGATGAAGTGTTTTGTGGCGTCATAGGTTGAGAGGAAGAATGCGAGCGCCGGGACGTTGATGATTAGCGCAAGAGGGGCTCCATGGTAGAGTTTGCGGTAGAGTTTGAGTTGTTCCCGGAAGGTTGTGTGGTGGTGACTCTTGTGCAGTTGTTGGGACGAGGAGTGAAGGTGGAGGGTGTGGAGGTGATGACGGATGGTTGTCAAGAGATGCGCGAGACGGGGACGGAGTCCTTGTTGTTGTAAAGGTTGGTTGAAAAGGTGAAGTGATGCCTTGAAGTGATCGACTTTTGCTGTGAAGGAGAAAGAGAAGAAATGTGTCAGCATAACAAATAAGCAATTGTTTAGTCAGGCACGCCAAAAATCAATCTTATAAAAACCAAGGGGTGACTTACGAGGATGGACACATAGGCGAGCACAGAAGGCTGCTGCTGCCGATGTAGACAGGTTGATCGACGGATCTGTCGGCATTCTTGATCGTCTTTATGTTTCTTCTTCTTTGTTGTCAAGCTCGTCCTCCTTTCCTGTTTATTGTTGAAGAAAGGGTTCTTGAAAAGAGAATAAAAAAAAGGGTCGTTGTCGAAGTGCGATCCTCCTTTCTTTTTATTGCTTGCCCACACTTCGATCCGGATAACAATTGCCTGAACTGAAAAACGACGTCAGATCATGTATCGTTGTGCGTTCAATCTGCAAGGGATCAAGGAGGAGGACGAGGAGGAGGAGGAGTTAAAGAAAGAAGGGAAAGAGAAGAGAAGGAGAAGGAAAAACTCGAGAGCTGTCGCGAGAGAAGCTCTTTTATACCAAATATCGACTGCTATCAAACGGTGCGGTGAATGAAAAAAAAGAGAGACAAGATGCTGTTGTTGAGCAAGATGTACATGTGTGATGATGACAGGAAAACGACAAGGATGAGTAATAATAACGAGTTCGACGGAGAGGATGACTATAAGGAACAAGAAACGAAAACAGGTTCTCCTTGTGGTTCTTTTGCTTTGCTGTCTTACGACCTTCAAGGATACAGTGGAGAAGGAAGAGCGAAGGAAGAGAAATGAATGACGAGTATAGAGTGTTTGAAGTAGCGTATGAGCGCAATGACGGGATTGAGGACTGAGGATCAACCTTGAACTCTTGGACTAAATGGTATGTTGTTTACTTGCTAGTTGAAGGAGCATAGATATATTTTCTGGAGTATAGAAAAACAAAATGACAAGAAGCGTACAGTGAGGTTTACTCAGTGATGGAGGAAAGAACGGAGAGAGAAGGAAGAGCAGGAAAAACAAGAAGAGCACCATGGCAGTGACATCCAAGTGCTGAATGCACTTATACATTCTTCACCAACTAACAAAACACGAACTAGAGGAGGAGAGGAGAGGCAGTTGGAATGGCAGCCGAACACCTATATCTCATCATAGGAGAATGCTATTCCATGGTTAGCTTTTCCGCTGTGCTTTACATCTTATTTCCTTTGCCTGGAAAACGCTGCCTATTCCCGATTCGACTCGAATCTTTTTGTAGGACATTGTTTGTTTGGGAATGTGGTGTTGGACGTTTGATTTTTCCTCGTAATGTATTAGTCGACACTGGAAGCCGTTTTAAAGGATCTTCATTACTTGAACGGAGCACCCGTTTGTGACTAGGATGTATCAATTCCAACCGGCTTTTACTACTTAGTTCAACACATATAATCTAGGACATTAATTGGCAACTTTATTTTCTCATTGAAAAAGAGCCGCCCTTCAAGAGAAGGCAGTTTCGACAAAGACGCGTCGGATAGAGCACCTCCTCACATCCTCATCGCCCACAAATGAACTAAACGACCACCCACCTACATCCCTCAACTTGGTATACTCCAACCCAAGTACTTTCAGCCTAGGACAGGACTTTGCATACCACAGCACCATTTCCTTACGGTCATCTATCTTCCACCATGATGGTAATGATCGGATCTCTTCCAGTGTCTCGTTGTGCTGGTCTCCTCCTGTGAGCAAGCCTTCGACACCGTAGGCGGGGGATGGAATGAGGGTCGAGAGCGGTAGGGTGAGGGAACGGAGTTTCTTGAACCGTCCCAGGTGCTTCCAAACGAGTGCGTGGTGGTCCTTGGAAGGGTTGTATGACATGTCGAAGCCGATAGTAAGCGTCTCGAGTGACTCCTCGCACGCCCACGGTTCAATAAACGATAACCCTTCTGCTGCTGGTGTTTCTCCTGTTTCGTCGCCCCTGCTGCTCTGGATAAGGTCCTTGGATTCAATGGCATATCCTGTTAGGGAAAAGTAGCGGAGACTGGAGCAGTGCTGCAAGAACAAGAGTACTTCTCGAGTCCCGACCTTCCACCGCTTCCGGAGCCGTCTGTTCTCGAGAATCGCATTGTAAGTGCTCGCCATCGTTATTGTCGGGTCGGCGAGCTCATCCGCAACCAAAGCCGCATCTTTGTCGTACATGTCCCAGACGAACTTGAGATGGACAGGTCGGTGGTAGATCTCGACATGTGTCAGGAACCGCGCCTGCAGACCCAGCAAGATGAAATCCTGCGCCCCTAGAGAATGGTCTTGTCCCAGAATCAGAGTCTTCAACCGCGGGAAATACGATGCCAGACCCTTGCCCTCAACCAAAAGCTCATCCACCTCCTGACCCCGGAACCGCCGTTCCAGCAAGGACTCTCTCACATCGCTGACTGTGACAAATTCCGACCATTCTTCCGGTAGTGGTGACGACTCCTGAGTCAAAACGGTCAAGTGCGGGATCTTGTCGGACGGTAAGATGGGCAAGTCAAAGAACCAAAGCGCAACGGGGCCCCAGGTCTCGATCGCTTCTAGTTCCGGACAGCACTGACTCAAGATCTGACCAAACACCCACGGGGAGCAGTAGGAAAAGCAGTCGAAATAGTTGACCGAGGAACGGATCTGGATCCTTTTGAGGTTTCGGAGTCGTTTGAAAATCGCGTGCACGTCTGGGCCATCTTTTGTCAACATTCTCGGGTCAAATGCAAACGTCTCCAGGCGGTACTGTTGATGACTCTGTGCTGAAGGGTTAGTAGTCGTCGTCGCCATTGTCGCAGTTGTCTCAGAAAAGGGCGGAGAGTCGGTCTCGTCATGCTGCCAGGAATCACCTTTCACTTCAGGCGGTGACAAGTACCTGGCCATATTCCCGGTAATGGAGAGGTTCTTGAGGTAAACAAACGTGTCCAGGATCCTCGCCATGTCCGCAGAATACATGTTGGCTGTCCCATATCCCACCAGGTGGAGTTCCAGTGTTGTTAGGTTGGTCGTCGTCAAGTTGAAGAGAATCGTGTTGAGCAGACATCCAAAGTGGTCAACTCCGACAAACGAGAAATGCGTCAGGCTTGGGCGGTTCGGTCCAAGTACTGCTGAGCTCGTCGCGACCATCATCCGCAGCCGCTGTCGCTGTTGTGATGCTGTTGTTGCTCCTAATTCTGCTCCCAAGTCATTGTCGCGCTTGTTGTCGTCAACGGGTGGTGGACGGTAGTCCAGAAAAACGTCCAGCAAATCCTCAGGAACGAGAACTTCCCCACCATGAAAATGAGACTGCCACTCGACTTTTCGAAGGAGATGTTTCCGGGTCCTGAGGGTTTGGATGAGGGAGGCGTGGGTTCTTTGGAAGGCTGGGTTGATGACGACATTGTTCCCGTAGAGCCATGGTTCTGCTTGTGCGTGCCAGTGGTGGGAGACGAGGAGGCAGTGGTGGAGGTCTTGACGGTTGAGGTGGGTGAATATTTGGGCGAATATTTCGGTGGGCAACGGGCGGCGTGTTGACATTCTTTTTGGGGAGGTTTTTTTTTGGCGAGAGGTGGAATGGAAGTTCGAATGGAAATGAGAGAGGAAGGGTGGAATGAGAAGAATGACAAAAGGTTGATGTTTGGTAGTAAGTGAACGGCTTGCGTCTCCTTTCTATAAAAAGGGTAACGAAGATAATAAGGAGGGAGGAGGCGAGTATATCGATAGGTTAGATGAGGCGCAAGGAATGGGCAATGCACACAAATAAGAAAAAGAAGGGGCAAGGCTTGGTCATACACTGCGCATTCTTTTGTGACAACTTTATCATGACTGAACATTGGATGGTTCAATAGGCAGCTCTTCGCCATCGCGAGCGGTCATCATTCCGAGACAAATATACGACAGCTGGTGGGATCTGAATCATCGAACGCGTGAAAAGATTTTTCTTTATTTTTCTTGACCGACTCAACCACACCGTGCCCTTCATTTGCGACACTACCACGAGAGGACATCAATGTTCCGGATAGAGCACTTCTTTACCTCCTCATCCCCCAAGAACGCCCGATGCCTCACATCCATTGTAGTGAAATCACTAAACAGAAAGTGATACTCCAGATTCAAATCCTTCAACTTGGGACAACTCTTGGCCAACCAAAGCACCATCTCCTTCCCCACAGTTGCCTCCCACCAAGTTGTGACCAACTCCAACTTTTCCAACGTCTCGCTCATTCCGCCTTCTGGGAACAAACCCTCAACGCCGCGGTCAAAAGTCGGGATGAGGACCCAGCGAGGCTTCAGAGTAGGCACCAAGGAGAGATGGCGTAATTTCTTGAAGCGACCCAGGTACTTCCAGAGAACTGCGTGGTGCTCCTTGGGAAGGTCGTGGGGGACGTCGAGTCCGATCTTGAGGGTCTCAAGTGCGTCTTCGCATGCCCAAGGTTGAATGTGTGGTATTCCTACTCCTCGTCCTGTTGACGATCCTGTAGCAGATGTTGAAGGCGAAGTGTAGCCGTCGACAAGACTCTCAAAGGTGACACTGCAACCCGTCACGGAGAGAAACTTCAGACTGGAACACGATTGCAAGAACAGAATCACATCCCGGCTGTCGAACGATCGTCTCAACTGCAGCCGTCGTAGTTCAACCATTCTAATCGCCCTGGGGCCGACCGCAGACAGGAGAGCCTTCGACGGCTCAGACTCAATATACTTGTCACCCTTGTCATATACCTCCCAGGGCTCGGTTTGTCGGGTAGGTGGGAGAAGAATCTCCAAGTGGGTCAAGAACCGACCATGTACGCCCAACGAGAACAGATCCTGAACCGACAATGAATGATCCCCGTCAACAACCAACTTCTTCAACTGGGGGAAGAACGGGATCGCAGTCTTGCCCTTCAACAACTCTTCCTGCTCCTGGTCAAGTAGTTGTAGTTTCAGGCGCTTGTCTTTTAAGAACTGTGCCAACTCGGCCGGAATCGCCAACAGGTAAGCAGGAGTCTGCTGGACCATTGCAGTGATGTGCGGGAGCTGTTCGTAAGGGAGGATGGGCAAATCAAACAGCCAGAACACGACTGGTCCGTTAATCTCGATCGATTCCAGTTTCGGACAGTGTGCCTTCAAAGCTCGACCAAAGTCCCAAGGCCTGCTCTTGGGAGCGCACTCAGCATAGACTGTCGTGGACCTGACTCGAATCCTCTTCAAGTTCCCCAACCGTTTAACAAACAAAAACGCGTTGGACCCTTCTCGACACAACAGGTTGGGTCCAAAAGTGAATGACTCGAGGCGATGCTGGATGTCGACGATCTCCGGTTCCATTGTAGCGCCCGTTGAGACAGAGGTGGAGGTAAAAGAAGCAGATGGAATAGCAAAGTCCTCAGAACGTCGCATAGAGGTGTATCGGAACACCGGTCCATCGAGACATAGATCCTTGAGGCACGGATAGGTGTCCAGAATCATTTCCATATCGACCTCGTACGACTTGGCCGGTCCTGTTTGTTTAATGTAGACTTCCAGAAATGTCAAGGTTGTTGGTGTCAGGTTGAACAGAACCATCTCCAGAAGAGTTCCCGTGAAGAAATCTTCAGTAAAGGTGAAATGCTGCAAGGCTGGACGATTAGGTCCAGGACCCATTAGCCCAGTTGTTTTCGAAAAGTCGGGCGAGGGATCAGCGGCGACAACAACAGTAGCAGCATCAGCATCGGCATCAGCAGTGGCAGGATCTGTAACAGCAGTAGCAGGATCAATAGCAGCAGCAGTAGTAACAGCACGGGGAGCAGTAGTTTTTGTCGATCTTGGCCGAAAGACAGAGGCCAGGCGAGAGAACGACCTCGATAGCGACCGCGAGGGATGGCCTCGTCCACTTTTCCCGGTGTTGTTGTTGTCGGTGTTATTGTTGTCAGCAGCAACATCATCGATAGCAGGAGTAGCAACAGCGGCAACAGGCGCAGTAACAACCGGGCCATAGTCAAGAATGATGTCCAACAAGTCATCCTCCAAGGCACCACCCGGCCTTTCAGACCGCCACTCGACCTTTCGAAGAAGATGCTTCCGCGCCTTGAGGGCCGGAACAAGAGATTGATTGTGTCGTCTCCTAGTTGTATCGAGGGTCACGTCGCTGTAGACGTGGGCTTGAGCTTGGTCGTGCCAGAGACGGGAGACAAAGAGGCACTGGTAGAGGTCCTTTTTCGACAGTTGGTCAAAGATGAGGGTGACTATCTCTGGAGGGATTTGTCTCAGTGAGGGCGCTGACATGGTGAAGAGTTGGTGAGCAGTTGGTGAAGACGAAAAATGAAGGAAGAAGAATGAAGAGTTAAAAAAAAAGTATGGGCTCTTTTTATTGTGAACGAGCTGTTTACCGAGCAACTCGCCGTAGTGGTGTTGTCGTTCAAGAGAGGAGAGTGAATGAGTGCAGATTGAGTGTGTGTGGATTAAGTGTGTGGAATGTGTGGATGAGAGTGAGAGTGAGAGTGAGGTGTGGGAATGAAAAAGAAAAAACAAAACAAAAAATAAAAAAGGCGAGAGAGGCTGGCCATTTGCATACAAGAAAAGGGGGCGAAAGTGAGGGGCGCCCCTTGCGTTGTCCGTCAGAAGTCGCTCCACACTTAAAAGAGGAGAGAACGTCAAAGAACAAAACGCCAATTATAACCACAAATTCATACTCCCTCAGAAGCTAACATTACAAATGGTTCTCAACCAGTTCTCAATGGGTGCGTAGTAGGCCATGTGTGGAGGTGCAAAACCATTATCCAGAACAGAAGGACGAGGTGAGTGAAAGAGAGAGGGAGGTGCTCGCCAATTGTGGTGAAATGGATTTCCACAGACGTGTGAATGAAGGAGTTCACCCAACTCGGAAGGCGCAGGATGCGAAGTTGTCGACAACGAGGTGGGAAAAAAGCAAAGAATATGCACCACAACCAATGCGGAATACCTACAAAACCCCTAACCTGAACCAGACCTTAATCGCTTACCGAGCCTCGCTTGGTCTCCAAAGAAAGATAATTACCACTTTATTTTCCCACATACAAAGTCACGAACACGAAACATAGTAAACTCAAGTTGACCTAGGCTCAACAAAGATCCTATGGATCGAACAACGCTTAACATCCTCATCATCCAAAAACCCAATAAAGTTCTCCACCTTCCCACCTTCAACTTGCTCCCGATAATGCATCAATCCAAGGACAACCAGGTTCGGGAACGACTTTGCAAACCACAGTACCATTCCGCGTAGGTCTTCGACTTCCCACCATGATGGCAAGGACCGAACCTCCGTTAATGTCTCGCTCAGTCTTCCTCCTCCCGTTAGAAGGCCTTCGAGCCCGTAGGCGGGGGATGGGACGAGGGAAGACATTGGGAAGCTGAGAGATCGTAGGTTCTGGAGCCGACCAAAGTGGTTCCAGACCATGGCATGGTATTCTTTGGACCGGCTTGGGTGGACGGATAGACCCAATTTGAGCGTCTGTAGGGTCTCTTCGCAAGCCCAACGGTGAATGGTCGGTGTCATTGCTTTTCTGGGTATTGTCGCTGAAGTTTCTGAGTTAACTGGAGAAGTGAGATCGCCGGCGGTAAGGTCTAAGAGTGGGATGGTACGTCTTGTGATAGAGAAGTAGCGGAGGCTGGAGCAGAGTTGCAAGAAGAGGATCACGTCCAGGTTGCCGATATGTCGTCGTTTCCAAAGCCGTCGATCCTCGAACTGCCAGTTGTTGTTGGCCGCGAGAGAAGCGTGGGTCGTCGATTCAGGCACGGAGGCAGAAGCGGCGGTGGCGGCGTCCGTGTCGTACATATCCCAGACTCCTTCGTAGCCGTAGGCCTGGTGTTTGATCTCCACATGCGTCAAGAACCGGGCTTGAACTCCAAGCGAAATCAGATCCTGCATTGAGAGAGAGTGACTCGTTCCGAGAATCAGGGTCTTCAACTGAGGGAAGAATGGCACCGCAGTCCTCCCTTCCAGCAGCTCGCTTACTTCTTGTTCCTGTAATCGCTGTCTGAGGCGGTCCCCGGCCCCCCTTTGTGCCTGCACCATGCCGACCGTCAAGTCCGATGGGCTAGATGGTAGAGCCTCCGAAACCAATTCAGCGAGGAAAGGCACCTCATAGTATGGGAGAATGGGCAGGTCAAACAGCCAGAGGACAGCTGCACCCTCGACTTGGATCGACTCCACCTTTGAACAAAACTGCTTCAAGGCCCGCCCAAACGCCCAGGGTTGAGTTCTCCTCGCACATTCCCCATACCTCTTGTTTGAGATAATAGAGAGCTTCCTCAGATCTCCCAGTCGTCTGAAAAGGGAGAACGCGTCCGGCCCTTCGCGCCACATCAGAGCCGGATTGAAAGTGAATGACTCGAGGCAGCAATGTCCTGTCGTTGACTCGTCCTGACCCTCGTGCCTTGCTGCCCTGGGTGGTGCGTATTCAACCATGGTCCCAATGATGCCGAGGTGTTTCAGACGAGGAAATCTTGTCAAGATCCTGTCCAGGTCCACAACATAATTCGTCCGCGTTGTGCTGTCATAATGAAGAAAATCCAAGTCGAGTGATACCAAGGACGTGAGACTGTGGAGGATCGCATCGAACAGTCTCCAAGATTGGTGATAGCCCTGGTGAGAGAAATGCGTCAAGGTCGGGCGATTGGGCCCAGCAGGAATCGGAAAAGGAACGGACGACGTCCATGTTGACGTTCTTACCGCATCGTCGCTGTGTTTGAGGGGTGGTCGATAATCGAGCAAGAAATCGAGGATGTCCGATAGAGGAATGGTGTAGCCATAGCTAGAAGCGAACTCGACTCGACGGATAAGGTGTTTCCGGGTGCAGGCGGCAAGGACTTGTCGACGTAGTGTCATTCCTGGTTCGAGGACCATGTTTCGGTAGAGCTGGGGCTCGGCCTCGGCGTGCCAGAGTCGCGAGACGCGGAGGCACTGAGATAGGTCTAGTGGTGAGAGGTAGCGAAAAATGAGGCTGAGGGTCTCGGGAGGCAATTGAACGTGTTCGAGCATCGTGTTGGTAATAGAAGGAGAGGGTGAATTGAGGTGGGAGCGGAATGAATGAAGAATGAATGAATGAAAAAAAAAAAAAAAAAAAAAAGAAGACGAATGGAGAGGACAGTTGGTTTTTAAAGATGAAGGTTATAGTCGAAAAAAGGCGTGGTGGTGGCAAAGGAGGCGAGGTTGAATCTTGGTGCACACGCACTTCTTATTAAAAGAATGGCGGCGTAGAACGTCCATGGATCATTTTTTGCCACCAAAAAAAATAATAAGAAAAATATTAGCAGAATCATCCTATGTTCTTACCATTCCAACACACCAAGAAACCCATGGTTTTTCTTCTTCTTCTCCCCATGCACACTATGATCCTACAACCCCAAGACCCGCAGCTTCGGAAACGACTCTGCAAACCACAACACCATCTCCTTTTGGTCATCCGCCCTCCTTCATGACGACAAACACCCAATCTCTTCCAATGTCTCAATCATCCGTCCACTTCCTTGTACTCCTGAAAGCAGACCATCACTCCGTAGTCGAACGATTGGATCAACCTCGACCAGACTTATTTCAAGGGTGGCGAGGAAGGCAAAGATCAGCTAAGGCAGCTTCTTGAATCATCTCAAGTGGTTCCAGACGAGCTCGTGGTCCTCAGGTTGGTCAGCAGCATTTCGAATCCGATGGTGAGCGACTCCGGTGACCTTTCACGCGCTCATGGTCAAATAGCCGCTTCCCTGTCGCCGTCTTCATTGTTGTCGTCCAAGAGGTCCTCGAAGAGGAGGCTGCGGTTCGTCATCGAAAAAAACGAAGAAGACTGGAACAGAGTCACTTTTTATTACAAAATACTCCGTAATGTCACCCCTTTCACGCTTTTCATCCATTCACATATCAAATAGTCACAACTTGGGTACTGGAGCAAAGGGGTCCGAGAAGTACCGCCTAGTCGCATCCGTCAAAGACTTGTACGCCTGCGAAGATCTCCACTTGTCCACCCTAGAATCATGAGCAACTTCAATCTGGAGTCTGCGAAGCGAGGAGCTTCTTTCGATGATACCGACCAAGCACTCCGCCCCTGTTTGGAGCAACAGGTGTTCAATCAGGTTTGACGTCCTGATATCCGCCAGCGTCAGCTATTACAAACAGAGTATGGAGTGAGAAAGACGATTGTTATCAGGCAGCAACCAACTCTGCAATGTTTGATCCTTTTTTTTCTTCTTCCGCCACTTTTTTTTTTTTTACCTTTTCACCGATGTAGTGGCCATTAGACCCATTATCCCTTAAATGCTTATCATGAATGGCAACCCACTGCGTGAAAGGGCCATCCCGAAAAGTCTCCATAGCCTTCTTGCGTGCCTCCCAATCAGGGATAAACGCAACAGTGGTCGCATGGAGTGAGTGGAGGGAGGCGGTAGAGGAGTGGAAAGATTTGATCAGGTTCTCTTCGTACCCGTTGTTGCCCATGAGGTCGAAATGTTTGGCGAGGTACTGTTCGATCACTCCTGCCTCTGCCAGTACCACATCCTGTTTTTGTATAATGAAAGGGAAGGAACAAGGAAGGTGCGTGAGAAAGAAAAAAAAAACGTGAAACGAGGCAGAAGTTCTTGCAAATGAAAGGAAAAGGTGAGGGAGTAGGACTTTACCTTGTTGGCGGGGGAGCTTATGAACAGAACTGGTAGGACGTTGAACGGAGTCTTTTCTTTCTCCTTCCCCCAATTCTGCAATGCACAAAAGTCCAAAAACACAGACAAAGTTAATGTCTCTAACCTTGTTTTACAAGCAACAAGACTTTTTTTCTCCTTCTCCTTTGAGTAACAAAGACTTACCTTGGGAACAAGGTTCTCCCATCTGGCCTGTGCGATGGTTAGAATCTCTCGACTGGTCGCACCGTTCGAATTGATAGGGAAGTAGAGGAGTTTGAAGGATGTTGGGTTCTTGAAGGTTGCGGATAAGGCATCCGTGTTCTTGTATGTGAGGTGCGTTGCGTCCGGAGTGACAGTGTCGATGGCCATCTTGAGCGTGTCCTTGTTGCTCCAATAAGGGCGGTAGATGGGATGGATTGAGGAAGAAGAAGAGAGAGAGGAAAAAAGAGATGTGAAAAAATGTGATTGTGTGTTTGGTTAACACGCCGTGTCTGGCCGCGCAGATGCCAAGAATTGTTCGCCTTTTTTTTTCTCCGGCGAATAGAACAGACGGATCAAGCGTGCATAAATAATGCATTGACCATGGCCTCTACCGTAGGACTAAAAAAGGAGCAAGCAGCAAAGAAGGGATTGAGTGTCTGCGCATACAAAACAACGCGGCGTCCTTTTGTTTATCAAGTCCATAATTCCATCTCTCATTTACCAGTTTAACCCATCACTCAAAGCAACAGCACACGCACATACTCCAAGAACTTCAATCAGTAAGTTGACATTGTTTATTGACAACTGCTGTTTTGAGGGGGAGAAAGATTGGACAACGGCGAACAAGAAAGAAAGGTGGAGGGTGAGAGGAAAGGAGAGGGGAAAAAACAGTCCTTTTTACTTAAGACATGAAGGCATAGGGATTGGCAAAGAAGGCAACATTGCCCTCATAATATCCCTTGTACTCGGCCCCAGATCTCCATTGAGCCATCTTGGGGTGCTTGGCAACCGTGTCGCAGAGTTTGATCAAGGGGACAGACTTGTTGACGATCGCCATCAGGGTTGCGGATTCTGGCTGGGTCGCAAAGTGCTCAATTGCATTCGCGGTGCGGATATCGGCCAAAGAGAGCTATTTGGGACAAAAGGGTGAAGATGTTAGTATGGGAAAGGTGAAGGCATAAGACATCAAAATACAACATCAAGCACATATAATAGCAATCCCTCGCTTCCTCATCCCCAAACGTACTTTGTCGCCGAGGTAATGGCCGTTGTTGCCATTATCGTTCAAATGTCTTTCATGGGTCGCAATCCAAGTAGGGAGGGTGGCAGTAGTAAAGAACCCCAATCCGCCAGCCTTGGCCTCAGGGGCATTCCAGGTGACAGCACCAGCAAAGGCATTCTGGACCGCGGCGCTGGAAGAGTGGAGACTCTTGATGATACTCTCTTCGTACTCGTTTGAACCCAAGAGACCGAACCTCTTAGCGAGGTAGTGTTCAATGACAACCGTCTCTGCGAGCGTTGCCGTCTAAAAGGAGAGATTAAAGATTTGTTAGACGATTAAGCATTTTGGGGTAAGGCGGTCCAATTGAAACCGACATGGCAAATGAAAGAGGAGTGTGGAGTGGTCGGTAGAACTACCTTGCCGTTCTCGCCAGTAACGAAAAGGAGGGGCATGAGGTGGAAAGGGGTCTGATCCTTTTCAGCCCTCCAATCCTACAAGATGAAAACAACATGGGTTAAGGATGATCATAAATTAAGATCGTTAGCGACAGAGAAGAACTACGTAGGGGGAGAGAATAGTTGCTGAAAAAAACTTACAGCGGGAGCAACAGCAGACCATTCGACGTCTCCATAGGCCAGAAGATCACGTCCAGTAGCACCGTTGGAGAGCATGGGAAAGTACATCAGCTTGTACGAGACAGGTTTGGCAAGGGCCTCAGAGAGTTCGACAGAGGCATCGCGTAAAAAGTGACCTGCATCGATTTGAACCATTGTTGTAGATTTGTTTTGTATTGGTGAAAAGTAGGTGAGGGGTGTTTTGGTGTTGTTGTAGGAAAGAGTTGGAGTGGAGAAGAATTGTTTGCGCTTGAGATGAGAGGCAGTCTGGAGCGATAACTTCTCTTTTTATACGAGTGAAGGGAATGCACCGATTGGGTGAAGAAAGCGAATACTTTCCTGATGTCAAATGACGTTCCTCTTTCTCGACAGTACGAAAAAAAAGTGCGGCGCGTTTTCGCTTGTGTTTATTGGTAGATTTCATGCGCAGGGAAGTATTGCGTGTGCGTTTCTGGGCATTTGTTGACCAGCACATAGTAAGTCCAATCGAAGATTCTTGGCACTGAAATTAACAAGGTGTGGGACAAACAAACCGTAACCCATTCAAGATTTATCGTGGCGGAGCAAAGGAAGGAAAAGGAGTTTTCTTCACTGTGGCAGAGCGACGCCGCCGCAACACGCACCATTGTGCACCTCATCAGGCGAAAGAGAAAAATAATCGTGCGATGACGAATGCAGAGCGAGGAAAGAGATGCCAAGGAATCATAAACAAAGCAACGTCCTTTCTCTCTTGCCTGCCTATCAATCCCATGTCTTTTGTTGGATGCTATTACTGTGGATGCGATCGAAGCACATTAGGACGTAGAATTGCGTATTCATTCAGAGTCGACAGTCAAGGTACAATCAAGGACTAGTGCAATGCAACAATAAATAAAATAGTAGCGACCTACGTGTTTATTTTCTTGGCAGCATTAAGTAATCTACGGCGGGCCAAAAAAAAAAAAAAAAAAAGGAAAGAAAGGCAAAGGACAACCAACGCGAACGCAAACGCGTATCCCACAGAAAACACAAGGAAAGGAAGAACAATAAGCAACGTGTGCACCAAGAAAAAACAAGGAAAGGAAAAGAGGCAAGACAGATAAAAAAAGGGGGGTGGGGAGTGAACAACGCCACACACAAGTGCCTTCATTCTTTTTCACTCCTTGAAAAGAATGGAAGTGTTTTTCTTACCAGGCGTCACTGAAGCAGCGAGTGGGGTCCAGACGGTATAGGCGGATGCCAAGAGGAGGGGCCAAAAAGGAGTGAAGAAGAAAAGCAAAAGGTTTGGCGGGAAACCGTTTTTTATCTAATTTCTCGGAGGCACATGCACTTCACCAAGGACGTCGCCATTCATCTCAAAAACACCACCCACCGCTGTCTCAGCATGCAACAAGGACGCGACTTTGTTCCCGGTGGAGGTTCAGGAAAATAGAATATGTATCCCTCTCCTCAACCACCATGGCCTACCGGTCTACGTTCGAGTTCTACCAACCCTGGAAGATCTCTTTTCTACCGTCAATGCCCGAGTTCGACCAGATCAGCATCCATTCAAAGGAAGAAAATCACATCTGTCAAGAAAGAAAGGCGAGACTATTTAGTCCTTTGATACATCTGTTTTTATTTGTCAGTACATGCCTTTGGCCTATGCAACCCGCCCAACACCAGCGTTCGCTCAACCTAGAGGGGGATCACAACACCTCCTTCTACTCATCCTTAATAGCGAATGCCTCGAGATCCTCGGCAAGGAGGGCTGTCTTCTTGTAGCAGACAATCGACCCCTGACAGAGGGACTCCCATTCCTCACTTGCTCTCCATGCCGCAATCGAAGGGTGGTTCTCGACATTTGCGCGGACCTTGCTGATGAGCTCGCTCTTCTCAAATAAAGGGATGATCAAGTGTGCGACGGGCAGATGTGAAAAGTGGTCGATCACGTTTGCCAGATGGATATCTGCCAGCGACAACTATTAGAGAAACGGTGAGGAAAAAGATTGCGCGTCGAGTGTATGAGAAGAATGATAACAAGAAACCATGTGCCCACTCCATTGAGAAACCAAAGGGGTGCTTACCCGATCACCAACATAGAATCCATTAGAGCCATTTGCCTTCAAATGCATATCATGATCAGCAATAAATTCTGGCAAGATGTGCTGCAAAAAGATCTCCAATTCACTCTTGCGTCTCTCGGGGACGACCCATGTCACCTTTGACAATGCACGTTCAAGGAAGAAGTGGATGTTGCTGTAGAAGGCATTGATGGTAAGCGATTCCCATTCGTTGTTGCCGAGGAGGTTGAATTTCTTAGCGAGGTATTGTTCAATCACCATCGACTCTGCGACGATAACTTCCTACTCCATTGTCATTGACACGTAGAAAGAATAAAGGGGAGAAAAGGGTTAGAAGAATGAGATGGGAAGGACAGGAGCATGCACATGGTTCAAAGTCACACAAGATGACGAATTAATTTTACCTCGTTAGCGGGGGAAACGATCTTCAACATGGGCACAACTCCAAACGGCGTAGGAATCTTGCCCTCCTCCCAAGGATCCTCCTATTCCGTTCGTTCAAAACACAGCAACACACACATGTGTCAGTTATCCCTCCTATGCTCACTCGTCTCTCCACTCTCCACTCTTGCAAGCTAGCCAATTACCTTATCCTGCTTCTCAGAAGAAGTGGCGATCCGCTCATTAGACCATTTGACATTTCCAAAGGCAAGCAACTCTCGAGAAGTTGCACCGACCGAGAAGGCGTTCCAGTACATTAGCTTGTAGGAGACATTGGGGTCCGCAAGGATCTGGATGCTCTTCTCAATAGAGACGTCGGTGATGAAGGGGCGTCTGGCGACCTTGGACATATTTGTGTGTATGGGCGGATAAGAGAGGGATGAAAGTGTGTGTTGAATGTGATGGGAAAACGAGGGGGGAGGGGCAATTGAGTTCTTTTTATATGTTTACGCACAATTCATACATGGCGGACAAAAACGACAAAAATAGCCACGGACGTGTGACAAAACTGCGGGATAGACAGGGAGGGGCAGAGGGAAAGGCGGGATCCCTCGGGGCTCGATTTGTATTACACATTCTGCGCGTGCGTAACGGTCCTTGTACCGACAGCCACACGCCGCAATATGGTTTTTGCTTGTCGAGAATGTCGAGTCTAGACCGAAAACCAAATCTCAAATAACCTTTTGTTGCGCCTTAGAACAATCATACTCCCTCGTTCTGTCAGCAAAAAGAAGCAATGGCGGTTCACTTTATTTACATTCTCTTCCTTCCTTCCTCCCTCATGCTTCGCCCTCTTCTTCAGGAACGGCGGTGATGGAGTATCCAACAACAGACTGATATGCCAATTGCTTCCACTCATCCGTTGATCTCCAAGCTGCAATCTCCGTGTTGGCTTCGACATTCTCGCGGACCTTGGAGAGGAGTTCACTTTTCGCGAATTCGGCTGCGATCATGTTTCCGGTCGGGAGATGGGAGAAGTGGTCCATTACATTCACCAAGTGGATGTCTGCCAGCGAGAGCTATCAGTGGAAATAAAGAACAAAACATCAGATTTTTTATCTCTCGCTGACATGCATGCAACCTAATCCCCCCCATTTGATCATCCTTGTCCTACAACGCACCTTGTTCCCAATGTAATGCCCGTTAGATCCATTTTCCTTCAAATGAAACTCATGGTCCGCAATAAACGCAGGCAGCGTCGACTTCATAAACTTCTCCAGCGCCACCTTTCTCTTGTCTGCATACGTCCAAGTAACACACATGAACGATCGCTCTCGAAGGTAATGGATGTTATTGTAATGCGCCTTGATGGTTTGTTCTTCCCATTCGTTGTTCCCGAGGAGATTGAATTTTTTGGCGAGGTAGTGGTCGATCACGATTGACTCTGCTAGGAATGCCTCCTACAATAGGATGGAGAAGGGATATGAGAGGTCAGCATTGAGGATGATGGTTATGAAGGTATCATTGAGAGAGAAAGAGCGAGAAAGTGGATGGGTTACCTTGCCGTCGGATGCAATGACATTTAACAACGGCATGAGTCTGTATGGCGTGGGAAATTTATTATCGTCCCACTCCGCATCCTAAAAAAAGTAACACGCAATGAAAAACAGAGACGCTGATCAGCACATGGACACAGACACGATCCTTTGTTAACCATTCTCATACACCCGAAACCAAAACACGTCCACAGAAGTGTACCGTTGGGCATTGGTTGGTCCAGTTGGCTTTTCCAAAGGCAAGGATGTCGCGAGCAGTGGCCGCGACGGAGGCACAATCAAAGTACATGAGACGGTAGGTGGGGTTTGGGTCTGTCAGGATTCTTGCGTTTTCTTCTGAGGAGACGTTGTTGTTGAAGGATCGTCTATTAATCGTTGTTGTCAACATGATCTTTTTTCTTGTTGTTATGGATGGAGTGGGGGATCTTGTTATGGAAAAGATATGAAAAAGAGGAACGAGAGATCGAACACTGCATTTATATACCTTCGTCATCTTTTTTGTGAAAGTGGGCTCACAAAGGAGGACAAATAGGGGAAGGGTGGATTGACACCGACGGGGATCAAGCAAGACAAGAAAAAAAGATCCAACTACTCCAACTGTATCCTTTATTATTTAGTGCTTCTTGACATGACTCACATCATCCGTGGAAGGAGGAGGAGAAGGCCGAGTGATAGCATAAGTTTCGACCGAGCCCTTCCTGAACCTCTCCCACTCCTCACTCTTCCTCCAAGCCGCAATCTGCGGGTTGGATTCAACATTCTGACGGACCTTGGTCAACAACTCGGACTTTTCAAGCTGAGCCGTGAACCTCTCGCCGTTGGGCAGTTGTGAGAAGTGGTCCATAACGTTCACCAGATGGATATCTGCGAGCGAGAGCTATTAGAGGGCGACGGAGAGGGAGGGAAAGAAAGAAGTCGCGGATGTCAATTGAATGCATCGATGGTAAACAATAAACAAGGTTAGTGTAGACAGAGCGAATTTATCCAGTGCAGAAACAAGGGGGGCAAAGACAACAAACAACCTACCCTGTCACCAACGTAATGGCCATTAGACCCATTCCCTCTCAAATGGAACTCGTGGTTCACAATAAAATTCGGCAACGTCTTTTCCAAAAATAATTCCAATGCCTCGGCGCGCTTATCAGCCCAAGTCCAGGTCATCGTCATGAGGGATCTCTCTCGAAGGTAGTGGATGTTGCTGTAGTGAGCTTTGATCGTCCACTCTTCGTAGTCGTTGTTGCCGAGGAGGTTGAATTTCTTGGCGAGGTATTGGTCAATCACGATTGATTCTGAGAGCACCAGTTCCTGTCAGGACGGAAGGAATGGGAATGGAGGGTGGTACCGAGATTATGTCAATGTCACACATTGCAAGAAAAGACAAGGTTATTAAATAAATGAGAAGGTGAGAAAGTGGTGTTGTACCTTGCCATCGGGCGCAATGACGTTCAGGAGCGGCAGGACCTTGTAAGGAGTCGCGATCTTCCCATACCAATCATTCGTCTAACGCAAATCAAACAAAAGTTGTACTTATTAGTAAAAACAGCGCGCATGTGTACATCTTCACTGTATGTCCCTTCGAATCAAGCAAGAAACGTAAAGTATACCTGAATGTGGTTCTCATCAGTCCAAGTAGCGTTCCCATAGGCAAGCATATCGCGAGCAGTCGCAGCAATACATGAAATGTCCCAGTACACGATTCGGAAGGTCGTCTCTGGAGCCATCAGCGTCTTGGAGTTCTCTTCTGCCGAGGCACCGTTCAAGTAAAGTCGTCGAGCGTGGGAATCTGACATTGTTGTTATTTGTTGCGGAGGATTGCTGCTGAGATTGCAGCTCGGGTGTCTGTGGTGGAGTAATGAAAAAAGGGTCGCGTCGCCTCCTATTTATTCTTGGATGGGATGCGACAAAATGGACATTATTAATCAACGAAGTATGGATGCTTACAAATGGGTCCCCTGCAAACCCTTCGTTGAGCGCCACTCCAGGAATACACGCCAATATGTCGTCGCGCCATTGGGTGCTCAATGCACAGAGTACAACAGGGCACAGAAATCCAAACTCAATCGCGATACCAGGGGTTAAAGTTTTGAGGGCAAGGGAGCCAGCCTTGACACTCCGAAAACACAAACAGCGCAGTCGATGCCTTTTTTTTATTTATAAAATGTAAAGCAAACAAAAGCTACCCCTCCATGGCTGTTTGCTTGTATCCAGGAGGTGCCGAATCCGCATATATAGCAATTGACCCAGCATTAAATCTCTTCCAATCCTCACTCTTCCTCCAAGCCGCAATCTCTGGGTTTGCCTCAACACGCTCTCGGACTTTCATGATCAATTCGCTCTTCTTGAACTGGGCTATGACATCATCGGCCACGGGGAGGGTCAGGAAGTGGTCCATTAGGCTCACCAGGTGGATATCTGCCAGCGAGAGCTACATACAAGCAGGGACATGAAAAAAAGTGGAGAGCTGAGAGTTAGTGGAATTTGCCACTTTTTTTTGCCTCAACAGGGTCATTCCTCTTCTTCCTTTTCACAGCACACACCTCCGTTTTTTCAACCATCCACATCCGTGCTTACCTTATCACCGAGATAATGCCCATTGGACCCATTAGCCCTCAAGTGGAACTCATGGTCCCCAATAAAATTCGGAATCACCACCTTCAAATAATGCTCCAACCTGTGCTTCTTATCCCCAAACGTATATGACATTGTCGTAAGCGACCGCTCTCGGAAATGATGGATGTTGTTATAGACCGCCTTGATGGTGTATTCTTCCCATTCGTTGTTTCCCAGGAGGTTGAACCGTTTTGCGAGGAAATGGTCGACAGGGACGGACTCTGAGATTACTACTTCCTGAAAAGAGGGAAAAAAATATAACGTTAGGTGAGGGTTAACGCATTGTATGATGGAGAAGAGAAAAAAGGCTGGGGGGGGGGGGGGACAACTCTCTGTACTGTACCTTGCCGTTGCTGGGCGACGAGACGGTGAGGACGGGTAAGACCTTGAACGGCGCAGGAATCTTGCCTTCGTTCCAGTCTTTTTCCTAAGTAGCATGCCCAAAAAAAATACACCGAGATTTAGAGTCAGCGTCCCACGGCCCAAAAAATACAACAATGATAGAGCCCCGGTTCCAACATACATTGGGAACGTAGCTGGACCAATTAGCCTTTCCAAAAGCCATTATATCCCTCGCTGTCGCGCCAACGCTTCCGATATCAAGATACATGAGCTTGTAGGTGGGATTGGGGTCCGCCAACACTTGGGCGTTCTCCTCTGACGTGTTTCCTGTAAAGTACGGTCTCTGAGCTTTCAATGTCGTCATGGTGGAGGATGGTCGGGAGTTGTTGTCGTTGCTGACTCCTGAGTGTGATTAGGAAGGGAGGGATGGAGTGGTAAACAAAAGAGAGATCCAAAAAAAAGTGAACAGGAACTTGTTAAATAGTGCTAAATTGACTCTTGTGCTAGGACTATGCCACGTATGGTGCACTGCGCAGTTTGGGACGCGGGAAAGACACTAGTTTGTATTGCTTTGTCACCACCGCCGTCTCCTCACAACAAAAATCTCGTTCTACGCCCTCGCATTCTTGTTCATCTTTTCTTTTATTATATACAGTTTCGTTGTTGTTTGTTGTTACATGATAAAGGGGGCGTGTGAAAGTAAAAAGATCATACGTATGGTTGACGGGCCAACAGGGGATCACACTCAAAAGCATGAGACGCGCGCTAGCTTTGTGCCGGCGTGTCCAGGGTGACGAAACAGCCAGTGGGCATTGCAATCGAGGAGGTGAGAGGGCTGATGCAAATGAGCAGGATGGCAGCGTAGCTTGTTCGACGGATGCCAGAAGCAGGAAACCACCGAAAGAGTCGACATTGTGACCGGAGCAAAGGGGAGGGGTGATGTTGTTATATGGACCATGGACTGAAAACTGAGAGAGAGACGCTCAGAACTCATGCTGCGAGTACTTGAAGATCAGCCAACAGTGGCAGGACCCGTGTTGCCACAGCGTCCTCAGTATAGACTTTGGCGCTAGGCAAGTCCGACTTATCTAGACCCTTTCCCTGCATCTTCTTCAGTCTCAGTTCGTTCTCCACCATCATCTGCAATTTCTGTCCCTTCTCCAACTCCGTCAATATGGCTTTCATCAGCTCCAAATCCTTCTGTGACCCCAGTTGGCTGTGCAGCTTCATGTGCAAGTTCTTTTGCATTCTCAGTCCCTTCTCCAGGTCTTTCTGCAGACGCTTTCTCAGCTTCTTCTTTCGCTCCTCCTCCGTCACCCTCTGTTCGTCTTCCTTCACCAGCGTGTTTTTCGGTTCTTGCTCCTTGACCTTGTCATAACACTCGCCATTGAATCGGCCCTGTTCCTTGTGACCATCTTTGTTTCCCTCGTTGTTACTGTCGCCGACAGCATGGTCACTTCTTTTCCTGTCCTGCATGTGATCCTCGGTGTTTGTCGACGTTGTTTTCGATTCTCCGTTGTATTGTGCGCTAGAAGTTGTCTTGACTTTCCGGCAAGCCAGCTGAGAGCCAAAACAAGACAAAAACAGTCAGGGTTTGGACAGTGCACGCAATAAAACCGATCCCTTGAAATGCATGTTGCAGACTGAAGGCATACCTTGGTTGGTTTTCTCTTGTTTTTCTTGTGTCTTGAGCAAGTGGGTTGAAAGAGGGCGACTACATATGTGACATGAAAAAACGAATCGTGGTTAGTTCCGACCTGACAAAAAAAGGTGTAACCGTGCTGTTGTCGTAACGATGTCAGATTATAAAGACAAGGAAGTACCTTCAAGGACTCTAAGTTCTTTGATGACATGACCAGAACTCGTCGAATCGCGCTCTTCTTGAGTAACATCTTGCTCCGCTGGCTTTTCCACTGCACACCCCCAGATCCACTCGATCTCATCCTCCTCCTGTTCCTGTTGTTCCACGGAAACCTCGGCCTATGCACGTATGTTTCGCAATCAAACATTAATGAAAGATTCAAAGTCACGCTCTCACATCCATGGCAAGTTGCGCCACCATTGATCGCGATCAAGCCCTTGCTCCCTTGGCAAGGCAAAATGAAATTTAGACTCCCACAGTTGTGGAATTCGCTCACATGAGTTTCTTGTGCCTGATGTGCGTGTGCATGTCTACGTAATCATCACTTCGTTCATACCTTGGTGTTGATGTCGGTAACCATTTTTTTCGGAGTCAAGCGACGAGGCCCCGTCTGGACGGGAAGATCCAGCTTCTTCTTACGCTTGCCCGTCTCCTTATCCAGCGGCCCAGGGACCTTGGACGCCTTGGTATCCTTGGTCTCCTCGGTGGCCGAGGTGTCCGTGGTCATGTGTCTTGTGTGTTATAGTACTTTCAGTCTCAACTGGTCGGAAACGTTGGAGCGTCTATTGACAGAGGTAGTTCAGGGCAGACAGCAAAGTCAATACGTCGACCCTCGAGTGTACTCGAGTCTACTCTTTTGTTTACACCAGACATGGTGGTGGTGGAATGAGGCATGAGAACGAAAGAAAGAAATGCATGCATTCTAGAGTTAATGAGTCTTTTCTTTCAGTTTGTGATGCAGGCCGACAAAAGCGTAAAGTCTACCGTTGATGTTATCAGAACTAACCTCCAGACAGAAAGTACGCGACTGTCCTTGTTTTATTCTTGGGCCTGTTGTGCGAAAGAACTATTGTGTTTTGACGTGTCTCTTCCTCTATGTGCGTGTGTGTGTATCGGTACCTGGTGACTGTACGAAGTTGTCGTTGTTGGGTCCGAAGGGGTTGCTGCCAACTGGGGTGAAGGTGATCTCGACGCGAAGAAATGAGGAATGAGGGAATGAAAGGCAGGGGAACAAAAAGAGAATGAAAGGTAGAAGGTCTGAAGGCTAAGGCATTCAGTTATGAATCTCGATCGTCAATTAGAGAAATTAATCACGTGCAGCACCGACTTCGCCCATCAACAATCCCTCTGAGCTGAAAACGTCGTTATTTCTTTCGTTCTCTCGTTCATACCCAATGACATTGAAAAACTTGCAAGATAGAGAAATAACGGAGCAATCTACGAGCAGAGCATATCCTGCTTGTATATCAAAACACCTGCCAAGGCTCACCAAGTGATCTAGGAAAAAAATCAATCGACAGAACAATAAAGCCATCAGGCAGACAGTCCACTCAAGGAAGTCAGGTCAAAGCTCGCATAAAATAGCCGCAGCAAGCAGACACCCACCACCACCATCTACCCGCGACTCCTCCCTCCACTCTGCTCTTTGTCAGAACTCAGGAGAAGGTCACAAAGGAAGGAGGCATGTAGTCAAAAAAAGGTGCATTGTCGCTTTTTCTTATCTACACCCTAACTCAGCCGGTGCGACTAAAAAATCCCAATTGTGGGGTTTGGCTCTTGTTCTTCTCCTGCATCTCCAGTTTATTATTAACCCAAATGGCTTGATATGCCTGTCCGTGTGGTCGAAAAGAAAGAACTAGGTCACTGTTTCTTTACACGTAATATCATGCTACGCTCAAAAGGGGGAGAGAAATTAAGGCGAGTGAGATCTAGGATTTTCGTTGGAAGTGTGTGGAGTGTGTACCTTTTTGTCTGCCTTGTTGCGATTTGACCGAGTCGAAGGAGACGAAGGAGTGAATGAAGGAGAGGGAAGGTTACATGCACGGGGTCAATGAGTGAAATGGAAAAGAGAAAGCATGCAAAGGTTGGAGCCAAATCACAGGCAGACTGTCCTGCACAAGATTGTGAAGTCGCCCAAGGTCGACCGTCCTTCCCATACCATTGTCGTTCTCACCGTGCAAACAAATAAACAAATAAACAGGCATCAAGCCCATTATTAAGTGACATAACTGACATAAGCTTCAACCCTATGCACTCATCCTCGTCTTCGTCTTTCTTCTCCCTCTCCTTTCTTGTTGGCATTGATATGTAAATGACTGAGATGGATGCCCGCCCCTATCGGAACTGGCTATTTCTCCGTAGGTTGGTCTTTGTCAGGGGTGACAGAAAAAAAAGTGATGCGCCACCACTGTTTCGAAAGGAGAATTGTTGACAACAAATGACCCGCGCAGGTCAACTCGATAGACAAACGCATTGGCCATCCATCTGTTCATAATCTGACGTCGTGTGTGAGCGTGAGTCTTTGCGCCATTACGACACTCTTATTTCGTATCGGTAGTCAAGCTCTTGAATGAAAAGAAGCATAAAGGGGATCCACAAAAAGGTTTGCCAATGAGGACGAAGGGAGGTTCAACAAAGATAACCGAATGAACGAATGAAGGGCGCAACAAAACCAAAAACACCCTTCGGCTACATCCTTGTCGGGATTTGTGTTGAAGGTCATTCATTCATTTGTTTATCCTCCTCCCGTCTTTGTTGTTTGTTGTCTGTTCAAAAGTTGAATTGTGTATGTCCATATCTGCCCTCCCCTTTTGAACCATAGTAGCACTCCTTCTCGTCCAATTTGTTCAAGAGCGGTCATAGACTAATTCGTTGCATGGTGCTCCACGCAGGAAAACAATACCAGTCTATGTCGACTGATGAGTCAAGCCAGTCTAACCTCCCATCTTCACCCTCATTTCTCTCATTCGTTCATTCATGTCGCCCCCTCCTCTTCGTCGTAGTCGTTGACGTGTGTCCATCTTTGTGTCCTAAAAAAATATGTTTTGGTCTATATAGAGTTGTCGGTTCCTTTTCTTTCCTTACTCCTCCTCCTCTGTTCCTTCCCCCTTTCTCCCCTTTTAACCCTTGCTTCATCTCGCTTCTTCCCCCGACAAAGAAAAAACGATGTTCGTAATCACCCACCAGAGGTTGAATCTCCATCTCCAACCCCCCCCCTCTCTTCTCTGAATGAGAGATGCAGGACTGAAGAAGAACGATGAGGAAACCAAAAAGGATCTATTTTCCCTTAGGGAAGAGGGAGAAAGAACAAAGAAGAGTGGATGAATGTGTTAGAGAAAAGAGAGAGATAGAGAAAACGAGCGAGAGAATGAAGGGTGGACTCAAATATGAAAAGGAGGTGGAGAAAAGGGTCACCAAGAACACCATCATCCTTCTTCCTCGACTCCATTAGCGTCCCTTCCCTTCTTTCCTTCCTTACTACGTACTTCCCAAGACTGGCTTCTTCTATTTCGTCTCAACCCATCCGAGATTAAGTAGCTTTTGTCCGTTGAATGTACAGTCCATGTACAGGCCCGTCGACCGCCCAAACAGACAATAGCTGTAGTTCATGCGAATAAAAATTGTTGGCCATGTATGGTCGACCCCTTGTGTATTCGTTTCGCATTCGAGTCCGCTTCTTTGTTGGCTATTATCGTTGCATGTCTTTGTCTTCCATCGATTCAGGTATTCAAGTCCAATCCCTTCTGTTCATGCCCATGCGTGTACAAGAAATTATTTTGATTAATCCATGATGTTGTATTGGTTGTATTTCTCGTTCCTGATCACTGATCCCTTGCCAAGGTTGTTGGTCTGACTGATCGTTCCTCCTTCGCGTTTATCAATCAATTCGCTCCTTCTTCGCGTTTAACCCATGGGCTGGTCATCTTTGACCCATGGACTGGCTCCTCACGGTCTTTTCTGTCGTCTAATCGCACCTGATCTCTCCTTCTATTCAGTCGCCTTTTTATTTTCCAGGTCTCTATTTATTGTTCACTTTGACCGTGTCCCTCTTTTTTTCCTTCCTTCCTGCTTCTTCACTTCCTAATCTTTCCCCCCCTCATCCTTTAATCCTCTCTCCCTTCTCGTGGTCTCCTAGTCTTCTCTTTAATGCGCTCTCACTATCATCCTTATTTTCCTTCTTTCTCTCTCTTTCTCTCTTTCTCTCTTTCTCTATCTGTTTCTCATTTTCATACACACTCGCACCTAACATACTATCCAATTGTATCCCCATAAACCGTCTACGCCGTAACGCGCTCATCTTTTTATCCTCACTGTCTTCATCCTTCTTCCTTTTTCCCTGTCCTTGTGCCTCGACCACCACCCGAGAAAGAAGAGCCTTTTTTCATTCTGACGCGCTCTTTTCTCTTCTCTCTTTCACCCTTCATTTCCACTTGTATCATTTTTTCTTTTGGACCTCTTTGACACAACAAGAACTTGTTCACCGACACGACTCTTCTCTTTTTCACTCTTTCAATTTCACTTTCACCACTACCACCACCTTCCTTCCCTCATCCCTTTTGAAGTTGATTCCACTTTCTACAATTCATTCCACAACCCACTCCATTGAATTCACTCTCTCTCTCTCTCTTGTCCAATTGCATGAACTACACACGCACCCTATTAAAAAAAAAGTCTCTTAGTACACTACTGTTGTTATTACTTTGCTTTCTAGTGCGACCACTTCATTACACACAGCCCTCTTATTGTTTTTCACGGACCACTCTTTCTTTTGTAGCACATCGTCCCTTTTGATCCCTCTCCCCTCTCTCCTCTCTCTGTCTCTGTGTGTCTCTCCTCTCTCCCTCCCACCAATTACACACCAATCCTGCACTCTCCCTCCCTCTCTTCTTTCTGTTCTTTCTCTCTCTCTCTCTCTCTCGCATTCTTTCTCTTATCTCCCTTCTCCTTCACCCCTTCCCCCCTTCCGCCAGATCCATTACAACAAACTCTCTCTCTCTCTCTTCATCCTTCACGCCCTCTAAACAGGACCCTTTTAGAACATAACAGCAATAACAAAATCCAAGCGCCGGAGGGTACTCTCCCCCTCGGCCTGCCATCTTACCTCTCCCTAATCCCTCATAACTCTCTTTCACAACAAACAAACAAACAATACCCCCTCCCAAACTACCTTTGGCAATGACCCCTTTCAGCCAACCTGCAGCAACATATACCCCTCCTCCTTCGTCTCCCGCTGCTGCATCAATATTACCTAGCTTCGACCGTTTCCTCGCATCAAGGCAACCTCCTACGCCTCCTCCTGCACGCAATAACGGCCACAACGAGCACAGCAGCAGCACTAGTTCGACAACAACGACAACAGCATCTATCCCGTCAAGTAGTACTACCACCACTGCCACTGCCATGTCCACTCAGTGCGTCACCCTTTCGAATACCCAATCATCGACGCCAATAACAACATTAACGTCGAAAACAGATATATGCAGGGATCAAAGGCTAGGCACCAACGACAACAACGAGAAAGAAGTGAGACCAAGTCAGAAACAGGAACAAAGACAACCGACACAGGATCTGTGTCAGGGAAAACAGGGACCATGCGCCTTCCTCCCCTCTTTCCCTCCCAAACGTCCTCACACGCTTTCTTCCAGTGCCTCCACTCTTACGCCCACGTCCATGCCCACGCTTACGTCCGACAGTCGCATTTACTCATCATATTCCTCTCGACCTGTACATAATCCTCATCTTTCTCAACTGTCACCTACGCAGCTGCAGCTGCTTCAAGGACAACACAGCCTCTCGCATGCGCATAAAAAAGATGCACACCATTATTACACTTCACATCAACAACAGCTTCAGAGTCACCACCTGCCATACGCTCCTTCTGCTCATCAGCACCAACAGCAGCATCCCTCACTGGTTTCGCTACAACGCGAGCCATCCTTGGACTCATTTTCTTCCAGTAAACAGGGACAAGTGGGAAGTGCACAGCCAAATATCGGCCTTATACGTTCGCCCGACCCGAGGTACCTGGAGGCCTTTGAGGGGTACTTTGGTGACCACTCACACTCTTCTCCACAGCTGGAGGAGGCTGTGGCGATGATGGGCCTTCAGTCAGGAGAGGAGACGGCTTCTGGGGATGAGGATGACGATGAGAATGGTGGAAAGGAGGAGGAGGAACCAAAAGTTCGTTGGGCTGTCACTTACAAACCCATCAGGTAAGATGCCTATGAACTTCCAAATATTACCAAGCGTGCCGTCGTTTTAGAACCCCCTGTACTGATATCCTTTCATATTGTAATTGACTCACTTTTGTAGGGATGGACTAAGAAAGGACCGGCGTCGGTCCCGATCAGTCAGCGGAGTTGTGTCCCCACCAGCAACGCCCACATCTTCTCCACCCTGGACGTCCCCATCAAGTTGCGACCCATATGACGGACTGGCCACACCAATTTCGCGGGCCAGTAGCTTTCTTGTCTCCCCAGCCACGGATGGAACAGTAACGACCCCTCCTCCTTCGTCGCGCGTCTCTTATTCGCCTAGGAGACGCCGCCATTCCTGTGTTGCGCCCAATACCAAGGAATTCCATACCCTTGCTACCATTTTTGGGTGGGTCACCGATGCGTCTGCGAACTACCCCAAGCCAATCAGATCCGAGGAGGACCAGGAAGAAGAAGGGGAGCGGGGGAGTGGCATCGAGAGTATCATTATGGAAGGTGCGCCTCGGTATCTTCCTGGCAGTCAGAGTACGATCTGTGCGAGCGATGATGACTCTGACCTTGATGATTGTTTCCGCCAGAGTTCCTCGTCCGCCAGTTGGCACACATCCCGCGAATCGAGGTGAGACTTCACCCTGTTCACGAAGATTTTTTGTTTTTCGCCGATGCTTACCATGCCCTTACTTTTCTTTGGTAGAGGTTCGGAGCTCTCACAGACACGCGTCGAGGGCAGGTTCGAACACAACCCACACAGTTCCAACGGCTCAATCGAGTTCCTCAACGAGTCAGGCGAGGCTGTCGCCACCGGATATACCGCCACATCTTGGTCAAGTTACTCTAAATCCACCTCACGGAACAACTGGCAGACAGGGACCCCAGAATCTGAGAGTGCCTCTTCTTCCTCGTCCTCATCAACCTCTACCCCGCCTCATCTGGAATCCATGGATGACTTGCTTCATGACATCCACCGCCGTCCCAGCGCTACACACCACCAGCATCAGCATCATTCGTTCCCGGCACAGTCTCCAGATGCACTCACCAACGAGCTGTTGTCGAGTAGTCTACTACCTCGGACAGCAACCGGGTTGCACAGGTCCGACACCATGAGTACAAGACATTCTTGCGATTCCATCTCTTCTCCCCTGGACTCTGAACAGTTGGAATCACCTCTGACGCAGTGCAGCAATAGCACACTGATGTCGCCTTTGTCTAGCAGCCATGACAAGGACTCGGGGTACATATCTTTTTCTTACAACAAGCATGGTCCGTCCCTTGAGTCGTTCGCCAGGGGTGTTGCCCTGAGACTTTCAGAGCAGCGGTACAACCGTGCCGAAGATGCATCGGGCAAGACAGTTCAGGCAGCTGGAGCTGTTAATCCAACTGCGACCAGTGAAGACACTGAAGAACCACCAGCCCCTCCGCCCATTCCGCCGCGATACCCCGAGATCGACGTCCGAGTGTTTGATCGCCCCGAGGAGGAATCGTCCGAGACGATTGTCTATGCGCCACCTTTGGAGGGATACAAACGCGAATCGCTCTCCGGTACACTCGAGTTACGACCCATCATTGCCGCAACTATTGTCAAGTTGATCGAAAAGCTGACCCACCAGTACGGCTTGGGTAAGTTTTTATTATTCTCTTTAGAGTTCAGTGTGTTATCTGCAAATGAACCTAGAATCTCTAACCAACAGCCATTGTGGTTTCTAGACTCTGGATTCATAGCAGACTTTTTTCTGACATATCGGTTGTTCATGTCTCCAGTCCAGCTATGCAAGTACCTCATCCAGCGGTACCTGTGGGCTTTGGAAGAAGACACAGAGTTCCGCTGTGTCATCCGCGTCCGGTAAAGCGATACCCCCTATCCTTCTCTTTCATATTTGACAGTATTGTACCATTCACATACTCATTCGCCTTGCTTCTTTGGCTTATTAAATATAATAGGACATTTGTGGTGTTCAAATTCTGGATCAACAACCACTTCGCAGACGATTTCCTGACCTCGAAATCGCTCCGATTCCAAATGGCGTCCTTCTTGAACGAGATGCGGTTTAACACCAGGGTTCAGGCGTCACCACGGGACTCACGGATTATTCGTAACCTGATGGAATTCTTCAAGTACCAACGACGGTATTATAAAGATCTTGCTCAACAGAGTGCTACCACTGAGATGGAGCGGTATCATCGACAGCATAAATACAACAACAGAAAGGACTCGGGACAGGTTTCTGACAATGGGGATGTCAGGAAGTTTTCTACTGATGGGGCGCCAGAATCGACGGCGGCCGCTGTAGCGGGTTTTAGTTCAGATGTGGTCGATCGACTCCGGGTGTCGACTGTGCACAGGCAGATGGATCCGGTTACAGGCAAGGTGACAACCAGTGATGTAACGGAGACTGCAAACGCGCCCAGCAACCCCACCAAAGGTCGACACAGGGCTTATACTCTCGGAGGCTTGATCATTAAGCCTCTGAGTGGCGACACTCCATCCAAGCACGTCGTAAGTCCGCCTCTCGGCTTCTTGTCTTTGAGACACGTCTTAATTGCACAACGGTATTCTTTACTAATAAGCCCACCACATCACATAGAATACGAAACCACCATTGTTCAAGGAACAGCCACGGACAGCACAACAGACGGGCCGCCAACCCAGCGAAGGCTCAGGCCCATTCCAGCCTCGAGAACGCCGCCTCTCCTCCTCATCCATCAAATCCAACAAAAGCACCAGTACCTGGTCCACCAAATTCGTTAACAAGATCCGCCAAAAGTCTGAGGACTTCTATCAACAGATTGTTCACCCCTCAGGAACCACGCATAAGGCGGACTCGAAGCAGTGTGTCTGTTGGACGTTGGCGTATATTGGCATCTCGGAGCAGCATCATCATACCCTCAGCTCTGCCCGGAGTTTCCCCAACTTGCGACCTTCTGTTATTTCGACTCACTACCAACAACAGCAAGATACTGCGGGGTCTGTTGTTACGAGCAATACCTCCAGCTCAATCCCTTCGTTGCCTTCGAACAAATCGATCAAGCGGCTCAAGTCGTCGCTCAGTCTGGGCCTTCATTCGTCGACTAGCAGCACGGTCCCTTCGCCTATCCCTTCGCCCACTAGGAACCAGTTCTCGGGCATCTCTAACCGCCACTCGCGTTCAAACTCCAACTCCTCAGTCGGTTATCACCCAAACCCAGAATGCCCCTACCACATCCCATGCGTCGAGGCGATCCAAACCGATTCAACCAACGCACCACCGCCACCGTCCGAGACCTCCGAAAGTGGCGCCTCTTCCGCCACATTCTCAACCCTAAAAGAAGCCCTCCAGGAAGACTTCTCCAGCACTATCAACGGGAGCGAATCAAGATCCTCCTCGCAACCTCAATCCGGCGGTATCATCCCCCCCTCCCCAGGCTGGAACTACGGACCCTGGCACTCCTCCGCCCACCAACTCTTCCCAACCATGGTGTCCCCACCACCATACAAACCGTTCATCCTCTTCTATCGGTCGCAACTGATTGCGCAACAGCTCTGTCTGCTTGAACAGCATTTCTTGGAGAATGTCAAGTGGGATGAGCTGTTGGAGGTGGAACTGTGTAGGGCGGGGAGGAAGAGTCGAAGCAAGGTGCAGAGTTCGATCAGTGGGTATTTATTCAGAGCTGAAGGGGAGCCTAATGGCATGGATGCCAGCAATGAGCGAAGCAACATGGTAAGTCTCGCGTTTTTTTTCTGTGTTTTTCTCGCCTATAGTTTACTTTCATTGCAGTGATCTGACTGATTACTTTTTCCCCTTGTGTAGCTGTGTATGTGGGTCGCCTCGGAGGTTGTGAGCACGCGCGTTCTGGACGACCGCGTTCGCGTTGTCGAAAAGTTCATCAGGATCGCCAAAGTACGATATCCCTCATCCCCATTTTAACGCCTCCCCCTTTAACGCCCTTCATACTAACCACCAACTACTCACGCCTAATAGAAATGCTACCAGTACAGGAACTTCAACTCACTGATGCAACTCGTCATGGGGCTCGGATCGTCACCCCTATGTGGACTACGTCGGACCTGGGCGCGTGTCGGAAGCTACGAGATGCGAGTCCTTCAGGACCTTCAGGACTTCATTTCACCTTTTGGGAACTGGAGTGATTTGAGGAAGGCGATGAATCAGGTCGGGTACCAGGAGACTTCTGCTGCTGCTGCTGGTTCTAGTTTTGCTGCTGGAGAGAGTGTCGGACATCAGAGACTTAGTGTTCAGGGGTCTGACGTCTTTTCTTCTTCCATCCACGCTACTGGTAAGACATCCTTTAATGAAAAAGCATTGGTTGCAATGATCGCTTTCAACAAATACCCTGACATTCATTAGTACCTCCATGACTTCAAATAGGACATGATGCGAATGGGACGAGTAGCAACATCCACTCACAGACAGAACCAGGACACAGCAAGTACCTCCAATACCAAGCCCCCCTCGACAGACAAGGATGCATCCCGTTCCTGGGTCTCTTTGTCTTTGACCTCACCCACATTGCCGTATCGCCATCCTGGTTCCTCCCCCAGGTCGTATCCTCCTCCTCCTCTTCCTCGTCTTCGTCTTCGTCTCCCATGAACGGTTCTGCATCCGAGGAAAGCAATGTCACTTCTGTCGAGAATGGAATGGGATCCGCCCCATTGACTCCGATGAAGGCGAATCATATGGCGACTGCTGCACGGCTCGAGGCTCCAGAACCCAAGGATCTGCAGGAGCTTCTTCCAAGTGGCTCTCTCCTCGTCCACTTTTATCGCTACCAGCTGATCGGTACGCCCCTTTGACCGTATTCCAATCGGTAGTATATGAACGAGTGTCTCGCTTGGTAGTACAGTGGACATCTAACCCTATTCTTCTCGTTTACCTTTGAACTAATAGCAAAGACGATCAAGTGGTTTTTGGCTTTCCAGCAGCGATCGCCAAAGTACACGTTCCCAGTCGACAGCACGTTGTATTCAAAGTGCTTCTTGCTGCGTGTGTTGACCAAGGAGCGTGTGAAGGAACTGGCCATCAAGTGCGAAAGCGAGTAACCCCTTTTCTGTGTTCTCGTCAGTATCATGGCCAAACTGTACATACTCGAGGTTTTTTTTTTTTTTTTTTTCTTGGTTACGCGTCTTTCCCATTGTCCATCCTCTTCTTATGAATGACCCCCTTTCATTTCCTCCCGCCAAATCCTTCGCCTTCCATTACTTCATCCTCGTCAACCATTTTCGCCTTCCTTCTTTCCCTTCGCACAAAAATCCCATCGAGTCTAGGCCACTTGAGATTCTATCATGTCCCTTTCCCTCCCTTTTTTCCCCTTTCGACCATCACCTCCACTTCCTTCGCCCCTTTTCCAGTTATTTTTGTGCCACTGTCATCTAGACCATCTGTCCAGCATACCCTGCATCATCCATTCACGCTTTGCATTCCCTTTTCCTTTCTTGCTTTCATCGATCCCTCACCTTCTCCCTTGCCATTTCATGTCACCCATGGCCTCTTCCTCTTCCTCTTCCTTTTACACCATGTATATGCCTCTCTTCCTCTTGCTCTCCCATGTTTCCATCCTTTCCTCTCCCCTCCACACTTCTGTGTGATCCTCCTCTTCGCTCAATTCCCTTGTGAAAGCTAATAAAAATATAAAGTTGCCCAACGTACCTTTCGTCCATACGAAACGCCCGTCATCCAGTGAGCCACAACACAAACAGGCACAAGAAAGCTTTCTTGAGAGCACCAAACAACATAAAAGTAACTTGTGCACAAGAGTCAACTGGGCCATTTGATTGGGTCATGTCCTTTCTCTCCGCTGACTTTTGACTTGCATGTTGACCAACCTGGAATTCACCCAGAACCCAAGAAACGAAAGAGACTGAAATAATAAAAGTCAGGTTTTCCCTTTTTTTTTTTTTTTTTTTTTTTTTTTTCTTTCTCTTCTTTGGCCGATTCCCCTCACCCTCACATTCCCTATTCCATCCATCCTCCTCCTCTTCTCTTCCTCCATCCATCGCCCGCCCTCCCTTTCATCCCTCCCTCCCCCATTCCCGCCACTTTTTGCAACTTTGCAATCAACCCTCATCACCCATACTCCTCCCCTCCCCCGCCTCCCCCCGAATTAACTCGAGCCCCATCATGAAGGAAGAGTTTGAAGACAGAAAGCAAGACGACCTGGAGAGGGTCAGTGTCGAATCTGACGGCGAGTCCGTGGCCCTCACCAAGCGTGAGATCCAAGGCTGGTACGCTCCTGCTTTTTTTTCCCCCCTCTTCTTATTGATCCATTGATAAATCCAAGGACAAGAGGCAAAGAGCTGCAAACAACAGAGAGTGGTGTGTTGTTCTCTTTGAGAGGCGTTATCTCTTTGTCATCGATTTATAAGGGCCATACTTGCTTGCTTGCTCACAAGGATATACCAATAGCCAGCTAGTCAGTGAAAAAAAAGAAGCTTGTTTGGAATAAGAAACTAGCACGCGCACAACAACAGCAATAACAACACCTACAGCAACAACAACACCTACAGCAACAACAACACCTACAGCAACAACAACAATAGCAACAACAACTGCAAAAACTACCAAGCCTACAAATCAACAACCCACTCTCCCCGAATTGCAATTTGCAATTGAAGGGTGTTCTCCACGTGTGTGTAATAAGGCTATTTCGTTTGAACAAAAGAAACTGACAAAGACGTATAAAACAACCCTATCGTTGTCCGACGGGCATGTGGAAGAGAAGTAGGAGTGGGCGAGAAGGAAACAACGGAACAAAAAAAGCGAGCTTGTTATGTGCAGCAGTCAAGCGCGATTGAACAAGACCGGAAGCAAAAAGCAAAAAAGGCTCTAGCCCAATCCCCTGGCTGCGTTGGGGACATGGTCTCGTCGGAGAACGTAACAAGATGGGAAAAACAAAAAACCTCAAACCATACGCTTTATACTTTTAGCTTCTCTAGCTTACCCAGCACATGGATTCCGGTTGTTTTTTTGATGGCGTTTTTTTTTTGGGGATGTTCCGAAAAACGAACACTGTATTTTTTCATCGTCCGCCTTTTGTGGGTTGAAGAGGTTCATCGTTCTTCCTGTCCTCTTTTTTTCTTTTCTGCCGGTTGTTTTTCTGAAGAGCCCTCACTCACCGAGGGTTGAAAGGCGGAGAGTGTTCTTGTTTGCTCCACAAACAGCCGGCTTGGTTCAACCACACTCTCACAAAAAGTACCTTCCTCCCACATACACTCCCACACCCTGTCATCCGTCTCTTTTTTTCCATCAACAAAATGCAACAACAAGCAGAAGAAGAAAGCGAATTTGATCGAAGAGAATGCATATGAAAAAGAAGCTTAACAAAGCCTAACCTTCTATTTCCTCGTTCCTCTTCTCTGTTCCTGAATTAACGCGTGGTGTTTCATATGTTCCTTACTGACATCACCAACATCAACAACAACGTCCACCAACCAATTGACCTGATTCGACAAACAGGTTGGCCTATGCCGCTGCTGTAAGTTTCATCTCTTCTTCACTACATATTGACAGCCCTTTCTACCAAACGACCACAACCAAATCGCTAACATGTTCTTTACCCTTTCCTCTTTTAATAATAGGCTGAGCCCTACAGTGTCGTCTGTATCTCTGCATTGGCTCCCATCGTGCTCGAGTCCCTGGCCAGTGGATACGGTTACCAGACCGCCGATAGGTCCCTCCCCTGTAACACTGTAAGCTTCGTCTAAAAGAGGACTCACATTCGACCATCTGGGGAGAACGAATTGACAGAGGCACAAAGGGTGGTTGCACATATAATATTAAGCTTTACTAACACCAACAACAACAACTCTTTGCTTTCCTCTTCGTTTGTCTCGTTTTTTTGATACAATAGCATGAATCTGATTACAAGGTACACACCAACACACTGATAGGAAAAAAAACAAGATAGACGGGCTTACGGGATGGGCTGATTGAGAGTCGCTCGCTTTGCTGACTGGCTGGATGCATGCACGTGCATGGGTGCTGGATTTGGACATGTTCTTTCAGCTGAAGGCAGGCTCTCAGTGGACATGGAAGGAAGAGCGGGGTAGAACGGTGGATATATGCAGCTGCGCGTTTGCATCCCACTCCACAGTTTGCTTTTGGTGAATTTTATTTTCTCACGCCGACATCAGATACCGCACCTATCTACCAACTGCCGACTCTCAACTACCAAGACTTGTGTAGCACCTTTACCAGTTGACTTCAACAAAACTAATACCAAAGACTAGGAATGGGCGCTTCTGAAGAAACAACGGCGCCCCATTGCACAAACGGTCAACCAACCATATGTACTCTACCAGGATAGTTGGAAATATTGACGGCGTGCTGACTCCAAGTTTTATCTCTCATTCATTGTACATATGACAATAGTGCGAGGTGAAGGTCGGAGGATTGTGGTTGGACACTGCGTCGTTCTCGCTGTACTGCATCTCAGTCTCGGTTTTCTTGCAGGCCTTTGTCTTTATCAGCATGGGAGCTCTTGCTGATCACGGCAGTAAGTTCCTTCTCTTCTCTTTTATTATGTCTTGGTATGGGACAAATGTGCCACGACGTTTTTATTCACGCCTTTTCGTTTTCGTTTGTCCTGCAAATAGCTCGTCGTAAGACGTTTTTGTTGGCCTTCTCGTTCATCGGATCCATCTCGACCATCCTCTTTGCCGCCGTCGTCAAGGAGAGTAAGTTATTATTTGCCATATTAATTATGTCTGCCGCACCTGACATGTCGTAAAGGGGATCCATACTATTTGGTCTTCATACTCACACAACCTCCCACGTTCTAAATTTTCCTTCGAATAGGCTTGTACTGGTTGGCAGGAGTGTTGGTGATTATCTCAAACGTCGCATTTGGAGCCAGTTGGGTCCTCTACTACGCATTCATCCCAACCATGGCCCGCGACCATCCCTCCGTCGTCGAAGCCCGCCAAAACGTCAAATCTGGAACCGATACCCCCGCAGACTATCAATTCGTCTTTGACCGTGTCGCCAACTCTCTTTCCTCCCATTCTATGGCAATTGGGTATGGCGCTGGAGTCATACTGTTGATTATTGCGGCAGGGATTGCGCTTGCAATGGACCAGACGAATTACTCGTTGCAGTTGGGTATGGCTTTGACAGGAGTTTGGTGGTTTGGAGTGACGTTCTTTGTGTGGAAGTTTATGCCTGCTCAGCCTGGTGAGCCGTTGACGGAGAAGACGAATTTGTTTTTCTATTCGTGGAGGCGTCTTGGCAAGACTATCTCTAGGGCAAAGTCGCTGTCCGAGACGTTCAAGTACCTCATTTCGTGGTTTATCCTCTCGGACGGATCCTCGACTATCATCTCGCTCGCAACTTTCATGGGCAAGAAGAAATTCCTCCTCTCCAACACCCTCCTCATGGTCGGAGCCATCCTCGTTCCCCTCTCAGCACTCATTGGAACCTACCTCTGGCTCTTCATCCAACGCCGTCTCAGCCTCACCTCTAAACAAACCCTCCTCGCCATCTCTGTCGCCTTTGTTCTCGTCCCCATCTACGTCCTCATCGGCTTCTCCGGAGTCTTTGGACTCGTCTACAAGGTCGAGATCTGGCCGACCTTGGTCTATTTCGGACTCATGCTGGGAGCCTTCCAATCCTTCTCTCGTGTTCTCTACGCGTCCCTCATCCCCCGGAGCAAGGAGGCAGAGTTCTTTTCGTTGTATGGAATCACGGACAAGTCGAGTTCTTGGTTGGGACCCTTGATTACGGGCGCGATTATTGAGAACAATGATACGAGGTGGGGATTTGTGTTCCCCTTGGTGATGATGATCATTCCATTGTTTATTATTTGGTGGGTCGATGTTGAGAGGGGTATTTCTGATGCGGAGAAGTTTAGTGTTGAGCATACCGATGCCAAGGATGGTGTGTAAAAAGGCTTTTCCCCACTCCTCTTCTCTCCCCTTCTCCTCTTCTTCTCTTCTCCTCTTCTCCTCTTTCTTCTTCCTTATGGTCCTCTACTTTTACCATCCTTCGCTTAATACTCTCCAGTAATATTAAAAAACTTTTCTTCGTAAACCCCAATAAGACGATCGTAGATATGAATGAGAAATGCATGGTGTTTTAATAATGAGGAAAAAAAAATGCCGAAAAAAACAAACAACAAAAGGACGGAACCCCGTCGCTGAGACTACATCATGGCGGGCCAATTGGTAGTGGTATGGAAATCTTCCTGGACACCACTCATCTCCAGACTAGGATTCGACACCATTTGTTGCTGTCTGAAATGCTGCTGCTGGAACATCTGCTGCTGCTGCTGATTCGGGGCATGATGCTGGTAGAGGTTGTTGCTGTTGTTGGTGGTATTACGGGTATTGGCCGCAGCAATCGTCTGTTCCAGCAGGGCCTGCACTTGATCCGCGCTCAACTCCTCGTCCATCACTCCTCCTGCTCCAGTGCCGACGCCAGCTCCAAGGGGGCCAATAGGATCAGTCGGTTCGATCTTGAGTGGTAAGAAGAACCCGGATGTGTCGGCCGCCGCACTCAACTGCTGTTGCGGCTGCTGTTGCTGTTGTTGTTGCTGTTGCTGTTGCTGGAGGAACTGTTGCTGCAACTGTTGCTGTTGCTGCTGGGAGAGATTGCTGTCGAATCCTGAATTACTATACATGCCTCCATTATTACCCCCAGAGGCGTTGTTGCCCAAGAAGCCGCTGAGGATATTACTGCTGCTGTTATTATGACCGCCCAAGTTACTGTTGGTGTTGGTATTAGTTGAGGCATGGGCGGTGTTGTTGGTCGTAGAAGTCGTCGCCACAGATCCGGCAGGCGATAGCGGGTTCAGTCCTGCGGCGCCGGTATTATTATTATTGTTGCTGCCGGGACTCAAAAGCTGAGAGGAATCCGTAAAGAGTCCTGAAGTATTGGCTCCCGAGACGTTGTTCATATCCCCCCAGAAGCTTTGGTTGAAGTTGTTGGGGTCGTAGAGCGCCATTGGTTGCTGTCCGAGCTGGTTATAGAACTGTTGTTGTTGTTGTTGCTGCTGGCCGTTATTGTTGTTGTTGTTGTTGTTGTTGTTGTTTAGGTTGAACTGCTGATTCTGCTGCTGTTGTTGCTGTTGGGCTTGTTGTTGGGCCTGCTGTTGGGCCTGCAGCTGCTGTTGCTGTTGCTGCAGAGTCGTCATGGTCATCGCCTGCTGTCCAAACGTCGGGAATTGTGACTGGACGTTCGTCGTTTGGAGAAGAGTGCTGGTCGTAACAGTTGGCTGGTTCAGGATCGCCGTCGCTGTCTGGTACTGCTTCAGACTCTCCATGACCTGAGGCCCACCAAAGGGTCCAATATATTGGGACACTTTCTGTAGCTTGCCCGGATTGTAATATCCCCCGGTCCTCGACAGGGTAGGACTCGTATCCTGAAGTCCCGCCAGGCCTCCTAGGTTCGAAGGTGCTACGGAACCTTGACGCTGCTGCTGCACTTGCTGGAGTTGCTGAAGCTGTTGAGGAGTAAGCTGTTGCTGCTGTTGCTGGTTCTGAAAGTACATGTTGGGGTTGAGTCGCTGTTGACCCTCATGCTGCAGATGGCTGTGTCGTTTCCGATGGAGTCCAGAAGCGTCTCGAGTAAGCGGAGAAGGAGAAACGGTCGATTGACTCCTGGCCTTGGCACGTTCCTGACGACCAATCTTGACCAACCGTGCCATGTTCCTCTGATCCTCCGCTTTATGACCACTACCGCCATGACCGGATCCTCCTGCTGCACCCGCTCTGCTGTTAGATATCCTGTTGCGTTTTGCAATCGCCAGACTCTTGATAGCACCTGCACAGACGTGCACACTCGATTGACTGAGCCCCTTGACGGTATGCATAAACTCCTCAAAGAACGAGAGCACACAGTTGATGCTCTGCTCGTCGCAATTGGCTCGAGGGGAGGAGTAAAACTCGCGGAAGAAGCGCATAATGTAGTCAAAATGCGTCTGTGCTGCCTCGGCGACCTTGGCATCCGTGGATTTGAGGAACATGACGTGGATACGGACCGCGTTCAGCATTGCATACTCACCCACACTCGTCAACTCGAATGCCTTGTAGTACGTCTGAGCCAGGACTTTTGCAATATCGGTGATCTTGGTCGCTGCCTTGATGCAAATATCCTGAGATCTGTAGGGCGAACGCTTGAGGTGCTCCGAAGATGACAGGTATGGTTTGTGCAACAAGATCAATGCCGACTCGTACAGCATCTGCACAATACCTAAGATACTCCAAGAAAGTAACCGCGAAATTAAGTACCTGATCTGGTGTCCAAAAAAATGTTTCGATTACAAACACATCCCTAGGAGTTTCACTTACCGGCACGCGAGTTCTGCATGGCTCGTGGGTCGTCGGCCTTGACGTCAAATGAGAACCGGAGCGCTGCTGGGAGTTGGAGTTGCCACTGGATCAGCTGCTGCTCGTAGCTCTTGGGTAAGCTTCCTGGCACCATATCTTGGACCTCGGCTGCATTGAAGATGAACCGCTTGATGTTCCTGAAGATCCGCCAAAGTCGACACGTCTGAACCAGGAAGAGAAGCTGTATCGTCTCTGACTCTGTATCACCTTCTGTCGGAACGATCATGGGGACGTCAATCTCGGCATCGTCAAGCATTGGCCTTCGTCCTGTGACACTTGACGTCGAACTATCAGCTGCATAGACACACCAAAAGACTCGCTTCCTCGACTCTTGGACTTGTTTGTCGGCGATCCAGCGGTCGCATTTCCGGTGCAGACCCAAATCCATGCCCATAAGAATCGCCTGCTGCATATAACTGTGACCCAATCCCGAGATCCTGGGATATCGCGACAGCATGATCAGTCCTTGGACAGTCGAGAGGCGAGGAATACCGATACAGTAGTCCAGAACCATACGCGCACGCTCAAAGAATGGTGTCCCGAGTGTTTTTTGGTCGTTCGGGTCCGTCCAACAAGACGGGTGCGTGCAGTCTCCTGTAAGCGACGCAGCCATGAACAGACTGTTCAACAAGAATATACTCTGCGGCTCAAATCGATCCTCCAGAGCCTGCAGCAACGTCGTCTTTTGGATCATCGGTAGATACACATAATAGTGCTATAGATTGATGTTGCAAATAGGCATGCTCATGTCAGTACTAGTTAAATTTGGTGGCAAATTAAGCTGAAAAAAAGGAGCCAAGAGCGCATGTTGTTACCTGATAGTAAATGTCAATGAGAGCGTCCATGACTTCCACCGGTGGCAGAACAGTCGCCTCAGGAGGGATATCAACGCCGTGGGCCTCATGGACATCAAAGGATATCTCCTCATCCCAAAACTTTTCCTGGTCAGTCGAGGTAAACAGCATGGATCCTTTGCCGAAGTAGACTGAGGCATCAAAGACTCGGAGCTTGTCCATTGTTGCAGCTAGTTCACTCAGATCGCCTTCGTCGTCGCCTCCACTGTCCTCCTGCATTGGATCTGCTGTTGATGTAAACGAAGGTGCGATCGACGATGCTGGTGACTTTACGGATATTGATGACTATGTATCATGAAGTGAAAGATAGGTCAATACGAGACAATTTTGCAAAGTGTCAAAATGACACATGGAAAAGCATCCTGCTGTTTGTTGGACTTACTTGGAACTCGGGAGTGAAAAGGGGGTAGTTCTGCGATTCTTCCTTCAGGAACGGTGTCCGGGGTGTTGTTGGATCTCCTCCCATGGTAGTCGTGAGTGTCAGTGTCCCCATCGTATCCAAGGCCTATAGATGAGTATGCGAAAATGTCGTTTTTTTTCGATCAGTCAGTCAGTCAGTCAGTCAGTCGAGGTTGACGGAGGTTAATGTCGGAAATGACGGGATGACCCAGTCCAGGTTCAGGTACCAATCAAGGCGTGTAATTATTAGTTTACCATGGAGGGACTGGTGAACTCCCGATCCCATTGTGTTTCCAGATGCAGAGACGTTTCTTGCGGCGAAGTAATGTCCGCCCAACCATCGTCCGTTCCTGAGACCATATCCATAGGCAGATTAGATGTGTTGATTCCTGGTCCCTTCATGGCGCGGTTGATTGGCTGTGAGGCGGATGATGATGATCCTTCGTTATTGTCGGTGCTGTTGGGATCCTGTTCGTCTGTAGGCATGACCTTGCTGAGGAGCGACTCCATCTGACTCAGCCTCTCTGAATACCTCGACTCAATCGTCTCCAATCGGGCTTCAAGAATTTCGACCTCAGAATGGGGCTTCTTCCGTTTGGAGGCTGGCGTCTTTCCGAGAAGGAATGTGCACTCCATCAGTCCCGCGTAAAGACAAGGCCCGCAAGTGGGTCGTGCTTGATCGCATTTTGTCTAGAGCAAAGGAAGATGTTCAATTGGTCGAGAAGGATGTCAGTTCATTGTTGATACAAGAAGAGGCGGCGGAGCAAAATAAAGAGGAGAGGATGAGGTCTGAATAGGGTTCAAACCTCCGCCAATCTAAGCCAGAAAGGCAACGTTCACCCAATGGACCAATCCATTATTCCCACCCAAATAATAAGAGATCATGTAAAATATCCCCCGAGCACAAGAAAAAAAAAAAAAAAAGAGCGTTTTCCGCAGGAATTAACTATGGTCTAACCGATTGTTATTCACCATACACACAAAAGAGGTGATTGAGCCATGAACGTACTTTCGAAAGAAGGTGAAAAAAGAACATCAAGAAAAGAACACAAGCATCAAAGGATAAACTTGCCAGGTGTCAAAGCGAGAGCGAGTGGAAAAAGGGTGATTGGACCCATAATTGTCAATTCGAGATTAGTCACACAGTGTCAAAACCCAAAAAAAAAAAAAAAAAAAAAAAAAAAAAAAAGGTAATAACCCGCAAGATCGACCTTTCTCAAGTTTTTTTTTTTTTGGTTATCTGAGTCTGAGGTTCAATGAAGAGTAATAAAAAAAAAGCCGGCCGCATGGTTCTTGAGTGGGGAACCAGTCGGAGGTCTTCCGGATGAAGCAAGTCCGTTCTTTTCTTTTGACTTTTCTTCCTTCTTTTCCATTTATTCCTTGGAGGGTTTTCCTTTTCCTTCTTTCCTTCTTTCCTTCCTTTAACAGTGGGCGTTGAACAAATAAAAAAACTCCATTTTGGGGGGCTGCATTTTGGAAAGGGGTGAAGGGGGTGAGAAGGAGCATTGGAGCAGATTATTGTATGTTGCACGAAGGCGAACAAGCGCCAACAGCACAGGTAACAATCATCTGTCTCTCCTTGCCACCACGCTGCCTGCTGTTGCTTTTTACCACATCCCAGCCTACTTGACAAAATTTCCTGTGTTCGTTTTGTCTACGATCCGTTTAACCTCTGTCAGTCTGGACACACACCCAGCACATTAAGCATCCGTGGGAGATGGGTGGAAAGCATGTACGGGTGGAGAGCACAATAGCAACGGCAACAACAACAACAGAAAAGGAAGTAATGAAGGGAAAAGGAGGTGGAAGAGAACGAGTGAGAAGGAGGGGTCGAGAGCCATCGATATTGACGCCCAGTCTCCATGCGCCCAGATCGCTCTGAGCACCCGACGCGTGGGACAAGTCCTTTCAACCTCCCTCCCCCAGCAATCCCTTGTCTGTTACTTGCTGTATTCACCAGAAGAACGATAAAAGAGATACTGAGGAACAGATATGAAAAAAGAAGATGGAGAGATGGATTTGTTGGTGTGATGAGTGAAGAGAGAAAAAAATGTTACCTTTCTGCGACGGCATTGGTCACAGCCGAGGACGACGGCGGTTCTCTTCTTTTTTGGTTTTATTGCTGAGGTGGGGAGGGCCATGGTATAGGATGGGAAAGGGAGTGGGGTATTTGTGAGAGAGGAGTTGGATCGAGCGGGGAATCGGATACGAGGGTGGCGATTAGGAGAAGGAGAAGGAGGTCTCTGGGACAGGCAGCTGAAGTGTTGAAAAGAAGAAAGACTTTCTATTCAGTTGTTCGAGTGAGGGCAGCTGCTGTCTGGTTGGATGGATTCGATTGACCGTTTGTTGTGTTTGTTGTTGTCCAGTAGGAGAGAGGAGGAGGGTGGCGTTTAGAGGAGGAGGAAAAGAGTATTGAAGTGAGGAGATGAAAAAGGGGGTTTGAAGCAGAGTGGGGAGTGTGAATGAAAAAGGGAGGGAGGGAGGGATGCAAAGATGGATGTCAGAGTTGAGGGAAAGTTAAGATTGGGGAGGGTAGAGGGAGGAGAGCGAGAAGTTGGCACTGCAAAAGGGAGCGAAGGAATGTGAGGTTGAATGGGTATTGCTCGAGGGAGGGAGGAGAAGAGAGGAGGAGGAGGGAGGGAGGGAGGGAGAGGAGAGTGATGGAGGAAGGGAAGGCGAATGTAAGTGGAGTGAGTGACAGTGGAGAAGAGTGAAGAAAGAAGCAAGAGGTAAGAGGGAGGGAAGAAGAGAGCAGCAGTTGGTGAGAATGGCAAAGTTGGGGGAGTGGAGGGATAAGTCAGACAAGAGAAAATGAAGGAAGGGCGATTATTCGGAATGCGCAGCTACTGTGTGTGTATGCACTTCAATTGAAAATGGGGGGTAGAACAATTTAAACTACTATGCCGACAGTTGTCAGTTGTTGCAGACAAAGGCAAAGGGCAAAGGATGAACATCGACTTTTACTTGAAGCAGAGAAAGAAGAAGGAGAAAAAAAGGGAGAGGATGGGCCAGTGAACAAAGGTTCAAACAGCAGTCCATAAAACAGACGCGATCATGCCATGGATACATAACGAAGGGTGGCGCATGGCACGAGTGACTTTAACTCGATACTGTCCTTGATGGGAACATTATTTTCTTGGATGAAAAAGACCAAAAAGCAAGGTAGGGATAGAACAGTGAGCATAAAAGAGGGAGAGAGAGGGACACGCCAAGAAGCGATCGGACCGTGTCTGGGAAAAGTGAGGGAGAGTGCCAAGAGCAGAAAAAACATCAACAAACAAACAACTGTGTGCAGCAAAGCAAATATCGATAAAGGGTCACTGGCACTGTTCACCCATTCCATGAGTCAATTGGCCGCTCTTCCTTCATTAAATGAACATACTTCCCATTGAACCAGGGGTATCAGGGGTTCGACAAACGAGAAAAAAAACGAAAGCGTCAAAAGTAAGCAAGTGACACGAACAAAATAATAAAAACACAACAGCCTGTTATAAACATTCAGTCCCCACATGGCGTCCATGCCTGTGTCTTTCGGAGAATCCCTCTTGTTCTTTCGCATCGAGAGGTTGCAATGTCTCTCGTACCCTAATCATATCTTGGCCTATCCTAGCTGGAGAACGGTAAAAAGGCCAAGAGGGCAGTTCGTTCTGCCATTATTTAGATTATTTTTTTTGGCCTTGGCACATTTGATCAGACACAAATGTGAGTGATTGGATCCCCGGACAAGAGAGAGAGAGTCGTTGATGTCTTGCCTTGTTCATCACTGACCAATCGCGCGCCATCCGGAAATAATGGTGTTCATGATGATGGTGATGAAAGTGAACAAACAAACGACGTGGCGAAGAAACCTGTTTGGTATTTTCTCTGTAGAAACATCATCCGCAGGAGGTGTGCTCAAAGGGACCAATTGACAACAGACGATGATGATATGTTACCGATGGATCGAACCCTGTCTTTAACGTCTTTTTTTTTTTTTTTCTCTTTCTTTTCTAAATTGCATTAGCACCCTTGAGAAAGTAGCCGTTAAGATTGTTGTTGTTTGTGGTTGCAGCTGTGGCTAGGGCCTGGCTGTGGCCCTGTGCTGCTGCTCCTCCTGTTGCTGTTGTTCCGATTCGCAAATCACACTCTTCTCCTCTGTTTCTATGATTCTCTTCGCTTTTCATTCCCTTCTCTGATTCAATTGCGTCCTTCCTTCTCTCCTTCCTTCCTTCCCTCCTCCCCCTATTCGCCCTTGCTTCTAATTGTGTCCCTTGCTTCTACCCCATACCTTTTAAGGTTGCATAGGTTGCATCTCTAACCATCCATCCCTGCCATTGCCATGCCGTACCATTCACTCTTCTTTTCTTCTTCCTTGCCTTGGATACTGCTAACTCCTGTCAACAATAACAATCGGTATACAAACGTAAACATAAACAAGCAAGCACATATACTCGGAACAGGCGCGCTCCATAGGTAGGAGGCGAGAAGTGTGTGTGAGAGAGGAGAGAGAGGAGAGAGAGAGAGAGAGAGAAGGAGAGAAAATGGCGGTGCAGCAATCAAGAATGTGGGTTTTATTCTAAGATTGATCGATGGTCAACAGGAGGTCGATCCCCTCCCTTCATCCAGGCACCATCATCCTCTCTACCCTGACTTGATGTTGATCACTTCCCCCCTCCTATGACTGATAGTGCTCCTGAGATAAGGGATCAGCAAACAATTTTTGATCAACAATGAAAAACGGCCGTGGGAAGGAATTCCTTCAAAGACAACAACCACCCTCTTTCACTCCCCTACTGCACGAACATACACCCTTGTGAAAGGCAACAGCAATCCTTAACATAAGCCTTGTTTTGTTGGACACAGACAACCACCCGACGACGAACACATCAACAAACACAGGAGCAGTAGATACCACTATCGCTTACTCTCGTGTTTGCATGCTGTTTTTTTCTTATTTGTTTTTGTTCTTTGTCATGACCTGCTTCTGTCTCTTCATACCTCTTCCCTCCGTCCTCATCAGCTCAATTCTTTCTCTCTCACTCTCTTGCAATCTGCATGCCTACATTCAATAATAGCAATTCACTTCACAACCACCCCTTTTCTTTCACTCCTCCTTCGCCCTTTTCTTCCTGACTCACTTATTCTCCGAACGGTTGGGTCAGACACGTCCTGCCATTCACCTCATTCTTCACCCAACATCTACATCTCGTTCTTACCTTGCCCATACTTCCTGCATCCCCTTTTTCCTTTTTTTTTATTCACCTTAACCCTCATCGCTCAGCACAGCGCCAGCAAGTCAGGCACCCGCAAACACCTCCCACCCTCCTAAACCCCTCCATTGCAATATCAACAACAGCCACAACAGAAATACAGCAAGTCGTGAGGGACAATGTCGAAACCGCCGACTTTTCAATTCGGAGGGGTGGACGATGACGATGGCTACTACTACACTGGACAGACCCCCTTCAGGAAACCCAACGAATCCAAACTACGATTCCACGCCCGACGACTCATCTCCATTCAGACCCTCGCCCGCCTCGAATACAACGCCGAAGTCGCCGAAACCAAGTTCAACCGGTCCCTCGGCTCTTTCGAGCTCACCCTTGTCGGCCTTGGTATGCAGTTGAGGTTTTTTCGTCTGTTGTTGCGTTTATATTCGTTGGGGGTGGTTTCTTTGTTGTGATTTGTTTGTTTGGGTAATTAAAGCAAAGACACTGTAGGTTGAACCACAGGAAGACATAAAGAGCGAAGATAGGATAGCTCAACAAACACCATGAGGCTCACTGTGCGTCTCTTTTCCCACTCACTGCCTTTGTTGCAACAACTCTCGCCTTGCTTTTCTTGTTTTGTGCTCCACCAATCCCTACGCAACCCACCTGTCATGGAAAGCGGATGTACAACAACAACAACTGTTGGAGAGTGCAGTGGTTTGTTTGGTTGGCGTGCGTGTGTGTGCAGTGTTAGTAACAAGAAGAGGGGCGCGTGTGATCGTGCAGGAATTTTATTTGAAGATCGACTCTTTGGTCGAGATCCTCCTTCTTCGTCTCCTCCTTTGGTGCATGAGCACCCTTCCGCGATTTTTTTCCTCTGTCCTTGCATCTGTACGTTCACACACATACAAACCGTTCCACCTTGTCTGAAAAGTAGAGTTGGGCTGTGGGCAAAGAGTAAGGGGTGTTCCAGGAACCAAGGGATCATTTTAGTCGGGTCTCTCTCATTCCTTACCCTTTTTTCGATCTCCTTTCATGCACCACGCGACCGACTCCCAGGAGTTTCTTCCTAATCAATTGGCCTCAGACATATTTTTTAATACGCGCTCAGCTACTTAGTTCGGATTCTACCATCAAAACTGGCGTCGCCGCTGCAATGCCAAACGATAAAGAAAAATCGAAAGAGGAAGGGGAATGTGACAGAGATTGTGAGCAGTATGTTCGCGCATCATCTCTCAGGGTGCTGCATTGTAGAGAGGGCGGTCGATATTATGTGTGCTGACTGACTAACTGAGTGAGCACATTCCTACTTGTCTCGCCTGGCCTCTTGCTCATCCCTTTACTAACACTCACACCCTTTTGTACCGAACCAAACCAAACCAACGTGATCATAGGTGCTGTGGTCGGCACGGGCGTGTATGTCCTACTCGGTAAGTTGATTGTCCATACGCCCTTTTTTTTTTTCGTTTTTGCACGGTGCATTGTTGATTATTTGTCCTTGGTTTCGCACTTTTTCGATTTTTCTTGTTTTTTCGACCTTGACTGTTGTCCGTTTTCACGGTTTGCCTTCTGGCCGTCTTGCCGACAACGACGCAAAGAAGAAAACCAATATGACACTGCAACCAACAGTTGTTGTCAACAAAGCCTTGTTTGTGAAAAAGCTCCGATTAACCGTGTATGATGAATGACCACTGAACTCACATTTCTTTCCGTTTCTCTTTTTTACATCCTTCATTTGTGTGTACTTTGATTACAACTGGATCGAAATGGCTACCCCTATATTCTGGATAACGCAGGCACGGCAGCAAAGACTCAATCGGGCCCAGCAGTGACTATTTCGTTTATCCTAGGAGGCATTATTTCAGGAATCGCCGCTCTGTCGTACGCCGAGATGGCGTCCATGATCCCTATTTCAGGATCTGCCTACACATATGCATACGCGACACTGGGAGAGCTGGCTGCATGGATCATCTCGTGGAATCTCATTCTGGAGTACATGGTTGGAGCGGCGACGGTCTCGATAGGATGGTCATCGTACTTTGTCGCATTTGTATGGGACGCGTTTGGTTACGAGATATCTGACACATGGACCAGGGCCCCAATCGATTGGACATCGGAGGGATTCAGACTCACAAAAGACAAGTTCAACACTCCGGCATTCTGTATCGTCCTCGTCATCACGTTTACCATCTACTTTGGGATCCACCTCACGGCCAAGATCAACAATATCCTAGTAATGTTCAAGATCCTGGTGTTGGTCATCATGATCTTTGCACTTATCCCGTTCATCAAGACCGAAAACTACCACCCGTACATCGTCCCAAAGAACATCACGACGGGCGACTTTGGCGTGACAGGGGTCTTACAGGGCGCTTCAACAGTCTTCTTCGCCTACATTGGATTCGACAGTATCTCGACAACCGCACAAGAGGCACGGGAGCCCCAAGTCAGCTTGCCCATTGGTATTCTGAGCACACTCGGGATTAGCGCCGTCATCTATATCTCCCTCAGCGCGGTCATTGTCGGCGTGGCCAATTACGAGAGCCTGCACGAAAGGTACCCGCTGGTCGCGGTCGTCCGGCTAACTAATATGAAGTGGCTCATGGTCCTGACGGATGTGGGGGCCCTTGCAGCCACCACGTCTGTGATTCTTGTCCTCTTGATCGCCCAGCCTCGTGTTTTTTACTCCATGTCCAATGACGGCCTCATCCCCCGCTTCTTTTCCAAAATCCACCCCAAACACAAGGTACCTTTCCATCTCTTTTTTTTTTCGACTCTATATTTTTTTTGTATTTTTTGTCTGTCGACTGAGTCATGCCCAATTTTTTTACTTAACCGTTTGTGGTTTTTGTTTATTTCATATGACATAGATCCCGCACCTGGGCACACTGTTTACAGGAATCATATGCGCCATTTGCGGGGGCCTTCTACCGATCGGAGTACTGAGTGATATGGCATCGTTGGGAACGATCCTCACTTTCTTTGTCGTCAACATTGGAGTCATCATCCTCCGATATACTCGCAAAACCGTTCCTCGCCGCTTCAAAGTCCCTGGAGGTACACCTTCTTTCCAGGCGCGCCCCCTCCCCCCCTTTTTTTTATGTGGCTGTGTTTAACCACTTTCTCTTTTTTTTTTTTTTTTTTTTTTTTTTTTGGGAATGCAGCTTCTCATACTCACATACTAACGAGATACCTTTTTTTTTTCTTTTTTTCTTTCTATCTAAACACAAAAAAATACGATGCTCTTGTGCTAGGCCCATTCCTACTCCCAGGAATCGGTGCAGCATCCTCGATCCTCTTAATCCAAGGCGCGAAACCTGAAGTGATCGTTCGCCTCCTCGTCTGGGTCGGGATCGGGATCGTCATCTACCTCTTTTATGGACGACGGCATTCAGAAGTCAATAACCCACGACTGGTACAGGACGATCCGATGAGGGTGTTGCACGAGAATTTTTCGGTGGATACCGTCAACTATAGCGGGTTCCAGGATGAGCATTTGAGGAGGCAGTATGAACAGCAGTTGGGGAGGAGGTTGGGTGGTGGTGGGGAGAGTAGTGGGAGGGTGAGTGGAGTTGTGGATGATGGGGAGGAGTATTTGCCACGGAGTGGGACGGGGACACCACGGAGTCGAGGGAGTAGTTTTGGTAGGCGGTCGCCTGTAGCGGGAGGACATGGAGGACAGGAGATGACGGAGATTGGGATTGATCGGTTGGACGGGACCGGTGCCCGTCCAGGAGGAGGAGGAGCAGGAGGAAGTGGAGTCGATCATATATACCAGCAGCGCCTTCAACAGCTGCAGCAACAACACACACAACAGCAACAGCAACAACAAGTGTCGGATGAGAGTGATGGTAGTGGAGTTGGTGGTTCTGGTACTGGGTCAGGAACTGGATCAGGATCTGGGTCCTGGTCACGGTCACGGTCAAAGTCGTCGCGCTCGGCTTACGTCGCACGGCCCTCGGCAGCTACCAGGAATGGATCTGGCGACACCAAGAAGAATATTGAGTTGGGCGATGGCGGCGGCGTGAATGAGATGGAACAACAAGGACAACTGCCTTTGGATACCCCCCAGTCACCATTACCACCACCGTCACCATAAGGAGGACATTGATAAGATATCCTCAGGACCAATGATGATATTATTATTTTTATCTACTCTACTATTTATTTATCCTCTTTCATCTAATGCACTCAAAAAAGCAGTAAATAACAACACCTAATCATGCTTCACCAGTTCCAAATGCCTTTGCATGGTTTTGTTCTAATGAGATCATTCTTTATGGCTCTTACTTTTTGTTAAATCTACATAATCCTGAAGGACAGATATCTATATCTCGGCACTGAGGTGTATAGCTCTCCTACTTCCACACACGAACTCTCTACACCTTAGATACGCTTAGGGGGAGCACGCATGCCAAGGGAAACCAAGAGACGAGCAACATACTGGACAAGGGAAGCCTGGGCCATGAAGAGGAAGGAGGCAGTGAGGATGGACTGGACAATCTTGGACGAAATGCCCTTGTAGAGTCCCGCAACACCCTCGTACTTGATGATCTTGCGGAATCCGTCCATGACCGAGTTGTACCGCTCCTTGGCATCGTCTGACTGCTTCAACTGCATACGTGACTTTACGACACTATTATTTGTTGCATTGAGTCACAGTAGTGAGAGTGTAAAGGGTTAGAGATGAGATATGATTACAAACAAAAAAAGAGCGAACTGTTGGTATGGCAAAATGTGCACGCAAAGACAAGAAACGTACATGTAGGGGTAGGTGATGCTGGTAGCGGCAAGCTTGGAGACGGCACCGAGCAAGAAAAAGTCAAAGCCGGACAGAGCACGAGTCTTGACAATACGGGCCTTGAGCTTCTCAAAGACAGTGTACTGGATGATGGGGTTGGCGACCAAGATGAGAGCGGGCATGACACCCTGCCAGAAGGACTTGATGCCATTGTCCTTGATCATCTGCTGGGCGGTCTCCACGGTTCCCAGGGGGCGCGAGTTGGGTGCGCTTGCATTGCGGGTTGCGATGCGGGTCTATTGGAGGAAAGGGGAATGGTGATGGTTGAATGAGTCGCTCTGTCCAATCGCTTTGTCCCGATATGCAATTGCTCCTGTTGAGGCCTGTGGGATTGAAGAGTGGCGAAGGAAGGGCCGACTTACGTTAATGACCCAGATGGGGTTGGTGATCATGACAGTGGCGGCACCTATTAGTTCAAAGAATAATTAAGAATGGAATTTAGTACATGTCACGAACGAGCGAATTACTTCCGCGCATTCCGGGCGAGGTTTCAGAACTGCGAAAAATTTCGATCCTTTGCGACAAAAAAAATTGTCCAAGCAACCATACCGGCGACGGCTCCGGCAGACATGGACTCGAGGGTGCTCATCTGGGCCTTGTCGATGACCGACTTTGTGAACTCGTAAAAGTAGTAGTAGCAGTAGTTGGTGAGCGAGATACCGAACAATGCGCTGTCCAATCCACTATGAAATGTGTATGAACGTGAGGCGAGGGTCGGAGATGGGTTTAGTAAGTTGATATGGTTTTGTTGCTCGGCCGAAGGGTTGTACATGGGAACAAGGGAAGTGTTAGCGTATCCCTCCACTCTGTGTGACAATGCTGATGATGATATCTTCCGGGACACAAAAAAAAAAGCACAAAAGCTGATCCAGCTTGGCAAGTTTAACGAAGAAAACCGCAATTGCCAATGGCAACCGAAGAAGAAGATGAAGAGAGACGTACGAGTAGAGACCGGAGATTCCCTCCTTGGCGACGATCTTCTTAACGGCGTCCAAACCGTTCTATTACATTGCAAGAAATATTTTTGGGGTCTTGTTAGCACGATAGTATTAGATCTGTCACTTTAATTGAAGTGTGACCCATCGTTCAAGGAACAGAATGAGATTTGCATATTGCTGTCGCTGTGGAGGCATGTACCTTGTAGGCGTCCTTGCTCTCCTTGTTCTTCTGGACCTGGAGTCTGCTGCTGATGGTGATCAAGGGATAGGTCAAGGCCATGGAAATGATTCCACCTCCGGCACCTATTCAAACAAAGAAAAAGAAGTGTGCAAGTGTGTGTCAGGCGGAGGTTCAACTAGGCGAAGCGTGTATGTGTGAACTACTATGGTTCTTTGCGTCTTCGTGTTTCCGAGTTTTCGTGTAGTGAGTTATCCTTGTTTTGGTCTATGTTAACTGCATCGACTTGTGGTTGTGCAGGGCGAAGTGGCATGGAGAGAAAAAGGGATGTGAAGTAAGGAATGAGAAAAGTAGAAGGACGTACCGGCAATGGCGTGAACTGTGCTGTCAGACATGGTTGATGTGAGTATTAGGTGTGGTGGAGGGGTAAGGGGGAATGTACAGAGGAGTGGAGAGTGAAGAAAAGAACGAAAGAGGGGCAGAAGAAGGAAAAGAGGAGAAAAAGAAAAAGAACAAGAAAAAGAAGAAGAAAAGGAAAGGAAGAAAGGAGCTGACCATGAAAGACTTTTGCCAGGCAACCGTTTGTCGTTCTTTTTGAGTGCCCCGGATCCGCATCTCGCCTCGTGTCACATGAAAATCGCTTTTCTTCACTTGAACAAAGTCATATACAGCCGCTACTCCTGTCGATCTTCAATGGTCGGGTATCTTGACTCTTACTCCTGCCACCGCTCTTCATCATCTCATATTCTCACTCTCCTTCTTCGTCGATTGTTGAAAGTGGAGTTGTGCTCCCCCTTTTTTTTCCGGAGACAAAGGAGCGAGCTTGCGTGGGAAAGAGTCAACAGGATTTATTATTATTTTGATCCCGTTTGACCAGTATCAAGGCGGACCGACAATTGCCAGGGCGATCGTCCCTCCTTTGTTTGCTCCGTGGACAACTCTTCTTTGTCCCTTCTCGGCCAAACATCTCCCGTTCACTCTCTCTCCAATACACCTGCCCTTCTTCCCATGTGTCAACACAACCCTGACCTCTCTCCTCTCTTCCTTTACCCCGGATTATTTTCATTCAGGGTCATAATATCCCTTTCCCTGCCCTCTCGCCCCTTGCCTCACCTCGTTCATCCTTCACCCATAGGAATACATAGACAGCACAGCTACCCCGCACCCTTCGGACAACATGCATCCCTAGTTCCATCTCCATCTGTTAGCAACAGCTTTGCTTCTTCAGCACAACGTTCAATTGCTTCCTTATTCTCTTCCTCTCCTGTGTGTCCCCCAAGCGGATCGCAATCTGATTTTTCCCTTTCCTCTAACTAGGATTGGCTGGGTGGCTTTTCCCTCTTCAAATCTTGACTCTGTCGGGTGAAAAAGAAGGTTGAATCAGATTCTCCCATTCACATTCATTCTCTCCAGACCCATTCTCATAACTCACATTCGCTATGAGCTTCAACCGCAATATCCCTCTTGCTATCGCCGCTGGTGTCGGCGTCATGTCTGGCTTCTACATCTGGGAGCCCATGTTCAAGAAGTATCAGAGGTATGTTATCGGATATCCTTGTCCCAGTGTGCATTCGGTCTGAAAGTGTTGCCTGAATTGACAAGAAGGGCTTACTGACTGACCAATTGACACATCGTTGCTCTCATCATACCAATAGAGAGAGTAAGGGAACTTGGCAGTACGAAGTTGTGCAGCAGACAAGGGCGGAGGAGATGAACCGCCATGCTGACGCTGCAGTCGCCAACGCCAATGCTGCTGCTGCTGCCAGCACCTCTATATCTACACCTGGATCGACATCTCCAGTAGTGCCACCTGTACCTGCTCAGGCCGCACCGGCGCCTGTTGATGCCACTGCCTCGGTTGCTCCTTCTTCGGCAGAGACCAAGTCTGCATAGATCTGATATATCTCATCCTTCTTGCATTTTGTCAAATAAACCACACCTTCCAGCATTCTCAGAGACACGACTTCAAGGACAGGGAGACATATGGTGTGTGAGTCCTTGCTTCGAACGACTGGATCCATTCCACAGGTTTTAGCTGCCACCGCAAGGCGATCGATAGGGATCGCGATCGATAAAAAGGCGAGATAGCAGAAAAAAGGGAGAGAGATGGGCTTTGAACGAGGTGTGAGATCTGAGCTGTGTGCGATGAGATTCTTATTCCAGCACGTCACATTGGCGTTGGCACCGTCACCTGAATGGACGATGATGGTTTCCACTCTCCTTCTAACAACGACACCACCATCTCCCTTCTCTCTTCTCCTTTTATCATCAACGAACGACAAACACCCACTCACTCCAACACACCCACGCGACAACAACACAACTCAAACCGATACACGAACTACTCCTCCCCTCTCTCTACCATGGCCACGCGGAAACTGCAAAGTAATAACTTACACACACTCGACTCTAAAGAGGGCGGGAAAAAAAAGGCGATGACCTGCAGACACTGTTCACGATGACCGGCCAGCAAAGAGAGTGCATGCCGATGCTGTTATCAAGCCCCAGTCGACCTGTGCTTTTTTTTCTCGCATTCTTCCATTCTTCCTTCTCCTCCTCTTCTGTTCAGTTCAGGAACTTGCAGCAAGCGACCCTATTCTAAACACGTTCTCTTTGACCTGTCCTTTCTCTTTTCACCTTCTCCCGCCTTTTTTTTTTCTTCCATCACCTCATTCTTTCATCAACACCCCAACTCCACTCTACTACTCGGACACCTTGACCTGCTCACGAACCTTTTTTGCTACCATTCTCCTGACATGACGACATTCACCTCACATCGGACGCCCACCCTACCGCTAACGTCATGACAACAGCCGAGATTGACAAGGTCCTCAAGAAGGTTGCCGAGGGCGTCGAGACTTTTGAGGAAACACTGGAAAAGATCGAAACATCAACGAATGTGAACCAGAAGGAAAAGTACGAGTCGGACCTCAAGAAGGAGATCAAGAAGCTTCAAAGGCTTCGCGACCAGATTAAGACATGGATCTCCTCCAACGACATCAAGGACAAGCGCGCCCTCATGGACAACCGAAAGCTTATTGAACAGGTATGCACCACTCTGTTCCTTTTCTGACCTCCCATCACCCACTTTTTCCTTGTTGAGGTCACATGCCAACGTCTGAGATGTTAGATAAGCAACAGTACCATGAACACAATTCTGATTCCCTTTTCCCCTTCAAACGACTATGATGATAATAGCAAATGGAGAGGTTCAAGGCGATCGAAAAAGAGATGAAGACAAAGGCGTATTCCAGGGAAGGCCTGATCATGTCTGGGCGCATGGATCCAAAGGAGAAAGAAAAGGCAGAAACATGTTCCTGGGTGACAGAGCGGGTGGAAGCATTAGCGATCCAGATCGAGGCCCTGGAGGCCGAGGTCGAGACTCTGCAGGCAGGCGCAAAAAAGGGCAAGAACAACCCAGCCAAGGAGAGGATATCGGATCTCGAGGACAAGATCGAGCGGCACAAGTGGCATCAAGGACGTCTGGAACTGATCTTGAGGCTACTGGAGAACGGCCAAATCGAAACAGACAAGGTACCCCTAACCTTTATGTCTTCTTGCTGGAGGAGCGCTGTTGCTGACGCATCTTTCCAGTTGCAGGCTTCATTCCTTTGGGCAGACTACTATCATACCCTCCGTGACTAATACATATCCTACTCGTTCTTGTTTTTTTATCCTTTTCATAGGTTCTAGGGATTCAGGAGGATGTCAACTATTATGTGGACGAAAACTTGGTACGGCGACTTTTGATTGACTGCGGCGCGAATTATCTTTGTAGAACGTTTTCTTTTGGAACATACGGCAAGAGACTATGGCTGACTCGAGAAACATTGCATTTTTTTGTTTCGATCAAACCATAGGATCCTGACTTTGCAGAGGACGAGGAAATCTACACGGATCTCAATCTGGAAGAAGAAGAGGACTACTTTACAGTGGGAACAGACGACCATTTGCACGACCATGACGACGACAAGCACAGCGAATCTCACGAATCAGTACCATCAAAAAAGATTGTCAAGGAACAGCACGAGCCAGAACCCTCGCCCACAAAAGTAGCAGTCAAGCCTATACCAACCAAAAGTAAGCAAGCGCGTTATTTCAGGCATTCGTGAGGAAGACGATTGACATATGAGTGTATCGGAACTAACGGCACCATTCTCATACCCTTTTATGTGTATTGTAGAGGCATCGATGTCAGAAACAAAAGAGACGAAACCTGTACCTGCAGCCAGTCCGGCAACGGCAAAAGCAACGCCTGTCAACGTACCACCAAGTCGACAACCTACACAGCCTCGAGCAGGATCAGTGGAATCACCCGTCATCCAGTATGCGACGGCGGTGGCTGCCAACTTGCCAGCAGAAACGCCGCGTACTGCTCCATCGGCGTCACCCAGTGCCGCACCAGCCACCCTCAAAAAGGATTCGCCGCAACCAGCAAATATCACAGCCAAGGTGGAAACGGCATCTCCCCAACCAGCAGCTGCAACTGCACCAGTACCGGCTTCATCAGCGCCAACAGCAACCATGTCAGCGTCTCCCACGCCGGCTGTAGCAGAAGTATCATCACAAGGTGCAAAGACTGGATCTCCTACAGTGGCACCGGCTTCCAAAGCGTCAACAGCTGCATCCAAAGAACCATCCACCTCTGTATCAACAACTGAGTCATCAGCAACCATGGCCGGCAGCTTAGCACCAGTACTGGTCACGATAGAGGTACAAATTCACCCTCGCAGTTTGTTTTCGCGTCAAATGGCCGATGCATAAGCTCGACTGGATTGCATGTGTGTATTAACTATAGCCCTTTTATTGCATTTTTATAGGACAATCAAATGGATGGTGCGTCAGGACAGCAGGCATCGACATCGACAGCACAGGCACTTTCTGCAGGAGAGCCAGAGATTCGTCTCCCAGCGGCATTGGCAGATCTTGCACACAGCTTTGAGGTGTCCAAGGAGCGCGCGATGACCAAGGAAGTCGGATTCTTTGTCCACCAGATGTTGGAAGCAAGTTACCAGTTCATCCCCGAAGCTGGCGACACCGAGAGGTAACGAACGCCATTCGCCTTTTGATTTTTAGCTGTCGCTTCATTAATTCATCGTTCATGCGTGCTAACATACTCGCTCTTGATTTGAATAGGCCTAAGGCACCCAAGAACCCATATCCAACACCATCGTACTATCCTCAAACACCACCACCAGGACTCTTTGAGAACCCCGCCACTTTCGAAAAGTTCGATATCGACACCCTCTTCTTCATCTTTTACTACCAGCAAGGAACATATCAACAGTACGTCCACCTCATCGGAATTGCTGGAGTATCTGCGGTTCACATTGTGTTTTGCAATACTGCAGATGTTAATCTTCATTTCGCATTTTTTCGTGCTTTCAACTATTAGGTTCTTGGCTGCAAGGGAATTGAAGAAGCAATCGTGGCGATTCCACAAGAAGTACCTGACGTGGTTCCAGCGTCACGAGGAGCCCAAGGCGATCACGGATGACTATGAGCAAGGAACCTACATCTATTTTGATTATGAGGGAGCCTGGTGCCAGCGCAAGAAGACCGATTTCCGCTTCGAGTACAAGTTCCTGGAGGATTCTGATCTTGTCTAAAGGAGATCTAGGAACAAAGACATAGTTTTCGTCATTAATAATGCTACCTCGGAGGGATAGCCCCATTGTCAATATGATTGTTGTAGTTTTTTTTTGTTGTTGTTGCTGTTATGTTTTGTTAGAATGCCTAACATGTTAATTTTTTTTTGTTGTACGAAATGAACGCTTCATCTTGACTTTGTCTTTGTTCAGTTGGGCCAATTGAAACGGGATTCATTTACAACCATGTTGATCTCAGTGTTGTGTTCTTTCTTCCTCTCGAAAAGAAAAGAAAAGAAAAGGGCGACTATCAAAGACCGGCTCGACCAAAATGACACGTACAATCCAACAAGAATTCTTCTCAGTGATACCCCGGGGTCCCCCTCGTCGCCTCTATTCACTCGCCCGCTCCCAGTAAAAAAAAAAAATGGCCATGACCAAGCAAAAAAAACGCGTCACCAGCTCTGGACCAGCAAAAAGGAAGGAAAGGAAACACAGCAGCAAACATCGATGCAAGTATGCCATGTTCCTCTAGTGTTTTGTGCGCGTTATTTTTTGTTTGCCATGTGGGCCTTATGCGGTCGGTTGAAACATCATACATTTAAAATGCGCTTCGCACGTTCGCGATTTGCCGAAAATGGAATGTGGCTGGGGTTCTTTCGAGACATTTTTTTTTCTTTCTCCTTTCGCGTTAGACATTTGGGCAAAGTACATGTCGCCATCTCTCTCCATTTTTTTTTGACATCTCTCTTCTTCCCTTTTCTCATTCAACTCTCATGACGTTCCTCATCATCCCCAGAAAAGTCGCAGTCCGCCATATACCCCTCTCCACTGGATGTCGCTTCCACAGCGCAATAGGACCTCGTCGTTGGTCAACTACCGTTCTCAACCATGTTTCTCAAGCCCAGCCCTGGCACGGATCAGGATCAGGAACACCGTCTGGGCTCCCTGCAGTCACCGTGCCACTTGTCTTTCAGACATGCTCCCAGAGACGATACGACAGCAGCAAATCGACACCACCATCAGTAGATGTATTCAGCAGGCATGAAGCCGCCAAGCGACGACGACAAGAAGTAGACGACAATAAAAGTAGAGACGAGCGAGCGAAGGAAGATCCACGCGAGGAATCTGTTAAAGAAAGGAAGGGATTGAAGACCTTTCGTCCAGCCCGGCTCCCCATTATTCTCTGTCATGGCAAGGAAGCACTCTCTTGTTATATTTTTTGTTTTAGGGTTCTCAACGGATCATTATGACAGCATATGTCTGCATGCAGGTCAATAGCACCTTCACATGTTTGCATAACACACTCCTTTCCTCTCTTTATCTTGTCAACTAATAGGATTCTCAGGATTCGATTCGCTTGGGACAAATCCAGATTTCCGATTCGACTACTGGTATGGAGTACGAGAGGCATTGCACGATATCGGGGTGTGTGTCCACACAGCACGGGTCCCACCTTTTTCCGGCATCCAGAACCGAGCCGAGGCGCTACGCAGTTATATCGAACGGACGGTCCCACATGGAACGGAACTGAACTTGATCGGTCACTCTATGGGCGGACTCGACTGTCGATACCTCATCTCTCACCTCCAGTCCCCGCACTTCAAAGTGCGGTCCTTGACCACACTCGGAACACCACATCGAGGATCGCCCTTTGCCGATTATGTCATGTCGGATATTGTGGGGCGCGCACGGCTGGAGGCGTTCTGGACACTGCTGGGACTGGTCGGGATTGAGCGTGGTGCGGCAGAGAACTTGACGACCTACTATCTCAAAAATGAATTCAACCCCAACACACCCAACCAGCCTGGGGTTTCCTATTTCAGCTACGCAGCGTCCTTCGAGCCGGGTTACTTTTCTCGGTTCCGGTTCCCCTGGCAAGTGATTATGGACCGGGAGGGACCCAACGATGGACTGGTGAGCGTCAAGAGTGCTCAATGGGGGAAGTATATCAGAACGATTCCGAATGCCGACCACATGGATCTGATGAACTGGGTCAATGCCCTGGCATGGAGTCGAGCCCGGTTTCCTTGGGCTCTAGGTGGGTCGAGTCATGATCCTGAAGGGCGACCCAAGGGTGCGTTCGAGACGGATAATGATGATGAGGGGGATCGGAACTCTCCGAAGGAAGAGCCAGCTCTGTTCAATGCCATTGAGTTGTACCTCGAGATCTCTGACATGCTGCACGAGCATGATCTGTAGTCTTCCTGCTAAAGTTTGTAATAAACAATGGTATGTTTCTTCCTGTTGTCATCTTTGCTTCTTTTTTTTTTTTTTCCAATTCCTGACGCAATTGTTGGATAATCGCTTTTGGTTTTAAGGCGGGGGAAAAAAAAAAGTCGGTTTATTGCTTGGAGATCTCGTCAATGAACTGAGCAAGCTTGACATCACGGATAGACAATCCCTGAACGTCGTGGGTGGCCAAGGTGACCTCGACACGGTTGTAGACCTATCATCATCAAAAGAAAAAGAAAAATCGTCAATGGATAAGTCCAGTCTCCTCCATAACATAAAAGACACAGACAACCTGGCCATGCAAAAAAAAAACCAAAGAGTCCAATTTTACGTTGAACCACTCGGGGTGGTGGTCATGCTTATCAGCATAGAGGGCAACGCGGGTCATGAACCCAAAGGCCTCGTTGAAGTCCTTGAATTGAAGAGTGCGCTTGATGGCCTCGCGGCCGTCGACGAGGGACCAGGCCGAGAGCTTGGCGAGGGCGTCGGTCTGTTCTTGGGCGGTTAACTTCTGAAGGGTCATTTTGTGGGTTTGTGGGGTGCTGGTTTTGGTGGTAGAGTAGGCGTGTCGTGAAGAGAGAAGGAAGGAGGTGTTAAGAAAAAGGGAGAGATGGGTTAGACGTGTGAGTCGAGACGGTAGTGTTGCGGATGGAGTCAAGAAGGGTCTTGTCAGGGATCGGGCAGTGATGAGGAGGGAGGGAGACATTGAGTGTGAGATAGATCAAAAAGAGAGAGAATGAGAATGAGAAAGGAGTTCTTACCAGAGGGGCGGAAAGAGGGGAATGTGAAGAGGAAAGGAAGAAGAAAAGAAGGGCTCCTCCCGTTTTACCAAAAAGCGGAGGATCTGTGGGAGACTGGGACCCTCGTCCTCTTGCTCTCGGTCTGTGGGAAAGTGACTCGACCGTGGGAAGTGGTCGATCATGAACCCTCTCTAATTGAATGTGAATGAGGATCAATGGCCGATCTTTAATTGCACGCGCTACATTCTTTTTGACATTGAATCAATCATCCGACCATCCAGTGGGCAACGCACTGTCTGGGGTGTAAAGTTGTTCTTTCCTGCCAAAGCAGAATGGAGCGAAAGGAGGTCACAGAGATCGCTTAGATCGCTTTTTGCCCCTTTATTTGCCCCCTGGTCCACAGAACAGCTATGTTAGCTTCGTTGTAACCCTTGGCACTCTTGCTCCTTGCCGTCATGTCTTGAGTCCTGACCCATTCTGGACCCAACTGCTACTTCTCCTCCTTCTCCTCTCCTTTTCTATGATACAATCGATCCTGAAAACAACACCGCGAAACTCTTATCTCGTTCACTTTACGCATTCTTGCTTTTTCTCGTTCTCTTTACAACTCATTTCTTCATTCTCCACCTCGATACTTCACTTTCGTCATCCCAGCGCTCACTCTCTCAGTCCGGTCCCCTCTCTTCCTCCCCTCGCTTTGCACATCCTACATACCCTCCAGGTTTCTCATTTCCTGCCCGGCGGTTGTTCCTGGCTTTCAATTGCTTACCCAAACTGCCACTCTTCCGCCCGAAAAATACCTTAATCCTCTTTCGCTACTTTTTTTTCCTCTTCCTTTGTACATAAACCAGCTTCTCCCCCTTTTCCTTATTCTTCTTCCACAACGACGCCAACCTCTTTCCCTCCCTCCTCCCTTTCTTTAACTTTTCACAAACATTCATTCAACATGGGCTGGACTCCGATGGAACCTGATTTTGACACCTGTGGCATGACCAACTGGGTCGGATCCTTCGACCCCATCATGTTCATCTACTTTATGCTTGCCACGGTCCTCATTCCATACCCTGTCTACGTCTTTGTCGCAACCGTCTTCAACTGGGAACACCGGACCAAGCGGCCAGCCAGACACTACCAGGATCTTCTGCATGCGACATCTTATGGAGTCATTGTCTTTATCTTTGGCAACTATGCCCAGACCCTGAAGTACGTTCATATAACTCAACAGTCCTCTCAATTGATCCATTAGCTTCTGGTTGTAGCTCTGTTCATCCAAGGCTACCAGCAGGTTACTTTGCCCAATTGAAATCTAACCCCACTTTTTCTTTGTAGCTGGGTCACGATTCTTGCATTCTGGATCACTTGGCCAAGTTACTCTGTAAGGACACCCTCGCTGTTTGCTCAATTGAACCTTGCGTTTGTGCATCCACTCCTCTCTGTTTCCCTTTTTTTTTTGCTGGGCTCTCTTCAAAAATAGTGTCATAGATACTGCCCATCATCCAACTTCATTCACCGACGTACGGCACTCCTTCCTAACCCAGCTCCCTTCTATCTCCTCTCTCCAATAGCTGATTGCTGAACTCGACTTTGCAAAGACTTCGTTGCCATCGTGGAAAACCTGGCCCTTCGGGATGTATGCCCTCTTTGCTGGCGCCACGGCTGTGGTTCTTGTCTTTGCAGGATATCACATCTACCTTGGAGTCGTCCTCAACCGGACCGTGCCCGGATTCTTGGGATACTACCTTCTCGGATTGTTGATCCCCGTCTTCTTGACCCTGATCGGATACGCCTGTCTCAAGCAGCAGAACGAGGACGTTTTTGGGTTGTCAAAGCTGTACAACTGGATGCTCAACCTGAAGTGGAGACGAGAGGCCTACGTCACCAAGAGGAAGTTTGAGAAGCAACAAAAGCTCGCGGCTGCCAAGCAAAAGACCATTGACCCTCCTGCACCATCATCCGCCATCGGAGAGTCCACAGGAGTGCAGCTTCAGCAAACCCAACAACAGCCAGCAGGTACAGTCATCGTCCAGGTCGAGGGCGATCAACTACAAAATGGTAGCCAACATGTCAGTCGTACTGGAAGTCATGACAATCTCATATACACAAACAATAATAATCAGCAGCAACAGCAGCAGCAACAAGACAATAACGCGTTTCATTCTCCTTCGACAGAACAACAACCGCAACACCCCGCGACGGATGTTATGGCACCTGAGGAGCAGGTCGTGATTCAGCCTTATGTGGCTTATGTCTGGTCGGCAGCGATTCCTGGATATTTCCATCCTCATCACTGGCAGTTGTTTTATACCCTTGCGTTCTTTACTCGGTTCGATCATTGGGTGTCCAGAGTCGGTGGCGGTATCACCCTGGCCTGCTATATGCAGGGCATCATGGGTAAGAATGTTTTATTCATATGCATGAACTACCTGCCGTAATGACATTTGGTACTCTGGTATTAACCACACCTTGTTGCTCCTTTGTGATAGCCTATGGCTTTGACTACCTGATCGAGGAATAGCTTTTGCCATTATGGATATGCGCATAGGACACTCTGCTTTTATTTTTGCTACATACCTAATTATCCTTGTCTGCGCATGCGTGCATAATATTAAACCCTTTCCGAACCGCCGTCCATGTCTTTACTACGCGTCGAATGAAAAATGATCGAGAGGTGACTGCCACCGCAGCTCAAACCTTTTTTTTTTTTTCTTTGCCTCAGACGGCTTCCTTCCTTTCTTCACCCCCCACAACTCTCATTCCCAGCCTGCTCAATTCACATTCAACGACTCATACTACCACGGCACCCCACTCCTCGATGGCGCTTCAACTCAAGTTCACTCATGGTCCACACAACATCCATGTCCACGTCCCAGGTAAACAACCGTCTAATCAACTCATTCCCTTGTCCCGTCGCCACTGACAGAAGTGTAGAAAAAAAAAGGCTCCCCCTATTCGACAACAACCACGTTTTAACACTCCCTACATACAACCCTGTTGACTTTATAGACCTGCGGCCAGCGACTATTTACGCAAGGTTCTCGAGCGAGTTCCCGGACGCATTGACGCCGACTTCTACGTCGACTGCGACTCTGACACTCTGGTGGCTCGATAGCGACGGCGACTGGATCGAGATTCGACGAGGTATGCTTGTCGTTGTTCACGCGCCCCGAGGAGATTTACGACTCCTTGTGTCGATGAGTGCGATTGGCGCTTTTTGAACGTTATCCGCAAGCAGAGCACTAAGCTGTCATCAAACTTGTATTTTGATAGATGACAAGGACTTTGAGCATATTCTGTTGAAGATCATGAACAAGAGCGGGATGGTGCATATTCAGTCAGGGTTCACCAGCGGTGTAAGCGTGCATTCTGCACACCCACAAGAAATCTCGGATATGAAATAGGAGTGCGGCGGTCGGATCGCTCATCGATGTTTATTCTTCGATTTCTGAACAAATAGGCCGACGAACCGACAACCCAGCTTGGAACACTCATGCATAGGCAAGTCTGAGGGGATCCGAAAGACTCACAGTTGAACAGGAATTTGGACCGAGGACTAGTTTTCACTAACGCGAGAGATGATTTCTATCACTATTCTGTAGATATGAGAAGGTCATGGATTCCTTTGACCACCTTAGCCGGACTGTCGTCAAGGTATGATGTTCCGCCAAAATGTAATGCAAGAGCTCTTACTCTTTCTATTGCCGCTGATGTCTCCACGCTCGATCTAACAGACCACTTTCATTCTACGATCACAGTTGCCTCCAATTTCCAACATCTTGATTGTTACAAAGCCCGACCCGAAATTGTCCAAGCTGACAAAGGAGCTGTCCGTCTGGTTGATCGATACCTTCCCCGGGATCACGCTCTTTGTCGATCAGAAGCTGCAGGGTCGGTCCTCGTTCAAGTATCAAGAGATTCTGGACCAGAACCCCTCATGGAAAGACCGATTGCAGTTCTGGACAGAGGATTGTCAGGCTTGTAAAGACAAGCAGATCCACCTCGCGGTTACCTTGGGAGGCGATGGCACTGTGCTCTATACAACCTGGATGTTCCAAAAGCGTGTGCCACCCATCGTCGCGGTATGAAAGCAAAAAACGCGGAACCTGGAAGCGTTGACTTTTTGGTTATGCAACAGAAATCGACGAGGAACTGACAAAGGAAATGTCTCTCGTAATTAATCCGCGTATTTAGTTCCACTTGGGAAGTCTGGGATTCTTGACCAACTTTAGTTTCGACAGCTACCGACCGACAATGTCCAACATCATCCGAGGTGAAGGAATGAACTTGAATATTAGGATGCGTCTCCAGTGCTCCGTCTACAAGTACAAGGAGGATCCAAGCCTTCACAGCCCACTCCAACAGCAACCTGATCAATTGCTGCACGTCAGTGGACTGGGCGTACACGACATCAGCATTGAATCTGTGACCACGTCGACTCCATCCGCCCAAACCGCGAGGGGTTCAGATGATAGTGATGATGATGGGGATGAGTCGCGTCGTCAACGGGTTGAATCCCGCCAAAAGGCCGAGATCTTGCGGCGCGTCAAGGAGATGGATTCCAAACGTGGGACTGAGGTGATGGATCTGGGCGTTTGTCATGAGAAAGGACACACTTTGATTACAAGAGTTCCTACCCCCTCTACACGCTTCGATGGTGTCAGTGGGATCGGTATTGGCTTAGGAGGAGCGGACGGTGAGGAAGTGATCAAGCCCACGGACACCTGGCAGGTACTGAATGAGGTGACCATTGACCGTGGTTCAAATGCTAACATGCTACAGTTGGAGCTGTTTGTGGACGGGAACCATGTCACCACCATCTTGGCCGATGGACTCGTCATCGCCACTGCCACCGGATCTACCGCTTATTCTGTACGTTGAACCCTTCTCACTGAAATCTCTGTCAATTATCTATGCGGGGATGTATGTGAAACGAGCTAACGTCGTTGCAAATTTTTTGCGGACCTAGTTATCTATTGGCGGGTCGTTGATCCATCCAGACAAGAACTCAGTCATTATCTCTCCGATCGCTCCACATTCCTTAACCGCACGGCCCATGATCATCCCAGGAACAAAGCACCTCCGCGTCGGTGGTAATGTCTCGATCATTCCTTCACGCTCGACCTTCAATCCCCGTTTAGCGATGAACAACTGATAAAACATTCAACTGACATCCATTTTTTTTCCTTTACTTGACAACAATAGTCCCAGCATCAAGCAGGACAACAGCATGGGCATCATTCGACGGCCGGCACCGCCAGGAACTGGGCAAGGGTGACTCGGTTATGATCACGGCCTCGCGATACCCAGCTGCAACCATCTGTCGTCGGGACCAGAGCACGGATTGGTTCACGGGCTTGACCCAAGTCTTGAATTGGAACAGTCGTGTCCTCCAAAAGCCACTCGGGTCCCATCTCTGATACGGTTTTGTCATTCAGAAAAAGATGTAATGTGTGTATTTTTGGTGATTAAATTGTATGATGTTTTTGGTCTACGACGAAATGAAAGGAGGGATGGAATGCGCTCAAAAACATGGAGAACAAAGAGAAACGTGAGGAAAAGGAAAAGGACGAAGAAAAAAAAAAGGACGCGATGAAAAAGAAAAAAAAAGCAAGCAAGAATCACAGATTTTACTTGCGAAGTCTCCAATGGGGTCGCGTCTCATCCTCTCGCAAGGCCTTAACTCCAACGGTATCAAACAAATCCTCCCGCAAAGTCTGAAAAGCCTTCCCAGTCTCATCAGCATCTTCATCGACCAAAGCGAAAATCATGAGCGCATCCGCCTGGGTCTCACCTCTCTCTTTCCGGGCCTTGGCCAACACACGTTGAGCGTCTTCGATCTTGGACTTTTCCCTCGACGCAGTTCCATAGTCCTTGGTGTTGATCGCGTCTGTCACTTTGGACCAGAGCTTGTGCGACTCCAACGGTCCCATTTCGTCCTTGGACTTCACCTCTGGATTGACAGGCTTATCCACCAACGAATCAAAGAACAGCTTCGATTCGCCATCGCCCTTCGCAAGGTCGACATAATTCGACACGCCGCTCCAGATGCCCTGGGCAGTATAGAAAGGATCTCCGCCATCCAAGGGCTTCAACGTCGCCTTGAAACTGTTGCGCTCTCCCGAAAAGTAGCCCCTGGTGCTGTACTCGATCGAAGTCATCATGCCCGCACTGCTGACGATATACGTCGCCCCCGACAATTCGACCGATGGCCGACCTGTGACGATTCCACGGATGTTGAGTGAAGGAAGGGTGATCAAGTAGGTCTCGTTGTTGTGGTTGGGGAGGGTCACGATTGCGTGTCCTGTTTGGTGGACATCGATTCCTGCGGGCATTGCGAACCGGGATTTTTGGCCGCAGTGGCCCTCGAGGATGACGCCTGCCTTCTTGTTCTCCAGATGGAATCCCAAAATCTATAGTGCGGATAAAAAAAAAGCAAGACGAGGACCATGCGGAGCGAGTGAGTGAATGTTACGCTGTGGGGATGAAAAACATGTTTGATGTTCTTTTGAACTTTTGTGTAACCACATGTCGTTGTTGTTGTTGTTGTTGTGTTCTTGGCGAGAGAATACCAATTAGTCATACTCTCCCCAGTCCGTCCATACAATTGTCCGAGGTGTCCTCTAGTTGCACTGGCAACAAAAAACTCCTGCCACCTGTCTCTGACCTTCTCAAGGTGTCCAAAATGATAACTTGAACCCAAAAAAGAATCCTTGGGAGTGACCGCTGTGATCCTGAGAGCAATTGCATGCCAACAAAAAGTGTCCTGTCAACTTTTCGGGTATCAAACTTTTTGTTTTCTTGTGATGATAGCGCCATCCATTGAGAAAAAAAATCTGCATTCGGCTCGTGATATCCCTCAAGACATTACAACACAGACGAATTGGTGAAAAGGAAAAAGGAAATGTGGATGCGCGGACTTACAGGAGGGTGATGGCTGACTTGCTCAGCGGTGAGGACGACATCACCTGTGGCCTCGTCTCCAGTCCATTGGGCAAAATACTGCTCTCCGAGGATAGGGTTATAAGGTTTCTTTTCCATGCCTGCTGTGGTGGCGCGCGACGAATAGGAGCCGTAGAGAGTCGATATGAACCAGCGTGTACAGTTCAGAAGGCGCTCCTCGGGTGTTTCCCCTGCTGAGATCGAAGCAAACAGCTTGGGATGATCACCCCAGTATTGACTAATGAAGAATTGAAAAGGAAAAGGAGGGAAATTGGTCTGGTTAGCCAAGGAGTGTTTTGTTTCTTTCAATCCCAAAACAAAAATACTTGACTGCGATAATCCTCCGTTTTGCCTTTGTTCCTTTATCCGCCTCCCTCCTGCGTGACAATGGTATCGATTGTTGGGTCGCTGTATGTTTTCCCTGTTCTTTCTTCCCTTTGTGATCAGTCAACAATAGAACATGGAGAACGACGCCAACAAAAAAAAAAGTTCCTTAAGTGACAATTGTCACTCCTGCACTGCCTTTTTGTCTGACGAAAACATGCACCCATCAAACACCGCAGCAGAACAATGAAAAAACAATTGGCCAGGGAGAAAAAGGGTTCGCGAGGTCAAAAAGTCGGAGCAACAGGGATGAAGTCTCTTCTTCTGGTCGCTACTGCCCAAACAATGGCGTCCAATCGACGTTACTGCTCTGCCATATTAGCTTCCCAAGGAGGACGAAGTAAAAAGGATGGATCGATTGTCGGCGGAATATACAACAATGAAGGCGCAGGCAGACAAACAAGGAAAGAATAAAAAAATATGGGCGCAGGCTGTCAGACAAATCAACAACAAACAGAGAATCAATTCAGGTCGTTCTCTGGTTTGCACAAGGCTGAAGTAAGAATAAAAAGATGGTCCACAGCCAAGAACGACATCAAGGGATGAACTTCGTTGTCGAAAGAAGGATTGCCTCTCCCCGAGGCTTTCTGGTGTTGCCACCAAATGCCATTCGTGACGCACAAATGTCTCGGATGCCAATTGAAAACACACTCCACACACCAAAGGACACGCAAACGATAGGTCGAGGAGTGACTTGGCAATAAAAAAAAAGTTTGCTTTGCTGGCGAAAAAAAGGAAGCAAAGAAAGGGAATGGGAATGGAGGCGCAAGGAGGAAAGGTCTGACTGTGGTTGTGCATTGCCTCCTTGCTTGGTTTCATTTTGGGGTAACATCCATGACTGAATGAGTTCATTCCGTTGAATAAGAGAGAGATAGAACAAAAAAGCAAGAGAGAGAGAGAGAGAGAGAAGAGAAGAAGAAGGGGTGATTGCTTGCCTGTATTCGAGGAGGGAGACGGAGCTGAGAAGGAAGGAGGGGCAGGTGAGGGAGGAGAGGTCGCCGCTGAAGGTAGCGAGGGTGGAGATAAACGACTTGAGGGAATCCTTTTGGGGTGCCTGCGAGAGGACGGAGGAGCTGTCGCTGTCGATCAGGCTGCTGTCCTTGCTCATGGTTGTAGTAGATTGGTGTGAAGGAAAGGAGGAGACGAGGGAAGGGAGGAGAAGGAAGAGAAAGAGGAGGAGGAGAAAGACGAAGAGGAGGAGAAGGAAAGAAAAGAGACTGAAGCCTGAAAGTCAGAGCGAATTAATAATTGCGCATGGGGTGGCACATAAAGGACTCCTCCGGCTCATCCCCACCCGGATTTTAATTGGAAATAAAAGGAATTGCACTCACTGAGCAAAAGCAACGTCACTTTTTCTCTGCTCCGACGACCAAAGAGATCCGCTGCCCCACTCCACAGCATGGATCCCCTTCTCATGACAGACACACTTCGGCAAATTCACCACCACACCTTTTGACGTTCCTCCCTTCTACCTATCTGTAACCAACAACAACACATCACAACAGCCCACACAAACATACACACACCCACACCCGTCTCCTTCATTTCACTCCTTCACTCCACCTCACTTCAGTTGACCAATGAACCCAGCAAACATCCCTTCAGCTGCGCTTACAACAGGCACACGCGCCCTGTCAACAGCGGCCGCTCGTCGTCCGTCCTTCTCCACAGGCATCGCTTCCAGACTCGACAGAGCCATCGCATGGCTGCACCCTACACATCACATTCCCGCAATATCGTCAACACCAGCAACAACATCTTTATTCTCAACTTCTGCATCCTCACATCGCTCATCCTCCAAAGAGGAAGACGATCTCTATCAGGTATTCTTCATTCTAAGGCTGCTCAATACCAGGATCACTGCCTCCTTGACAGCATGTGTCTCTAATTGACCATTACTAACATACAATGTTTCTTGAATCCTTATAGGCGTTGACGGTATCGTTCAGGACACGATTGGCAGAACAGATCCACAAGCCAGAGGACGGATACAAGTCAGTTATCGAGCATTGGACAGCACACACGCAAAAGGACGCCCTGACCCGTCAAAGAACACGCGCCCGAAAGGAACGACTTGCGACTGCCGTGCAACACAAAGACATTGTCTGGATTCAGAAGGAGCAGGAACGACTCGAACTCGAGGCCAATGGCTCGTCCGACGACCATTTCTATATCATCCAAGCATGGATCAAGTGTGGCGAGCTCAAGCGTGCCACCTTGGCGTTCGAACATATGGAGTCTCTGCGAGTCCCGCTTACTGTCCGGACGCTGGCGGCGATGACGAGAGCTCATTCTCGACCAGGAGGCAATCTGGCCATCGCTGGCGCTATGGTTCAAAAAATGAGCACCCTCAGCCTCCACCCGAAATCCATCTACGACCTCAGCGCGCTTTTGGAATATTACATCAAAACTACGCCATCAACACCCGCAGCAGAGTCTACAGTGGCAAGTGGAGGAGGAAGCACGAGCAAGAAACTGGATCATGGAAACGAACGAGTGCACGATATCTGGAGATCCATCGAACCACAACTTCAAATCAGCACCTCCACAGCAGTCAACAGCAACGCCTCATTCTCCTACAGGACGTATCTGAACTTTCTGGTCAGCCGGACTCATGACCTTGAGAGTGCGGTCGAATTGATTGACAGGATGTCAACCAGGAACATTTCACCCGAACTGGAACGATACCCAAAGACCGCTCTTTCACTTGTACAGCAGCTCTCCAACCACGGCTATTTCACAGAGATCCAAAAGCTATTGGACCAAAAGGATGCGGCCTTCGGCAAGGTCTTCCCCACATCGGCATGGAGCGATCTCATGGAGGCCTGCATTGCACGTAGTCAACACCAAACGGCTCGGTGGTTCTATAACGATATGGTGCGCTACGGAATCCAACCGGATGTCAAGGCCAAAAAGATGTTTGCGGATCTGCAAGTTATGGGAGGAACCGTGGACAAAGTCGGTCCAGTCGTCGTACGAACAGGAGCCATTCAGGAGACTGGTTCAACAAAAGGATCAGGGAAAGGTGGCCCGAATGGTAGTGGAGCAAAACAAGACGAAGCCGGCATCTTTAGCATACTCTTCAATCGGAATCCCAAACCTGCGCTCTCATAAATGCGGTCTCAAGAGAATAAAAAAAAATCAACCACAAATCTCGCATGCTGAACGACATGCAGCTCAATGCGGTATCCCGGATACTTTCCAAGCTGCTTCTCTCATCGAGTTTCTAGTCAATTACCAGCCATTCATCCCTGAATGTTATGTCATCCATGTAAAAATATGCGTTTATGTTATTGTGCGTCAGTGTCCAACAAAAAAAATGTTTGCGTATCTGAATATGTATATTACACGTCCCGCTGGCGAGCAGCAATGGCCTCTCTCCTCTTGGCAGCATCGACGTCAAGAGTGTTGATGACTGGCATCTGTCCCGAAGCCATGAGCTGGCGCTTCTCCCTGATCTTGAAATGACAATACTCCCTACAGAGTGTGTTCACAGGTGCAATTGTAGGTCAGTTACTGTGTTGGCATTGAAATTGCGGATCAAAATATTAATTGACGATCCTTTGTTGCGGTGCTTACCAGGTTCCTACGGTCATGAGCACAAATGCTCCAAACCCCCAGTTTGCTGCAGATCGATTTGCGCCTAGCAATTTCAAAACGAAAATACATAGGTCATCAGTTCATGCTACGACCGTGGATCATTTGAATACACATGACGATGCTATCGAGTAGCAACCGTTGTAGAATAGAACGACAAGTACCTGATCGCATGGATTTCAAGAGACCGATGCCCAATCCGATAGCAGCTCCGTCAATAAAGGACTCCTTGGCACATGGAGACTTTGTCATGGTCGAGAAGTTGCGTGTTGGCTCTAGTGTCTAGTTGTATGTGGGATACAGGTACGTCTCTCTATATTAGCAATGATGCTCTCGTAGACTACGAGTTGACCTGATATCCGCCTGCTCTTTGTCGCCTGTGTGCGCTGTCCCGGTTCCTCAAGTTACGCTGCATGATCTGTCAGTTGGCATAGTGCCCTCCGCCCCTGACTGATCCTGTTCTGACTATTCCCTCCCGAAAAAAAGACAGTCTACGGGCCTAGATCTATCGTGCACCAAGCACTTTCGCAACCCTGCGAACGAAGCCCCAAATCCTGTCAATAATACAATCCCTCAATCTCCTCAGCTAAGTAGCGTCAAGGGTTCTCCTGGCATGGTCTTTGCCAGACCTAGCAAAGTGAACTCTCTTGTCTCCTGGTCACCTTGTCTCCATATTCTTGTTCGCCAACGATGCGCGCCCGATTCCTCCAAAGTCGCTAACCTTGAATGCCGAGACAACCTGATCGCTGTCGGGCGCGGGTCTTGGGTCATTAAGAAGAGGCAGGGGGATCTCGGGCAAGGGCTCCTTATCCTTGTTGTTGTTGATTCCTGCCATTGTGTCTGTCAGTTGTGGTTTGAGTGTGTCAAGGCCAAGGTAAGAAGTGAATGGTTTCGTGGTCGGACAAGTCGGGGAGTGAGAAGGACAAAAAAAAAAAAAGATGTTAAGGGCTTTAATAAGTCTCGCGAGAACAATCAAACGCGCGCGGCACAGACATTTATACTTTTTTTAATGCTAAACATGCCCTGCGGGAATCTCAGAGAGTATAGAGTCCACTTGGCGCTAGGCCTTGCATTGTCTCTGTCCCAAGTCCTGTACCGATCCAACCCCAGCGGAACCATCTCTTCTCAACACCATGTCTTTGCTGGAGGATTCTGGTTTTCGCAGTTTACTTTCTGTTGCGACAACAACTCCAATGCCCGAGATGCTATCTCTGTTTCCTGTGGGTACTCCCGAGTTGACGGCGACATTTGATTAATTGTTGAATGCGCGACTTTGTCCTCCTGCAATCCTGCTGCTGTGGACTCGAAATATAAACATGAACAAGAAAGAAGAACAAAGGATCTTCGCCCTGACACGTAGGATCAAAAACGCGTTCACAGTTAACCCATTTGAAACGTGACTTGGAGCGAGCTCCCGCCGTCGTTGTTTTTCTTTCTTTTCCTTGGATCCATCGTGTTTTTTGGGGAGTGGGGTATGTGTTACCTTTATCGAAGACAACTTCATCTTTGAATGGTCCGGTCCTTGTCTCTCTATTCCGGCATCGACGACCAACCATTCATAACACGGGCTGTCATAAAACAGGCGGTCAACTGGGTAGATTGGGGAGGAGGAAGGAAAAGAGGACAGCATAATTAGAAAACAACATCCTCTTGATACCCACTCGCCTGACAAACATATTTGTTGTGGGAAAAATAAACCACTTTTAATATTATTCAAAAGGACACCATGTCTTCACTCGATAGAAGGATCCTGACCGGTCTGACCTTCGGGCGTCCAATGGCTATTCGCAACAATCTCCCATAAGATCTCATGCCTCCTCGCCGTCACGGGGGTATACCCCAGATGAAAATCCGCCTTATACAACTCACTCCGGAACTCAAGTGGCTTCCCTTCGACGTCATCATCATCGAAAAACTCCATCACGGGTACCCGATAGATCCCCTTGTACAACAGCTGTTGCATTGACGGGTCCACCTCCAGAACTTTATAATCTCCCAGGATTTCTTTCAGACTGTACACCGACGCGCCGGCAAAGGAGAACAGCGACAGGTCTTCGCCGTACCGGCCTCCGATCGCATACGACTTGACCTTGTGGCGATTCTTGAGCCGGTTCAGGCTCATCCCGCAGGCTGACCCACAGGTCCCGTCCGTCATGACCACAATACTGTCGGCATTATGCTGCCACGGCATTCCTCTCTCGAACGCGCCCAGGTTATGGTTCATCCGCACCTTGGGAGTGTAATCCAGCTGCCGGTTCACCCGCCGTTGAAGCTTGTCCTGCAAAAAGAAATTCGTCTCAAACTCCACCCCGGTCGCAGCATCCGAATACGAGTTCGGGTTGAAGTAACTGTTATAATCCTCCCACTCGAGATCTTTCTGCGCCAACGCCTTGACAGCCATCGATGTCCTCAGATCCGACAAGTACACCGACGTTTCGTTCTCCTGGGGGAACATCCAATCGACAAGATCGTATGCGAAATTCACATACCCGCCGCCGTTCGCCGTCAAGTCCAGGATTACGTTCCTGACGCCCGCATCGTAGAGCTGAGCGAACCCTTCTTCGAGAACATGTGCCTCGGTCCGGAGACTGACAGAGTGGGTCGGGATGACGACGACACCGATAGTGGGGCGCTTGACGAGTTGGAAGAATGATGTCGAGCTGCCGTTTGAGACCAGGTGGGCGATCGCCGGCTCCTGGATCTGTCGCTTCTCGATGTTAGATCGAAGAGGTTCCTTGGTGAGATGGCGGGGTGTCTCCACGGCTGCCTGGTAAAGACTTTCCTGATGCCCCCGCCCCTGCTGTTGCTGCTTGCGACGTTGGGATCTCGCTCTCTTCAACCGCTCCGCCCGCTTCTTCAAACCAGAGGCTTCACCCTTATCGCCGTCATCATCATCATCGTTGTCGTCGTCCTCAACAATAACAAGTTCCTCCTGCAGATCGGTCTCCGGCTCCTGATAACAGTTGTTAGCCAAGAAGCTCTCCGTGCTATCAAAGTCATTCCAAGCAACCAGACGATAAACCTCCCAAGGCGCCTTAAGCGTAGCATTCTTGCCCTCTGGATGCAACGCCGAGACCGGACACGAGATCTCATACGTAATCGCCTCTCGTTCTGGTAAAGTGACTCTTGAGGTGAACTGCCCCTGATTATAGGTCCACTTCTTGGAGTCGATGTTGAAGGATTGGGATGTCAGAGCCTTGTTGAGTCGGACACCTGCGTCCTTGGAGAAGCCGTAGTGGATGTCGATCCAGGTCTGGATGGCGTCGAGGGCGTTGACTCCGTCGATTGTTAATACTTGGCAGTCTTCGAGGAGATCGTTGGTCCCATCCACAAGAATGCGGATTGTCTATGAGTGAGAGGGGTGAAAGAGTAGTAAGTTCATCTCATCTTGTTTGTCTCTGGTCGTCGGTGTTTGGGGATAGTTCATTTTCAGGGACAACGATCTGCTTCAACGGTCGACTGTCTATGAAAAAAAAACGGGGGGAGGGATTGGACTAGTGCTTGCACTGACTGTACCTGGACTTTATCGATGACAGGAGCATACAAGTCAAACGGCTGAAGAAAGAGATAGTTCCTGTAACAGTGAGCTACAAGGGGAAAAAAAAATGACAGGTGTCAGCGATTGATGTTCATCTGCCGTTGTTCATTCATTTCATGTAACAGATGAACATACCGATGTAGTTGGCGTGCGCGTCGTTAAGACTGTTCATCAACAAGTCCACATCGGTCTGGAACAAAAAGTCGTTCTTATACTCTGTCCGCGAGATCCTGTCAAACCCTGCCAGGATATCCACCGGATGACTCGTAAAGGGCTTCTGCAGGTTCTCTGTCATTGCACTGTCGAGGAAAATATAAAAGTCCCTGGCGAGCGTGGACATGGTCGACACGACTGTGTTGGCTTCGGTGGCGTTGTAGGGGATGTGATCGTAGCACCGTTTGACGTGCCCGTAGCTGATGTAAGGCTCATGAAGCTCGCTCAATACTGCACATGGGTCAATCTCTACTATATCTGTTGGTGGTACCTCGGGTGCTGGTTCGTCCTGTCGTTCGACGATCATAGTGTTCCTTGCTGGATGGGTGACTGGAACTGCTTCTACGCCGAGGAGACTAAAGCCAAAAGATGATCGTACTTCCTGTCCCTGGATCAAGGAGTGTCCGATCTGATTGCTGCTGCTGCGAGACACTAGGAGAAGGTTGGTGATCGACAGCAGAGTCACCGTTGCCACCACTCTCCTTCCAAGACCCCACCGGCGACCGTTATTGTTGCTGCTTGTGCTGCGAGTATATACATTGTTGTGGGCAAGGGCACCGTTTCGCCCAACTGCGGAAGAGTGTGCCATCGGTAGCGGTGAATGTGATTGTTCCCTTGTGCTGGTATGTCAGTCCTCCTGTAGTTGGCCGGTTATGTGCGTGTAAGGAAACTTGGGGTACAGTGAGTGAGAGAGAAAGAAGAAGAGTGCGAAAAAGAGAGAAGGAGAGAGAGTCGGAGGGTAGTGTGGGAAGGAAGGCTGAAGGAAAGAAGAGAAACAAACTGTGGCGATGCGAGTGAGCAGAGAGCGAAAAGTGGCAGGGAGCAGCTTGAGGGTATTTGGGTATTAGCGAAGAGAGTCAAGTTGAGGGCGATGGAAGATATTAGAGTATGGAGAGTTGTGGAAAGAGGAGGGAAGAAAGGAAAGAAAGACAAGAAAAAGAGAGGAGTGAGGAAGAAGAAGACGAAGGCGAAGAAGATGAAGGTAGGGAAGAAGTGAAAGCCAAGAAACGTTTCGTTTCGTTTGCACTCTTCCCTCCTGCATCCACCCTGTCGACTCTCCTTGTGCTCTTCTCCTCGGGCACATCATCCACTGTTGTGTTTGTTGTGGCAACATGCACTGCACTCTTAGCCCAACCAACCAATCAACCGTCAACCAACTTTATTTTCTTTGCTCAAGGAAAATAACAGTAATGTGGTTACTGAACGACAAAAGAAAGAAAGAAAGCAAGCAAACGGAAAGGGGAGAGCACGCATGGATAGGAACAACATATCGTCAACAATCACTCCCTCACCACCTCTTCTCGTGGTTCCCCACAAATACTGTGCATGATGCTCACTCAAGATACCACTGCCCTGCCCTGTCGACTCCTTTGACCTTTTGACCAGCCAGCCTGGATTAAAGAAACTCCTCGGCTCTCTATTCTTGAGGGTGGATCACTCTCAGCCCTATCTTTCTGTGTTCATGGGCCTCAGCTCGATCAATCGGCATCCTTGGACATCCAACTTATAAAGAAAAGGACTATTACCTTTGTAATACACCCATAGTTCGCACCTGAGCTCCTGGGCACAAGAAGGCAGACACGTCTCGGCCTCCCTTCCTCCAGCCAGTGGGCGGACTTCACTGGCACAAAAAAGACGTTAAAAAAAATGATTGGATCACGTGCACAATTGGATCTTGATCCTATAGAATTCCCATACGACCAGCGTAGCACGAAACTCCTCTTTCTCATTTAGTCAAGATGGTGTGTGAAAATAATATCCATCCGCTGCTACATCCAATGCATCCATAACATGCATCTATCTATCCATCGATGCCACACTCGTCCATTCTAACATCAATACCATAACCGTTTGAATGACATTAGCCTACCCGTCTTCATCACAACCGCAAGAAGCGCGGCCACGTCAGTGCCGGTCATGGTCGTGTTGGTGAGTCTTGATTCCCGGGAAATCAGCTTTCAGGGTCTACATCAGGAGGACATGGAAAGGACGACTCTTTGTTGGGTTGGCAAGGACGGACTCGACAACATAGCAGGAAACTGTATACATCAGTGAAACGGGAGGAACGGGTCATCAATCGAGTAGACAGGGTTCACGCACTTTGTTGAACCTCAGATCCCATCAAACAGATCTGCAACAGGGGTGAATCAGCCTGCCCTCTCTTCCACTTCATGACAACAATCCTGAGAAGGCGGACGGCTGAGAACCGGCGTTCTGCTGAACCTGCGGCACAGTACGACTCACAGCAAAGCTCTCAGACGAACTATCGACAACTAGTCAAGTATACTACTACTTGCGTCTGGTAGTGTGCTTTTCGCCGACAAACACAACAACCAGTCAAAAAGCAGCTCGGCAAATAGTAATCGCAACGCAACGGAGGCCTTCGACTACCAACAATCACCTTTCAACTGGTCGGCAGAGCCACATATCTCTACCATCAACGCTTTCAAAAGAGCACGAAACGACAAGGAACACGGACCAGTAACTCTGTCAGGAATTATAAACAACCGGCAGAGTGGGAATAGCATTGGCCTTGTTCACCGCACAGGAACAAACTCGACAGCATAGCTATCCTGTACTTCAGGGAAAAAACCCACACCATCAAATATACACGTTTGGATCAGAAAACTGACCCAACACTTCCCTTTCTACCATCCTTCTTCCAGGTAAGCACCGCAAGCATCCCGGAGGACGTGGTCTTGCCGGTGGTCAGCACCATCACCGTATCAACATGGACAAGTACCATCCCGGTTACTTCGGTAAGGTCGGTATGCGTCGTTTCCACTTGACCCGCAACGGCCAGCACTGCCCCATCGTCAACCTCGACACCCTCTGGTCCCTTGTCTCCGAGCAGACCCGCAAGAACGCCGCCAAGAAGACCGAGGTCGTCCCCGTTATCGATACTCTTCGTGCTGGATACGGCAAGGTCTTGGCTAAGGGTCGTCTCCCTGCCCAGCCCGTCATCGTCAAGGCCCGCTATGTCTCCCGTGCTGCTGAGCAGAAGATTAAGGCCGTCGGTGGTGCCGTCCAGTTGGTTGCTTAAATTCAATTTTTTGGCTTCACCAAAGACTTTGTTTTTTTTTTTTTGTAGTAGTTTAGCCTCAAAGCTATTGCAGAAAAAAAAAGTTGTATGAATACACACACACGCGAAAGAAGAAAACGCTGCGGTTCTTGACATAAAGAGAAGTACTTTTTTTTTTTTTTTTTTTGGCTTTTCTTTTGATTGCTCGTGAAAGGCAGAAGACACTTGTGGACGTGGGCAATATTTATTTATGAGACGCGAATCGAAGACCTGAAAAACATGGACGGAAATGATGACTTTTGAAAGCACAGTAAAATATAACGGAATCACCATGATGCCAGGAAACAGAACATACGCGACGGTGGGTCCAATTGAACCAAGTACAAAGAAAAACCCCTGCAAACATCCTCACGACCTACAACTCACATCATTGTACCCAAAAATAAAAGAGAAAAAGAAAAAGAAAAGGAAGTGGCTCAGGAAGAAAGGACAATGCTGGTTATTCTCTCCTCCTTCAAAGAAAGGAAAGAAAGACAACACAAGTCATCATCCTCTACAACAAACAAAACCCCAGGTTTTTGCAACAAGAAACATTATTATTTTCTCGCCCCTTCTTAGCCCATAACCCTGGCCAGCCTTGACGACTGAACAAAGAAACGAGTTGGCAGAGCAGAAGAAAAAAAAATACATCTCTGAAGCGAACGCATGAGGTCTGTGTTATCATCATCGCCGATAGTTATTTTACACGCTTTGCTATCCTCCAGTCCACACTGCAAAGTCTTGATATCATGAGCTCCTTGTCCCCGGAAAGAAGACAAGTGAGATTCAGATTTGGCTAAAGTTCGTCATCCCTCTTTAGTAACGGAGGTCGGTGGTGGAATGGAGGTTGATGAGAACAATTGGATCGCAGATCTGAACGTTGATATGTGAGCTGGCAAATCAAGACTTGTAAGTAACCCTTAAGCTTGATCATGCGTACTTTGCTTTCTCAGCCTTCGCTCTTGTTGTGTCCCCTGAAGGTCAAACACCAAGGGAAGAGTCAAGGTCTGGCTGTGCACAGCACAAAAACGACAGACGAATGCCACGTTCGACAATTAGAGAAACCACCTTGTCGACCTGTTGAGATAACAAACGGTTTTTTCTACTATTTTATTCATATTGTTCTCGCTGTGCATGTCAAACATAGCTCCCACCTCTCTCCTCAATCTCCTCCGCTCTCTCCAGTAAGTTCTCCCTCTCGTACACATTTTTTCGCATCATCAGACTGATAAAAAAAAAGGTCCAATGGTCTAGCATAGGTTCAATAATCAACCAAGGTAGACAACGTTTTTGGTGACGAGACTTTAAAGCGTGGTTTTCCTGAGGGTCTCTCTCTCTCTCTAGTTGCAGCATCCACCGGCCTTGTTTCCACTTCTATCCTCCACTACCAAGGTGTTGGTGTTCTGTGTTTGGTTGGTCTGAGTGTCAATCATGCGCTTCTTGATATCTCTATTAGGGGCGAGGCAGGATGGCAAAGGAGCAGCAAATATCGAGAGATGTGGCATGAGTACAATGCAGACAAATTCACTTGAACCTTTTGTGAAAGAGGATGAATGGATACAATAGTATGAACCAAAGAACATTGGAATATGAACAAAGAGAAATTACCTGGCAATAGAGAAGAAGGCCTCCTCGACACCAATGTTGGACTTTGCGCTGGTCTCCAGGAACTTGATTCCAAACTCGTCTGCAAGGGCCTGACCTTGATCCTTGGAGATCACCTGTAGGGGGAGGGGACAAGTATGAAGAAGAAAAAGGGCGTGGCAGTGTCAATAAGGGTGTGTTGTTCTTGTTGTTGTTGAAGGGCCACAATTTTGGCAAAGATAGCGTCGTCCCGCCTCGTCCCGCCAGGCGGTAAATAGGTAAAACTGTCTCTTGACACTTTCGACCTGGCTTGGCGGCAACTTCTATTCCAATAAAGTTACCTTCTTGTCTGGCATATCACACTTGTTTCCGATCAAGATCTTGTTAACACCTTCGCTGGCATGCTGCTCAATGTTGGAGAACCAGTTGCGAATGTCTATCAGGGAAAATATGAAATAACAAGAAGTCAATCAACTAGATTCTGCTCCATCCTTTCCTTCCTTGCATAATGCGTTCCTGCTGTTTCTGTCTGTGTGTCGATGGTCCACTTACTGCTGAAGGAACGCTCATCGGTGACATCGTAGACCAAGAGGATACCCATGGCTCCACGGTAGTAAACTATGAGTACAAAGATAAGAATCGAGTGTAAGTCGTACGATGAAGAAAAAGAGTAGATGGACCAACTGATACCGCCAAGAGTCCCAAAATGACAACAATGACAACAGAAAACTTATCCTACCTGTGGTGATGGTGCGGAAACGCTCCTGACCTAAAAAATAATAAAAAAAAGCCAAGTCGTCATATTAACGATAGCCGAGAGTGTTAGCCTCCTGTGCCAGATGTCCCAGGTCCAATGGAATATGGACTGACTGATTGTGCAAAGAATTGTAGCAAGGAGTGGCACGGTACCAGCAGTGTCCCAGATCTGAAGCTTGATGCGCTTGCCATCGAGCTCGATGGTGCGGATCTTGAAGTCGATTCCGATGGTGGTGATGAAGGATGGCGTGAAAGAGTCGTCAGAGAAACGAAGCAACAGGCAGGACTTGCCAACACCTATATGCACGGAAAGTGAGCCCCAGAGAAGAACAAAAAGGTACGAGTGAGACGAGAGAAGAACTTGTACTTATGACTGTATTTTTGGGTCACTGTCCCGCTGAGCGACTGCTGCTCTGCCCCTTTTTTTTTCTGTCCGTCCTGAAAGATGGACAATGATGGGATGTCAGGACAGAGCTGCTTTGCTGGGAGAAGTAGTCCTGTGTCCACGGAGACGAATGACGCCAGAGGGCTAAAGACTTGCGCTTCCTGCAAATAGGGCGAGATGATCCTTTTCTTATTGCTATCGGCGCTTGCATGGTCCTGAAGTGTATGTTTTGACTTGGACAAGGTGGTCTCGATTGCTCATCATTTTTTGGTTCTCCCTTTTGTCTGATGTGTTCCTGTTTCGTTTTTGGTTCATTTTTTTTTGTTACAGCATCGAGAAGAGCAGAGCAATATGGGCCGAAGTGTTGCAAACGTGACGCAAGAAGAGAAGAGACACTTACCAGAGTCGCCGATCAACAGCAGCTTGATGAGATAATCGTATGAGGCGCTCTTTGGGGTGGACATGGTGAGAAGGGGTTATTAAGGGAGGAGAGAAGGAGGGAGTCTAGAGGACGGAGAGAAGAGAGTAAAAGAGAGTATGTGCGGATTGAGTGAGTGCGTGGGAGTGAGTGAGAGCGGGATGAGGGGATGATGGAAAGGAAGTAAGTGATTGTGTGCGGATGATGATGAAGAGATAAGGAAGAGAGAGAGAAAGAGAGAAAGAGAGAACAAAAAAGAAGAAAAAGAAGGGGAAATATGAACACAAAGGAAAGCAAGGACAAAGGGTGGTATTATTTTGTGTGGTGGTGAGAGAGGGGAGTGTGGGTGAACAGCAGACACTGCGTCAGTGGGATGAAAGGGGGATGATGATGGTGTGCTTCTCTTCTCTTGTTCACAGACAGGACAGACACACACTGGGACAGGGTCGAAAAAGAAAAGGCAGGGCGAGGAAGCCGAAATATGATCATTCATTCATTCATTCATTCATTCATAAGGAACAAGGGAAACGTAGAGGGAAAGGGCTGCAATTAATCAAAACTCCTTCTTTCCCTCTTCCCTTCTTTCCCTTGCTTTGCGTTTTTACTCCTGGCTGGCCGAGGTTGTTTGTTTGTGTTGTCTTGCTGTTGTTGCTGCTGCTGGATGCATGGATGTAGATGAATGGACACACAAGTCATAACAACAGCAATTATAGCAATTGAAGCAAGAGACAGCAACATGTTGACATGATATGAAAGCGAAAGTGAAAGTGTGTGTATGTGTGGACGAATCAGGTGGAGACTGATTGATTTGACTCTCTCCTCTTATTCCCTGTCCTTTGTTTCTTTCCATCAAAGCCCAGGGGGTGGTGTGCTGTGCCATGTTCATTTCAAAGGGGTCTTTATATATGCTTGTTGCTGGTGACCCTCATATCCTTGTCTCTTGTAACTCTTTCTGAAAAAGTAATAGTAGACTGGTAGTCATCCACTTGACACTCTTCCCAACGTCCAAGGTCAAGGCCAGGCTCTTATCCAAGAGTCGGGAAAAGAAAAAAGAAAAGGACAACGTGGCAGGTGATGGGAGACAAGTGGAAGAGATGAAGAGAAGCGATGCACTTACAAGAGTAGTAGTAGTAGTAGTAGTAGGAGTAATAATAAGTATATAAGCACGTAAGGAGAGTAGTGAGGGTGATGAGAGGGATGAGAAGGTTGATGAGAATGAAAGGAAGGGATGTAAAGGTATGGGAAGAGAAGAAAGTGAAAAGATACGACGGACGGGAAAAGAGAACGAAAGAAAGAAAGAAAAAAAAAGAGTTTAACGGGAATGGTGGCGAGTTGGAGGGAGGGAAAAGAAAGTGATGAAAAAAAAAAGAGCGCAAAAGAAGAAAAGGGAACAGGCGCATCGTCCGTCAGGAATTCTGGAATGGGGACCGACATCTTCCTTGTGGTACACTCTGCCTTCACCTCCTTCTCCTTCACCCTTCTTCCAAGGTCACTCGCAGTCGCCATGGTGAGGGTCAACAGGTAAACTTTACACTAAACTTTACACTTCCTCTTCGCTTGAACCTCCTTCTCGTACCAACATTGCTCTTTGACAAGAAAATGAATATACTTTTCTGTTTGAATATTCTTTCTGATCCGCATGGCATCAACGCTCTCGTTCCTCAATTGCTCTGCTCGTCGTGGATCGCCAGGCCCTATCTATGAGCCAAAAACATGGACATGTGTCCCACCTCGCTGTCAATGCTGCTATCGCTTGCTCTTGCTCATTCCTTGTTGCTGATGCTGCTGATGCTGTTGATGCTGTGAACCATAACACACCCCTCTTGACTATCCAGAGCATAACGCATACAACTAGGGCACAGTCAGGGACTAGAACAAGGGCAGAGTTGAACTATGACAGGGGCATGAAGGGGGTTATGAATAGATTCAACAAGAGTGCGGATGACAAGAACGGGGTCCATCTCCTCTCCCCCCTTGTCCTTCTGCTCGAAGGAAGGGATGGGACAGAGAAGCAAGGACAAAACCTATTTTTTTCTGTTCCAAAAAGTCGTACGACAACAACACGACCACCCACCTCCAAGTCTCCACGTTGCAACTGTCGATTCCGCCCTTTTGTTTTGCTTGAAGGAAAGGAACAAAGGCAAAGGGCCAAGGGGGAAAAGGGGGGACCCTTGCGCACGCTGATTCGCTCACTTGACTTGACACAACTACAGCCAAACAAACAAAAAGGGAAACTAACCCCAAAGACTTCAAACTTTTTTTTTTTTGTTGTACACTGGGGTTTATTTTCTTTTTGGTAGTGGTTAGTTTGTTGTCGTTGTTTGTTACTGTAGAATGAGGTGACACTTTGTAAGGGGAATAATGAGAGAAAGAGAAATATAGAACGAGAACAAACAATCGTTCATCTATTCAGGAACAAAAAGGAACACTAGAGAGTTGATTTGAACAAAACTAGTTGAAGTTGATTCCTGTCACTTCCGTGTAGATCAATCCTTTGAGCTGCTCTTTGGAAAGGGTATCCTTGTGCTTGTCAAAGTCAAAGAAACTCTCAGGAATAGGATCCATCGAGGGTTCATCCTCAGGGTCGTGGTAGGGCTCGAGGTAAGGGTGACGGAGGGCCTCCTCGACCGTGATACGTTTTGCGGGGTTGAACGTCAAGAACTTTTCCAGCAGGTCCAGCGCGAGTGGGTTAGCATCGGGAAACATGGAGGCAAAGGGGATCCTCCTCTTGAATGCCAGCGTGCGGATGTAATCACGCGCACGGCGGGACTTGATCCCGTAAAAGTCCTCCATCGTGGGTGTTCCCAGCACATCCAAAATCAAGTTCAACTGCGAGTGGTCTATTCACCCATGGTTGTTTGAAAAAGGTAGAAGAAAGTAAGAGTTAGAGAGGTGTCGATTTGGTTGAGACATGATTACTCAAGGACCGATCGTTCCACTGAAACTGAACAGAAAGGCAAAGGAGACGCAAACTTCACCACAAACGAAAACGTAAAGAGAAGACAAAAGAACATGAAACGCATGTGCAAAAGACAAAAGGAAACAAAAAAAAAGAGACAGAGAGAGATGTAGGACTTACAGTCGCGACCGGGGAAGAGGGGCTTGCCGGAGAGCATCTCGGCGAGGATGCATCCGACGGACCAGACATCGATGGCCTTTGTGTATTCCTTGAATGTCAACATGATCTCGGGGGCTCTGTACCAGCGGGTCGCCACATACTCTGTCATAAATCCGCTGTGCTCGTCGTTCGAGTTGGCGGACCTCGCCAAACCAAAATCGCAAATCTATTTCAAACCATTGTCCATGTACATACAGTAACCCATTGATTAGTCAACATGTATGACCGCTTTGGTTTGTTCATTCAGTTCTTGTCCATCCCTTCTCGAGTACTCCATGATGTGACCCTAATGGACGAAAAACAAAGACAACGTCTAACCTTGAGGTCACAGTTGGCATTGAGGAGCAGGTTGGAAGGCTTGAGGTCACGGTGGAGGACGTTGGCAGAGTGCATGCACTTGAGGGCGCGGAGGGTCTGGTAGATGAAGTACTGACAGTGGTCGTCGCTCAGATCCTGGGTCCTGATCACTCGGTGCATATCCGTCTCCATCAGCTCCTGAATCAAGTAGCTGTTTGTCGTTAAGAAACAAAAGAAAAAACGGGGTAAGCAAAAGAATGGAAGGCATTGTGTTAGAGAATGCTTCAATTGTTGTTTCTTCTTTTCGCACGGATAGCAAAAATCACAGATGGTTGTTCCGTTCTGTCCGTTTGTTGTCGTTTGAAGATGTTGCATTTTGCTTGCCGAGAACAAGAGAGAGAGAGAGAGAGAGAGGAGAACTTACACTTCCTGGAAAGCGTCCAGGGTGGGAGGCTTAACGATATCGAGGATGGAAATGATCTGCTTGGGTAAAAACGAGGGTACAAAAAAAGGTAACAAGCAAAGCAAACAAGCAATCGAAAGTAAAGGATAGCAGGGTGAGTACTTGTTTTAGTGTGAGCACAATCACAGTCGACTCGATCTGAGAACAAAAACACTTGGAGGGCAGGGGAGCAAATCGTTCTGTGTCGTTATGCGTCTGCAACGAAAAGTGAGAGAGTCCGGTATCCAGTAGCAAAAGAGTGGTCCATTGAGAGGAAGAGAAAGAGACAACAAGGATCCATACGAGTCATTGAATGGCCGTTACCCATTGTTCCTTGTCGTATAGCCATATATCCCCTGTTCATTCAGGGTCATGTCCTGTGGATGATGAGTGTATCCTCTTTCCCTGTCTGCACTGTATCCACCGTGTGCGTGTATGTATCCTATACACTTCCAATTGTTCCTGTGTTGTCTGCCTCTCGCAAAGACAATGAGTGCTTGCCATCAGGAAAGCAAAGGAACCAAAAAGGATAGAGTAAGGATACTTACGTTCTCATGGTTAAAGTACTTCAACAGCTTGATCTCTCTCAGGGTTCTCAGACAGAACATGGAGTGGTCGAATGGAGTGATCTTTTTGATGGCCACCTTCTGTCCAGTGGGCTTGTAAATGGCCGAGCTAATTGGAACAAAGAAAATGAGCAAGGTGGGTGAGTGTGACAATGTAAGTGAGCGAGTATGTGAATAAGCAAGGGTGAAGTTCATCATCTGTGTTTCGAGTAACAAGAATGAATGGAGACTTACCAGACGATACCGTAGGCACCCTCGCCGACGACGTCGAGGATCTCGTACTGATCACCGACGTTGAAGTTGCGTGCTCGTGGGTTGGTGGTTGCAGTCATTTCCGAGATGGTGTCGCTGAGGCGCTTTGTGATTCGCGAGAGAATGGTGGGGTGGGGGGAGAGGGGAGAGGGATGGCTGTTGTTGTTGTTGTTGGAAGGAGTGTGAGAAGCAACAACGGTTAAGTTATGAGGAGAGAGAAAAGTTAGAAAGAGAAGGGGTGGATAAAAGAAGGAAGAGGAAGAGAAGGAAAGAAGGAAGAACGAACAGAGAGACAAGAAAAAGGGGGTAAAAAAGAAAAGACTGGGAAAGGGAAGGGGTTCAAGGAGAAGGAAGGAAGGAGAAAGAGATACTGAGGGGATGGGAAAGAGGGCAAATGCTTTTTTTCTTTCTTTTTGAACGGACAATTAGAATCTTTGATAGAATGGTCAACGGATATGTGTTTGTTGTCTTCTTGAATGGGAAGGATGAGTGTGATGGAAGGAGTGAAGAAAGAAGAAGGAAAGAAAGGAGGAGGAAGAAAGAGAAAGAGGCTAGATGAGTTCAAATGTTCATTCACACACACACACACACACACACATGCCTTTGAAAGAGACAATACAAAACGGCACAAGAGAGAATGGAAAGAGAAGGAGCATGTCCACAGTGTCCAGGTGTGAAGTCAAGAAAGAGGCACAAGGTGGGGTCCATGCCCTATGATAGGGTTCTGTCTATTGGATCCATTTTTATCACTTATCACTCTTCAAAAATTTAAATTTCATTTCTGATGTCCAAACCTCAAACAACCATCAGCTACAGGTGTATGGATGGATGGTACCTGACTGACGGTACCCAATGAGCGCCGAGCCTGCCTCTTCTTGATCATTTCATCACGTAGCTCCAGGGGTCTTGTCATCCATCGAGAGTGCCAAGGGTCACCAGCCTGGGATGTCGTTTTTCTTCGTCTTCCTTTTTCAGCTCGTCTGTATCAATTCTTCGTACTTGTTATCATTCTCATTACCCCTGCCTAGCATGGAGAAGCGTGGTCCTTCTCAATTCATGCTTGCTCAATGTGCATGGTCCCTCTCTATACTCACACACATAGGACATGATGAAACACTTGTGAGCCATCGACCCCTTGTTTGTTCATTCATTCTTCTTCCTTCTTCTTCTACTGCCTCCTTCACTGCCACAAGGCCCTTCCTCCTTCGTTGCTCACAACACACACCTTACTCAACTCACAGCCAACCATCGTCTCCGCCACCAACCATCGTACCCCTTCCTTTTTGTATCAGTCTGTTCTATCCTCCCCTTCTCAAGGCTTCTTTTGCCTGCCTTAACAAAAATCACAAACAACAACAAACAAAACAAAGCATAAGCATAAGCAGAACCAAAAAGGCTCAATCGACAATCACTCCACCCAAACCAATCACATCACAATGCTCTTTGCCAGGACCATTGCATCAACTGGATTCAAAGCATCAGCAACAGCTACTGCTCGCCGTGCTCATCATCGACCCCTAGGTCTCATCGCCCGCACCCTCCTTACCAATCACCAACGTCACTCCATTCACACCACTCAAAACACCACGAACAACGATAATAACCAACATGACCCAATATCCCTCCACGACCGGGGAATACACCCCTCCCCCACAACGCTCTCCCTCCTCGCCTCCAAATCCATCCGCCCTTACTTTTACTTCATCGATATCCACGGCCAAGTCTTTCTCCAAGACACCACTCCCAAGAACTTCACTTCTTGCTACAAGGATCCAAAATTCTTGAACTTCTTCATGACCAGGATTAGGGCCAATACGACAGGGTATTTTGGAGACGAGTATCTCTGGCAGAGTCCTTGTGCGAAGGAGATCAACTTTGTTGAGGCCGCTGATACGCCTGTTGTCTTCCATGGACTTGTCGACAATGGTATTTTTTTTTTCTTCTGCTGAAAACAACGTGGCTGTATCCACCCCGTCTGTGTTTATGACATCAAATTAACGCGCTTGATACTAATTAATAGAACAACTGGTGTGGGCAGGAAACTTGCAGACGCCCTTCCAGCCAGACAAACTAAGCGTCTCGCTCTCCACAGGAAGAATCTACCACCCCTTACCACCCGTCATGGTCCAACCATGCAGTTCAGACAAGGACGGAAACCCACTCCTGCCACTCGGACTCCTCAAATCCTCACTCGTCCTTACCGAGTTTGCCGCCCTGCTCGACAATGATTCTTTCATTTGGCAGGGTAAACAGTATCCTGTTCTTCATGTACCATAGCCCTCTCTTTGCTTTCTCTTTTCTTAATAACAACAACCATCTTCCGGAGTTTATTATATTCATCGCTGTGCAATACTGGAAGCCAACATGCGTTGTATGTGTTTATGGATGGTCTTGTATTTGTTTAAGAGGAACTAAGGGCTTTGCTGCGTCGGACCTCTGGCGTCTGGGAGAGATCAACGACGCTCCAATGTGAACCAGCTATACCTGGGTTCGTGTACATACCTCCACCGCCACCATCACCGCCTACACCCACACCTCGACCAAACATATCCAACCCTCTATACCCACCATACCCATCCGCCAACAACTCAACCCCCACCGGCTGGGACCGCATAACAAACTGCACGGGTACAGGGACAACAGCAACCTTCTTGGTCCAATGTCTCAGAAACACGCGTTCGACCACCACGAACACAATCACGAGCAACACCCATCCAGCCGCAATCCACGCCAACATCACCTTGGGCCCTCCTCCTGCCTTTCCCATGACCATCCATGCGTTCTCTCCACCCTCGCCCATCTTCAGATGGGGCGACATCACCCATCGTCCTACATCCTCACGATACCGTTCTCGCTCGGCTTTGGTGCTACCCCCGGTGTTAGACTTCTTTTCGAGAACGGGCGGGGACGGGCAGAGGAGGGCGACGAGGAGGGAGGCGTAAAGGACACAGGAGAACGAGAAAGTCCTCCAATAATTAATCTTGTTCCAGTAACACGGTTTCATCCGAATCGTATAACAAGCCATCGCCAACATGATCCCAATCGACACCAGGCCCCGGAACCGTCTCTGCGCAGGGGATTGGATCAAAAGAAAATCCACCGCCAACAACAGGCCCAAGTTCTTCAACACCGCAACCCCATTCGGTCGGAAACAGATCTCCCCCTTCCCCGGGACGCGTTCAAAGGATGTCAAAAACACCATAAAAAGAACATAGGCGAGAGTGTAGGCGAACAGACTGGCGGTGAGGTAGAGTCCTGGGTTGACGAGGGGACCTGTACAGAGGAGGGAGCTGGCGGGGGCTGCGACGGTTGAGGCTGGGTCGAGGAGGGTCACGATGACGGAGGAGAAGATAGAAGTTGCTTGAATTTTCGGGTTGTGACCGCCTTTTTCGTGGAGGGCTTGTTCTTGTTGCTGGGCGTATTTTTCATGAGCGTAGGCGTGGATTGCTTGGGATTGGCATGCCGCCGAGGACAGGAACGTGCTCAGTATTGGCAAGTACAGCACACTCTATGCTCGAGAAAGAGTGAGAACGGTTGCGTGTTGTTAGATAAAAGGAACAAGTCATAGCTGCAAGTCAACACAAGTTCCAATCATACAAAAATAAAAGTTACCACGACGGGGATGAAGCAGCTGACCCAGCCAACAGAAATCGCGTCCCAATGCGGTCGTCCCTCGCGTCTCAACCGCCGGCACCGTCGGTTCCAGGCATGGATACTCAACGCAACCAACCAGCCAAATACAACCGCCGCAAAACAGCTCCAGAACCGTAGGAGGTACCAATAATGTGTGTTGATGGACGGCTGCAGGCCCAGACTGTTGACAACCTGCATCACTATATCGCCGTCTCCTCCACTATTGCTGTTTCCACCGCGGATGTTGTCCGAAGGTGATTTTTTGATTACTGAATCGCCGCCTGCGGAAAGGGTTGTTATATTTGAGGATGTGGAAGAGTTGGTGCTTCCGAGCCCCTGTAGCGCTACACCGACGGCTGCGTTGACGAGGTTATCTCGGAGCTCTTCAAACCGACCAGACTCCAGCCCATCCATGGTATTGTTGTCCATCAGTGCTGTAATGTTGGGTAGCCAGGAATGCAGGTTCTCCTTGATCCATTCGACCGAAGCTCCCAGTTTCTGAGTACCGCCATCGGCGATCTTGTGCGCTGTTGATGTTGTACTTCCGTCTGTCGCATTTTGAGCTTGTGGCGACGCCTTCTTCCGAAACAACTCCATTTCATCGTCGCCATGCTGGTCTAACACTGCTGATGCCGATCCTGCTGCTCGTGCCGCGTCGTCTTCAGTGATCTCTAACGCAAACGCCGGTCTCTCGGCCGATTTTTCGTCCTGCGTCGAACTGTTCCGAGGGTTAAAGTCGAACAACGTGTTGTTGCCAATCGACAAGATTCCACCCTTGTACTGAATCCCTGACCCACCACCGCCGCCGCCACCACTTGCTCCTGCTGTTGCTGCTGAGGACACTGTCCCATTCCCTGCATCGGTTGCTGTAGTCCGAAAGACATCCAGGATCGTCTTGGCACCCTCATACATCGCACTCGTCTTTTCGGCCTGGTTATAAAACTCCATCAGCTCCCGAAGCGGGAACGAAAACAGCTGTAGGAACTCGATGATCAAGATCCCGACTTGGAGATAGTTGAACCAGGCGAGGAAGGACATTGTCGCAAAGTCTGGTGCGTTGCCGTCGTCGTTAACAGGACTACAAGTAGCGGTACCATCGGCGACGGTGGTGGGTTTCTTTCCGTCTTCTGGAAGGTCCTTTGTGTGGTGCTGGTGGTGGGTCGAAGTTTCTTTGGGGTTTGATCCTCCTGCTGCCGCTGAAGTTGTTGTGGGCAATATTCCTGGACGGGGATCGGTGCTGCCGGTGCTGGTGCTGGAACTAGGTGTGTTTTCGGCAGGTCCACTGCCACCTACTCCTGCCCCTGTTCCAGTGGTTGCTGCTGATGCGCCGGTCTGTGCGGAGACTTGATCCGTAGTCGTGAACCGCTCAACTCCCTGCGCCACCCCCTGGTGAAGATGCAGATCCTCATAAAAGTCTCGCTTTCCTTCACCACACCCTTCACCATCCCTCTCAATCTCCAGACTCTCACCTCCAACAACAGCCTTACCCTCCAAATCATACCCAGCACCACCACCCACATCCTTGATCGTCTCCATCGGAAGCATCATCCCCCCTCTCATCAACTCCTGCTCATACCCCCTCCTCCTCCCAAACACCCTCTGCCTCACAAGCACAAACCCATTAATCCCCACAATAAACACAAAGATCCCATGCTCCATCAACTGGTCCTCGAAATCCTTAATCCCCAACGCAGCTTTCATGATATGCGCCACAATCGTATCCATCAGACTCGCCCCATCCTCAGGATCAAACGTCCATGGTGTCATGTTGGCCGGATCTTCGTGGACCAGGAAATTCGCGCAGATGATGAGTCCAGCTCCGACAAAGATAAAACCGATGAGGCACCAGCCTACGACGTATTCCCACAACTTTTCGGCGACCATGTCTTCTCGGTCAATCCTAGTCCCGGTTGTGGGGTCGGTCTCGGGAGAGGAGGAGGAGGAGACTCCTGAGTTCCCGGTCCCGTTGGTGGCATTGTCGGTACTTGTGACGACTAGGGTAGCTGGATCCTCGGGTCGTTGACGCTGATATCGTCTCCACGACTCATCCATCGCCATCTCTTCATCATACTCCCCACCTCCCCCTGCTCCATTTCCACCACTACCACTACTACCACCCTGCCCACTCCCAGTCCCACCATCAGTGTCCTCCCGACCACTCTCTCCACAATGCTGCTGCCTCCTCCTCTGCGCCGCCTGCCGTTTCCGCATCTTATCCTTCCTCCTACAAGGATGTAACCCCTCCACAACACACCGACCCTGGGACGCCATAGTCTCGACCAACAGATCTGCCTCGCTCTGGGCTTTCAACCATTGTGTTAGTCGCTGTGATGGTGGGGTTGTTCTGCGACTGATAATGATGTAGAGGAGAAAGGCCGCTAAGAAGAATATTACTACTAAGAAGAAGAGTAGGATTGTTAGGTGTGATGTCTCCATAAGTGTTGTATGGGCGAGAGAAAGGGTTGGGGGGTGGGGGGGGGGTGGGGTGTATATGTGTAGGCAGCGAACGAATGAAGAAGATAGAGAGGAAGACAAATGGAAGAGTGAAGAAATGATAATGCCTCTAAGAGTTGAGAGGGGGAGGAAGGGTATGTCAAGGGGGGAATGAGGTTCAAGGTAAAGTTGAAAGAAGAGGAGAAGAAGACTGAAAAAAAAGGGCATTTGAAGGGAATATTCGTGTAGATTCCCAATGCTCCCGAGCGCGAGTTAGACCCGTCAGATGTGGAATAGGGACAAAAGTAATATGTAGACTAAATACCTCGTACCATAGGACTACATAGCCAGTGGAACGACCCGGCATAATGAAAAAGAAAAGGAACGTGGTCAAAAGAGCTGGCCAATGCAAGGGGAGGGAGCGCAAAAACACGCGAAACGGTCGACTTTATTTGTTTGTATAAATGGATGGAATGAATGGAGAGAGCTGTCTCCGCAATATTATGAACAAGATGAAAGGGGGCGCCGTTTACAATCAAACCATGGATAAGGTGTTTGTGTGTGCATGAAAGTACCTCCAGTCATCATTAAGGCGGAGGCTATGCCAGCATAGGTCCATTCGCCGTCTTCTTGTTCTTCCCCGCCACCTTTTTTGTAGGAACTGGCTCCTCGTCTAAGGTTGCATGGTAAAAATAAAAAATACGATTACTATCCATGTCACCTTGTTACTGAACAACATATCAACCCATGGAACCTTCGATAAGATACCTTCTTCTACTGCCTGTTGCTCGAGTTCTGGAAGTGCGCTCACTGGTATGTTTGGAAGCAATGTCTTTGTCTCCTCCTCCTATCGTACACAAATATCAGGTGAAGGGAAGCATATATGTTAATAAACATCCTTGAACCACACACGAATGCATACTCGTCCATGAATCCAGAGTGACAAAGATCTCTCTCTCTTTCTGCCTGTCTCCCCCGAAACTTACAATCATAAGATCCAGCTCGTTTTCGATATCCTCCTCATCAGCAACCGAGAGTCGTGTACTCAAAAGCTCATCAATCTCGTTCTGGTACGCAATACTATCCGCCGTCTCATCCATCAACTTCTCCACATCTGCCAACGACATTTCCTTGTGCAGCTCCTTCAGAACCTGGTTTCCTGCCGCCAGCCCTGCAAACACTTGCTTCTCCACCATTGCCTGCTCGATCGACATCGTCTATTAGATACCATTAGAACAACGAAAGTAAAGGAGGATTTGTTAAGTGTTATTGGCCTGGCTGTAACTTCATGGTAGGCAAGGAGTGACAAAAAGTGGGGAGATGCACGTACCAGCTCGTCTAGGTTGGTCATTTGGAGGACAGTCTTTTCGAGGAGGGACTCTTGGAACTTTTTGCGGCGGAGGGCCAATAGGGCCCGCTGTTTCTCGCCTTTGGCCAGATGGCCCTTTGCCAGCCTCAGTTCCTTCTCAACCACACCCTCGAGCTATTAATTGCCAATGAAAGGGATAAAAGAGATGTTAGGAATATGATGAGCATCAAGGGCAATGCTAGAAACCCAATTGAAGAGGCGAGAAGAGTCTTTTGTGGCGTACTCGTTTGTTGTATTGCCTCAGCTTGTCGCGCTGGACTTTGAGGTCGAGGATGGCCCGGTCATGGGCTGTAATCTTGGCTGCTGCTCCTTTGGACGACGAACTTCCCATTCTGTCTGCGGTGGTTGATGTGTAGGATGCTGTCGCTGGTGCTGTTTGTTGATGTCGGAGATGGTCGATTCGTTGTTGTTGGAGACAGAGGAGAGTGTGTAGGAAGAGGAGGAGGAATGCCAAGGGTTGGGGAAAGGAGTACTTGAGTGTGCACGCCATGGCTGTCCATTCCACGTGATAGATTCATGTATTGGTGGCGTGTCCAAGTTGTTCCTGAGTGCGGCATTAAAAAAATGCAATAAAGCGGCGTTTTGCATGGGCTTCCGCTTCTTTCAACCTCACTTCCCATCTTAGCCCGATTCAACCCAACGAAAACTCACATTCATCTCACCTCAACAACCAAGTAACCCCTTCAGGAACAATGGCACCAGTCCTGGTCAAGCAGGATTTACTGTCCAACATAACACCCCTCCGCCCATCAGCTCGCAACAACGACTTTACAACCCTCGCCAAGGCCCGTCTCGGAACCGACACCGTCCTTTTACAACAGGCCAAACACAGCAACGGATGTGGGCTTCGAAGGGATATGGAGACCTGGCTGTATACCCTTGATTCGCAGTTGGATAATAACCAGCAGCCGCCTCAGTTGGTCCGTGTCCGTGGTACTCTCGAGAGCAACAACTGCGGTGGTGGCAGGAGCGTGGAAGGAATGACAACGGGGTTTGTCCCTGGGTCGGTCGCGAGTGCGTATGCCAGTGTGGAGAGACCAGTGTTTGTAGTGGATTATTATGAACGAGGATCACTGCGGGACAGTCTTGACAGAGGCGATTTTCTGACGACGGCAGCGGCTTCTCAGGAGGACGGACCAGGAAGTGACAGCCGACTAACTGGAGTTAAGAGCTGCTGGAAGAGCAAGATTGCGGTTCTGAAGGAAATTGCAACAGCACTCCACTATATCCAGTGCCATCTCCCCGGCCAACAGCTCGGCTCCCTATCCAGTGACACCATCTTCCTCGACACCGACCGTCATGCCTACCTCTCATGGCATGCCTCACGATCCCACCGTAGGGATTATACCTTGGGCCGCACACAGTCCTGGAGACTCCTCCCTCCAACAACGCTTCTTCAATTGAAGAATACTCTGAACCAGGAACCGGTAGCAGAGGATATCTCGGTGGAGCAAGATGATATGTATACGTTTGGGATCTTGGTATGGGAGATTGCGACGGAGGAGCGGCCGTTTGAGAGTATTGATACCCCCGTGTTGGTGAGGCCTGAGGATATGGCGCATCGGTTCTCGAAGGCTCCTCCTCCGCGTGTGCTGGATTTGGTCCGCCAGTGTATCCAGGCGGATAAGACAAAGAGACCTTCTTGGTGTGCTGTGTTAACGAGTTTGGATAAGTTGGACCCAGTCACCTTGGAAGACGGCACTGACACTGCCCCCAGCCTCGACAACAGCAACCTTATCCAGGAACCCTCTACCAACGATACCACAACAACAACAACTACAACAGTCTCATCCCCCATCACTACCACGACAGTGACCCTCACCCGTGACCCATGCCACCCAACAGCGCTCTCAGACGACAAGACAAAAGTCGTCGAGATGATGGAATCCGTCCTCGATTCGACCTTCTATCGCCGCGACCTCCCAACCCACCTCTACAGCTTCACCAGCCCACGCGGCAAGAAGCTCTTCCAGGAAATGATCGCAGCAGGAACAGGGGAATGTTTCTTCCGCCTCTGCACCTCCTTCAACACTCAAAGCGATCCTGCCTTCTGTGGCGTCTCTTCTCTATCCATGGTCCTCAACGCCCTCGAGATTGACCCGCGACGACAATGGCGAGGTGTTTGGAGGTGGTACTCGGATGAACAACTCGACTGCTGTACCTCGGTCGATGTGATGAGACAAAAGGGAATCACCTTTAACCAGTTCAGCTGTCTCGCCCGCTGCCACGCCAAAGTCTCTGCTAAACGTGCCGACAGGACGACGATCGAACAGTTCCGACAGGACCTCAAACTCGTTTGCACATCGGATCAAGTCCATATGGTCCTCTCCTTCTCGAGAGCTGCATTGGGACAAACGGGATCTGGACACTTTAGCCCAGTCGGCGGGTACCACGCCGGTGAGGATAAGGTCCTAGTCCTGGACACCGCCCGATTCAAGTACCCACCCTTCTTTGCAACCGTTCAAGAGCTCTGGGAGTCCCTGCTACCCGTCGACCCCGAGACAGGTGAATCCCGAGGCTACTTCTTGGTTTCTGCCACCTCCAGGCAGAAACTCGACATCCAGCGCAAGCGGCTTCCAAGTGTCATCGGCATCGGCAATGGCGATATCACATCCACGGCCTCCTCATCCTCAGTCTCCTTACCCTCGCAGACGGACCCCTCTTCTCGTTCCCCCTCTCCGTTCCGGGAACTGGGGATGGATGGACCGGTAGATAATGAGACTACTTCTGCGGATGAGCACCACGACTGTGATTGCGACTGCAAGCCATAAAGGAGCGAACCATTTGCCATTTTATGAGTGTTTTTTTTTATTTTGTTTGTAGTGGACTACAATTGAGCTATGTGTTTAAAGAGATGACAGGACAGATCTATGCAGGGATTACAAAGAGGGGAAAGGGAAAGGGAAAGGGAAAGACATCTGCGACAGTACACATTCATGATAGCCAGCAGCAAGACGAGGAGGTGGAAGAAAAAGAAACGTGGACGAAAAGGGGAGGCGTTTAGTTGACAACGAACGATAAAATAAATAAGCACACAGACATAAAAAGGACCAAAGCTCGTCACCTCAACTCCTACAAACAACATCGCACAACAAACAACACAAAGATACTTTTTTATCATTGCACATTTTCATGATCGGTTTGACTATGGATGCATCATCGGGGGGTCTTTTTTTTTTGTCCTTGGACAACTTACTTTGCAGATAGAACTCTTCCTTCCCAGCTTCCGAATCCTTAGGGCTTCCCGCGTAATGTATGCGTTTCTTTCAAATGACCTAACAAATGAAGTCCATTTCGACTACCACGCGAAGCCTCGGATTAGGCATGCCACAATAGACCAACAAAACAGATAACATTATTTCTGGTCAACTCCCCCCAACGCACGAACGAAACAATAGCGTGAAAAAAAGAAGGAAAAAAAAAGGAAATGAAAAAAGCATTTGGAAACACATCTTAATAAGAACCACTTCAAGCCTGATGAAGAACCGGGGTGCTTGATGTAGACACATCGCTTTTCACAATCGGTGATGCTATCGCCGATGGAGTGCCAGGAGTGTCTGCCGAGGCCACAGAAGTCACAGATGCCGCATCCGATGCTACACCGTTCTGGACAGCTGATCCGCGGCGCTTCTTTGAAGGGGGTCTTGCATCCACGGCCGCCGCATTTTTCTAGTAGTACAAGAACAAACAAAACAAGAGTTAGGCAGACTTGCATGAACAACTACCAAAACACAAGTTGTCGTCGTAATGTTCAACGACTGTTAGGAATGATATAGACGGGTCACTTACCTTGCCAGACTTGGACCGCTTGTTCTTCTTGTGTTCTGCATCCTCAAGAGCTTCAGCAGGGAGAACTTCGGCAGGAAGTGCAGAGCTAAGATACGATAGGAATGATTTAGTCATTTTTGGCTTTGTATGTGTTGTCTATCTCGACTTGCGAAAAGGCACAGCTAAGATTCAAAGCGATGAGTTTTATCTAAAACTTACCTGCGAATGTGCTGCACAACAATGCCCATCGTCTGCTCGTCATACTTGTCCCAAGACTTCACAATTTCCGTAAACTCCTCCTTGGGTCGATACAAATCCAATTTCCTGTGAGCCTTGGATCCCTCTATGTACCATGAAGGAAGGAAGGAAGGAAGGAAGGAAGTATCAAAAAATGAGTATTTTGCGACGCAACGCAGAACAAAATGTTGACAAGGGGATGAATTGATTGAGACGAACCTTCACGGACGGGGATACACAGGCCGATGTAGTACATAGAGATCCACACGGACTTGACATCTGCTGAATCCGCTGCTCCCTCAGCCGCCTCCTGTGCCTGCGCATTGATGATGCCATGTGCAGCATCCTCCTTCTCTTGTGCTGTCTTGTACTTGATCACCTTGGAAAATCCCTTGATGTATGGGTGCGCAAGCACTAAATTGTCGATACGCTCCAGCTTTGCAACAAGGTGGCGCAGCCTTGACTCGACCAATCCAGACCAGGTAAGATGACGCTCCTCCGAGTCTGAGGAGGCAATGATCTGAAGATAATGTCGATAACGAGTAAAAAAATCATCCTTGGCAAACAAAGACGACCAGGGAACACGCTGACTCATGATCCTGTTCACCAATTCGGCAGCTAAATCGGAAACGTAAGCGTAGCGTACGTTAGCAAATAATAAAATGACAACCGTGGCAACAACGACATGCGACTTTAGCCTCTCTGTGCAAAAAAAAAGTAGTTCGTGAGGCCTTACCATCCTTGAACTCGGACAACATGACAGCCTTGGTAGAATCGGTGACGTTGTGGGTGGCACACATGGAGGGATAGGCTGGGGTGATGATGGGCATCTTGTGTGCTTTGTCGGCCTGATACAGTTTTGGGTTCCACACACGAACCTGGAGAGGTCCTTCCTCAATAGGCTTGAGCAAAACGGGCTGGGGCCAAGGCCTGGAGAAGAAAAGGAGACAAAAACACGAGCGTGTCAGTCAATCGATACAAATGCATGTTATTTCATGAGAGGCGATGAATGAACAAAATTTCGCTCCATTACAATCGCTTACCACTGGTGGAGAATTGAAAAAAATCTCGAGATGATGGTGGCTGCACAGGCATTCGGGTATAACTGGCACACTCTGGCAACAAGCATAGCCCAGGCGACACCTCCCAAGAATCCCATCATGTTGGAGTAAACGGCACGACGCTGAGCCCACAGTTTGACACATCGAAGTGTCAGGCGGAAGGTTGGGATGTTGGGGACAAGTCGCAAGATTTCGTCAGTGACACGAGAGCCGTTCACAGAACGAATACAACGGTCATCCAAGTTCCTGAGTAAAGCGTCGTCAGAGAGGTCGAGAGTATCCGGAATAGTTGAGAGTCCAAGTCGGGCAAACGTCAAATCGATCTATTGCAGGGGCGCGGGAAATGACTTGATGTATAAGTCATTTGTGAGGCAGATAAGGTCAAAAAAAGCAAATCTTCTTCTCAACGATGAGACATAAAAGGCATTGGCTTACAGGGATGTCAGAAAAGCTCATTGTGATGACAGGGGTGAATGCATCGGGGACGGAGGCGAGTTCGGTGACCTCTGGTCGTCGGCGAAGCATGTCGTACATGACCTCAAAGAAATCCTCGCGATCGACGTATCTGGGGACGACGCACAATGTATCGATATCGGTACCTACGAAGTGATTGAAGCGAAGAGAAGAGTATTAGATGTTGAGATCTATCAACGAGTCTACATTGCTCTCAGAGGCAGAGTACGTCAGTGCGTGTGGTTTTTCTCTCACCTGATCCGTGGACACCCAATCGGTAAGAACCAAAGGTGAAGATCTTGCCACCGGCCTCCTTGGCAATCTGCTCTGGATATCCCTTGCGCACATAGACAACGTAGACAAACTCCTTAACCAACTTGTCCAACTTTCCAAGAACAATCTCTCTAATTATATCAATGCAATTGATAAGGACTCCAGGTTAGTGGTGAGCCTTGTGATCGATCTGCGAATTGCGAGTTGCAGAGCCAATGCTGATGGGTGCTCATGGCTGGTATCCTTGCCTTCGCTTGCTCTCCTCGTTCGACTCGAACAATCCTTGTTCCTTCAGAGTTTGGAGTAGTCTGTCACTGCTATCCAGATCCTCCTTTGTCGGTAAAGCCTCTGAGATAGGCATCGTAACGCCCAGTCGTCGTTGTGCCCTAAAGTTGAAACAAGAGTGTACGACGGAAGAGTCAGGTGTGCGTTCAAAAGGGGGACATAACAGTGAAGCAAAGTCAATGACCGGAATATTGGCCAGACATACCCATTCTGGTTACTCATGGTGCGATTGGTGTCCTTGCTGTTGTTGTTGTAGTTTGAGGAGAATGGCGAATCAAAAAAGAGGGTAAGGCTGAGCTGTTTAGTTGCCGTGGTGGTTGTTATGGCCGTTGCTGTTGATGAGTTGACGGTAATGAAGAGTGAAAAGAGAATCGGTTCCCCTTAGTGTGTGTTGAGTGATGTGTCCTCTCCTGTGGATGAAAGTGTCCAGGGTTTGCTGCTGTCGATGATGGGTAAGACAAAGGAGACGGATTGATTATGGAAACAAAGGACGGTTGTTGAGGCGAAGAGGAGAAGAAAAAAAGGAAAAAAAAGTGACGTTGGCGTGTGTCCCAAGGCTGATTTCCTCCCCTTAAGTAATATAAGAAACAGAAAAGATCATCTCCCCCTTGAAGTAGGGTGCCACCAATTCGGACTTTGGGCGTCTTGTGTGCAAAGAAGGCAAGGACCATGGAGGACCTAGACCCCAATTGTGCTATCGTTTCCTTTTATGCCCATGATCAGCTCTTTATTTAAAAACTTCCTCTCTGCTTCTCTGAGGGTTTTTTACTTTTCTCTCTACCCGCTCTCTCCTTCTCTTTCAGTCCGACCATGCATCAACACAAGCCCTCTCCATCAACTCATCTCCCCATCCTTAAACCCATCTCCTCCCATGCTGGCTACGCCGACTACCTTGCCGAACTCACCCACGAGCTCCCCTTTTCCGCGTCTCAGTTCGGGATTGTTCTGGTCTCGGCATTAGGACTCAGGGACCGCCAGAACCAGGACCGCGACTCGAAGAGCAAGAACCCAGAGGGAACAGCAACCGTAACCTGGGAACCCAACATCGATAGCCCGCACTCTCGATGCTCCTTACCCGTCCAGGACGCCACGGGCAAGGATGTTTTTACTACTGTCGACGTGACAATCGCGGGACATGCCAGCACTGTTTACGCCAGGGGTGAATATTCTCTGATGCAGGCCGCATCAAGAGCAGGATCTGAAGGCGGCGCGATTGATGAACACTATTCGTTCAAAGCTACTGCGGAAAATTTTAGCAAGGCTGCTAAGGGCGATCCAGTGATTCAGGGCCATCAAAACAATGTTATCGCGGTCATGAAAGAGATTCTCGATCACCCTGTCGCCAACAAGACTCCTCCTGGTATGTTACGTTGATTCGTATCACAGTCAATGCAATGGTGCTCTTGCGAATTCAGTTCTGGTCGATTAATTGGTCTCTAGTGTACTAACTTCAGTCGTTGAACTGCTTTATGACAACAGGACAAGATAAAGCCGGTCTCCAATACCTTTACTGCCTCAACGAGATTTGGATACCCACCTTGAAGACGTTTGGCAAACTGTCTGACGGAAACAGGGCAGTCAAGCACGTCATTACCGAAGAGGAGCTCCTGAAGGCCGATCCTGAGATCCGTCGTCGATGCCAGGAGCTTGAAGAGAAGGAAGGACTGGTGCTGGGTCCAATGGTAGAGAGCGATATTCCTCTCATGATTGAGTTGAACAGTGTCAAATATGACGATGAATACGGCCGCTTCATCATCAAGCGATCGCTGTGCTTCCGAAACAAAAAGGGCGAGATGGTTGCCTGGGCAGGCACCCACGGCGACTGTAAGTCAGCCGTCATACTTTCTTTATTTCTGAACACTCCTCCTGAAGCAGCAATAGCCTAACATGGACTCTTATTCTTGTTATCACTGTTCTTAGTCTCGATCGCGGCGTTGCATGTGCTGCCAGAGTACCGCATGACTGGTCTTGGTAGACTTGTTCTCCACGGTCTGGCAATGACCCATATTAAACTCGCGCGCGAGATCCTGGCGACGCGAGGCGACGATGCCGAGTCTGTATCAGCTACGACTCTTGTTGCGCACGCAGATTGCATGGACTACAACCAGGCGACCATGATCTTTATGGAGCGATGTGGATGGCGCCGTATTGGATTATACCTGTGGATTGGTGTTGACAAGAGTACAAAGGAGAAGTAACTACAAGACATAGAATTGGTGGCAAAGGACGACGTTGAAATAAAAAATAATGCACTTGGATCGTGTGTGTGGCTGAATCGATTTGCTACGACCTTTTGATCTTGTCTGTCCAATAGTCTCCTCCCTTTGAACCAACCGCGTTCACCTCCACACAACAAACACAACACATCGACAATCGACCATGCCAAAGGAGAAAAAGACATCCGTCAGCAGCAACAAGGTACTCTCCCCAGACTCATTCGATTGCATCACGCGGCCCTTTGTCTCAGGAGAATGAAATGACAACCGAGAGTAACCTCGTCAAAAAACACACATTCCCTTCTGCCTGATCTCTAGCCCGAGAGAATCGTCCTGGACTACATGTCCAAGCAAAACCGACCCTACAGCGTCAGTAAGTCAATCTTATCGCGCGCTTTTCTTATTGCACAAGACACGTTTCATAAAAGCATGGACCTGACTTGGCCCCATGCTCCTTCTTACTATTTGCTTGTTCCCTGTGGTGCTGCTCTTCTACAGCGGATATTGTCACCAACCTCCATGCAGCAGTCACAAAGACTGAATGCCAACGGGCCGTCAACTCGCTCGTCGACAAGGAGCTCCTGACCTCAAAGACTTTTGGCAAGCAAACCATCTACGTCGTACGCCAGGTAACCAACTATCCCACATGTATCTGAACAAGGTTATTTCTCTATATGCTGCACCCACTTGCTAACTTGCTTCTGTTTTTGTTTATGCCAACGTCATACATTTTTTATTTGCATTGTCCATTGACAGGACACGATAGAGACGGCCAAGCCTGATGAACTTGTTTCGATCGACAAGAGACTGGTCCAACTTCGGGAGACAATCGCTGAACAAAAGTCAAAACAAAAGCAGCTCTCAGCAGGTACACCTTCTTTTTCCTAGGTTTTTTTGCTCTTTGAACGCCAGCGCAGAGGCTGATAGACTGACCACTTTGATTTGGTATTCGTTGAATAGAACTCGCGTTGCTCAACTCTGCGCTGACAACAGAGGAGATCCAGCATAGACTGGCCGTGCTGACATCAAAGGTGTGCCTCTCACCCCCACCCCCCCAACCTATGACCCATGCGTCATCCATGCAATCTTGAGGCGGGAATGGCGTTTGACACTGCGCCCGAGACTAAGACTAGACATAGTGTTGAAACTAACTGTTCCTATCCTTATCTTTTTTGTTGTACCCTTTGGTTCGTAGAACGAGCAATCCAAGGAACATCTTGTCCTTTTGCGCTCTGGATCACAGCTAGTCCCAGTCGAGGAGAGGCAGCGGGTTACTCGCGAGATGGAGACTCACCGAAAACTATGGACCCAGAGGCGACGACTTGTATGTGTGCCTGATCTGTAACATTAGCAACTATGGATTTTGGTTCTCCTCTTTTTCCCTCCCCTTGCTTTTTTTCTTTTATTGCTTCTCTGGATTATCCTTTGGTAAAACTAACGTCGACCGAATGTGTTGTGCGGGGTTGTGGACTCTTTTTTTTCTTCTCTTCATGTCTCGAACGCCTCGTATATAGTTCAAGGATATGTTCTCGACTGTCACTGAAAACCTTCCAGGAAAACCCAAGGAGTTGTTGGTAAGATAGTCCGCATCATAGTTGAAACAATTGAGCACCAGGTCGTCTAATTGCTGCTCCATGGTCATCTCAACCTTTATTTTCTCCGTTCTTTTGTTGGCATTTTGTTGTTGTCGTTTATATTGTTGTTACACATATTATGGAGGTAAAGGACAAAGGATCTGATCTATGCCTATGGTGCAATTTGTTGCCTTTACTATGCCATTTAGGAGGAATTGGATATCTCGCTAGATGACCCTATCGACATTAACATAAACCCAAGTGACCTTCTTTCGACATGAGATCGATTTCTTCTCTGTCTTGCGCCTTTCGTCCTCTTTCCGCTCTCTGGCAATGACATGTTTTTTTTCGCACTTGCGCCCGGTAATATCCTTTGTTGACATCAGATCCTATCTCCTCTCACCTCCACTTGACTCAGGGTAGCACACATGAGCACAAAATCTGTCAACAATCAAACACACGTTTAGAAATTGAGATAGCGAACAACAACCAGTTTTTTTACATGACACTCCTTGCTCTCAATTTGCCCTAGACGTCCCTTCTCTCTCCTTGTTCACCATCGCATAGCAGTAATTTTTTTGATATTATATTCTATTTATTAAGAGTTGAAGATATACATAATTCTGGTTTTTGAAGTGCAGATGAGGGGGGAGAGGGGGGGTGGGGATTGACAGGCTTTACTTGGTCTCCTCCTCAACGACAGCAGACTTCTCCGCGAAAGAGGAGACGACAGCGGTCATGACGGCGACCTTGCGGACCTCGTTAATGGACTCCCAGACACGCTTCTGCTGGATATCAGCGGCGTTGCGCTCGGCCAACTTGGTGCGGCGGACACCGGTGGGGACCAAGGTGGCGGTGAGCTTGAACGACCAGTGCTTGAAGATCTGGACCTTGACAACATCCAACATGATGAAGTAGACGAAGGAGATGAGCAAGACGACGATGGCCTGGCCAGCGGGGACCTTGGGGGTGAGACCACCGAAGATAACCATCAACAAGGCAATGATCTGGGTACCGATAATGACGATGGCGAAGATGGGCGAGGGAAGGTTCTCCCAGAAGTAGCCGGTCAAACGGGTAGAGAAGATGACGAAGTGAGGAGCGGACGAGATGTGGAGGTACATGATCGACTCGAGCTGGCGGAGCTCGGCGGGGACCTTCATTGCCTCAGTGACATCTTTACCGTGGGGCGAGTTCAAGGGCTCGTAACCGTAGACCTTCCAGAAGATGAAGAAATGGGCAAAGGACAAGGCGCAGAGGAGGGCTCCGAGGACGATGGACATGGTGATCAACTGACCGATTCTCCACTTGTCGGGGTGCTGGGAGATCTGGGCGTTATCGACGGCAATGACCAAGGTGGCGAGATCGTTCAAGATGCAAATCAAGATGAGCAAATGAGGGGGGAGGGACCAGTCATAGGCCATGACAACGACGAAGAAGAACATCAAGAAGTGGACGGTCGAGGTGATACGGTAGAGGGCATAGGAACGCATACGCTGGAAGATGGCACGGGAGGTCATCAAACCATCGACAATGGTCGACAAACCGGGGGCGAGCAAGACAATATCGGCAGCAGAGCGGGCAGCATCAGTGCATCCGTGGACGGCAATACCGACGTTGGCCTTCTTGAGAGCGGGGGCATCGTTGACACCATCACCAGTCATACCGACGAGGATGCCGCGCTTCTGGAGAAGCTCGACGACGCGGTACTTGTGCTCGGGAATAACGTGGGCGAAACCATCGGCACGGATGACGTGCTCGGTAACCTCCTCCTCGGACTTGGTAGGGTCGACCAAGTGACCAGCATCCAACATGACACGCTGCATACCGAGACGGTGGGCAACCTCCTTGGCAATGATAAGCTGGTCTCCGGTAATCATCTTGACGGCAACACCCATATCGTTACAGCGACGGATGGTCTCGGCAGAGTCAGGGCGAGGGGGGTCAATCAAGGAGATCATACCGATGAGTTCCCACTGGTCCATGTTACCCTCAACGGTACGGGCGACACCCAAGGCACGGAGACCACGCTTGGCAAGAGAGTTAACAGCACGGACGGCATCATCATCACCACCAACGAGCTTGATGATGACCTGGGGGGCACCCTTGGCGACCTTGAAGGTAGAGTTGGTGGTGAGGTTGGTGATGGTGGCCTGAGTGAGCTTGGTCGAGGGGTTGAAGGGCAAGAAAGAAGTAACCTTGAAGCCGGGAACCTCGTGCTTGTGGGTGCGGCCCTGGAGAATGGCAAGCTGAGCCTCGGCAGCGGTACGGACGGCGAACTCAATGGGATCGTTGGCACCAGCCTCGGCGGCGAGGTAGGAGTACAAGAGGATGTCATCGGAGGTGTAGTTGTTGGAGAGGTAGGGCTCATCGAAGGTCAACTCGTTGAGGGTCAAGGTACCGGTCTTGTCGGAGCAGAGAACAGAGACAGAGGCCATCTCCTCGACGGCTGTCAAACGCTTGACGATAACCTTCTTGGCAGCGAGCTGCTTGGCACCGACGGCCATGGTGACGGACATAACGGTGGGGAGACCGACGGGAATGGCAGCGACAGTGAGAACGAGAACCTGTCCGAGGACGACCATGAACTTGCCCCTGCGGTCATCCTTGAAGTGAACGAGCTGGTAGATCATGATGATGAGGACGAGGACGACGGTAATGAGGATCAAGAAGTTACCGATGCGGTTGATAATCTTCTGGAAGTGACCCTCCTCGGTAGTGATGGAGATGAGGTTGGCAGCGCGACCGATGAAGGTGTCACCACCGGTCTTGGTAACGACAGCCATCTGCTGGCCCTGCTTGACGATCGAGGACGAGTAGACGGTCTTGCCCTTGTTCTTGGCGACGGGGAGGGACTCTCCGGTCAAGGCAGACTGGTCAATCAAGAGATCACCCTCGGTGGCCTCACCGGTGGCACCAATTCCGAGAAGACGACCATCGGCGGGGATAATGTCACCGAGACGGAGGACAATGATATCACCGGGAACCAAGACGGCAACATCGAGCTCGACCAAGTGGCCGTCTCTCCAGCAGCGGGTCTTCAAGGCAAGGGTCTGGCGAAGGGCATCCAAGGCAGACTCGGCCTTGGACTCCTCAATGAAACCGATACAGGCGTTGACAATCAAAAGGGCAAGAATAATACCGAAATCGAGCCAATCCTCGACGACGGCAGAGATAATACAGGCGACCTCGATCAGGTAAGCGATGGCTCCGGTGAAGTAGCCCAAGAACTTGAGAAAAGGGTTGCGCTTGACCTCAGCAAGCTCATTGGGGCCGAAGCGGGCGAGACGCTCAGCAGCCTCAGCGGTGGTAAGACCGTGCTTAGGGTCGGTCTTGAGGAGAGCCTCGAGCTCGGGGGAGATCTCGTCGGCGTGCTCGTGGTGCTCGGCTTCCTCGACCTGGAGGTCACCCTTCTGTTGGGGTTCTGTAAGATATAGACATGGATAAGAATATACATGATTAGGAAACAGGTTCTTTTTTTTGACAACAATAAGGGCTGGACAAGGGATGTGACGGAGCAAGGATTGGTTGTTGACGGGTTTCCTGTGGTGCCCCTGGGGATGATGAAATTGCTGCTCGTGTGAGATCGACCCTGCCACTGCTATTGCAGCAAAAAAGTCCAACAGGAGGATTGGGGATTGGAGAGTCGGAAAGTGTGCTGTGTGATTGTATTGTGGAAAGTGGGCTAGGAGGAATTGGTGGTGGTGAGGCGATTGTGGTTGTATTGTGTGGAGATAGGAGAATGGATTATTACCTTCGATCTTTTCAGACATGGCTGGTGGTTCTTGTGAACTGGCTGGTTAAAGCGCAGGTGGGAGATGGAAGGGTGTTTAGGGAGACAGGGTGGGCGGGGGTAGAGGGGAGAGGAGGGAGGGGAGGAGGAAGGAGGGGAGAAGGATGGATGATAAGAGGATGAAGGGTACGGGTGGCGGATAGGTACACAACGAGAGGGAAGGCGATATCGAAGATGGAAAGGAAAAGAGAAAATATGAAGGGGGCGGATGGATGATGGTTCTTTTATATGACTTTTGATCCCTGGCAAACTCGTTGTTGCTGTTGTTATTGTTGTTGTTGTTGTTGGTGGTGGTGGTGCATATATGAGCGAGATTACACACAGATTTCAAGGACAGACAGACTGAGAGGACTCATCCGTCCATCGTATATTGTATATTGTATGGCGATGATGGGCAAGTTCTTGCTGGGAGGGCTATCGCTCCTTTTCCTTTGTTGTTGACCTTGTTCCTGGCCCACTTGTTGTCTCTGTGTCGACTCAATCGGAATAGGTACTTTAAAAAAGAAAAGGCATAAACAACAGCACTGGTTCAATTCAATGACTTGTGCCCTTTCACTCTATTCTCTCCTTTATTCTCCCAATCCCCCTCCTTGTTTCCTTCCTTCCTTCCTTGCCTAAAGTCTGAGTGGGTGGGTAAATAAGTGTCTGTCCTGTCTCCCTGGTAAAAACAAAAGCGACTTTGTAAACACTAATATTTTAATAATAGTTGTTTGAATTGAGAGCCGTCTCTCCGTTTCTTTTTCTCTTTCTCTCTTCACCTCATCCTTTGCCCTTCGTCCTTTGTCCTTCTTCCTCCAATTGGATCTGACTGAATGGTCTTCTTGCCTTCTCTTTCTTATTATTCATTCACCGACAGGAACTCAGTTCATATCCTGTCTGTCGACGCTTTTATTTTTCTTGTTCCTGGCCCTTGTAGGAGTGAGATAATAGGTACACGCTCGAAAATACTAGGTACGAAATTGAGTGGGTCTGGGTTCGCCCGGTTCTTGAAAGAAAAGTATAAGGCCAACAGACTAATATAAACTATTTTAAAGTTGCCAGTCTGTCACCTCTTTTATATGTCCGCTCTAATCCATCCAGTCAGGTCCCCCATACGATTGTTCTCTTCAGTGTCCAGTACCTCTCTCCCCTCTCCCTGCACTAAACCCCCCCTTCGCTCTCTTTCTCACAGCCGTCTGCTTTTGCTCAAATATCTGTCTTTCTCACTCGCGCTTACTTTGCTCAAGTGTCTGTGTTTGCTCATAGTTGTTTTTATCCTCAAGATCAGTGTGTGCATTGAGATAGAGACAGAGAGAGAGTGTGTGCAGGTCGAAACAAAAAAGGGTAAATCTCTATACCCGCTCTCTCTCTCTCCTCAATTTCGACCTGCGCACATTTATATCGGACAAGGTTATTACCTGGTTCTCTCACACCACACAGAACGGAAAAAAGAATTAAGAAGAGGCATTAGACAGATAGGGAAACGGCCGCTGATCGATTGAATAATACGACTAGATACAAAACAAATGATGCTGCTTGCTGACGAAGAATGGACAAAAAGACGAGAGAGAGGCAAGAGAGCGACAAGCGCTATGCGAATAGTCTGCATTAAAAACACAGACACATACACACAGAGAGAGCTAGAGAGTGAGAGAGACTAACAAGAGCTCGCATGGGCACTGGTCTGGTCGGGTTGATAATAATTGGGTGAGAGGGGTGAATGACCTATGATGAGTGGTTGGTCCGTCTCTTCTCGTTCTTTTTGTCCGAGAGAGTGCGTTGTGATGATCCCACAATGAATGAACGAATGAACACTGCAAGAGTGCGTCGTCCGATTGTTATTTTTGCGCCCTTTTTTTTCCTTTGTGCACAAACGAGGGAGGAAACACAATACCGAGGCCCAACGGCGGAATTTGTTACCGGGGTGTGTGTGTCGTCGTCTTCCGACTGTCGTTCACAATAGGGTTCTTATTTTAGTTGGAAACAGGGAGTAATCTCGTTTTTGTCTTTGAGTGGATTTCCATGCACGCCAGGGCAAAACCAGCGAGCTCTCCTGAATCGCGTGGGACATGAGGACATCAGTGGACAAAAAGAACGCTCGAGAGTCTCTCCTCGACGCAAGGGCTACAAGTCGACCAACCATGGTTTTTTTTTGCCCTCTTGACCCCCTGCCAGGTTCTGCAAGGCGTGAGCAAAAAAAAAAAAAAAAAAAAAAACGATTGTCGACAATATCAAAAAAAGACCTCCGATGACGATAATACAACAGTCAACGATCAGGGGTCCATTGGACAAATGTTGTCCCTCAAACAACGAATAACATTGTCGTTTTTTTCCACGATCGGCAATGTGTGGCCATTATTCATTTTCAACCCTCCCATCTCTTTCGAACCTTCTTTTGCCGCTTGTTTGTTTTCTTTTTCTTTCCTTGCTCCTTCTGTTGCCCTCTTCATGCTTCTTGTGCCATAATGCACAGATGCACCTCACCATTGACCTTCGACAGCACCGTCAAGCATCAACAACTGCTTATCCATCGACATGGTTATTTAGAACTCCTTCTGCTTCCTTGTGCCCAAAAAAGCAGATGATCGCTTTATTTCTCGACAGCGATGATGATTATGATAATTATGATGATTATGATGATGATGGTTATGATGATTATGATGATGATGGTTATGATGATGTTATACACACAGTCCTCTCTTCCTCCAAGTCTCCATAGAAAACGCTAAACAGGATCGGGTGGGCTTGGGAGAAACAAACTAGACAATAAGAAAAACGCAGTAATCGGCAAATCGACCTTTTTGACTTCTTGCCTGCATGCCTGCAAGGTAGACATAGGCTATATACCTTTTGACAAAAGGGCCCTTTTTCGAACTGAGGTTAATGACGAAAGGGCATAGTGGGACAGTGGAGTACGGCAGCTCTCTCGTTAAACGACGAGAAAGAGGCCGAAGGAAGAGTGCATGTCTATTAATCAAAAGGGTTAGAAAGGGCAAATAAAAGAAAATAAAAAAAGGTAAGGGTGTAACAAAACGGCCAAGAAGCTGGTTCCTTTTCGTTGGATGGGATGTTTTATTGCAGTACCTCTTCCTAGACACACTCTCTCTCACCGATCAATAATGAACAAGGTTCATTTCCCTTTTTTTCTCACACCCACAGAACAAAAAAAACGAAGCTATACTAGTCTGTCCTACAATGGATACCGTCATCTGGACCACCTGATCAACAACCTTTCCCAGTCGTTCTGGTTACTGTTCATTATTGATTGGTATGAACCCGGTAGCCATTTAGAAATCAAAGGCGACTGGGATTGAAAAATAAAAGGAGGGGGGGTTTTTTTTTCTGGGCTACCATAGACAAGAGGACAGATAATCCAATCGCAAGGTTCATCAGTGTGATGAGGATCAAGCAGGGGCAGACGTGCACAAAGAAAAAATAATAAAAGTGTTCATTTGAGATTGAACAGGGAAGCAAGCAAGGACGTTCCTAAATAAGGAACGGGGAGGTAGGTAGGCAGCAGGATCTCTTTGTTCTCCCTTCATCTCCTTTCCTTCATTGTCCCGCCCGTCTCTCGTTTCCCCCGATACTGAGAAATGATTGCACTTCGATCGAGACGAAAAGGTCTGAGACACAAAAATCAATGGAAGGTTTCGTTTATGACTCTTTTCGTGTTCTGGCCCTGGTTCATTCCTATTTCTTTTCTTCATTTGAGTTGGGTCGAGTGAGAGTGGGCGGGATCGTTGGAAGAAGAAAGTGGAGCGGAGAGTGAGTTGGAGATGGCGTGGGAGACAAAAGGGAGACTTGATGACCTGGTGTTAGAGTTGAGTCAGGCAAGGCGCTGCTGCTAGAAACAAGATTGTATGAACCTGAGGAGAGGGAGGAACATGAACCTTACGAAATGGCGTGCGACAACAACAAACTCACAATAACGGACACAAACGAAACGACCAAACGACCGCACGACTGAACGAACGAAAGGGATCCGTCTTTCTTTTTTCCTTTTTGCCAGGTGGAAGGGTCGGGACACAAAAACAAAAACAAATCGGAAATAAAATCACACAACATCACAGACACCACACCACGTTTCATCTCACCTGTGCTGGGCAGAGAGGAGCAGAAGAAGAAGAACCAGAAGAACGTCTGTTTGGTCAGCCACGGTCCACGGCTAGGTCGACACACGACGCTAATCCATCAAGAAAAACAAGACACAGACACACACATCTAGGACGGAACCCGGGTACGTGAAACCAAATTAGATCAGCAAAAGCTGGGAAAGTGGCAAATATGAGGATCGGGATTCTGAGGATTCCAGATGGTATGCTTTGTTTTGTTGTGTTGTGAGTTGTGCGTTGCGGGTTTAAACAGAGATATCTTTAAGGGTGAGACGCTCCCAGGGTAAGCGAGAACAAAAAAACGTGAGATGGTGACGACAGTGCAAAGCCGAGGACCACAATAGAAGAGTGTCAACACTGAACACAGAACACACACACCCAACAAACAATAAATCAACAAATCAACAAAGAGGCATTTCACAAAAACGAGTATCGCGAAGTCGTCCACAAAATATAATCATCATCATCAAAAAAAAACGAAGCATTTTACCGGGGCTAGCTTGTATGGCTATCGATTCGCGAATGACGAAAGAAGAAAAAAAAGACGCGGCTGAAACTCACACAATTATGGTTCAAGTGTACTGATGATCAGTATATGAATTTACACCATGGCAAAACTGATCACTGATCGTACCTGAATATCTTTTTTTCATGGGGCAGGAACATTAACAGAAAAACAGCTTCGCAAGCTCGCAATACACGCACACACATCCAACAAACAAACGAAAATTTCCACCAGCTCCAACCATAGAAACAGCCATTGCAAACGATAATAGAAGAATGAAAGGTGTATGGTAGTACACACAGAAACCAGAGTGGTCAAGGGACAAGGGCAAGGTTGCCCTCGTTTTTTTCTTTCAATGCTATTCGCTGCAGCTGTTGTTATTGCTGGATATGATGGTGGTGAAAGATGTTGCTCTCATGGCTGGTTTTTTTTTCAGTTACCTCTTATTCTCGTTGTGTTCCTTGCTATGAAAACAAAGATATGCGCTGTTTTTTCATTCGCTGGATTTTTTCTCTCTCTCTCGTTCTGCCTATTTGTCTCTTGCTCACACAACTCCACTCTCTCTCGCTCTCTTCTCTGTACTCAATTGTCCCTCTTTTTCTCATCTCTCCCTGGTATGAGATGAATGAGTTTATACATCTTTAAAGCTAAAACCTTGCTGCTCCCTTTCTCTCCGCCTTCCAGCCATTGGGCAGACAGGCCAACCAGATCTCTAGAACACAGAAAAATGGACGATAAACACAAACCCCGGGGAACGAAAATTAAACAGCGCAAACTCGTTTTTTTAGGAATTTGCGGGCCATGTTTTGCCGGGGAAAAAGATGCTGATGAAAAAAAAGGCCTCATGGCAAACTTACGAGGGCAACAACCTTAGATACATAAAGGACAAGCTCAGCAAGCGCAAAAAAAAAAAAAAGATGCGCAGAAGTCGAAAGAAGGAACGAAACAGGCAGGGCTTGGTGACACTGAGTGAGTCCAGGGAAAAGGGAGGGAAGCGGAAGTGAAAAGAGGAGGAGGGAGAGGGATCGATGACATGATTGGGTTGCGTGTGCGTTTGTCTGACCAAATGCAGATGAAAAACAAGGGTACTGTCGCTGCTGTGTTCCGTCATTGGGTTCACCTCGCCATGCCTTGTCTTGTCTTGTCCTGTCGGTTTCTCTTTGTCCTTCCTGTTTCTTTGTCTCATGCTCAATGGTAACAATCACCAAGGAGAATAAATCGACTCGTTTTCGCTTTTCATTCCCTTTGCTTCCTGGCGCAGTGGTGGGTCTTTTGTTGATGTACACAAGAAACGGGTCTCTGTCATGTTGCAGGAGCGAAGAAGAAAAAAGAATGGGTCTTTTTCGTTGTTGTGGTTTGAATTGAATTATGTTCCTTGACGCTCAGACGACCGCAAAGAATGAACAAAAGCGTGCTGCAGCAATGCTCGATGGGACAATCAAGTTTGCCTTTCGGCCACCGTGAGGCATTTTGAGCCTAGATTTTCCGATGGTCCCGATATCGTGTGAAGTTGGAGAGAGACACCCAAAACAAATATCTGTGCCCAAAGGTGAGCGAATGAATAATGGTTTTGGTCAAAGAAGGAAGAAAAACGAACGTGTGCATCTGTGTTGTGTGTGTGTTTGTGTGGGTGGGTAAATCGATGATTATGTGGGTGTGGGTAGCGTGTGTGGGCTAGATAGTTGGACCAGACACAGACAGAACCGTCGAGACAATCGACTGAAGAGCATTCTCCTTGGAGCCTTTGTTGTCTATCATTCTTCCTTTCCCCGCACTTTTTTTCTTTCTTCTAAACCTTTCCCCTGGTTCAAGGAGGATAGATAATTGAACCATGAACAAGGAAAAGGCGAGCACTAAGCATTAGTCCCATGAGTTAATTGTGCTCAGTGCCACCACCCCCACCCCGTTTTTTTTTTCTACAGGGGCGTTCTATTCTTTTCATAGGGGACCCAACGTAGGTTTACCATCCATTTGCCTTTTCGCTTCCCCACATTTTGTCATAAGAGGCCATGAACAGCTTAATTCCCCGCACTCTCTCTCTCACCTTTGTATTTTCCTCTTTTGCCCCAGCATCCCTTTCATCACCATGGATTCGTGTTGTTCGGTCCATGGACAACAGCTCGTTGGTTGTCGGATCCCGACTTTCTCTTTCGACAAAACAAATCCGGAGAAGTAAAAATCAATATCTTGTCTAACTGAACCATGTCGACATCGATATCCGACCTTTGATTCCTTGTTTATGTTAATGTGCTCTCGTTACCCCACAGTTGGACAGACGGTTTGGTTCTATTTGGGCATCGAGATTGTTGTTGCAGTTGAACTCTTTCACCGAGGATAAGGGATTTTCGGACGGGCTCCATTTTCTTCCTTCTCCATCTTTGTTGATTGCGTGTGTAGGGATATCGTGGAAGGGAAGATTTGCTTATCTCTCGTCCTCGTCTGGCCCTTTTCCTTCTGTCCGTCCCGTTGCAGGACCGTCGACAATCTTTCAGCATCTCTTGCCTTGTTGATGTTGATGTTGTCGTCATAATATACTCTGGACGATAATATTTTTGATGGTTATCTGACAGCTGACAGCTGATAACGTTCTCGTTGTTACTCACCCCGCACTCTCTGACAGACCGCTCACCCGCATTAACACTCCCCTATCCTCTGCATCCCCCTTTCTTTCCTTGTGAACGTGAAAAAAGATGGCACTACGACTTGTCACGTCGAAGTGGTGTTGAAATCTAGTGGTCAATCATTTTCGAGATGGAATGGCGGAGGGGCGGATGCGTGAATGAATGAGTCTTTTTCGTTTTTCCTTTCTTTCTTTGACTTCGGACATAAACCGTCGCGAAACTAATTCCGAGAAAGTAGACGTATAAAAAACATGGCGCATACTCTGAGTTTTCTTTGTGTACCTCTCGTTCAATGATAAAGAATGAAAGTAGGCGAATAGAGTCAGTGTGTTAATATCATGTTCAAAACGCAAGGTACTTGGCCAAAGTCGATGCGCTTATGCTTGTTGTTGTTGATTGTTATTGTTTGTTGAATGAGATAAAAAAAACTGCATTGTTGCTTGCTTGCTTATGTTGTTTCCTTCATTTTTTTTGACTTCCTTGCAGTCTTGCACGACCGACAGTGCATCCTTCTAGACTCTTCAAGACTCTCCCATCCAACCCGCTTAACCTGCATGCAGGCGTGGGAATAACATTTCTATACCAATTCCTCCCCCTCTCTCCCATGCATGCTGCAGGTCTCGCCTGCGAAATGAGGTTGGGAAAATTCCGAGTGTCCCCCTGTCCACTTTCTTCCTTCTCTCTCACACACATACACACATACTGTCGTCAAGTACCCCTGCGCACAAGGGCAAAAAATAATAAACGGGCAGATGTGTGAAACTGGAAAGGATCTTTGTCACTAGTGCCGAAGAAGATGACGATGACGATAGATGGCCCACCCGCCGATCCAGTCCACTCACCTCACTCGTTTGCTCCATCACTCCACACCCACGCTTCTCACGGTCATACTCCATCCATCCATCACACCTGGCCGCGCGCCCTCATTTCTCACTTCAGCCCTTTTTCTTTTTTTCTTTGTGCACAAACAAACACAACACCAACAAAGAAACAGAGACACAAACAACAGGAATAGACAAGAAAATCCGAGCCTGGAGTGGGGACCAATGACCAGTCGTCATTATTCTGTGGGAATCCGACCTTGTGTTGCCAATCATACAGGAACCCCCTTCTTTCCTTTACCATTGTTGACTTTATTTCATTATTTGTTAGATATGAATAGGTAAGTCGAGACCATTGTCAGCCATTTTTTCATAGGTCCCTAGACGGCGCCAAAGTAATGATTTTGCCACCAAAAGGTAGAAAGAATTAAAACGACAGTCGTGTTGTGGCTTGTTCCAGTTCAATGAAAAAAAAAGAAAAAAAAATCAACAAACACCGACCCACACAGTACACGCACATGAGGCACTAAAAGCAGCCTCAACTCCATTCACACCTCCTTCTTTGCTACAACACCCCTCCTTCACATCACACCATGGCGCCCTCCATCAAACGAAAGGCCGGCCCAACCCCCGTCCCTGCCAAGAAGGTATTTATTCGGACTGCAAGAGGGAATTGCAAATGTCGCCTCTTACCATTCATTCACCTGGCCCTAATTTCTTTCTTTAACTTGCTTTTCACCCCCTGGGTCGACAGTCTCGCAAGGTCGTGGAGCCAGAACCCGAGTCGTCTAGTGGCGAGGAGGCATATGACGACATAATTGACGAGGAAGAAGACAGCGAGGATGATGATGAGGATGAGGAGGAGGAAGGCGATTATATCGAAGGCGAGGACAAGGCAATGGGAAGCGATGACGATAACAACGACGATGAGGACGGTGACGAGGATGAGCAGGACGAATTCATGGCCGCCGCAGAGCACGATGCTACGTCAAAACCACGAAACCCAATGGGCGTCAAGAACTCGTCTCTCTACAAGGCACCCACCAACGACGAGATTCAGGGACTCCAGGAATCCTCCGACTTGTTCAAGTCCAACATCTTCAAGCTCCAGATCGAGGAGCTGTTGAGGGAAGTTCAGATCGACTACAAGAAGGCCCAGCCCCTGGAGGCTGCCCTTCGCAGACTCAAGGAGATCTTTGACCGCACCCCTGCACATCAAGAGCTGTCCGTAAGTGCTCGTGAACATGTTTCTTTGGGAAGCGAACAGGGCTATACGTTGTGTTGCACATGATGCTAATCTCCATAGAACCTCTTATTATTTAATTAGCTTGCGGCGATCAAGGCCAACATGAAGAAAAAGTCGGTCGTGATTCCATTCCCTTCACCAGAACCCTCTTCGGACATCCAGTACACATTCGGTTACAGCGCACCTTCGGCAATGCACCTTGTCGGCAGTTTCCCCTTGAAGACCGTTTCCAAGAGTCGTGATGGCTGGAGCGTGGATGTCGCTGTGGAGATGCCCGAGGAGCTTTTCCAGGAGAAGGACCACATGAACTACAGATACTTTTACAAGCGCGCTTACTACCTCTCTGTACTCGCCGCTGCCATTCAGGATAAAAAGTCGGGAATGTCGAGCACAAGGACCGAATTTAGCACACTCCATGGAGACCAACGCAAGCCCATCTTGATCTTGCACCCCTCCGGAGGTAACAACCGATACCTATTGCAGTTTCGCAGTTTTCTCGTCGTATCCTTGAAGCTGGCTCTCATTATACCTTACTAACCACGGTATTCTCCTCCCCTCCTTGACAATATAGACAAGAGCGAGACCGACTTCAAGAAGATGCGTTGCACTATCAGGATCATTCCCTACATCCCCTCCTCAGTATTCCCTGCACAGCGTCTGGCCCCTGGTCGCAACAACGTCCGTTCGGCCGACACCATCGAGCAGCCCCCTACCCCCCAATACAACACCGCCCTCCAACAGGACACCGCCTTCACATCCCACCTCACATTCCTCTACCAACACAGCAAAAACTGCGCTGCCTTCAAGGACGGCTGTATCCTCCTCAAGGTCTGGGCAACGCAGCGTGGCCTCATTCGCAGCACAAACGAAGGCTTCAACGGGTTCTTGCTTGAGATGCTTATGGCATACTTGCTGCAGGGGGGAGGAACCAACGGAGGAAAGAAGCTCGCCAACGGATTCAGTTCATACCAGCTCGCCAAGGGAGCGATCGACTTTATCGCCCAGCACGACTTTACTGCCCAGCCCATCATGATGGGTCAGCAGACGTCCTCGGGAGAGTTCTCGAAGGAAGCCTTTGTTTCCAACTTTGACGTCGTTATCGTCGACCCTTCAGGAAAAATCAACTTGGCAGGTCATGTCTCCAAGGCTGCCCTCGATGAGCTTCAACACGAGGCCCGCTTGGCCATGAAGTTCTTCACCGAATCGAGTGACGACAAGTTCGAGGCTCTGTTCTTGAAGAGAGTCGATAACCCCATCCTCCGCTTCGACAATGTTGTCAAGATCCATGTCCCCAAGGACGTCGCCGGATTGAAGAGCTACACCAAGGTCGCCGCATTGGACTTCCCCTCACCCTTTGTCCACTTTGCACGCTCGATTGCACCCCTGTTGAAACGCGGATTGACGGACAGAATTCACTTGGTCGCTACCCGCTACGAACCTCTGGGCAACTGGGCTACCTCGAGCAGTGCACCCGACTTTGGATCAGATTCGGTCATTACTATCGGTCTTCTCTTGAATGCTGCCGAATGTGCTCGTTTGGTGGATTTGGGGCCTCCTGCTGATAATTTGGAGGCTGCCAACGTGTTCCGTACTCTCTGGGGTAACAAGGCCGAACTTCGTCGTTTCAAGGATGGCAGTATTTTGGAGAGTGCTGTCTGGGAGGCTCAGGGCACGGATGCTCGCCACCTCATCGTCGGACAGATGGTTGGATACCTCCTGAAGCACCACTTTGCCGTTCCTCACGACTCTGTCCACTACTGGGCTGGTCAGCTCAACAAGTTTATCCAGTACAACAGCAAGGCCATCCCCGAGCGACTCTTTGACAATAAGGTTGCCGCTGCGAACGGATTCCAGACCGTCGTTAACGCCTTCGAAACTCTCTCGAAGGCTGTCAAGAACGCCGAAGACATGCCATTGTCTGTCACCCACATGTACTTTACCTCTCCCGCCGCTCGTCTATCGTCCACATTTATCCCTCAACCCAGAGACTTCAACGTGCCAGCTACCCACTTCCCCGACAGTGCTCAGTATGTCGAGCCCTTGGACGTCATTATTCAGTTCGAGACCTCGCAAAAGTGGCCCGATAACCTCAAGGCGATCCAGAGGATGAAGACGGCCTTCTACTTGCGTCTGGCCGACAAAATCAAGTACAAGGGCATGCGCTCCACTGTTGTTGAGGAGACTGCCGAGGACTCGCTGGGCTTGAACGGATACTTGGATGTCCGGGTTGCACCAGGATTCGTCTTCCGCTGCAGGATCGCCTATGACAAGGAGATCACCTTGTGCGAGGACATTATCTCCGACCGCAAGTCTAGCCAGAGCCTCAAGGAGCAGCACCAGAAGGCGCTGGACCTCTATAACAGATACTTTGTCCAGGCACCCATGCACACCTTCCTCATGCACGCTCTTGCCCACAAGTACCCCTCGCTCTCACAGACCATCCGTCTCACTAAGCGATGGGTGAGCGCCCATTGGCTCGCCCCTTACTTCAACGACGAGGCCTTGGAGCTCCTCTCTGCCGCCGTCTACTCTGACCCTGCACCTTGGGCTGCCCCTGCCAGTGGTTTTGCTGGATTTGCCCGTGTTTTGAGTTTGCTGTCGACCTGGGACTGGAAGCACGAGCCCCTTGTCGTAGATCTCAATGGAGACATGACCGCCAAGGAGAGAGACGATATCCGCCACAACTTTGCCAACACCCGCAAGAACATGATTACCTCGAACTCGGTCACTTCGCCCCAGACCAAGACGACGTCAATCTCGAGCGATCATGCCAGCATGTTTATTGCAACCAATAAGGATACCTTCTCCAAGTGGTGGACATGGCAGTCCCCCTCGCCCATGATGGTGGCGCGTCTGAAGGCGTTGGCCAAGACCAGCTTGGATCATATGCTCAAGGTCACTGCCGCATCTGCCACCACCAGCTCTTCTGCCCTGAATGCCTTGTTCATCACGCCCACTGCACAGTACGATGTGGTCATTGATCTGGACCCAGCCATGTGCACGCGCTACGCACAGAACCTATCGCCCGACGCACAGTCCTTTGTGACCAAGGGAGACAAGTACAAGAACTTGGGCACCTTCCAAAAGAGTGTCTTTGGCGACCAGATCCTTATTGGCTTTGACCCCGCCGCCGAATACCTTGCCGAGCTCCAAGTATGTCTTTTTGATTTGTTTTGTTTTGTTTTGTTTTGTTTCTTCTCGGACATGTCGATGGTTACTGACCAAGTTTTTTTTATTCATTGCGATTATTGTAGAGGACATATGGAGATGTTGCTCTGTTCTTCCACGACCGGTATGGAGGCACGCAGATCGGTGTTCTCTGGAACCCTATGGCGCTTAGCCCAAGAGCCTGGAAGGTCAACCTCGGCTTCAACAGCAAGCCAGCCGATGTCAACAAGGATGGTGTCTTGGTACGTACCCGTTCTTATTTTCTGGTTGTTTGTAATACCATCTAGAAAGGAAGAAGCAATTGACTAACGTCTTTTCGTTCACAATTGTCTATACTAAATAGGAGGTCGCAAAGGAGCAGAGCACAAAGGCAAAGAACGGAAAGACGACGGGTGGATCCAAGATGGTGGTGCCCAACATCGAGGCATTGATGAGCGAGATCGAGCGGATTGGCCACGGTCTTGTTCGTTCGGTGCAGGTGAACAGGGACCCCTCTGTCACCAACTAATCTCTCTTCTTTTCTTTCTTTCATTTTATTGTCATTACCAGCATTCCATTCATCCCTTCTCGTACCATAGATACTCTTCTCCTCTCCCCCCTTTTGCAACATTAAACACCCATGCATCGTTTCTTTTTTTTAACACACTTCAAAGTACCTGTTTGTGGAGAGTGGGGTGGTTGGTGACATGGGATAAGAATAGCTGGAAAGAACATGGGTCCACGGTCGATCCAAAGGTGTCATCACTGCACGAGCACACACAAACACACGTTGCTGACAGAAAAGGCTTTCCCTTCATCCTCGCTCTCTCGCTCTGCTTCAACAGCTGGCTCGAGCACAGGTGTAGAAAGAGATGTACCAATAACAACAGACAACAAAAAAAAGGGTCACTTTGTATGTTGCGGCTGCATGTTCCTGCCTGGCTGACTTTGTCTGACGGTCAGCCGGACATCGTTGGCCACCCCCTATTATCATTTTTTTTGGTATGTCCTCCTTCCTCCCTTTCTGCTCTGTCTGCGCTTACTTGTCAGCACTGACATGACGACCATGCCCTCACCCTCACGCACACTTCCGTTCACGATGGAAGGGGATGAGCTGTCGACAAACAACAACGACGACAGGGGTAAAGTGGAGGCAAAGGGAGACAAGTGCCGATATCGCTATTTTTTTGGTTGCTTTCGCTTCTTTCTTCTCTTTGCCACCGCCGTCCAACTTTTCCGCCCCCTCCCCTTCTCTCTTCGCACTACTCTTCTTTCCTTTCACCTTTCGACCCGGCGGGGCCACCACCACTCCACTACTAGACCAGTACCTGCATCGACCCCCTGCCTCACATCCTTGCAAATCCATTCTATTCCCAACTGCAGTCCTTTCTTGTCTCTCCGTACCTGAAAGATCGACCAAACAAAACATATTCCAGTTTGACCATTTTCGCCCTTTCAACGGACGCACTTCAAAGGGAGGATATACTCAACTCGTCAACCCTTTGACCCAGATAGTAACTCCATAAGAGCTCAGCAGCAACAACGAACCAACCATCGACAGTTATACCCTCATTCCCATAACGACTATTACCTTCATACCCTCTACGCCACCCTATCTTGTCACCACCTTTCTTCCCTTTTCACAGTCTCGCTCACTCTACTCAGTGTGAGTGAGAGAAGAAGAACAAAACAACTCTTCCTTCCCTTCCCTCTCTTTCACCTTCATATATCAATGTCGACAGAGCATGAACCGGTCCTGTCGCCAAAGGGCTGTCCGATCGAGAACTTTCCTGAAGACCCCGAACGACTCTTCTCGGCCAACGGGCTGACGCTCGACTACCCGCGTATTGGATGGATCGCAGGTGGGTGCTGTACTTTTCTCGCGACGGCTATATCTTTGGTCCTGATCTACCGACACTACCAGTACTACACCAAGGTAAAGAATGCATAACGTTGAAGTTGTGGAGGATAAATCCTCTTTGTGTTATTTCTGGTGCCCTAGAATGAGTGGTGCAACAAAACAGGATTGGAACGGGGAGAACGAAGAATGTCTTTTATCGATCGTGCGATTGAACTTTACTAACAGAAACGTTAAAAAACGTCTACATTCAATTCCTGTTATCCACGACTACGATTGTTCATCGATCTTACGCTGACAACAAAACACTCAGCCCAACCAACAACGATACATCGTCCGGATGCTGCTCATGGTCCCCATCTACGCAATCACCTCCTGGTTCTCCTTCGTCTACGTCCGTGAAGCAATCTACTACGATACTATCCGCGTCTTCTACGAAGCCTTCGTCATCGCCTCCTTCCTCATCCTCCTCCTCCAATACCTCGGCGAATCTCTCGAGGACCAAAAACGGGCCCTAAAAAGACACAAGAAGACCGAGCGATGGTTCTTCCCGATGTGCTGTCTGAAGTACAACCCTTCACGTCCACACTTCTTGCAATATATGAAGTGGGGAATCTTGCAGTATGTGCCGTTGAATGTGCTGGGGAGTCTGTTGACGGTTGTGTTGGAAACCCAGGGGACGTACTGCGAGAGTAGTTGGAACCCCAAATTTGGACATGTTTGGATCCTGTTTATCAACTTTACCTCCGTTACCCTGGCTACCTACTTTCTCGTAAGTCTCTTCTCTTCTAGCTAGGGCATTACTCTCTTTGACGCGACAACCATAGAGAAACACGAGGGCGTCCTAATTGACATTGGAGCTATCTTTCGCTGTTCTTTTTTTATATTCATGCTACTTTGCTAGATCATGTTCTACTTTACGATACGGGCAGACCTAAAAGAGTACGAGCCGTTCTACAAGTTCCTCGCCATCAAGCTGGTAAGTAATGACATGCACCATGAAATGAAATTGAAAGGGCTTATTCTAGAAGGGACAAGGGGAAAGAGCAGATAGATCCTCATCTCATCTCGCTCACTCACTCTCTATCCCCTGTCTCTTTCCGTGGTCATCCATGGACATGGATGGAATGGCATATGAATATCTGTGTCATTGGAGTACTAAACACGCCTATGCAATTTATATCTCCGTCTCTCTCCATTCCTCCATTCCTACACCTGCCGTTCCGCTCCACACGCATACACCATTCGACGGGAACACATAGGTCATTTTTTTCTCCTTCTGGCAGTCGTTGGTCGTGGAGGGTTTTGTCTACTTTGGTAACGTGTTTAACTACTAGCTTTGTACCTTGCATTATATGCTCCCCACACAGACGTAATTGTTTGAATGGACACTGAGCACACTTTCTAGCGTACAATGCTATTCTTGAATGTACGCTTACTTTGCATATGCTCACCAACCAGTTCATCCAACACCCCCTGCTCACCCAACTCTCAAACCCACCCTAACGCCCCTGTCTGCTCACTGTACTCTTCACTCCATTACGCCGTTCTTTCGCACATTGCTCAACACTATACTACACACTAAAATAGGGTACATCAAGGCGTCCAAGTACTGGTCGACGGGCGACATCTCGATAGGAATCAATGCTCTCCTTATCGACTTTGAGATGGTCATCTTTGCCATCATCCATCTTAAGGCCTTCTCTTATAAGCCCTATGTGCCTAGGATTCCGAACCCAGACCTTCCACCGCCAGAGCAGCAGCAGCGGGAGGCGCTTCTTTCTTCTGGTGATGGTGGTGGCGGCAATCGGGAAGGTGGGAGTGGCGAGGCGGCGTTGGCGTCACTTAGTATCGACACAATGCCTGAGGCTGCTGGTGGCAGGACTCAGCAACAGCAGATTGGAGCAGGAGGAGCACCTAAACGGAAACCTGCACCTTCAGCAACACTCATCGACAAAAAGGGGGATAAACAGTCAAAGAAAAAGAAAAAGGATCAAGGCCCACCCGAAAAGATCATGGACTTTACACAAAAGAGCCCCATCTGGCGCGGAATCCTCGACTCGTTCAACCCACTCGACACGATCCGAGAACTCTCCTACGGATGCATGTACATGTACAAGTGGATCCGGGGTATCCCCGTTGACAAGGATAGTCGGCGGTTGTTGGATTTGCAGGTTGCGTTTGGGCGGGTGAGGCCCGAGGTGCCGTATACGCCGACGGAGGAGGAGTTGGAGAAGGAGAGGAAGGAGAAGAAGAAGAAGAAGTTGAAGGAGAGGGAGAGGAGGAGGAAAGAGAGGAAGAAAATGGGGTTGGATACGGATGAGGAGGATGAAGACGAGGAAGGCGATAGTTTCAATGACGACGATGATGATGAGTCTGACAAAAATGGCGACAGGGACCTGGAGAAGGGAGGAAACAGAGACAACAACGATAGCGACGAGAAGGATCGACGGCGACGTGATGCCGATGGTAGCGAAGGAACAGGCGCAGGACAAGGACCAGTCAGTCGCTATCGCCAGTTCCAAGGTAACAACAACAACAACGACGGCTACCAAGGAGGTCGAGGTCAACGTGCAAACGCCGCCTACGACATGGGTGAGGGAGGAGGAGGAGGAGGTGCAGGATCAGGCACCGATGCTTACGGCCGCTCAACCATCGCCCGCAAACCAGTTAAACCTGATAAAAAGACCGCCGCCACAAACCCGATCCTACCCTACCTCGAGCGCGACCCATCGATCAAGCTAGAGAAAGCAGATGCAGCCAGGACCGAACGAGCGACCCTTCCAGATGTCCAGCTTGACCCAGTCGAGCGGAAGATTGCCCTCTCTGGACTCTATGTTGACCTGCCCCTGTCGCCCGTTAACGAGAATATCGGGTCTCCTGGAAGCTCGGTCGATATCCCGCTCCCGATCCAGTACCGGCATGATCACCATCACCAGTATCAACCTTACGATGTTCAGGAATCTGCGGCTAGAGGAGGGAGGAGCGAGTGGGACTATGAGCGTCGCCAACAACAACGCCCACGAGACCATCGTCTAGAGATCGACCAGGAACCTACGACGAGTCAATTTGACCACCGTGATCGCGATCTAGAGCGAGCAGCAGCAGTAGGAGTAGGACCGGCACCTTATGTTCTCCCTATTCCCGTTCAGCCTATATCACCGGAGCCTCACGCTCCCGCTGTTGGTTCAAGTCGAAGTGTACCACCAGTCGATATCGATGCTCCTCCTCGTGGCGGATTGACTAGGTTGGCAAACGATAACTTTGTCAGCAAGGGCAGCAGCCCCTATCATTTCGATCGAGATTTTGACAACAACAGTAACGACAATAAGAGCAATGACAGGAACAACAATGGCGGCAAAGGATTCACCCGCGAGCCATTCTCAGCAACGAAGGATCCCCGTATTGCCGCGCTCTCACACTACGGCCAACAACAGCAACAAGGACGAGGGGGAGGAGGAGTATACAACAGCCACCACCACCTTCACCATCAGCGCGGCGATTCAGCCGACACTTCTGTCCTTTCGACGAGCACCACCACCGACTCACTCGCACCCACACATCTAGGAGCAGGAAGAGGGGAATTCTACCACCATCGAGAGGCAAGTCGCTCCGACCCCGAGCTATCCCATTACGGCCTCGACCACGAATACTACCTCGAACGGATGCATTACCTCGAGGAACAGGAACGCCAAGCGCAATATTACCTCCAGCTGCAGCATCAACAACAGCTCCTGCGTGAAGAAAGAAGGCGCTCTCAGTTTCCAATGCAATCAGATCATCCCGAACCTTCTTCTTCCTCCTCCGCTCCCGTCCCTGGCCATGTCGATGATGCAGTTGCAGTTGCAGGAGGTGTTACAAGTGTTACTGCCCCTGACCTTACGTCTGTTGTGATACAAGGCGAGATGAACTCTGACCAGTTTCATCTCATTCCCAGGGAAAAGAAAACAGGAAGAGGAGGAGAATCAACCTTACCACCTCAACCACTGCCTGCTCCCGTCGACAGTCAAGTTCCCGATCCGGGAAAAGTACCATCGGACGATAGTAATAACACTGCAGCTGCAGCTGCAGATGCAGTGCAGGAACAACAACAGGTGGTGCAGGAAGATCCAATCGTGGCAGAGTACAGTCTGTTGCAACACCGACAGATGCAACAGGACCAACAGCGCACCCAACAAGAGCTGCAGTACCAAGAACAACAGCACCGACGTCAGCGTCAGTTGCCGCATCATCAGAAACACGACTCGCGCAATCAGCAACAGCAGCAACAACAACAACAACAACAACAACAACAGCAACAGCGGGCAACTATGAAACCACCACCTCCTCCTTCTAATAGTCGACATCAACAACAGCAGCAGCACCTATTGCCTAGGCGCAGGAATAGTATAGAAAGTCTCGACTCGGATAGCAGTGGGGGAGGGTTCAGAGTGCAGGACTATGGGTTCAGACCAATGGCTGGTGGAGGTGTTAGTCGAGTTCCCAAAGGCAGTCGGTACCAACAAGCTTACAGATACCCGATGCCTCTGCCGCAACCAGTCCCACCAGCGCAGCTCTACCAGTTCCCTCAGGATAGAGATCTGTACGATCGACAGCGACGCGAGCGATCTAACACCAGGGATCGCGACTGGGATAGGGACAGTGAGAGGGAAAGAGACAGAGACAGAGATAGGGATAGGGATAGGGATCAATGGCACTATTACCAGCGACCGCAACAACCCTACCAGCAACAGTACTCAACCCGACCCTATTTGGATGACTCCTCGAGACAACCTTACATTCCTCAGCCCCAACCTTCATACAGCCGCCCCTCCGTCGACACCCTCTACCGATCTCCACCCCCTCCACCCCTTCCAGTCCTCACCCCCATTGACGACCGCTCCTCTCGTCCTGTCCGTCGTGCCCAAGACCCTTCCCCTACCACACGAAACCGCCGAGACCGCGACAGAGACAGAGACCCCAGGTATACGACAGACAAGTACGATGACAACAGCGGCAGAGAACCCTACTACGCAGTCGAAAGCCCCTCCGAGATCCTCTTCCCCGCCTCACGGTATGCAGCCCCCTTTGTCCGTGACTACGAGCTCCAGCAACGAGAACGAGACGCCCGTCAGCGAATGACCAGAAGCCCTCCCATTGTCGATCCTCTGTCTTTGCAACAGCAACAACTGCCACCTGCTCCACGATGGCAACAACATCAGTTTGTTGACCGCCCAATGGTCCCCCAGCCCGGCGGTAGACGTGGCACTGGTGATATCGATGGTCGTTCTCGAGTCCCACCTTCACAGCCACACCGACAAGGGCCTGGACCTGGAGCGTATGAGGATGATGGACCTTACGAAGAAGCAATCCTCTGGACACGCTCACCACCCATTACTGTCCCAGCCCCCACTCTCCGAGACTAAGTTTATGGTTTACTTCTGTCCATACCATCTTTGTCTCCCCCCCCCCCCCCCAACCTTTAATAAATCTAGCACCGCCTTTGTCATTTCTCCCACGATCCATTTCAAACAATAACAACCAGAGAAACGGCAATGTATGGTTTGCTGCTTGTTTTTGTACTTTTTATGTGTTTTTTTTCTTTTCTTTTCGTCTGGTAATGTGTGCATCATTGTGTAAGCTGGTAGTGCGGGGTGGATAGGAAATGCGCGTAGAAAAAAGAAGGGCATAAGACTTTGTTGAAGGAGTTTTTTTACATGGCTGGCACTGACACTTGAGACGCATCCAAGCCAAGTGCGTGCAAAAACAAGTTGACGTTTCCGATTCTCTGTGCCGCCTTCTCGGGCGACAAACGTGACGTCTGTGCCGCAATCACATTTTCCAGTACTTGCTCTCTATTATCACATAAGTAAGAAAACATGAAACGTTAGCCGATTGCTACACGTGTTGTAAATGACAGAAAAGAGACGACTTGACAGCACCATGTTAATGAGGATTAATTACCTCACTTCGGTGACAAGAACGTGTTGCTGGTCAACAGTGGCGCCGACGGCCATGGCAGCCAAGAAGCGCCATACGTGCACATCCTCGGCCATCGTGGCCTTGGGCATGAACAATGCTGAAAAGTGCGTCTGCAACTGGTTAAACAGTCTATGGTAAAGCTCGTTCCTATTAAGATGTCGGCGAATAAACCAAATGGTAAAAAATGAGGAAATGTTAGATTCGTTCAAAGAAATATACAACGCAAAAAGTACCCGTGGAGCGGTCCTCGAACCTGGGGACATTCGTCATGCGATCAAAATAAAATAACAAGCACCCATGTAACCATGCAGCCCAGAAACCAATATTGTGCCGAGAAATGCTTACCATTGGTTAACCTCGCGGTCTTCTGGGATGGGGTAGTTACCCTGGCCCTGTTTAAGTATCTCGGCGCGGCTCAAGAACAGAGTCAAAAAGGCCAAACCAGGCTAAAAATGAGGTTATGACGAATAGACAGAAAGTATTAGTACCGGCATCTTATTCAATCCTAGTATCCCATCTGTTTGTCTCACAACATGCAGATCTGATAAAACGAGGGAAACCATAAAGTTATTCATTACCTTGCTCCTGGCAACCCAGATCATATTGTTGCGCTCAATAAACAAGGCCAAAAGACCGACAACGATCCTGAATGGCGCCTCAGAGACAAATCCGAGGAGTGGTGGGACAATCGTGTTCATAAACAACTCAATCTCCTGGTTGCCCTGGACATCGGCGTAGACCTCAGACTTACACACATTCAATGACTCAAAGTTGGCCACCAACATGGTCAACAGAGTCAGTGTCTGCTCAGGCAGCAAGTGACGAAGGACGCGAGGAATAACCTTCTTACCCTTGGAGTAGTTCAAAATCGAAATGAAGGGATGAGGATGACTAACAAGAGGAATGGAATAGCAAGGAGTTGTGGAGTGGAGTTTAAGTCATCACATGTAGGTACTTCAATGGCAGGAGGCTCAGTATTATTGTCAGTCAATGGTGATGATGCCAACTTACACGATGCCAATGGGAACGGTGATGCGAAGCTCGTTCCACATCTTGCGGGCAAGGACACCGTATTCCTCGTTCCAACGACGGATGGCCTCTCCGGCAATCTCTTCCTCGCCCATTCTTGGAGGTGGTGGTTGCTGTCGCCTCTTCTGTTCCAGAGCCAAGACGTATGTGTAAACGTTCTCGATCCATCCAAGAACAGTGTGCGATTTGGTGCTGACGGGTCCAGGCGAAGGGGGCTTGGGCGAGTTGGGTCCCGACGACTCGGCGTAGCTTCCGCGCTTTGAGACCTGCAAAAGCTGACGAGGGTTGAGAACCGAGTTCACTGCAATCTTTCCAAGGGCGCCCTCCACAGTCACTGTTTCGTGACAAGTTAACAATTATATGAGTGAAGCGTCGACCGTTTTTCATCATTTTCACGATACATGGCATGGATAAAACAACGAGAAAATGCCACGATGGTTACCGTTGGTGCGTTTGGGGTTACGCTTGGCATCGCTGACGATCCTCTGGACCTGCTGTTGCATGCGCTGCTCAGTGCGGCCGTTGCCTCCGCGACGTCTGCTGTCGCCCTGGATGCCCTCTGGGTCCATCATGTTGCCAGGAATGCCCATTTGCTGCAAGTGTCTGTTACGAAGAGCGGTGTAGACCTGGCAGTAAAAGTCGTCGGCATAGGGATCGTCCGTGACCAACTGCGAGATCTGAATGCGGTTGATAAAGTCCTTGTCGCTCTGTGTCATCAAGCCATTGTGCTTGGCCTAAGTTGAGAGTTAGAAAATGGAAATAGATGGTGTAAGCCGATCTGATCGCCATGATACAGCTCATGAAAGCCCATGTCAAATAGTCCATTTTGATCATGATCCTGTTCAAGGGACTTACAGTCTCAGCTTGCTTAGCCTGTCTCTCGGCACGACGCTGCTCAAGTCTGGCCTGCTTGGCCTGCTGCTCGGCGATCATGGCCTCCGAGTAGATGGGGCGTCCTCCGTTGATGTTCATCAAGGCAGCCTCAACCTCCTCCAAGCTCATCATCTTGCGCTCCTGTTGCATTTGAATATGGGGCTGAGCACCGGCAGTTCTCGCGAGCTGAGCCTCAATTTCCTCCAGACTAGGTTGGTTGCCACCAAAGCCGGAGGGTCGCGAAAGAGCGAAGGTGCCCTGTCCAAAGACGGGATCGTGAACAGCGAATCCACCATTGCCACCGATATCTAGAGGAGAGCGAATGCCGATTGTCCAGTTATGTGTGGAGAAGCGTGAACAGAATCAATAGCCTGGTCGAGGAGCACATTATCCAGTTGTGACATAGTATCGTAGTTTCATCCTGTAAATTGTATTCGTACCCATACCCTTGGCGGTGGTGTTGCTGAAAGAGCCCCAGATCGACGACGCAGCATGCGAAGGCTAATAATGGCATTTGAACAGTCCTTGGTTAGGGTGTGAGGTGACGCATCCATAGTCCATGGTCTTAGAATATGTTCATATGTTGAATACACCTGCTATTGCGAAAGTGACTGTTCCATGATCGCCATATCCATACCTCAGGAAGTCCCTGTAGGTTGTTCCCGTTGTTCTCCCACAATGAAGCAAACGAGGAGCGGCGGACACCTGTGGTTCATTGATGAATATATACGCAAGTATTTAGTCAGATGGAATCTCCTTGACATGACATATTGGATAGTTCTGTTGACGGGTAATGTGTCACTCACCTGAATGATCACTCTGCTTGATGTAGAGCTCCTCCTCCTTCTTGAGGGCAGGAGCGACCTGGTGCGTGTTCTTTGCAAAGTCAAAGTCGGTTCCTGTTCCATAGAGGAAGGTGAACATAGTGTTATGTTAGTATTAGCCTGGTAGATGGTAATAGCTGCTAATTGTTTCTTTCCTCCACTGTGTGTACCTCTGTGGGTATGTAAGTGAGAGTCCAATTATCTCAAGAAGAATGAGGACAACAAAAAAACTTGCCTTCATCTGCTCCGCCTGCACCACCGAAGGTCTCGTCGTTGAGATCATCCCTGGTCTCCTCGAGATCATCGGCCAGGTTGTCGTAGGTCTCGCCATAGTCGTAAATCTCAAAGTCCTCCCCGGTTTCGAGAGCGTACTTTTGGACCTGGCGGTCGAGCTCCTGCTGCTCCTCGAGGTTCAGGGCGATTCTGCCACCCTGGCGGCCTGGCATGACCGTGTTGAAGCCAAAAAAGTCGGACATGAGGGATAGGTTGGGAATCCTGTGTCCTGATGGAATCTGTTCTGACTGAGAGGTGAAAAAGTTGTTTGTGCTGTTTGTTGTTATTTTGGTCCACTTTTTTTTCTTGCTGCTATGGGTCCGTGTTCTCTGTCAGTGTATTTGTTGGGTGCGTGTGTTATGCTGACAACAAGCTAGGATGAGTGTGTTTCTCGTGCTTGGTTGGCTTTTCTGTCGGGTGATGACTGTGTTTGTCCTCGTTCTGTTTGACTGTCTGACTGTCGTCTCGCTCTCGCACTGTCTCTCTGATGCAAATCCGCCGTGGGGGTGAGCGTGGATGGATGTGCGTAAGAAAGAAAGAAAGGAGGGGGACGTGGAGGGAGCTGTGAAGGACAGGAGAGTGCTTGTCCTCGATATACCTTTATCGTTCTTTTTTCCCTTGGTCCTTTAGACTTGGCGCCACCCACCCGTACAAGTTTGGCTCACATTGCTCCAATCGAACACTTCCCTAATGTAGTTAACACTTGCGATTAATGTTCTTTCGGACAACACTACGTCACGATCTCCTCCCCTGGGAGCGCGGCCGTTGCACGAGCACAAACACCCCCTTCTCTCATTTACACGCACACATTCACATTCATTCATTCAACCAAAGAGCAACAATGGCAGCACCACTCCCAACAACCGCAGACGGCTACATCGACATCACAGCACAAGAGACAAAGGACACACTCGAGCAGCGGATATGGGATATAGACGAGCAACTCTCTGACGTTGAGTCCATCGACGACGACTCTGACTTCTCAGAGTTCTCAACCACCTCCTCAACCGACACACGCGATATCCAGCGCGAGTGGGACGAGAACATGGAGCAGGGTCGTCAACTCTTTGCTATGGTCATCTTCCCCTTTGTCGGACGCTGGATTGGCAAGAAGATGTCATACTGGGGTTAGTTGGCCTCCCTGCACCTTATTCTCGCATTTTCCACTTGGAGCCTCTTCGCTTCATATGTTCATTGGGGATGTTTGCAGCAAAGCAACTAACCGATATCATTGTCTTTGTTCAATTCGAATTACAGTGTGGACACGGTTCCTTCAGCACCACTACAAGTTCCGTTCCTTTGGAGCAATAGGCGCATAACGATACCCTGGACCGATAGACAGGAATGTAGACTCAGGAACACACCATCACTCCAACCTTCGACAGATAGCGCCTTTCTTATTTGAACACCATATCAGCATGGAGTAGGCGCTTGTCATTGCTTAGAATACCTCTTTTCCCCTTTGACCTTCTTCGACTCTATCAAACAGCAAGAGTAGTTCGAGGACAATGTTCGACCATTTATCTCTATCTCTCTCTCTCCCTCTCATTTTTCTGTACAGTACAAAGCCAATGTCGTCGAGACATACCAATACAAGGGTTGGCCCTTGAAGAGAATAAAAATGCAGCTTTCATTAACCATTATGTGCCTTCAACTCTTCGTGTGGTCCCTACTTGCGGCTCGCAGCATGTTCGCGTGTGAAACAAACTACTTCACTAATCACATGATCCCGTCTTTATCAATCTCGGATTTGTCCCAAAGAGCACCTTTCTCCACGTCCTTTCTTCACGCCTACTTCACCTCCCCTCACTGATCCGACACATCGCACTACCATGTTCGCAACACGCAATTCAATCATTTCCCACCTCTGCCGGTCAACAAAGACCTCTGCTATCACCGCACTCCCTTCAACAGCACACCTTCTCCTCCGTCGCCAATTCACAACAGCCCCCGAAAGACGCCTCGTCCGCGACACCGCATACCCTTTCCCCCTCTACTACCACCTCCTCCCACTTACCACCCCTTCCTCCACAACCACTGGCACCCCCAAACCAACCTACGCACTCTCCTTCCTCCCAACATTCCCCCAACACACCCACCAAGTCGTCGGATATCTCTCTCACAACAACTCGGAGGACCTGCAGGTCAAGCCTAACAGGTTTACTGAGAACGACGCCTTCAATAATGTTCTGCATACGGTGATCCAGCAGAACTTGGCCGATGATCCTATGGTTGAATCCGTTCTCCAGCAGCAACTCGAAGGGTAATCTAAAAAAAAAAGGCAACAACTAAGAAAACATGACCTTGTTGTGTTTGTTGCTGTATCTTTTGTCACGTCATGATGATTCGATTCATGGAGACCAAGAGAGTTGACTCCACAACCTGGATTTTCTCCCTCTTTTTTGATACTAGGTGGACACACATCGCTGACTACCGCAACCCTGCTCCTTACGGAAGGTACTACCCGGCGTCCATTACACATGTCAGGATAGCGTTTTCCAGAACGCCCACATAACCTTCACATTGCTCGAACTCATATCTTCCACAAAACCATCGTTGTTGCAAAATGCGAATAGGATCCCATTGCCTGAAGATATCTTTGGAAGTGTACAGATCGTCGACGGAGTCATCCAGCCAGCCTCGTACCAGAGAATGCCTACTCATCGCATCGTCAGCAGCCTCGGACTCTTCCAATTGAGCGATCACCTCCACGAACGCCTCGTCCACCACCTCAAGAACCTGTAACAACACCTCCATTAAAGGATTCGCTTTAAATTTTATTACTTTTTTTTTTTTTTTTGGTGCATTCTTTCTGGTTGTGTTTGTGGGTGTAGTGTATGTAAAGTGTATGTTTTGTACGGGTGCTTGGAATGTCAATTGCGAAGAAGGAAGAAAAGAGTTTTTACAGTAAAAGTGAGAGTTAACAAATGCAGAGAGATAAAACAACAAATAATAAGGGAACGAATTACGGTTGGGGGTTAATGGTGTGCATGAGGAAATGTGACAAAAGGATAAAACAATAAAAAAGAAAAAAAGGTCAACGAAGTGGAAGGAAACGATAAACGATACACAACGAAAGGAAAAAAACCTCTCAAGAGATGGAAGGAAGAGGAGGAGGCAGATCATGTTGAGAGAGCGGCATCGCCGTTGGTGGTGGTGTTGTTACTGATACTGCCAACGAGGTTGTTGTTGAACGAGGATTCTTCAGAAGCAACAATGATCACCCGCGCCTTGTCCTGATCCGCAGGCGATTGCGCTCCCTTGGTGGTTGGCTGCTGTCGTCGTGAGGACTCTCCACGGTTCGAGTTGGTCGACCAGACAACATTCTTGGACCCAGCCCGTTTCTTTTGCCTGTTCTTTGATCCATCGCCATTTCCAGCTGGATCTGATCCGACAAAGTTGTCAACCGCCACCAACAACGACTCCTGATCAGCTTTGCTGCTGGCCGACAGCAGTCTAGGTGCCGCGGTGGCAATGTCTGCGAGGCTAAACTCGACCGCCGCACGCGGGGCACGTCCACTGTTTCCTCCTGCGATGCCATTACTACTGCCGTTGCTACCTCCACCACCTCGGCCTCCCTTCTGTCCATCGCCTCCGCTTCCTCCAGAAGACTTCTTGTTACGCCGGTTGGCCGTCGCTGAACTAGAGGTGCTCGACTTTTCCTGCTTGCCGCGAGAGGACGATGCTGGCTTAGAGGAGTCGCCGGCTGTCGATGACGCGCTGTCCTTATCACCCTTGGTCTGCTTGGCTCGGCTCTTGGACTGACTCCGGTTGCTAATAGTCTCGCCCTGACGACCAGAGTTGTTCGACTCCTTTGAGGACGCTCTTCCTTTCTCGCCCCCTTGACCACGGCTTGATGACGACACCGAGTCCCGTCGGCTAGACTGCTGCTTGCTGCTTCCAGTTGGGTCTTTGCTGTGTGCTGGTCGGGTACCAATGTTGAGTGTCTCCATGACAGATATCTCGCCCACCGAGTCATCGTCATCATCGTCATCATAGTCGGCTTCGTCATAATAGTAGTTCTGCGATCGGTATCCGTTGAGGTAGCGTCGTCCTGCTGCATAATTGTTGTTGTTTGTGATCATGGTTCCATTGGTCCCTTTCCGTACGTTGTTGCTACTGTGGTAGTAGCTTGGTGGGAAGACAAACTGGGCGCAGCACAGGTTCAGGGAGGCGTTCTTGTAAAGAACGTCGAGAGCCCTCCTGAATTCCTCTCGCAAGCCCTTACTACTTGTCATGTCGGAGGAGTTTCCAAGATTACGGCTGGTATCAATCGGCTCCTCCACACAAAACATCTTGTACTGCTTTCCTGGAAGATGCCATCCCTTGGACTCTTTTGTCAAGTAACATCCCTCACGCACCGAAATAACATGGTTGTCGTAGTCAAATTCGATTGCAAACCTAGTATGTATGGAAAGGAGGAGTAGAGAAAGGTTGTTAGGTGCGATGGCTCCGCAGCATTCCAAATCTCGGCTCAGTAAATCTCAAGAGGACTGAGGATCGACAACTATTTTCCTCCCTTCATTCCAACATACCTTCGGAAAAAGGCGTAGAGGAGCCCGCCTAGCGTTTCCTTGTTGGGAAAGCCAAATCCCTCAAGGCTCTCGATGTCGTCGCAGAACGAAGTGTTATTTCCGTTGATGACTTGATTGTCGTCGAAGAGGGTATGGGGGATCTTGTGCAGCACTGGCAAGATGGGAGGCGACCGCATCTGCAAAAAGTTGATGACAATGCAAATCCAGGTATATGTTGAGATAGTTCCTCCGTTCGCTAATGAAACATGCATTGAAACATAGATCGTAAGCAAGTGGATATAGCGGAACACATTTCTCTTTGTGCTGCAGAGCAACTACAAGCACAAAAATCAAGAGTGTACCTGCGTCGTTGAGGACTCGCCTCCGTGACCAGTGCTTGATAATCATGGCGAAAGGGCGAACTCTGGGGTCGATGGCGACATAGGTCTTAATCATTTTTGTGTTCAGAAGTCCCAAGGGTGTGTTGATGTTCACGTCGCACGAGAGATGCCTAATTAAATGAAATAAGAATTTTGTGTGCACAGAACGTATTTGTTAGCACATAGGAGGGATTCAAAAGAAGGTTTCGACCGTAGGGATCGCTTGTTGCAATGGGAAAAACACAGTGTTCACGATGTCATCGACTTACAACTCTGGATCCCATAGTTTGACGATTGGAACCTTGGCTCTGGGTACGCAAAAAACCTTTTGCATTCCATGCTTGCGGAAAGCATTTGCCAACATCTGAACATTCTTCAGTCCAGGCCACGTCGTCATGATGCAAATATCAACGTCACTTGTGCTTGTCCCAAGATCATTGACCGTCGAGCTATGAAAGGGACAGAATAAGAACCATACGAGGTGTCAATTCAAAGCATCCTATAGGCTGATTCGCTGCTCGCTCTGGCAGATCCTATCCGTGAAATAGAAACAAAGCATACCCGAATGGATAGGCTTGAATATCCTGTCCAGGCCACTCGACATTCAGAATTGTTTCAATCTTCTTGATGAACTTCGTCCTGCGCTCATGACTTTCTTCCGTCGGCAAGAGGCTCTAATTCGGGTAGTGGATGCATAAAGGCGATCCTGGTTAGATCATTGTTGTCAATTGCGCCGATAAAAGCATATTCATGCGGAAGAGCCAAAACATCGAACCTCGAAGAGATCGACCATTTCCATTGAAAGCTTGACTTGACTCTCATAGGGCAGGACAATGGGGAACCGCTCATGGAGGCGAGCCTGCTCTGATCGCTGTATTGCTGAGGGGCGAGTCGTTGGCTTGAGCGGAGGAATAGGAGCAACGCCCGGTAAGAGTGTTGACCAAGCCGAAACCTTGGGAAGGTTGCCGGTCGACGAAGTGGATGATTCTGCAGGAGCAGATGTGTCATCGGCGGATAATGATGCTGATGAAGTCTCTTCCAGCAAGGATGGCAACAATGCCTCTGATTCCCAGTCGGTAATGCAAGTCTGCTCCTCCTCAAGAGCCTGTTCAAGGTTTTGTTGTGCCAGGCCAATCTCCAGTGATATGCTGTCGGACTCATCCAACGTCGCATCCTGATGGTTTCTTGCCTCCTTTCCGATTCCATTCTCGATGCTCTCGTCGTCATCGTCCTCCAAAGTTTCATCGTCGTCTTCATCGCTCTTGCCGTGGACAGGTGCCTTGATGGGCGACAGGGGTGGTGTTGCAACCTGAGAGGGCGACATAGGCGAATTTCCGTTGAGCAAGTCTTGTTGGTCAGAGGTTGGCACCGAGGGGATGTTGTGGTCGACCATGGTTAGTTTTGACAGAGGCAGAGCATCGGTGGGGAACCGGGTCATCAATCGCTCCTTATCGGCAATGTCGACAGCAAAGGAATCAGGACCGTTGTCGGATTGAGAGTCGTCTAGGCTTGTAGGTGAATCAGGTCTGTGTAGGGATTGGCAGGGAGGTTGGAATGCGAGTCCTTGTTCGATAACAGTATGATCCTGGTCGTCGTCTTCTCCGTTGATACTGCTGTCGCTGTGCTCGAGATAATGCTGCTGTTGTTGTGTGTTGCTCGATTTGACTGGATCGTGCGAGTATGGGGCTTCTTTAGCCTTTCGTGATGATTTTGTTGACTGAACCGCCGGCAAGAGTTCTCCCTCGAAGTGAGCAGAAGCTGCAGGTTCGCTGTCGGTAGGTGTTGGCGTTGGCTCGATTTCTTTTTCCTGTTGTTGCTGGTGCTGTTGGGTGTGGGTCAACAAGGGTCGAAAGGAGTCTTCTGTGCCGGGCTGTGTGGTGGTGTGGACCATTGGCATGAAACTTTTCTCTTCGCTCTCTTGTTCTTCTAGGGTCTGGGAGTAAACGAGTGAATGAAAGATGAGTTTGTTGTTGTTGTATGTCAGTCTGCTTGTGAAGGAGACGGGAATGTGATTGTGGCAACAGGTCAACAAATCGAGTAACGTTGAATAAACAGAAAGGCAAGTTGGTTTATAAGCTTGCGGGCTTGGTTGAACTTTTTGATTGTCTACTCACTGAGTTGTGAATGTACGTGTGAGTGTAGTTGTTTGTCTGTTTGGTGATGTTTTCCTTTGTGTGCTGTCTGTCGGTTGACTGTCGCGATGTGTGTGGGAGTGTGGGAGTGTTTGTAAGTATGGAAGAAAGAGAGGAGAGCGAATGGAGCAGGGGTGGGTGAGAGGAGTGAGAGTGGGTGATGGGATGGAGTAAAGGAAGGAAGTGGTGGCAACACTGCTGGTGGAGGGGAAGAGGAAGTGAAGGGAAAGGAGACGAGAGAGCGAAAGGAGTAAGGAGAGCGTCAACGGGCGAAGTGGAAGAAGAAGAAGGAAGAGGAGAGAGAGAGAGAGAGACACACACAAAGGTTAAAGAGTAGGAGAAACGTTGATCGCACCCACGGGACATACTGAGGCGAAATGATTTTTTCAATAGGCTCACTCTTCAACAACGAACATACACATGCACATTCATCAGCTATTCTCACTTCCTTCATTCGCATTCCATGCTCTTGTCTTTACTGGTTTTTTTGTCCTATGCTCTTACTTCTTTCCTTCGCAGTTTTTGTTGAACGACTCTTGTTGTCGTTCTCCTCCTCGTCAAAGCCTGCTCCAGTTCCCCAGTTCCCAGACCTTTTAAAAAGAAAAAAAAATATAATGTGTTGTTGTTCTTTTTTTAACATCCTGGCCAATCAGAGGCCGTCGTTGTCAATCAAATTGCCAGTCATGATCAGCCTGGGCTAAACATCCTTTCAGCGTAGGGAGTTCCACCGTCATAGAAAAAAAGAAAAAGGGATGTAGTCGCACACTGGACATTATCAAAATGGAACCACGGAGCATTACATCGGGACGCAATTGTATCGCCTTGTCTTGCCCTCGGACTCGGAAGGAGCCGCATTCATTCACAGGTCAGGTCAGAGGAACAACAGCCCACCCCATCCGTTGGAAGAGCGAGCCACTCGTTCACTTGCAGCTGCCATTTGCCCATTCCGATGTAGCAACCTAATTTTTTGCCCACGACGCATCCTTCCACTCCTCTTTCTTCTCCACATAATTACACATTGGATATGCAGGCATGCACTAAAACACATAAACAAACAATCTTCTCGTCAGCCTTACCCTCAATGGGCGTTTGAACAAACAAATAAAAATGCGCCCAAAAAATACACGACTTCCTATCTCTCCACTCGTTCGCTCATTTCCAGACCAAACGGAAGCGCAACATGCATGCATTCATAGGTCATTTGAACCTTTTCTTCTCTCTTCGTGTTGACACTCTTAATCAAACAAAACATACACACTCGAAAACTAGACCAACAAGGATGACAAATTCTAGCATGTGGGAGTTGCATCCCTTAGACCCTTTCGCCTTCTTTGCCACTTTCTCTATTCCCTATTTTCGCCGAAACGGCTCTATCGGCGTTCAACTGGCCCAACAAACAACAAACAAAAACTTCGAGACATTGATAACATAATAAACATCCGAGGCTCGGACATGCAAACTTTCTCTTTTTTTCTTTTTCTGTCTGCTGTTCTTACTCATCGCCACTCAGGGGAGTGAGCGGGGCGATGTTCTGGCCTTGTTTAGGTCCTCTTGATAAAATGAAAGCACACAAACAATCGTCTGGATCCCTGCCTTTCTTTCCTCCATTTCCTCCATCACGCTCTTTTCGACGAACCTCTCAGTGATAGTTGAAGGGATATTCGGCCCTACACTTCTTCCTTGTATATCCACCCTCTCATTTGATATCATTGCTCGGTATGGCCCGTTTGGACCAACAACCCAGCCTCCGTTGGCGTGTTTGTGCGCAAACGATGAATCTAGGCGCGCCTTTTTGTTCGTTAGTGACACGTGCATTTTCGTTCCTCTCCACAACAAAGAAAAAACGTTTAGAATGAATGGAAGCACAATGTACAGACACAGCCTCCTCCCCTTTTCCTTTGCAGTGGTGTCTAGGCTAGACCATACTAGTGTCAACCGTCGAACCAAGGGATGTTCGATGAGAGAGAGTGTTTGTAGAATACGAAGAATAGCATAGATTTTCGCCTTGTTGTTGACTTAACTGATGGATTGATCAGTAGCTGGTGGCTGATTGGTTGGTTCGCGCCGTCGGATTTTTTCTTTCGGAACATTTTTTTTCTCTTCGTTCCTTCGCGTCCTTTTCTTTTCGTTGTTCTATCTCCATCTTTACCAACAACAGAAATAACGTATAAAGACAACAAAGACATCAAAGAGTAAAGATGAACGACAACAAGAAAAAAATAATTATTTACTTTCTCTTCCATTCTGTCGATCCTCTCCCTAATTGACCCACGCCCTCGTCGTCAATCGCTCTACTGCATTTCCAACAAATCCTTGTACTGTATTCAAACTCACTCACCCACCTTAGTAATGTACCACTCCATTCTCTCAGGTAAGCCTATCACTCCACTTTCTCACCTCTTCTCAAGAAAATAAAGTTGAATGCACACCTCTGCTCATTCCTCATTCACTTTCAAATGCAACAAAGATGGTTGCTATGGGAAGAAACTGCCTGACCAAACCTTAATATCCCACCCCACACTTTGTAGCACGAGGAGGGTCCTCCTGGTCCATCCTCTCCACATCCACACCACCCACACCGCCTCTTCAACCACGCTACCACACAACTGTCACCATTTCTCTTAATTCTAAGGCTCACCTCCACTTTCACCACCACATTTTATCAACTGGACGACGGCGGCCACAGCATTCTCGCCAACCTACCGCTACATCTTCATCATCATCGCCGTCATCCGTAGTATCGTCGCTGGCATTCCACCCATCAGCACCATGCTCATTCCGTCTCCTCCGCTCTTCCCATGCCGCCCAGCAACTCCCCCTAAAGCCCACACTCGACAAAGAAACCGTCCTCACCCGCTCTGCGGAGCTGGCCGGAATCAGAATAACCAAAGGGTTTGTTGTTGGGCCCTTAACAACCACAACCGTGTCCTCCCAAGCTGCTAATGTTGCCCATAAAGCAACCACACCAGAAGCAAGCGTAGGAGTAGGAAGTGGGGGAACGGCAATACCCAAAAAATTGTGGGTAAGGGTCAAGAAGGAGTTGGTTCATTATTGGCATGGAACCAAACTGTTGGGGACAGAGATCAAATCTCGACCAAGCTGGCTAACCGCCTCCTCCATGGCAGCAAACTCACCCGTCGTGAGCAACGCCAGGTAAACTTTACTAGGTCATACAATTAGTCTGGTCAATTCATCTGCCTTGACAACTTACAATGAATGGTCTTCGTATTTGATTTCATATGAGTAGCTAAGAAGGACATCGGGAGACTTGCTAAGACTGATCCCGTTCTCGGTCTTTATCATCGTGCCCTTCATGGAATTCCTCCTCCCAGTCGCCCTCAAACTCTTCCCCAACATGCTCCCTTCGACCTTCCAGGACAGATTCGCAGAGGAAGAAAAAAAGCGCAAGTTGCTCAAGATGCGTCTTGAGATGGCTAAATTCTTGCAGGAAACCATCATCCAGCAACATCCCAACACCGCTCCTACCTCCACCGCCAAAGTCAACTCTACCGCGACAGGAAGAGCAGAGGCGATTAAGGAGTTTGGAGAATGCTTCCGAAAAGTCCGTTCAACAAACGCGGATGAACTGCCACCAACAACCGCAGAGATGATCCGTGTGGCGCGATTGTTTGGAGACGAGTTGACGGTTGATAATTTGAGTCGGCCGCAGTTGTTGTCCATGTGCCGGTACATGAACCTCAATGCTTTTGGGACAGACAACTTTTTGAGGTACCAGATCCGCACCAGCATGAGCTCCATTCGCAAAGACGACAAGGTAACACTCTAGCCCATGTTGTGTATCGCAGCTCTTTTACCTACACTCATACTCACATTCCATCCGACATTATACCGAACAGCTGATAATGACAGAGGGGGTAGACTCGCTGACAGAACCAGAACTCCATGCAGCATGTCAATCGCGCGGGATAAACGCAACCGACGTCTCCTCTTCCCGACTCCGCACAGAACTCGCCCAATGGCTCGAACTCCACCTCACCTACTCCATCCCCGCAACAATCCTCATCCTCTCCCGGACATTCTCGTATTCAGACTCTTACATCCCCGATCGACCCGGTAAAGTCCTCCACGCGACCCTATCCTCCCTCCCAAGCTCGCTCCTCCATGAGACCGAGCTCCATCATACTGAACAAGCCGCACACGCTACTGCCGCCGCGGCAGCTGCAGCCAACTTGGAGCTGAAACTTTTGGTGCTGCAGCAACAGGAGGAACTTATCGTGAGTGAGAAGGCGCAGGAGGAGGAGATCCAGAAACTGTGTATGGAGCAAGCCAGAGTCGAAAAGGAGATTGAGCTCTTGGAACGACAACGGATTGCAGAGGTGCAGAGCGCCAATGCTGCGCCCATCTTCCTTGGGTCCTCTTATTCTACCAATGACCTCTTGTATCGGTCATCTGGCAATGCAACAGCAGCAGCAGACGCGACTTACCATGCTCATCCTGCTGAAGAACCTGTCGTTAGCATCTCATCCGGCTCTGACCAGGTTTTCGTCAAACAACAACCCACAGCAGCTACCACCACAGCAGCACCACACAAATCACACCTTACGACCGTTCAACTCCTCGAACTCCGAAAAGCCCTCTTTGTTATGACCGCCCCCTCCCCTGTCATAGAAGAGCGTGTCAAACTCGAGGGTCTCAAAGAGCAACAAGCCCGCCAAGCCCAAGCCCGCCAACAGGACCAAGGAACCTTCTTCTCGCACAACATCATTTACTCCTCCCCCTCACAACAACACCAACAAGGCTCCAACACCGCTCCTGGAACAAAACTAGCCGACCGCTTGTTGGGCGGCCGCGTCGAAAAGATGATCTCGCAACTCGACGAGGAACTACAAGCTTACGAATCCCCCAGTCATGAAAAATTCAAGCCCATTGAGACCAACGACAGGAACGAATTGACCGTTGCTGAGGTCGAGGCTGCCCTCTGCATCATCAAACATACGCCTGACGACGAAACTATTAGACTGACTGTTCAGAAACTCGACATCGACGGCGATGGTTTGATTCAGTTGGACCATATATATGAGCTGGCCGATTTGGTGGAGCAAGAAGGGACTGGTGGTGTTTTTGGAGAGGGTGTTGTCGTTGATGGAAAGCGACTCAGGAAAACCGACGTCCTCAAAGACAATTTGCAGTAACATAGCAGACATGTGTACAAATATTTGGTGTATTTTTTTTTTTTTGTTCTTGTTGATTCATGTGTGGTATGATGTACTTCATTCTTCGTCTCCTGCTGCTGAATGTTCCTGCTGCTGTTCACCAACTCTCGCTTACTTGACGCCATTTTCCCTTTGTTTATTCGCTGCGGCTGTTGCGATAAAGAGCTTCCTGGGTGACCGAGAGCTCGTCGATCTCTGGTGCAACATCAGCTAAGATCTCCTGTGCCTCCTTGTAGAATGCAAGCTGAGCAGCAACCAAGTCAGCCAAGTTGCGAAGAGGCTCGGGCTAATCGCGGACGTGTTAGTATAAAGACGGTTAGTAAATAGGCTCAGGGTCAATGACTCAAGAGAATACTTCATCAATCGCATAAAATTCGGCAAAGATGAAAACAAGGACATACGTTCTCGAGGACGGTCTTCATGAGGGTAGTGGCCTCCTCGACGGCGGCGACAAAGAGATCCTCAGCCTGTTCGACCTCAACTCGGCTGGCCTCGGACCTCTCCGGTCTGGCAAACTTGTACTGGGCCTTGGCAGAGTCCAGCGAGAGACGAGCATTCTGGACGTTGCGACGAGCCTTCATGGCGAATCCAATCTGGGTGTTTAAGGTGGTTCCGAAGGGAGCGACAAACTTTGTTGAGATCTCGTTGTCCATCTTCAATCTGAAGTCGCCAATCTTTTCCTGAACGGTAGCAAACTTGAACAAGGCAGATCCCATAGGCTCCTCCAATCCGAGCTGTTCTGATCCCTCGAAACTGGCGCGGGAAAGGGCGTGGGCAAGAGTCTTGGGTGGGGCAGCTTCCTTGCGCTCCTCGAGGGCAGCGGCTTCGGAGGCAGCCTTCTCGGCGGGCGAGAGAGCGACAGCCTGGATCTTGTCGGTGACGGTGCGGCCAAACTCTCCGAGGGTCTCCTGTAACTGGGCGGGGTAGTCGTAGCTCGAGTTTTGGTATGTGCGGGTGACACGAAGGAGACCGTTGTGCATGTTGCGCAATGCATCAACGCGCTATGTGTCCGCGATAAACAAATATGCATCCAAACATACCATTAGATTGCGTTCTAGATCGTCCCTCTCTATTTCTCTAGTGCGAATAGAGGCGCCACATGATGTCTTTTGTCGATATTTGACTGTGTCCAGGGTTGCTCCTTCTTCCTTTTCTTCTAATCCAGACAAACATCAAAAGGTGTACTTTCCAAGTTGTCGTCTTCGGTTCCAGTGTGAATAGGTGTACTTCTTTCGTTTGTATCAGACTGAGTCAATTCACTTCCACGTCTAGTGCAACCAGGGTTGCATCCCTTCCACTGCATCCATGTGTTCTCCGGACCACAAAGAAGCGCTACAAACGTGTGTTCGTATTCTGATTCAGTTATACCTTCTCCAAGTCCTTGTACTCCTGGGGAAGCTCGGTAATGTCCTCTGCTGTACCCATCTTCTCCTGAGCAAACTATTTTTTTTTTTCAATTGAGGAATGAACATGGCGTAATACGGATGTTAGAACAGTCAATGATTAGGTTTATGCAAAAACTGATGGAGGTCGTGAGTGGTTCTGCTGCTGTTGGCTTTGCTTGGCGATGATAATGCTCCCAGATAAGTCGTTCTTCTTAATGGTGGTTAACCCGTTTGTATTATCGTCCTGTTGTCTGTGTTTCTTATTGGCATTCATATGACTAACTGGTTGTAGGTATGGCTTGGCGTTGTGTGTAAAAGCTGTCATACCGCAGGAGAGTATGGAGTGATAAGGACAGAGGTCGTTGGCACACTCTACGGTGTAGTAGAGAATCGTAACGCGTGTGTCGAAGAGGCGAGAGAGGGAGTTGTCGATGGAGATACAGTCGTCTTACGGACCAATGGAACAGGTAACGAGCATGGTCGCTCTTGTTTATCAACGCAAGACACGACACAACACATTGAAGCAAAGATGATGACTTTCTCCTTGCTCCTTGCAAGATGAGAGAGGGTGAGAAGTATGAGTAAAAAAAGAGTACCTGCTTGACTTGTCCGAACTGCTTGCCGAGCTTGGCAGCGAGGGGGTTGAGCTGCGAGGAGAATGCCTTGAACTGGTCCATTGTTGTTTACGTTGGTGATGTCGATGATTGTGATGAGAATAGGGATGAAAGAAAGAAAAGAAAAGAGAGTACAGAGCGTTTTCTTCGTTCCTTTGGTTCTTCCCACCTGCCACCCTGTCTGGACTGGCATTTGTTCAGGCTTGAAGTTCAAATTCTCTTTTTTTTTTTTTTTTTTTTCTTTTTCGCGGGTGCCTGTCGCCCCCTTTTGCCCTGTCTGCCTCTGGATGAATGTGCCGCATGACGTCGCGTTGAATATGATTGCGCCCTTCGTGCCTTTGTGCCATACATACCTCATCTCTACGAACGGACACGGACAGCGTCAATGGATATTGCCGTTATGCAGCACAAAACACAAAGGAAAAAAAAAAAAAGATCATGATGCAAGTAGGATTGGATTTGTATTTGTATTCTTCAATTAAGAAGGAAGAGTGAAACTGGAGGCGATAATGCATGCGACAAGTACGTAGATACCCCCCCGATTGAATTGTCGGTAGCAAACAAGACAAAGAGACTCAGTCATCCTTCTTGGCGGAAGCACTCTTCTGAGGTTCTGCTTCAACGGAGGAATGATTGCCACCGTTTCCTATAGCTTCTCCTGCTCCTGCTCCTGCTCCTGCAGAGTCGTGAGCCCGCTGGTTGGCAGCCACCGCAGACGAAACTTCCTCTGCCAGCTTGTTCAATTGCTTTTCGTACTGTTTACTGAACACTTCCATGTAGTAGCTCGCTCCGTTCCAGACACTGACCAAGAACAGACCGACAAGAAACACAGTGTTCAGCCGGAAGTATTTGTACGACAGCAGTGCAAACAGGCATGTCACGAACTATTGGAGTTGCATTGAATGTTGAATGAAAAATGGTTAGTGTTCGTTGGTACAGTACAAGGAGAGAATGAAAGAGAGGCAACAAAAGTATAAAAGTGGGGGATTTGATGAACAAAACAAATAGACGTTCGCAGAAGGGAAATGAATGAGTAGAGAAGAGAAGGGAGAAGAGATGGGAAGAGACAAGGTGATGAAGGATATATTGAGAAAAAGAAGCGAAAATCGACATATGATAGTATAGCAAAGGAGCCAAGAGGAATACGTACGGTGTAGATGAGCTGCATACCCATAAAGGTGACGATGCTGTACTTTTCACCAAAGGTATGAGCAACCTTGGAGATGACGCCAGCTTTGGGATCGTTGAGCAACCAAGTGTATGAGGTCACTCGTTTTCCTGCCTTAATTTTTTCCTTCTGACGGACAACCACAAAGACGTAATATGCCACCTGCCACGTCAAGTAGAGCGCAACGGCGTATGTCAGCGAGCTGAACGTGGGTAAGACGGGCATGTCCTTCAGAGCTGGGAATCGGGTATAGTTGGGGTCTGGATACAGCCATCGAACGACATAGAGCGCAATGGGCGGACTCATGTGAACGTAGACACTGGTGACCTTGTCCAGGCTATTGGGAAATTAAGAGCATTGGCCATTATTAGGAAAACGGTGCAGGGGTCAACAAAAGAGGGCTCATCAATAAACAACGGATGAGGAAATGTTGCAACAACACGACTAGACAGCGACAGAGCATAACAGGACACAAAGGATGACAAGGAGCACATCATGATCATCAGCTCAACCCCCCTCTTTTGCTTATCGTCAATGTCCATCCATCCATCCTCATTTTTTTATACTCTTTTTCACCCCGGCTTTGAGAAAGACAAAAAGAAGGGGTACTGTACCTGTGCAAAACAAGACTGTTGCGCCATGTAACAATCGCAAAGGCGAGGGGCCCATGCGAGAGAAGCCAAACAGCGCCAAGAAGAGCTTGTGATTGAGGGAAGACATAGAGATACAGGATCACGACGACATTCACCTGTAAAAGCACAAGACAAGACAAAAAGATAGCGTGTTAATACGTTTTCATAACAATAGCTGGTGGCGTTAAACTCCGTGGTAGTTTGTCTTTCATATGAGCAAAAAGACAAAAAAGAAGGTGGACGTACGAAATAGCACATGTCGAGGAGGAAAAAGTGCCAGGACTTGCGCTTGTAGAGAAAGTAGCGGACGACGATGAGGATCGAGACCTGGAAGGTGTGGACAAAGGGGATCCACTCGGGGTATTGCGAGATCACCCACGGGGTGCAACAGCACTCGAGCATACCCAGCGTGAAAGCAATCTTGTCCATGAACCGCACGACACTCGCCTTCTTCATCTGCTGCTTCCAAATCATCATCGACGTGTCAATCTGAGATTTGAGGTTGCTGGTAGTGTGGTCGACCTGGTGACGGATCTGCCGCTTCGTAGTGCCCACATGATGGCTGAGTTGGTGCTTTGTTTTGGACAGGTCGGAACGGAGACTGTTATACATCTGGTTGGCGAGGATGGGCAGGTCTGTCAACTCCTCTTCGAGGTTCTGGGAGATGAACGAGTCGAGACTGAACGATAACTGCATAAAGATGTTGGGTACGAGACTGGGGCCCATGGAAGGGCTAGCTGGCTCAGAGAGGATCGCAGGGTCTGATGCGTGGGCGTCCTCGTAGGTGTACTCGCCAGGTTCTGGTGCCGAGACTGACCTGGCCAGGGGCAGGTCTGAATCCGAGTCGGAGTCGGACATGTTCGCCAAGTTGTTGCTATGATTGTTGACTGTTGTTGTGTTGTTGTTATCCTCGAAGAGTTTCGTGTCAGGGACGCGAGTGGTTGTTGTACCGTTGTTTTGGTTGGAAGGTTGGAAGGAGAGTTAAGAAGGTGTGAGTGGGTTGCTTTGAGTGTTAAAAAGTGGGTGGTGAGAAGGAAAAAAAAGAAATGAGAAGAAATGAGAAGAAAGAAGAAAGAAGAAAAGAGTGAACCATGGACCATGTGAACCCCCTAGCAGGGGAAAACGTCAATTCCGTCATGAAGTGGCAACAAACAGTGGCTGACTCCCTGACTCCAGAATAAAATATCGCAGTCCAGATGACCGCATATCAGGACCCCCAAGTAAGGCTTGGGTTGGGAAAATAAAAAATGAGCGGAAAGAGCATGAACGTAGCTTGCACTGCATCACTGCATAAATCACATGATTGTCAAGGCTGAACAAGGCCCAAGCCCCCAAAACTCTGATCTTGCTATCTTTTCTCACTCCACGTTCTCCTTGACCCAGTGACGAAAAGATGGTCCTAACTGGGTCCACTCACTGGGGCCAACTGAGGCCAACTACGAATTAATCCGTCACTGTTACCTGCGACATGGTTTCGCGTGCTCCATCTCCTGGGACTGTATTATTATTACTGCTGTCTTCTCCTTCCTGCCCTACCTTCTTTTTCGCTCTTTTTTTGGTCGGGTTTTTGTCTACCAAAGACGGGGATGGCCACGGTACATACTAGACTGGGTACGCCTGGACTGTTCAGGGCTAGTTATCTTGATGACTTTCAGCTCAGTCCTTTTTGACGCGACGGCTGAACTATTGCCAAGCCAAGTAAAAATCAATCACCCACCCAAACCTCCATTCCTTCTCTAGTACCTTTTTACCTTGCAAAAAAAGTCATAATACTGCACTCCCCCCAAAAAAACCCCCCAAGCTGCTTTGTCGAAAGAGCTGCGGGAAGTATTGAATTGTTAACATTAGAAACCTGTGTTTGTTGCCTAGATTTTTTTGAACAAAATGTCCTTTAAAAGGGGATAGTAATAGAAAACAAAGCCACCGTTTGTAAGGTGTAGGATTTTTTTTACTCTGGTTTAGCTTTGTTTTGGGCAGGATGTGTGAGGTTGCTTGGGTGAAAACCGTGGTCCTCATACCTATGAACTGCGGGACTCTAGGTGTCTTGCACTCTTTTAGTATTGCCATTTTTACCAACTCCTCCTTTTCAGCCTTCCATAGAGAACAGCAGAATTGCGCAGAACATTCTCATCCTTCATTTGAGTTCCTTTTTTCCCTTGTAGCTGTTCCTCCTCGGACTTCTCCTTTCAACCAATTTTTTTTCTTCTTAGTTTTGGCGGGTCACTCTTTCAGTCATTTCAAGCACCCTGTGTGCAACTCGTTCTCACTGAAGTTAGGGTCTTGTTTCTCTGGCTTTGAAATCCTCTCTGTCTCTCGATCCATTGAGCAGCCCGCTCAGTCTGCCAGCTCTGTGTGCTTGCCTTGCATAACGACAACGGGAAAGGAGGCTAACTTAATGAGATCAGTTCTGCCCGAGGAGCACTAAAAGGAAAGGATGAAGGTCGCTGTTTGGTTTTTGTCTTTGAAAAATTACGGCTTGCATGGGAATGCAAAACCGAAAGGCTATAGCTGGCTGGCTAAGTGGCTAGCTGCAAACAAAAAAAGAAATATATCCAAATGTTTGGTTGGGAACTCCCAAGACATAAGAAAAAGCAGGCTAGTTCGGTGTGTTGTAGCGTAGACCTATGGCGATCAATTGTTTTTCGTTCATCCTAGACATCGTTGGACAGACGACAGAGGGCTGTGTGAAGTGAAAGTAAAGGTATTTGGTACCTCGACATGCATTGCTGATAACAAAGAAGAGTGAAGGGGAGAGAAATGCAAGACATCGCAAGATCGTTACGGCTGAGTGATAAAAGGATCTAGTTCACTACCCTAGTAGAGCAAACTGTATTCGTTCCTACTCGCAAAGCACCACTCAGTATGATCAGCTTGGTAATCAACCAAATGCTCAGTGAGTTAGTAAGCAAACACCAAAAGAGGGTGCGGGCCCATTTGCATACAAAACAAGCCACCATGGTGTTAGACTCAAAGACCTTTACTGAAGGAGTGGAGTGGGCCAGTAAGTCTTTGTTGGATAGTTCAGAGAAGTGTCCCATTTGCAACTATGGGGCGGTTGGGATGAGACCGAATGTATTTTCATTTACCATGAACGTGGTGCATGCACTGTCTCTCTATCGTTCGTGCAAGGTTAAAGTTTCTGCTTCTGAGGAAAGAGAGAATGACAAAGAGGCGAAAAGGGGGGGGACAAGTGGAATGAACCATTCGAAAGAAATGCCATAATCATAATTAGACAAAAGGGCGGACTCTTTCAATAACGACAGAGGCAAATGGCCGAGGAAGATTCTGGCTAGCTGGCTGAGTGAAAGGTTAGTGGAGTGGGTTTGAGGTATCAGGCACCACCAGCAGAAAAGGTCATAAGAGAATGAGCAAAAAGGAGATTCAACGGCCACCAGGATGACGAGGAGGGGTAACTCTTTTTTGTTTTCACGTACAGAGGAGCGAGAGCAAAGGCCAATTAGCCATGCAAAGGACGGATAGTTTCCGGATTCGCCGATATCAATAATGACCTCTTGCATTCACATCCTGCAGTTCTACCGTACTAACACCAACCACCCCTATTTACTATCCTTTTTCCAGCGCATATTGTTTTGGCGGGAATATCTCCCTTGGTCTCTCATGCATACAAGGACAAATGCAACGATAGCTCGTAGTTGAATGCATTCTGCCCCTGTCTCTCTCTACCCTCTTCCCCCCTACCCCTAAATTCAAGCCGAGCCTGAAGACTCCTTTCTCTCCCTCCGGCTCCCCGCTCATTGGTTCCAATCGCCGCCCGAATCGCCTCTCACCATGATTCTCTCTCCTCCTTCTGTCATTCTTTTCTTTCCTTTTTATCCTTCTGCCGTCCTGTGGTCCCTTCTTACTCGTGTGGTGTGCATGTACAGTTCAAATAGCGGACTCGGCGATAATGAAAAAACCAGTCTTTAGATTCCTGCTGCGTGATCGGCAGGCAAAATAAAAAAAGGACATAAAGTACATCATGGTACCTTCACATATAGTATATAGGCATACAGTTTGCATGACCGAAACGGAAGGGGGTTGACAGAATGAACGAGCGAACAACGGGCAAACAGACATGTTGTGCGGATGCCGAATTAGTTCAAAGTCCATTTTTACCCATGTGTTCGTTCCTTGTTTCTTCACATCAGGAACGAAGGACGATGGAACGGAGAACCAGTACTGCGGAGAACAACGAAGACAATTAAGGGAGCTCGAAAAAAAAATGATTCGCCGATAGTAAACCCATTGCTTCCTTTGTTCCTTCATGGTTATTTTTGCTTCGTGATGGCGTCGATCTTCTTGTCTTCTGCATTGCTCCGCAGATCCGGGCGTACATGGCAAATGAGGGCAAATCACAGTTGATAACGATGATGAAGTTGTAAGGGCATCACGGGTACAGGAACAACGTTTGTTGTCAAACAGCAACAACAAAAATCCTTTTCATTTCTAGCCTAAGGACCATAGTTAAGAGAACCAAATGTGGGTGAGAGTGAAAGGTGGATAGCTGACCATGGGAAGGGATGTGGCATATGTCCCAGAGAACTTTCCGGCGGTCCCAGTCAAGAGAGAGAGAGAGAGGAGAGAAAGTGAGAGAAGAGGAGACATCGATTGGTCTAGACCTTTGGTCCTCTCTCTCCAGCTGGCGAGTTAACTCACTTGCAAATAAAAGGTTCAAATACAAGAACCTGTGGCACACGCACTCTCTAGGCAATTAGAAATGGTCCCTCTTATTCGTACGTTATGCCTACTCCATGTTGGTTCCCTTGTTTTCTTTCATCCTTTGGTCCTTGTTTTGGTGTTGCGTGCAATAGACTACTTGCATTACCCCGTTCATCATCGTACATGTACATTATCTTTTTGCGTCTGTCATGATTATGTTTCCCACTCTCTCCGTCTTTTTGTTGTCGTTTCTCGGGCCCCCCTTGTGAGCGTTTGAGGTTCGATTGTGCGTATGCAAAATGGACGGTGGCGTACATGTGCAACGTCTCTCTTCTCTCTCTCTTTTTGCTCCCCCTTATTCTTTTTGTGTATCGTTTTGGCACAAAGTGTGAGCTGGTAATGTGTAAGGAAGACGAGCGGAGAAATAAAAATAGGACGAAGGTTGTCGATCGTCATGACTTGTTTTTGTGTTGCTACCCTTGCTGTCAGGAAAATAAAGGGTATGTGCTCTCCTTGTGTTCTATGTATTCTCCTGCTCTCATGCTTAGTCACACCCTGCTGGTTGCACCAGGGTACAAAGAAGGGTACGCTTATTTTCTCTGTTCAACGACCACAAAGAATGTCGCTTCTCACCCTAGGGTCGCTGCTCTCAATGTTCTTCTTGCCAACTTGTTTACAGCAGTAACAGCCCTTCTCTTTCGCAAGAATAGTAGAGTGGTAGTGATAATGGTTATTTGGATGCATATCGTTGGGAATGAATGGTCAAAATATTTTCTCCATACCTCCTTCCAACGAGTTCATGCTCCCTTTACTGCCGTCAAGCCAATTCCTTATGCTCTCTTTGCATGCCTATCAATCTCATTCATACTTCTTTTCCATCCCCATTTTTGCCTTCTCCTTTCTTACACCCCCCCCCCTTTTCTCTCTTTCCTATCTTGTTTTTTCTTCCCATCTTCTGTCTTTGCAATAAAAATGAGTAGTATCACAGGGGAGAGACAACATATTCCGTGTGCTGCTCGGCGTGTTTGTCAATCTTGTCAAATTTCGATCCCTCTCTCCTCTCTTCTCTTCTCCTCAACCCCTGCGATGAGTAACAAAAGGCCAAAAAAATTCGAAGGTGATATCGGTAACAATGACCCTTTTCCCTCTCCCGTGGCGAGCATTATATCCCCTTCTTTTCCCTTCCCTTACTTTTTCAA